CTTCACTCTCAAAACTAGAGACAATGGCTTATACAAGAAAAAACAACGCGGGTGTGCATGTGTACCAGCATAAATATTGTATACACTCAAGCCAACCAAGGCTGCAACACAAGAGGGAAGACAAGGGCATCTGTGTTCTGATCAGGGTGACACCGCCTCCTCGACTTAGCTGTCTGTGAAGGACATTAAATTTGTGTACCGAGACTGTTTGTGAGATGGACGTGAAAACGCAGGTCGATCGAATCGAAGCAGAACGGCAAACTTGTAAGTCAAACAGCCATCTTTTCCAACACTGGCAGTCAACCGCCCTTTACCTTGTCGATATGGGTTCGCGCCTGCAAGTCATTGTGAACTTGAAGGAGATAGAACAACCAGAGTTGCATATCATCTGATGACTGTGTCTGGACTTTGTACTCTGAATGGAGATCCGTTCTGCTGCCACTTTCAGCGTGACTTGGAGCAGGAGATCCGTGGAAATGCAAGTGCAGCCCAAACATTTCGTGATGCGATTGATGGTGCTGCTGTTGCTGATGATGATCATGATCATCATGATGAAAATGATGATGATGAAGATGCATCGCTCCATCTTCGGGCTTGTCGAGTTCACGGACTAGCAATTGCAGCACGTGCGGTCGTTTCGTGTAGGTGGAATCCACCACAACTTGCGAGTCCGATGACAGTATTAGGACTTCGTCTACCTCTGGTTTGAACTAAAAGTCGCGTGAAGAACGGTCAGGCATCATCGCAAAAGAGAAACAAGTCAGTGGACAAAAAAAAACAAAAAAAAACTTCAAGTCTGTTGGTTTGAACGAAATGGGCGGTCTGGCAACTTACCCCACTCCGATCATTTCGTGACGGACGCTTCTCTGCAAAGAGGTGCAGGTGGCCTGAACGATGCAACACAGCCCAAACACGCTTCCAGCTCCGCGCCTTAGCTTTCTTGCCACGATAGTAGCAGTGCTTGACTTTCAGCGCGCCTTCAAACACCGTTGAGTTGTCGCTCGTGGATCCGTGCTGGTGGCTGTCGCCATGAGAGCTAAGCGTCGTGCTAGAGACAGTGGAATGAGGCAGAGTGCCGGCAGCGCCGTGCGGACCGTCAGGCATGTGAGGCAGCGACGAATGCGACACGGCGCTCGACGCATCACCCGTAATATCGCTGCTGCTTCCGCCGGTCGAGTACGAGACGGCATCGGCCGCGGTGGCGTCGAAACTGTCATCCAGCAGATTTGGTGTGCGGTTGGAACTGTTTCTCAACGACTGGCTGCCCTTCGAATCAAGACTCGTCGACTCGAAGGCCTCAGCGTCAGACAAGCGCGCTGGCAGTGAATCTTGCGAGACCAGCGTGCGCGGCTTTCGCCGCAAACTTCCGCCCGACAGCCGCTGCGATAGCGGGGTGTGCGTGCCAGAGGAAGGAGGCGTATGCACCGGCAGATGCCCAGTACTCCTGCTGAGCGAGAGACCAGGCGGGAACGAGGGAGACAGCGTGTCGTGCCCTGGCGGCACGGGTGTGGGTGCCAAGGATGCTTTCGGTTCACGCTCGAGCGACAGCTTGTAGTTGTCGTCCTCAATGAAGGTGCGCAACTCGTCCAGATACTGAATGGAGAGCAAGTACTCGCGGACAGGAATGACTATCGGGATGTGGCCGTAGTTTGACATTTGGTACTTTGTAACCTGGTCGATAATATCCATCATTTTGCTCATTCGCTCGGGCGAGGCTGGGTCAGGAAAGGCGCTGTCCACGTAAGTAATGTCGTTCAAAAACAGGCCTGTGTCATTGTTTCAAAAAAAAGTTGATGTCAGGATTGTTTTTGGTTTGGACTGAAATAGAGCGGCTTTGCAATTGGTTTGTTCGAACGCCTTACCGAGATAGGGAATACAGGGCAGATGGAGATTTGCCGTGTACTCGCGCAGTTTGACGCGATTGGAATCCTCGGCCATCAGGTCTGCGAGCTTTTCGAAACGCGCTCGTCGCTTTTTGCTCACAAGCTGCAATCGTCCAATCAATACCCGGGATGCAGAATGTGAGTGAATGAGTTGAAAATGCGTTGACAGAAGCATTCGGCTTTCAAAGATCAGACGCACCGCCCAGGTCTTGGAGAGTCGAAAGATGGGCGTCGATTGAAGCATTGACACTACAGCTTGGACTCCATTAATATTGTTGAGCTTGAGAAGATGCTGCCAAGCAAATGTGAATCCGGAACACGATGAGAGACAAGCTGGTTGAGCAAGCCTGCTGTGATTCCCCCCCCCTTCCTTTACCTTGGCAAGCTTGATGAACAAAGACACAAGCTCGGCTCGGTCCTTCTCATGAGATGGTGTGAGTACGGCTTGTGACATCCAATAAATAACCTGACAAAAGAAAAGGGAGCAGTTGATGAGGTCAGCGCGCAGGCAGTCGCAAAGGTCGCGCAGAAGGCACAGCACTGACATTGTTGAAGCGCTGCGTGAACGCGACAATATTTGGCGTCAGAGTCAGCTTAGTTTTCTTCGTCCAGGCGCAACTCAACAATTCCTCGTGCCCAATTTTGCAAAACAGCCCCATGTCAATGATTGTCCATTGTTTCTATGAGGAGAAGGGGAGAGAGGGTATCAGAAGGACCAAAAATGAGCCACAGCCCACAAACCGCAATCTTCCACAGTCTGAAACGCAGCAAACAGACATACCGCCAATTCCGCAATTCCAAAGTCCTCGACCACGGCGCGGAATGGCAGCTGGTGGCCCGACCCTGTCGACGAAGAAGAGTCCTGACGATCAAAACTTGAACTTGATCGTGATGAGGCGGGCTCCAGGTCATACGGATGGGGCCTTTGCAAGCTTGCACTTCCGGGAAGCGAAACAGGTCCCGTTTCGCTGCCAACACTTCCAAAGAAGCGCTTGAAACTCGAGGAGCCCTTCCGCCTCATCGAGCTATATGCGACATCTTCGTCGGTACTCTGCCAACAAAGCACAAAAAACACCGGATTCAAAAGAGCACAACCAGAGCTCGAACAGATCAGCGCTGGCTTTTCCGAACGCTGAGATCACATCCAACCTCCCAACCTCCCAACTCCCTCACAACAAGCACGCTCAGCGCATTGAAAATACTCACAGGTACTCCAGACGCATGACCTGGAGACGTTGGAGTCGACATTGAGCTTGCACTGCCGCCGTGATGGTGCTGCTGCTGGCTGGGCAGCGTGAAAAAATTGGACGGAGCGAACGCGGCAGCAAGCGCATTCCTGTCTGTCTTGGCTGGCAGCGTGGTCGACTGCTTGCCCCTGCGCGCCCAGGCCGCCCGACGCGCGGCGGACGCACCCGGGAAGCTAAACCCGCCATTGTCGGAGATTGAGCTCGCAGAGCCCACTGCGGTAGTCGCCGTCGCCGTTGTCGTAGCAGCAGCAGCAGCAGCAGCAGCAGCAGCAACGGCAGCATCCAATTGAGATGGAGGTTGGGCTTGCGACTCGAGCGGCGCTGGTCGATGAGAGCGACCCAAGTCAGTGTGCGCATCGGTGTCGGAAGAGGAACTCTCGTCATCAGAGTCAAAGTCGTCGTCCTGGAGCGGCCCTCCTCCTGCTCCTCCGGATCCAGCCCGTACGCCTGTCTCACTCAGCGCGCTGCGATGTGCAGTGACGAGCTGCACGGGATGAGCTGAGGCAGCGGAAGCGGAAGAGAACGAGGCGGGTTTCTGTGAACTCGCGCGACCTGCGCTCTTGAGCAGGCTGAAGATTGAGCCGTGGTGCTGCTGCTGCCCCTGCTGCTGCTGCTCACTCTGCAGCCCGTGATGAAGTGCGTGCTGCTGTTGCTGCTGCTGGTGTCGAAGGGCAGACCACTGGGACAATGGAACGCCAGAGCCGACTCGCACAGTGTCCTCAATGACGGGATTCGCCGGGTCGGAGCGCGAATGTGGGTGATGCAGATGCTGATGATGCTGATGCTCACCCTGCTGCTGCTGTTGTTGTTGATATTGTGGATGATATTGCAGGTGATTAGGATGATGAGGATCGCTGCTGCTGCTGCTGCTGCTGCCGTGGTGCTGCTGCTGCTGAGTGTTGTGCTTCAGTCTGAAATCCTCCGCAGCGTTGTCGTCCCCCGCATTCAATGCCTCGTCCGCCTCTTGCTCGTCGTCCGAGCGCAGCACGTCGCCAACGCCTGAGCTCGATGGCGATTTCTTCTTGCCAGGTCGGCGCATCCCCGCAAAAAAAAAAAAAAGAGCTCCCTCCGCCCAAAGTAATGAAAGCTGAATGAAGAAAACCTTGAAAGCGCGTCCGAAAGTGAAAAAGGTGAACTGGAAACTGAGATTCAGCATACGCAGCAGTAGTAAAGCACCAAATCATTGCAAATAACTTGTGCTGCAATCCAACGTCATCTGAGCTAACAAGACAAAGAAAAGCGCGCATGTGGCACAGTCCACCTTTTTTGATAACTGGCGTGGCACACTTCTTTTTCTTTTCTTTTTCTTTTTCTATTGTATCAGATCTATCGTTTGTTCGGTCCTTTCCCCCCCCCCCAACTCGTCTTTGGCCACGTCGTACTCATGCGGCAGGGTGCTGTTGTTCTCGGTAAAAACCCAACAACAAAACACCGCTCCACACAGACAGCATTTCATGGCAACATCACAAAAACACGAAAAAACAAAAACCACAGCAACCGCAAGCGAATCTTGTTGCTTCTCCAAGATCAGGTGGAGGAGAAGGGCCGGGGCGAAGGGCGTGGAGTGCACTCCAGACAGCAATCCACAGCAGTGCATTGAGCGATCCAGGCGCTGTTGATGGAACACGAATCGAGCGCTCGTCCAACTTGTCAAAGCAATCACTGTCAAAAAAAAAAGCACCATTTCACGCCCACTCGCCAGCCCTCCCCGCATGCTGTCGCGCCAGTCCCCTCGCCAAGCCACGCGCCATCCATCTTTTCATGCGCGTTCGCCACGCTGGTGGTGGTGGAGGGACTGGCTCTGCGTTCGATCGTTGGATTATCGCGAATATCGGCAGCAAAAAAACAAGCACCGCCTCCGTTTATATTTTTTCCCGCCCCTTCTGCTGCTCACGCCTCCTTCAATGCACGCTAGCACTCTGGCTCTTCACGATGGGCCCAAGCGCGCGGGGGCGGAGGGGAAGAAACTAACGCTTGATGCCTTTTTTTTTCATGATGAGTTTGACTGTTGAGTTGCTTCCCAACTCATCATCTGCTTCCACCTGGTCTTGAACACAGCGCTGCTGGTGGTCGCGGCGGCGTACCACTTCCATGCGGTCGGCATCCTCCAAGAGCAGAATGCCGAGCTCCAGAGTCGCCTTCGAGCACCGAGTCAGGCGAGTGGTCCGCGTGGAACGGCTGCATCGGATGCCGCATCACAGGCAAAGCCAACGCCGATAATGCCTGCCGCTGAAAGCAGGGCCGACTCGGGTACGACAATGCGTTGAAGCAAATTGCCTTGGTTGTGTAGGATGGTTCTGGGGTCTTTTTTTACGGGTCGGCAGACTGGCCAAAAGTTGAGATTTGTCCCGTTCTCGCCAATGCGTCAATCTGCATCTTGACGACATGGCACTGAGAATACTGCGTCGCAAAAACACAATCTCACATTGGCCCTGATGATACTGCAGCACAAGCCGTCTACGTCAAAATGCAGGCGGCCATGATGAAAACAATCGCTCAAGAGGGGTCCTCGGTCTGGTGCACCGGCGACACGCTGACTACACGGTACGTTGGTGCATGATTTCTCGGCGGAAATACCTCATTGCTATACCTCACTCGTGCTTGGAACGGATCCCCCATGCATTCAAATTTACTGTATTTCTGACGACACGGTCTCTGCGTTTTGTCTTCTCTCTCTTTGGTCTGTGTTTACTCGCTTCTTGGCAACAGCATCTGCCACTTTAACAACCTGTGCTACTCGATGAACACTAGCTCGTATATTTTCACGCATGGAAAGTCGAGCACGATGGTGGGAATTCCTGCGAGTCGAAACCGCCCGGCCTTTCTCGAACTGTCCTCCGTCCAAGACCTGAACATCATGTACATGGACATGGCCGATGTAACTTCGTCGTTCTTCTCGGATCCATCCATCCAAGCCGACACGCTCGTGGTGGAAGGACTCTCGTTTATTCAAAAGCGCTTTCATGGTGACAACATTATGCACGTTCTTCACGACGACTTGATGCCTTTATACTACACGATGAGACAATTCTCCTATCCGGCCAATGCCGGGGGAGGCATGACCGAGCAAGCTCGCGGCAATCACCAAACCAGCGAAGGCCTGCCTGCAGACACGTCCACGCACATCAATCTGGACAGTCGCATTGCATTCATGGATGATTATTCTCCAGGTCCGCACTATGACCTCTTCCGCGCGTTCTCTCGTCATCCACCGATCGTCAAAGAGCAACTTATGGGGCTGGCCTCGTACGTGTGTTTCCAAGATGCGGTTGTTGGAGTGAACAAGATGACCACCTGGTACCAGTATGGTATGAGTTTTTCTTTTCAGGGTGTTTTGTTTTGATGTCTCTACTGACTCTTGCAGTGTTGCATCATTCACCTTCGCTCACTCGTTTGTTTTTTTTTTTTTTTGTTTTTTTTTTTTTTGTTTTTTTTTTTTTTTTTTTTTTGCTGCTTTTGCTGTTTTTGCGTTGCTGTGTTCCCCCTCCCCTCACAGGCTATGATGTGCCACAAGGCCCGATTCCTGGAAAACAAGTTTCCGGATGGCACGTTCGGCAATTCACCGAATTTATGCGGAGCCGGCTCCGCGCCATCCATCCCGAGTATGCGCTGAATGAAGAGAGCATTGTGGGAAATGCGCTTGCGGCGTCTGCGGCTGAGAATGGTGCGTCCCAGAATCATCGACCAGTGACGCTGTTCTCCACTCCGCGCCCCACACCTCGTGCTCGGCAAGTTGCTCGTCCGGCCCGAACGCCGGTGCGATCGCCTGCAAACGGCGCAAACAGGCACAACGACGATAAGGGCCCCATCATCCTCAAAAATGGCCGGAGTCTGGACGAAGAAGATCGCCGAGCAAACCCTGATGCGAACGTTCCTCCTGCTGCCGTCACCTTTAGCGAGACGCAGCACGTTCCATTGCCCAGCGATATTATCGTGCTGTTCACTCGACAGCGCAACCGCATCCTCATCAATCAACAAGAATTCATCGACGCGCTCCAGCGCGAGTTCAAGATGCCCGTGATTGCCATGGGCATGGAAACGCACAACTTTGCGCAGCAGGTCATGCTGCTCAAGCGTGCCAAGATTGCCATTGGGCTGCATGGCTCTATGCTCATCATGGCTGCCTTCATGCCTGTGCAATCCATTCTGATTGAACTCTTTCCGTACGCCGTGCCGTCCGAAAATTACACTCCGTACAAGACCTTGGTTTCCTTCCCCGACATGCACATGGTATATCGCGCATGGGAGGTGAGTATATGAGCAGCAGTAACACTTTGTGCGGCGGGGAAGGAGCTTTTGCTGGGGAAACGTCGCTGAACTTGTTTGCACGGTTTTCCCCCCCCCCCTTGCTTCCCTTTGCTTGAAATTGCTCAGAACAAACACAAAGATGGCACGATCGCCCACCCAGAGTATTCAACAGCACTGGGAGGCATTCTCCATTTGGATACAGAGATGCAGGCCCATCTCCAAGCCCAAACAACCGTTCCGGCACATTTGTGCTGCACTGACCCCAGCTGGCTCTTCCACATTTATCAAGACACTCGCGTCCACATTGGTGAGGTGACGGCGCTCATTCGAGACGCCTTGCACGAGCTGCACACTCGCGAGACCGGTGTTCTAGTCAATGGTAAAGTAGTCGCCCAGAGCCTGTTGTAATTGTCGCGGTTGCTTTGCCAGTGCTCTGCTCGCGAAAACCATCCGCCTCACAGATGCGTTTCTCGTTATGTGTCACAGGCTACCAGTTCTTCTCCACGCAGATGGAAAATGGACGCTGCACCAAAGCGACCACAACATCCATCACGGTCGAATGGGACAGTCCTTGGAACTCACAGATGCTGATCGATTACCATGAACAAACCCAACGCAACGCAAACCCGTCGTCCAAGCAGGCACCTCGCTCGCCCGTCCGTATTGACAGTCAGGTCTTTGTTGAAGGCAGTCCAGCAATTTACCAAACGCACGGCAATGAGATGGTGATAGCCACACTCACCCCTGGCACCGAGTATTCTGTTTACCTGCGACCCATCGTGGTGCTGCCTCAAGCAAACCTGGAAGGCCGCTTTGGTTCTCGCATTTCGTGCAAAACGCTGCCACTTCCAAAGCCACCGCCGCGTGTCTTGTTGCCACCACCACCCGCCGAGCAATCATCCCCTTAATTCTAAACCCTAACTCCCCAGCCTCCCTACTTTTGACATTGATAGGGGGGTTTGGTCACTTGTGCACTCAACTTGAACAAGGTGCAAATAAAAAAATAATAATTGAAGCTGTTCAAAAAGTTCAAGCAGCGATGAGTTTTCAAACATGCACGACATTTTGTGATGACGATGGTTCAGCTGCCTCCGAAACGGCGGTTGTGGGCTGCTGTGCCGGTGGTTGTTGGAGCCGCTGCTGTTGCTGCTGTGATTGCGGTTGCTGTGAATGTTGTGGCTGCTGTTGTTGTTGTTGTGATGGTGGTGGTGGTTGTTGTTGTGGTTGCTGCAGCTGGTAGGCAGGGAAAACTTCGCCTTTAAGCCCAGGAAGGAAGCGACCAATTGCATGCCAGGTGACATCCCAGAGATCGGTGCGTGGAGGAACCGTGGTGCCAGGTCGCCCAGACGGTTTTGCTTGAGGATCCACGAGAATGTCGCTTGTGGACATGACAAGAAGCATGTTTTTGAGAGATTCGGGAATCGCCTCGGCCTATCGGGTAGGAGTCCGAACAAACAAACCGCAAAGATGAGCAAGACGAAGAAGCGCACGCAAAGTTCAAAAGAAAAACCTCAAATGGCAAATCAAAAAAGCAGCACACACACACACACACACACACTCCAACCTTCATGCTTACCAAAAGATCGCTGTTCTCGATGCTCATGTACCGGTGCATGAGGTCGATAATCTTCAGCCACAGGAGATTGAACGTGTCGAGTGTCAGCAGCGAGTTCAGGTGAAGCAGGAATAGCTTGCAGAGAAGCGCAGCACCGCGCATGCGAGTCTCTTCAAAGCCCGCGGGATCAAACATGGCGGAATGCGTGTTCAGAAGAGACATGAGCATTGGGAAGAGGATGGAATACATGCACCGCTCCCAGTCGGCCGGCCCGAGCTCCTGCAGCTCGGGCATGAGCAAGGTGCGCAGCAAGTAGTTCATGGCATGCTGACGCACGTCACGCCGCGGGTCGGAGCACAGCGAGCTGTACAAGCGAGCCAACGGATGGAAAAAGTTGTCCCACAAAAAGTTGACGCCCAACGCCTTCGACTTGACGTCGTCCAGTCTTGCTTTGCCTGCATCGTCTGCGCCCTGGCCCGCCTTGGCTTTGCTCTCGTCGCTGGTCAGAGACTTGGCTTCAGAGGCAATCGAAGTGACTCGAGGGTGCAGGAAGATGACGAGGCCGAGATAAAGTGCTGCGGGCGATGAGGGTTGTTGCAAGAACTGCTGCTGCTGCGATGGCGGGTTATTTTGCGGCTGGGGCACGGAGGGCTGCGATGGCGCGTCGTGCGGAAGCTGCGAGGTCGAGTGTTGCGGCAGCGTCGGTGCGGGATGGTGAGCGTGCTGCGGATTCTGCTGCAATGCAGCCAGATACTCGCGAGCATCAGCCTCGGCAAAGGATGCCAGGACGGACAGACATGCCGCAAACGTGGTGATCGAGACGCACTTGGTGTCGCGAATCAAGAACGCCATCGTTTCCGAGGCGATGCCGCGAGCATTGCCATCGGCGCGGGCAAACTGCAAGAGCTTGAAGACGGTGGCCCAATGCTGCTCCTTTTTGATGTACGACGCGTTGGCCTTGACGAGCTGGTGCAAGCCAGACATGAGTTCGCGGAGCACCTGCGGACCCGTCGACGAGTGCAAGTGGCTGATCGAGGCCGCCATGGCCGGAGAGCCACGATCGGCCATCGTGCCTGCGCCGTCTGTTGCATGCAACAAATAGAGCAGGGCTTCGAGTGAACGCATCAGCGAGTCCGTCATGTCCTCCTTCATCATCAGACGTGACGCAAGGCGCAGCAAGTCCACCACACAGCGCTCGAGATGAAGCGAGTACTTGGGCACCGTTCCAACGAGCGACGCAACTCCGGGTGGAAGCGGCGCCGCAAGAGAGGGCAGCAACGAGAAGGACAAGGTGGCAGGCGCGGGTTGCGTAGTCAGGGTGGACGACACGCTGCTGGCGGCGGCCTGGGTGGTGGAGGATGTTGCGGTAGAATCAGCCACGCCGGACGGCAGAATGGCAGCCAGTCCGAGCGGTTGAGGCGGGGTCACGGCGCTGGCCAAGGCACCGGGTAGGAGAGTGCTCGCGGCAGCTGCTGCAGCGGCGGCGGCGGCGGCGGCAGATTGGGCAGCCGAGCCGCGAGAGAACACGGACAAGGTAGCGGCGAGGGAAGGAATAAACTGCCACATCGTTTCCACGAGGTGCTTGAAGACGGGTTCCCACAGAAGGGCGATGCGATCCTTGTTGCGCAATGAGACCTCAATGAGCAGCTCGAGCGAAAAGACAGCCGTATCCTCGGAATAGTCAATGACGGGCACAGAGACGGCCAGTTGCTGCTGATAGAGGCGTCGCGCAAGCGGGCCTTGGGAGACAAACAGCAGTGCCTTGATGAGCTCCTGGAGCGCTTCGACGGACAAGAATTTGGACTCGGTAAAGAGATCCTGGATGTAACACGAGCGCACGCACGTCTCCGCCACCTGCTGCAGCTGAATGTCCTCTTCGGTAGGTTGCTCCACGGCCGGCTCAGCCGAAGAGAGCAACAAGTAGTAGGACATGGTCGACCAGAGCGACGAGTCAGAGCGCACCGAGGGCTTGGTCTCGTTCTCGTGCTTTTGTTTGCGACCGGGAAGTGACACGCGGCCCAAAGGATCCAAAAAGTCCTCGGCTTCCATCATGGCGGGAGGAAGCAGTCGAGCCAAATACAGCTGAATGATGCAATCAACGACGTTGCGCCAGCCCTCGCGCAAAATGTCGCCGTACTGGTGTGTGAGTGCAAACACGGTCGACGCGGCAAGCTGGGCCTTAAAGTTGCGTCCAAACGCGACAGCAACTCCGGCATAGTGCTGTTGGATGGAACTGGCGGACGAGCCTGCCGAAACGCTACCCGCACGCGTGTTGGCCGCGGTACCAGAAGCTGCTCCGTCTGAAATCGGACCCATCGAAGCAGTGGATGTTGCAGTGGACCCGAGAGCACCCGCGCCAGCATTCAAAGCCCCAGCTGTCGAGCCAGTAATCACAATTCCACTGGCAAGACCCAAACCAGCAGCAGCGAGCATGCCTCGGTTGCTGGCGACGGCAATTTGGTGATGTCCCGCCTCGGTAGCCGAGCTACTCGTGGGGGACAATGCCACGGTACTCGAATTGCTGGTGGAGGTGCCAGTCGACGAGGATGCATAGAGTGCGCTGTTCAAAGTAGCTGCAGCGCCAGCTCCGACAGGGTTGGGACCGTCCGAGCCCATCCCGACGGGTGTGATGAGCAGCGCGGAATCAGCCGTCGAGTCCACCGAAGTCAGGCCAGGTGCATCGTGGCTGGACAACAACGAGGTAAACTTGCACAGAGAAATGATAATGTTGTCAAACACATCGCACAAGCCGTAAAAGCCAGAGATGGCGGCACAGTTGCGAAGGCCGTTGAGGGCCTTTTGAGCAATATCGCGGTCAAGAGCCTGGTCAAAGACATACGAGATGGCGGCGATGGCAGGGCCCCAGATCAGCAAGAACACGTCGTGATCGTACAGCGCCGTGTGAATCGAGTGGAAGCGCCCAGACGGCAGCCGGCTGCGTCGGAGCATGACCTTCCACTGGTAATTTTCCTTGATTTCACCCTCCTTTTCGTCGGGCATGATAATCTCGTTGGTCTTGACCGCAGTGTACACCTCCTGCAAGAATTCGATTGGGAAATCTTGCTTGTTGTTCAGTCCTCGCTGGTTGCGAGCAAAGTCCTGAAGTGTCATTGGCTTCTTGACTCGAGGATTGTGCTGGTCAGTGTTGAGCTGCATGATGGCAAACGCCAGAATAAACGTCGAATCTTGGTCTTCCAACACAAAGCCAGACTTGCCGGTGCCGTTGTTGGCCGAAGCAGCGGACGCGGACGCAGTCGCCGTCGCAGGCGAAGACGGCATGGTGGCAGAAGAAGTGACAGCTGCGGTGACCAAACCAACTGCTGGACTGCCAGTGCGCGCACTAGACGCTGCGCTTGAGTCGAGAACAGGTGCAGAGTGGGGACGATCTGCGGTCTGAGAATGTTGCTGGAGGGACGCAACCCCGCCTGCTGTTGCAACAGGAGTGGAGGGCGACGTGATGGCAGGGCGGCCGGAGGCCACCGGGGAGTCGCTTCCGATTGGCTGGAACGTGTGCGACGCCTGGTGAGCAGCGTCAACCTCAGACTGCTCGTCCGCCAGCGCCTTGTTGAGCGAGTAGTAGTGATGCGCAAACGAGTCCATGATGCGATCAATCACCTGGGACTCGCCGGGAAGTCGGAAGGATTCGAGAAACACGCGGAGTGCATCCACAATCCCCATGCCACCAAAGTGGAAGCTTTCGGTAAAGATCTTAAGAATGTCAGTGTTGAGACGATCGCCAATGTACTCGCCAATCATTCGCTTGGACAGCTTGGGATGGTTGCGCAAAAAGTCGGTGACCTCGTGGTGATCGATGGGCGATGACAGGGCGCCAGACTCGAGCAAGAACGCAATACCACGCTTGGGCTTCTCGTTGAAGAGGTCGGCGCCTTGGTTGAAGAGGCGCTTGCGGTGTTTGAAGCTTTGCAAGTCAGCGAGTGACGGCAGCCCCAAATGTGCCTCGTCCTCTTCCTCCTCCTCCTCCTCTTCTTCTCCTGCTGCTGTGGCGTCCTGGTGGTGATGACGGTGCGCAGCAGTGGCACTGCTGGCGTGCTCAGAAGTAGCGTCCGAGTGCACGTGCGGCGCTGTGACAGTCGTTGGATGGAATGAGCTGTTGGCAGCGTGCAGGCGAGCAGCGCCAGTGCTGATCGGCCGATCGAAAGGCGTTTGAGAGGCGACCGGAGAGGACAAGACCAGCTGCGAAGCCGATGGCACGCCAGCAACACTCCGGACGCCATCGAGGAGCTGAGATCGTTGGGCCAGTCGACATCGCTGCTCGATAGCATCGACCACGGCAAGCAGCGCGCGGAGCGAGAGAAGATGTGTGGTGTACAGCGCACCGCTGGACGGGAAGGCGTTCTTGGACAGGAACTTGGTGAGTTGGTCAAAGACATCCGATGCGTACAAGTCGCAATCGTAGTTGACGTAGAGCTCGACGACGAGCGACGGAATGCGACACAACTGCACAAGCGTTTCGAGCGCAATCTCTTGCAACTCGAGCGACGTGGTCTTTGGATCGACAATGCGGTCCATCAAGTAGCGCAAAAAGTGCTCGAGCTGGAACTTGAGTTTGTGACGCAAAGCCTCAAAGATCAGAAACAGGAGACGCAGCTCAAGGGCAAAGAAGGTGGGAATGTCCGTCTTGATCAGCGTGAATAGATGGCGGCACAACGAGTCTGACACCAGCTCGAGCAATGTGGGAAAGTCTGCAATAGCATGGCCTCCCGACTCAAACGCAACCGTCAGCAAAGACAAGCCCATGCGCAACATGAGCTCGTTATTGCTCGTATTGCGATCTGGCGAGTTGAGCAGCGAGATCAGGAAGCGGAGCAACTCGCGAATGCATGGCACGCCATACGGAATTGAAGTCACCACAGGAGGTGCCTGTTGTTGAGCGGATGGGTCTGCTGCAGTGGGTGCGGAAATGATGCCAGAGCCAGACCGCGCGCCGAGACCGCTGCCATCCTCATCCCCGCTGGAAGGCGATACAACAGTGTTGCGACGGCCCAGGCTGTCGTCGTCCTCCAAACCACCAATCCCGGGCGTGGATGCAGCCTCTGTCGTCGACGCAATCAGGTTGTCTGTCGACACGAGCATGGGAGTGGCCGATGTCGATGCGTCGAGAGCAGTGTTGGTGGCGCCTCGGCGCATCTTCAGCTGCACTGGCCGTGTTCGCTTCCCGTCATCCAGCTCTGGTAGCCGCGAGAAGAGAATCTGGACCATTTCAATGAGGGTTTGTTCCGACGAGCGTCGCAAAAGCTCTGTCATCGTTGATTGACAAATTTGCGTCAAAGAGTTTGGTGGGGTGAGTCAAGATTTCGTTCAATCCCAACATTCAGCAAGACGCATGCCGTACCACTAAGTTTCTTTTGAAACGAAATGCGGAAGCAAGTCTGCATCATTTCACAAACAGTCTCGTCGTTCAGTTGGCGGCCGACTGGAGTGGTGAGGAGGGTGCGAAGAACCTGCGAGAAGGGGGTGCGGTGGATGCAATGTGAGCACAACGTTTCGCATTGGCACGAGCAAAAGACAGCCCTTCAGAGCGGATGACAGCAATGGATCCATTGGTCGGGGAAAAAAAAAACACAAAAAAAAACACTCACTTGGATGACTTTCATCAATACCACTTCGTCGCTAACAGAATCCGTGGCCGGAAAGCGCGAGTTTGTCACTGCGTTCGCGACACGCGATATTACTTCGCTTGCATTGACAGCATTTGGGTCTGGAAACAAGCAAACGACAAAAAGTGAGCGCGCTGCGGGCGTCTCTGGCTGCGGTTGCTTGTTGCATCGAAACTGCGAGACATACCGAGCACCCCATACGCCAGAAACTTGTGAATGGACGATAGTGCCACGCCAGTTATGGGACCGTTCGCGTCAGGCGAGCGAATCACCTCGAGAAAGGGATTGACGAGGTCGGACGGATCAACCAAAGATAGATCTGGAGTTGTTTTGCACGCACCCGGCGCACCGCAACGCATGGCAAAGTCAGTACACAAGCGCGATGACTCGATACCAAGCACGATCATTCCGGCGACAGCAAGGGCTGGGTCGAACTGACCGTGTACTGCTGACAAGAGTTCGCGGAGTTGCGCAAAGCCCATAAGAAGCGGATCTTGCTTGTCCTGTCGTTGGAAACAGCGATAGTGAGAACATGACAGTCAGAAACACAGCAGCACCAGCAGCAGGTCGTGCAGTGCGGGGGTCGAAAGACGACCAACTCAGCATCCACGTCGTCACTCTAAAGGAACCCCCAAAAAAAAAAAAAAAAACCTTCCATGTCGTCGTCGCCCAATGAGTGCTCACTACAAAGGAGTCAGCCACTCTCCCAGAATCCTAGGTATAGATTGCCGTGTCCAGCGACGACCGGCAGCCGCAAACCCAATGGCGTCTGTGCCAAGAGAGCAGCAAACGAAGCGAGAGGAAGCACCAGCCACTTCCTAGCCAAACCCCAGGTCCGGTTGTCGCATGAGACGTCCCCCCCCCAACCCGCGCCCCGTTCGTCATGCACGTAGTCCCTTATTAGGATGCCGAGCGACAAAGGGGGGACGAGGCGCACAGAGCGAGGCCAAAAGCGCAACACGACAATAAAAAAAAAAAAAAAAAGAGCCGAGATCTTGAAACGCCCATTGGATTCAGCCGCACGGTGAGCTGGGGGTGTGGAACAGACGAGGATGGACACAAAAGTAGCAATGGGATGAGAATGCATTGTGCACTGCGGGCTGTTACTTGGAGGCTGTAGGAGGACCAGCGCGCGTTCCTGCGCATGGCAGCAATCACCAGCGCAATCTCGCCATGAACGACATGCACTGCGTTCTTGGGGGGAGACATTCTAGTCTGCAACAAAAAGAAGAAATGGAAACTAAACTGACAAAATCAAAATCAGGATGGTTGAAAAGTTGGACGAAATCCTGAACGTAACAACTGTAAAATTTGGCTCAACCAAAAAAAAAAAATCAATCGGAAACATTGCGGGTTATTGCATCGCGTATTCCTCAGGAGCGGCAGCACTACTGCTGCTGCTGCTGTGGCTTTGCAACAATGGGTTTGGTGCAGCACCAGACCAGCTGACGGAAAGAATTTCGCGTTTGACGCCGTCGTCGTGGGCAAACACCACTTGGCATTGCAAGTCAGGGTGGTTGGTCTGAATCTCGTACATGAACTCGCGTGTGCCGCCGCCAACACCAAAGTAGTAGGTCTTGGAAGCGAGCAATCTGGCGAGACATGACCGCAGACGAAGGTGAGGGGGGGGTGAGGATCACTCAAAAAAACCAACAACAAAACAAACAACAAACAACAAACAACAACCAAAGCCGGACAAAGCTCGGCCCGAAAACTCACGCTAGTCCAGAAGGCTTTTTCATGCATGAACGGATCGCCGTGATGAGAGCGTTGTAGTTGGCCGGTGAGTAAATTGTCTCTGCAGACAGAATCACGTCAAAAGCAGCTCCTTGCAGGGCCCCCTGTTTCCAAATGGAAAATGGATCATGCCGAAACAAGCAGCAGCAAAGAATGTCAGCAACTGCACCGGCGTGTAAACTGCACTGCTGGCAGTAGCAAACGAGAATCGTCCCAAAAGGCAATCAACCGTTACCGGCAAGTAGCGCCAATCGCCGCTCGAAAACCTGTATCGCGAAGGATCCATTCCCTCGAGGTCGGCGTTGAGAAGCACATTTGGAATGGTGACGTGTTGAATAACTTCTGCATTCTGTCGAACGCAAGAGCAACGTTGAGTCAAAAAGGGAAGGAAAATGTTGACCTGCTGCAAGCGCAAAACTCACATAATCCTGGAACATGACCGAGGCTCCGCTTTTGAGAGCATAAATGCCGGGCAGAGCCGTCCCACAGCCGAGCTGTAGTAGCAAACATTGTGAAAACGATGAGCTCCGGTGGGGAAAATGACACGCAAAGAACTCCCACTACGGGCACCAACCTCTAAAACAAGATGATCGCGGAAAATGACTGGTGGGTGGAGGTGCAAATATGCCAGAAGATCGAGCGAAGCTTCCCAAACTTTCAAGCCACCTGCAATATGCGCAAAAGACCAAAGCAACAGTCAGCATCTGCATCCAGCAAAGGACAGCGGGATGGCAATGTCTTCGAACGAGCGAAGCGAGAGCGTGCCCACACTACACATCTCACTCGACAAATCGCTCGAATGCTAAAACCCGCCCCCCTCATACCTTCATAAACGGCGGGAACAACATCCATGTTCTCGTCAATAGCGCGGACGAGCGCCTGTTCCTCGCCCGCCTGCTTGAACTCCATCTCGATAGCAGTCGCTGTTTTAAACATGAGCTCTAGCGTTCCATCGCAGACTTGAATAGCAGCCCGCGAGCATTCTGCAGCTGTTGCGAGATCGAGCTACAACAATCAAGGAAACACACATCGATCCAGGTCAGACTCCCTTGAGCCACCCCCTCCCCGACTCCGATTCAGCTGCTATCGTCAACATTGTCATTCGTGCTGCCAAACCTGCGTCACGGCGTGCTCAATGTACGGTCGGCGCTCCAGCGCAGCGTCGCCCGGATCGGCACTGATTGTGACCGCGTCTGCAAACTGGGCGGCCCGACGTGCCGGCGAGCTGCCACTGGTGGCGTATTCGTCAAACAGACCTCCGCGATTCTCGCGAGAGTGCATCCCATGGTGTGGGCTGGCAAACTTGGGGGCGGCGTCAGGTTCGGACTGTGCAAAGCTTGGTGTTGCAATTGCCAGAGCCAGGGCCTGTGTGCGTGAGAGTTAAAGAAAGAGAGTGTGTGAGTATATGACCATACAGTGCAGTTGCATCGAAATGAGCGGATGGTGTGCAGCGCTGGAGGGGAAAGACCAGCGTGGATGATGCGCGGGACACGTGCGACTCCCGACGAAAGCTCCCCTCTCCTGTGCATGGGCAATCCCGACTGAACAGACTGGACGTACAACTCCGACATTCATGGACTGCATGAGCTCCAGCGCGCGCTCTGCCAACGCGTGCGGGACAGCAGACAGCTGAGCCTGATCCTCCGCGCTCAGTCGGCTGAACGCTTCGTTGCTTGTGAGCTGCACAGCTCCGACGGTGCCATTCTGCGCTTGCACGGCAGCTTGGAAAAAGTCGCCTGGCTGAGCATCCAGCTCTGTGTCGTCGCTGTTGTCGCTTTGATCCGTCGCTGCAAAGTTGAATCGGAACGACGCGGATGTCATTGGAGTGAAGTCTCAGAAACTGAAAAGGAGTGGAGATGTTTGAGCTTTTTTTGTATTGCAATTTGTAATGGTTTGGTGTCATGAATTTTGTGTGCTTAGTCTCGTTTTTTTTAGTTTTGATACAGTGCAGTGAGGATGATGACAAGCAGACTGAGCACGGTCGCACGCGTTCCAGTGTCGGCTTCGTTCGGTCTTGGCCACCACAGCCGCAGCCACGCCATCCGCGCGATTGCCACCACCACCACCGCAGCAGCAGCAGCAGCATCCAACAGTGCGCTGATGGCTGGTTTCAGCGTTGGTCGCATTGGTCAGCAGCAGCAGCAGCAGCATGAGCAACATGAGGACCGCCGCCACTTCACACGGCACTCGCCAGCGCCTGCTGGATCATCTCCCGCCAGCCATCCTAGTGTCAATATCCGCAATGCACACTCTGCATCGCGATGTGGTCATCTTGTTCCGAGCGTCGTCGTCCAAATGCGGCGGATGTCCACCAGGGCTCACTCCTCCTCCTCATCCGCCTCATCTGCACCAATGGCTTACACTGCCGTCGAGTCTGGCTCGCCTTACAGCGACAAGTACCGCGTCTTCATCAGTAAAGCAACCCTGACTTTTTTCATATATCAATGCACAAAGCGATTCGTCATCATCGTGATCATGATTTGAGACTTGTGATCAGGGAGAGAGACAGCGAGAGAGAGAGAGGGAGAGAGAGCGGTTTTTTGGTTTTGTGTGGTGGTCAAGTTTGATAGGTTGGCGATGATTTCGTGCTTTTTTTTTTTTTTTCCTTTCTTTCTTCTTTCTTTTCTGTTTGGGCTTTGAATCGCTTTCTCTCGCTCTCTCTCGCTCTGGCTGTCTCTCTCTTTGTGTGACTTGCTTCCCTTCATCTCTGGCATTGGGGGGTTCACCATTTGCTCTTCAAACCCCCTGCCCGCCCCTGCTGACCCGTTTTCCACGTGCCAACTTTTTTTCTTTTTCTTTTTTTTTTTTTTTTGCCCTCTCGTCTCTCTTCCTTTGTCTCTTTCCTTGTCTTGAAGCTCAGCCACTGGAATGCGACTCGGTTTGCGTCGCTTTGGCTTCTGCTTCACGTTGTGTTTGCTCGTCCACCTTTGTGTTTCGGCTCTCGTCAGTGTCAAGTTGACAAAGTGATCATGATTTTGATATTTTTTTTTTTTTTTTCGTTTCGCTTTGCATCACTCCCACTCTCTTCACCACTGCTTCCCGCCCGTGACCCTCATCATCACCATCTCCATCATCACCATCTCCATCATCATCTTTATACTGGCACTCTTTGATTCTCGCTTGGCTTTGTTTTTTTTTTCGGCTGAATTGCGACTTTGACAAGATCTCAATCTCTTTTGGCCACAGTTTGTTCATCATTGTGACTTTGACTAACCAACCAACCCCCCCACACACATCGCTTCCATCCTTGTTTTCTGTCTGTGAATTGCATTGTTTCGCCCCACGACAGAGAATGCTGAAGGCAAGGTCATCTCGCCCTTCCACGACATTCCCCTTTATGCCAACGCTGAGAAGACCATCCTCAACGTCATCATCGAGGTTCCCCGCTGGTCCAACGCCAAGATGGAGGTGCGAAGAAGCTCTGGTTTGTGTGTTGCACCATGCAACCAGCATGCAATGGCGAGGAGAGAGTCGCCACCAACATCGCTCAAAAAAACTCACTGAGACTCCGCTCGTAACCTCATGTTGTGTTAACAGATCGACACCAAATCGCCCCTCAACCCCATCAAGCAGGACGTCAAGAACGGCAAGCTCCGCTTTGTCAAGAACTGCTTCCCCCACCACGGCTACATCTGGAACTATGGTGCCTTCCCCCAGACCTGGGAAGACCCCCACCATGTCACCCCCGAGACTGGTGCCAAGGGCGACAACGACCCGCTGGACGTGTGCGAGATTGGCGAGGCTGTCGCCACCCGCGGCCAGGTCAAGCAGGTCAAGGTCCTCGGCATTATGGCTCTGCTCGATGAGGGCGAGACCGACTGGAAGATTCTTGCCATCGACGTGAACGACCCCCTGGCCGAGAAGCTCAACGACGTTGAGGATATTGAGAAGCACATGCCCAAATTCATTGAGGCCACCAACAACTGGTTCAAGATCTACAAGATCCCGGACGGCAAGCCCGCCAACCAGTTTGCCTTCGAAGGCAAGGCCAAAAACAGCGCATATGCCCACAAGATTATCGAGGAGACCCATGGTTTCTGGAACAAGCTCGTCAACAAGACTGCTGACGGCGGTGCTCTGTCGTGGTATGTTTGGAATGGGAGAAGAAGAATTGTGTTGTTGCATGGTGGTCAACTGCTTGCTTTGTTTGCCCTCTCACGCTCACTCTTTCCCCCCCCCCAACTTTGTGGTACTTGCATTACTCTTTCAGCGTTAACACTACCGTTGCCGGCTCCCCCTTCACCGTTTCTGAGGCTGAGGCTGAGAAGATTTTCGCTGCCCAGCCCGCAGCTGGCCCCGCCAACGCTCTCCCTGAGGGTGGTAAGTTTTTTGTTTATTTTCTGCGAGTCGCAGAGATGATGGATGATGCGATTGGGTTTTGGAACGCTTGCTCATTCATTGTTTTGTTTTTTTTGTTTTTGGTTTTTTGTCTCTGCAGTCGACAAGTGGTACTACCCCAACGCTTGAATTGTGGTATCCCGGTTGTGACGTTCATATTTGCCGTTCCTTTTTGTATTACGTTCATTCATTACATGCTTTCTTTTGCAGCGCGAGTTCGTGAAGCAACAATATTTTGTTTTTTTAGTTTTTTGGGGGTGTTTTTGGTCGTTTAAGCCCTCCTGGATGCCGGCCTATTGAAAGTTGGCAATATCGATTTTACTTCTCGGAATATTAACCCAAGCAACCATCATTCAATTCACTCTGATTTTCTGGTTCTGCTTTCCAAACTCAGGTTGACAGGTTTGCTTGTTGATTTTCGCTTGTTTTGTTTGATTGCTGCTTTTCTCTATTGCTTTCCATCCATTTTGCTTCTGGTCTTCGTGCGACGCCATGTCAATCCACACACACACACACACACACACGTCTCAGCCACCAAAGCATCGCACGGGTGTCTTGGTGTTGGTTGGTGTCAGAGTCAAAGTCTTTGTTGTGGATTTGGCTGCTTGTGAGCACAACAAATTACTCTCGTTTCGCTCGGTCCACTAACCGTCCCCCGCACGCAACTGTCATTGTCTTAAGAAGGCATCACTCTGCCAAAGATAACAAACATGCGCCAAATTTCCATCATCGATCTCAAAACGCGTATTACACATCATACATTCATTTCTGAAAGAACGAATTGAACAGGCAGGGAAGAGAGATTGGATTTTTTTTAAAAAGTACATGGTTGCGCTCCAGGGCATAGACACAGGGGTGGGGGGGGCAGAATGTCAACGTTTACTTTGTGGCCTTCTTCTTGACAACCTTCTTCTTGGCGGCCTTGATGACGGGCTTCTTTTGAATAACATTCACGCCCATGGCTTGAGTCAGAGCAGCGTTTGGGACGATTGGGAAGGTGGGCAAATAGCTTCCACCGAGTGCAACCCAGCCGATATACTTGGGGGCTGAAACACGACATTTGAAGGAACACCGAAAAGTTAGACACTGGCGAAAACAACAGGCGAGATGAAACAACAGCCAAACAGTCGTACTCTCTGATTGGTGGTTAAATTCTGGTGTCCGTGTTGCCTTGAGAACAGCGCGGATGTTTTCAAACAGGTGCTCTGCGGGTTGATTGGTCTGTGAACAATACCAACAAAAAAAAAAGAAAACACGAAAATCCATGTGAATTCAGCCGAATTCACGCGCTGTGCTGTCACGGGCACAACCATCACAGCAATCTTTTACCTTGCCAATCTTGACATTGATAAATCCCTTGCGATCTGATCGCATGTCGAGCGCGGTGCCCATGGATTGAACAAGCGTTCCAAGCGCCTCGCCGTCCGCAACGGTGCCTGTTGTTGGAGACATGTCGTTGAGGGAAAGCATGACAGTCAACGACCAGAAAACCGTTCCATGAAAAGTGTGGACGGCGTCGAGCGCCGATACGCCAACCTCTGCAGTCAAACAATCAAAACAGTTCGCCAGACTTGCCTTTTTTCACAGTTGGCGTCGCTTGGCGCAAGTACTTGGCCACGGCCTTGACCTCCGCCAGCATGTCAGTTGTAGCAAGAACTTTGTCGTACTTGAGCTTGCCGGCTGTGATCTGGCGCGGGTCCAAGAGCGGGGAAAGTTAGTTTCTGCGATCGAAGGCAAAACCGCCCACACAAGCCATTGAAGGGGGCCCCCAGAGTCAACCGCGTACTTACATCTGCAAAAAGCTCGGGTCCACCAACAACCGTAGCACCAGCGGCCTTTGCAATCGCCGCATCATCACCCTAAGTACCACCAATTTGTCGAAACACAAAAGTGAGAGACTGCCACGATTTTTTCACTTCTCATCCTACCCTCCTCGAACATCACACAACCACGAGCAGCGATACGTACTCGAGCAAAGACGAGAATGATTTCACGCTTCTTCTGGACGTACGGGAGCGCAACCATTGCATGGACGGGATGGCCCATGCGGCCTTTGGCGTCGCGCATCTCAATGCCGAGCGTCATTGCCACGGTCGCTGGCTGTGGGCGCACTGCAAACGCTTTGATGGCCTGTGTCAGGTCAGGGACAGTGAGCAGTTATTGGACACGGGAAAAAGTTCGATGCGATGCAAAAAAGACAAGAAGGATCCAAAAAAATTGTATGGAAGCACATTGCGCGCTGCTGGATTGGGAGTTGAGCCTGCTGTTGCTGCTTGCGTCCAACCCAGAGCAAGCACGAGCAGGACAGCTTAAGACTCTGGATCTTACCTGGATGGCCTCGGTGACGGATCCGAGCGGGCGCTGGGCGAACGAGAGCGGCTGGAGCACCTCAAAGCGGATGCCCTTCTTGTTGCGCTCGGCCTGGGCGCCCTCCGCCGACGCAGATGAGCTGCTGCTGCTGGTGGTGGTGGTGGTGCTAGTGTTGGTGGTGGTGTCGGCGGTGGTGTCGGAGCCAGCAGCAGCAGGAGCAGAGACAGCGACGGTCGAGAGCGATCGCCATGCTGCTGCGCCAGCTGCCGAGCGTCCTCCTACCCTCACAGAACTCAATGTCGCGCTCAGCATGAATGAAATGAAATCAAAGAGCAACAGACAAAAAAAAAATACGACTAAACCACCCACCGAGCATCATTACCAAACATCAGCTAGTGATCAGACTTCTTTGTTTGTCGCAGTCTCAGTTTTTCTTAGTGATGGCCAATCAAATGTATCTGGCTGCAGCTCCAGTGGCCGCGGTGCCAGGCGTCGGTCCCATCACGCACGTCATCTTCGACATGGACGGTCTTTTGCTGAGTATGTCTCAAGCAACGTTGTGTGTCAAGCGGAGTGAAAGGAGGTTCGCCACGTCCGCCAACATAAAAAAAAAACCGCCAAACAAAAAAACCACTCGCGTGCGCCCCGCTTCAAACCTCCATGTGTATTCTGTGTGTGTCATCAGGCTTGCTCACTCTGTGGCTTGTGAACAATCAGACACCGAGTCCATGTACTCGATCGCCTCGGAGACCATTCTGGCGCGCTATGGCAAAAAGTTCACATACGAGCTCAAGGCGCAAATGATGGGCCGCCGAGCCATCGAGGCCAGCCAGATCCTCGTGGACGCCATGCAAATCCCGATGACTGCCGAGGAGTACCATGTGGAGCGCGAAGCGCAGCTCGAAAAGCTCTTCCCGCAGGCGCAGCTGCTCCCGGGCGTCGAGCGCCTCGTGCGTCACCTGCACGCACATGGAATCCCGATGGCGGTCGCGACCGGCTCGTCGGCCCGCATTTTCAAGATCAAGACCTCGCAACACACCGAGCTCTTCTCGCTCTTCCACCACATTGTGACAAGTGACGATCCCGAGTGCAAGCACTCCAAGCCACAGCCAGACATTTTCCTGCTAGCCATGAAGCGATTCGCTCCGGCACCGACCAGCTCTGTACGTTTCATCGCCAGTTGAGTTGTCCTTCTTGGCGCCATATCGTGGCAAGAATGTTTTGGGGGTGGAAGGGTGGGGAAGAGCTGCTGAGCGATGTGTTTTTGGTTGAGTTCCAATAATTGCATGTTGGCACTTGTTTGTGATGAATTCCTCTCACCTTTGTCGTCCAAATTGAACCCTCTGGAACAGACGCAAGTGCTCGTCTTTGAGGACGCTCCGTTGGGTGTGCAGGCTGCCATCAATGCCAACATGCCGGTTGTGATGATTCCAGATCTGCGAGTCGCCCCCGCTGACCGTGCTCGCGCCACACTATCGTTCGATTCTATGGCAGACTTTGACCCTGGCATGGTTGCTGGCCTTCCTGCTTATTCATCGGCTGCAGGCGCTGGGTTGTAATGCAAGCCGTGTTAAAAACAAAAAATGTAACTTCACAATGTACTTGAATTTGAAACATGATCACCGTTCAGTTTGGCTATTGTGCCCCTGCGTGCGCAGACAGCAGCTCAAGCGACGATAACACGCGGCGAGACAGGAAGAAAGAGAGAGAGAACGAAAGAGCCAGATAAAGAAAAAAGAAGGAAAAAAGTGGGAAAACATGAAGCGAACAGCAGCTACAAGTGCGATCGGCGCTGAGCTATTTATGTGACTGACGTGTCTTTGGAGAAGAATGATGGTGAACGCCACACATCTCGCTGAGGTTCTCGAGGAGCACAAATTGCAGCGGCGAGGCAGGGTCCGATTGATTCTGGCGAACGACGCGGACTCTGACCGGCTTGGTGTGCAGGCTGCTGATGGGAGGGTAGCTCATGCTGTTTGTCAGCACATACACACCTGGAACAAACAATCACGCAAGTCCAAGCGGGAGGCATGAAAGTTTGAGCTATGAGAGTATGCATTTAGAAGGCATCACTTCATTTCGCAATCCCTACCGTAGCCTTCTCCAATGGCAAGACTGTCGCTGATGGGTACTTTCAATGTCATCCATCGAACCAAGGGATCGCACGTCTTGCCTTCTGGAAGGGCCACAATCACGCCAATGCGGACAGATGATCGGATCGCTGGTTTGCCTCGAGTTCGCGTTGATGAGGCGGCCACTGCCACAACGTCGCCTAATGTTGAATGATTAAAAGGGGGTGTGGTTAGTTGAAGGACATGAGACTGGTATCGAGGTGAATGCAGGCGTACCCAAAAGAAGCTGCCTGCCGCCAAAGTTGTGATCGACGCGAGAGCGCTTGGCTTTGCGATGCGTGACTGTAGTGAAGCCGTCGTTCTCGTTCTCTGCCGCCGCGACCTCTGATGGCGAATTGGATTCGGAGGCAGGCTCATCGCTTCGCTGACGCTGAACGCGAACTCCATCAGGGCGGAGCGCCAAGTCACTTGAAGCTTTGGGCACCTCGCTCTGTTCGGTAGAGGCAGCTGGGGCCGCCAGCGCAGCAGCATCCGGTGCAGACAAATCTGCTGTTCGGGATTCTGGCACGCCTGCCGGAGGAGTCTCACAAACGAAGGCTGCAGGCCGGGCGAATTCGGCAACCTCCTTCACGGTGGCTGCTGTTGCCGGTGCCATCGCAGAAGGCGTGTCGTTGTTGGCAGGTAATTCGGGCGCATTAGCAGCAGGGTTTGGCATGGCTTCTGCTGATGGCGTTGGTTTCTGCTGTGCCTTCACAAACGCATTGTAGTAGGCATCAACATGGCTCGACGCCTCCTCCGAAATGACACGCTCGAGCTCGGTCAGAGGTCGAATGTTCTTCACAGTCACCCTGCAGCGCACTCGAAGGCAGTTTCGAGTCAGGAAGTTGCTGAACGGGGCGTGAAGCTCTGCCAGGCTCTGTCGAAACAAAAGGCTCAAACATGAATAATGATTTCGCTTGCGTTTTTCTCCACATCAAGCCCAAACGCCCAACACCTACCAGGCTCAGCTCGGGTGGAGAGACCTGCACGCCAGTGATTTCCCCTCCAGCAGGCGAGCGAACGAATCGCGTTTCGGACTGACCGTCTGAAGGAAGAAAAGTTATGAGCATTCAGTCCCATTTCGGAACCTAGAAACGCACAGCAGACCTACAGCGCCACAGGCTCATGTCCTCGTTGTGGTGATCTATCAGCGTCATGCGCCATTCGTACTGCACCGCGCAGTTGACCATTTCGCTCGTTGGAGTGCGTAGAGAAACGCTGTCAATCAGGCAGAGTAGTTTGGTACAAGATCGATCGCAAATCGAAGGTGTGATCCAATTCCAACTCCACCAGCTCACCTAAAGTTGTTGCGCCACATGTACTTTAGGTCGTCGTGGTAGTTGTACGACCCGCAAGGAGTGGCCTACAAAATCAAGCAGTCAACGCAGGACAGGTTGAACAACAGCTAACTGTTGCTGAAAAATTCAAAGGAAATCAACTTACAAGTAGCGCCCTGGCATAGCAACATCCATACACGACAGTAGGATCAGCATCATGTCAAAGTTTGCGGGGGGGGGGGAAAGACAACAGAGTGAACCACCAATCTCAACCCCAAAACGGCACATAAGCCAATTCTACTTACCAGCTCACTCGAGACGCACACTTGTGGGCAGCCGATGATACGAGTGAACTCTGTGGGAAGAGACGAAAGCTGTGGTGTTGCAGCGGCGGAAGTGAGTCTCCAGTCAGTCGAGTCACTGAAAACTCAAACGGGTGATTTTGCGCGGGAATTAATGTCGTCCCCAAAAGCCGCCTCAGCCTACAAGCGAGGGGTTTGGTCCGATCTGCCTCCCCGTCACGCCCGTAATAGATGTATGTACTTTCTATCGAAATAATGTGGGATTCAGGAAGACGAGGCATGCGACTCGGAGCAGAGCGCACAAAACATCAAAACATGACACACGTTTTGTCGGCGTTGTCCCTTTTATGGAAAACGTTGTTGTTTCGGCACTCCAACGCCGAACGAAAGACCGAGCGAGCGTACAGAGCCAGCAAAGCAGGCGACTTGTGACACTTAACTCTTTCAGCGTCCAACAGAACGAGAATGACGAGAAGACAGGCGGCATCGGCGACTCAAAGACGCGAGCGCAGGCGTTGAAAGTGGCGTGGGCGGCCTCGCTGCCTGCCGATCCGCGCTGTGCTTCGTTCAAGCCTCGCGGTGCCGTGGCAATCGTGCTTGCAGTGAGTTTTGCAAACGGGTGCGTCGATTCCGGAGGAACTTGGTGCTCATCGTCCCAGCGGAACCGCTGAATGCTGGTGTCGGCCAGCAAGTCCAGCGCCGAAGTGCTCATTTTTGGTTGAGGTCAAAAAAAAAAAAAACGAAAAGTGAAAAGCAAGTTCACAATACAGACTGAAAAATCGAAAACGGAAGCTGAAATGGGAAGGAAAGGACGCGATCTGAGAACATTGCATTCAAGCAAAATTTGTGTTGATCTGATCTCGTGCATTTGGTTGCTTTGATGAGTTGCTTTTGCATCCCAATCCTCGCTTTCGATGTCAGTGTGTTCCATGCGTAATCACACACAAGCATACTTGCCAGTCAATAAATCACTCTTTTGCTCTCGCTCAGAAAATGGCGACGAAGAGCAATGCATTGCCGTTGGCCGCCTCGCTCGGCATCCGCGATGTCGGCACTCCGCGCGGCGAGCACGTGCAGCACACTGCCATCGCGTACACTTGCACATGCGGTGCTCGCTTCCAGCTGCCGTGGCTGCACATGTGCTCCTCGTGCGTGGTCCTGCGCTGCCCGAAATGCGTTGCGCGCGAGATTGACACTTACTATTGCAGCGGCTGCCTCGACATTGCGCCCTCGCCCGAGGTCCAGACCAACAAGAACCGGTGCGTTTTCGTCTTCAATGCGTTCTCTCCAATGTTGGTCTGAGCATGTGTGTGTGTGTGGTGATTGGTCGTTGGCTGATCCAAAGCCAGCCAAAGCGGAGATCTCACCCTTCGTTTCCCTCTTTGCTGTTTTCCCCCCACTGTTCCCTCATCTGTTTCTGATTGTTTGCTCAACACGAATCCAGATGCACAAAGTGCTTTGTCTGCCCCGTCTGCACGTCCACGCTGACTACCATCGCAAGCGCAGATCGCCAGTTCTTTATGGCCTGCGGATACTGCCAGTGGAATTCGGTCGAGCTTGGGCTGATTGCCGACAAGATTGAAGGGATTCGCCGGAGCCAGCTCGACCAAGACCAGGTGGATCGCTTTGCCGCATTGTCGGCCCAGTTCCAAACATTGGCCACCAAGGACCGGGCGGAACTCGAGCGCGCGGAAAAGCACAATCGCTACCGAAAGCATCTGCTGCCACTCACCACCCGCGCCCTGGTCGGCGGTGCCTCCCCCATGAAGGGAATTGGCTCTCCGTTCACGTCGTCAACGGCCTTGTTTGGGTCTGGATTGGGTCTCGGCTCACTGTCCATCGATGCAGTGGAATTGCTAGCGCCCGCACAGCGCAACGCGCTCTCGCGTCCAGCCAATCTCTCGCTTGCAGCATTGCTCAAAGACACCACGCTCGATCCCGCACAATACTGGTTTTCTGGCGAGAATGGCCAAGGGAGCGTTGCTGATGGTGAGCCGCTGATGGAACTCGAAAAATTTCCAATGTTTTGTTTGTTTGTTTGTTTGTTTGTTTGTTTGCTGCTGATGCCTTCGTTGTCGCGCGAAACTCATTTTGTCTCTTCTCTTCTTTCCATGTTCTGCTCTGCTCGATGCGACCCCTGTGCTGCAGTTACGACACTGAAGCAACGCTACACCAAGCCGGATGTCCAGCCAGAACTCTTGTCCGCGTTGTATCCCGACCGCCGCCAGCTTTCCGTCAAAACCCGGAAACTTTGCCCGCAGTGCAACAGTCAAATCGTCAAGCCGGATATTTCCACATCGGCATCAAAGTTTAAAATCGATATCATGGCAATGTAGGTGGACTTCTTTGAAGACTCTTTTTGCTTGTGGCTCATGAAACTCACTGTGCGTTTTGGCATGATCTGCAGCTCTTACCTGCCACGACTGTCAATTGTGAGTATTACGCCGGCACTACGGCGGCCAGGTTTCGTCGACCCACAAGCAGAGCCTGCCGCAGACGGCAGCGCCCCAGCTCCTGTCGATGGCAAATCGTCCCTTGTTTTGCGCATCACCAATCCGCTAGATCACGATGTAACGGTCACCTTGACGCTGGACGAGCTGGTGCCAGCGAGCTCGCTGGGAATCGAATTGCCTTCTCGCCCGTTGGTTCTGGGTGCGTTCCACGAAGTTCCGCTCGATGATGACGATCCCGACAAGCCCCGCTATAACGACGATCCTGACATTGTTGTCGCTCGCAAGGACAACTCGTTGTGCGTCCTTGTTCGATTGACCATGCCGTCCGGGGTTGATCTTTCCGAGGCAATTGTAAGTTCAAAGTTCTTGTCAAAGTTTTGTAAAGATAAGGATGCATGTTGCTGACTTGCTTGTTGCTTTTGTTGTCAACCCCCTTCTCGTACTCTTGCGTGATTTTATCGTTGTCTATTCCAGCTCCCTCTTGTGGTTTCGCTTCAGTTCACCCCTCCGCTCATCCCTGCGGGCTCCGCAACAAGCAATGCAATCGCCTTCCCAGTCTCTATCTATCTTGGTCCCGAACTTTTCTAACAATCGTCTTGTGAAGATCATCCGCTGGCTGTAAAGAATGCATTCAGAGGCCATGTAAAGTTGACATACAGTTATCTCCAAAAAAAATTGAACTTTTAACAAGAAATCGTTTTTGTTTTTTCTTCCAAGACACAGAGTACACCAGACGAGACAACACCGAGATATAAGCAGGAATAGAGTGAGATAAAGAGTGTGCATGGAACTCTTAGATGGAAACGGGCTTCAAATTTCGCGAAGCATCCTTCAATGTGTTGACCAAATCTTGCAACTCTTCCAACGACGCGGAAAACTGCACGTCTGGTCCTTTGCCGCCGTTCTGCTCGGTCTTGAGACGGATCAAGTACACGGGTTGGTTGACCTTCTCGAGTTGATTGTCCTGTTTCGCCGAAGCGCAAAAAATGCATCGTTCATTTGTTAGCGCACGGGAACAAATTCGCGCAGGTTCTGTTGAGAGACGTCTACCTTCATGTAATAGTCCAGACGCCAATCTGCATCGACGACGTGGGGAAAGCCAAACCCGGTGCTGCTCAGCACTGTCCGCAGCTCGACAATCTCTGCCGCGTACACTGCAGCAATCGGCCCAGCGCGATCTTCCGATACTTTGGCATCCTCCAATGCGGCTCTACAGAGCAATCGAGGCAAAAAAAAAAGATTGAATGAGTGAGTGAGAATGAGTGAGAATGAGTGCTTGCTTCAATAATGTGATCAGTTGACTCGACGATTCCCTCAGCCCAAATAAAAGGTCGCGATTCACACACCACCACCCACACGAGTCATCCAACGCAATGCGCTTCTATCAACAAAGCCAGTGTGGACATACTTGACGTCGGCCTCGGTCTTGTTGTGCTTGGCGGCTTCGAGGAGCAGACTCACGAGTGCAGCGTACGCTTGTTTGAGCGTTGCTCGGTCGACGCCCTTGAGCGCCGCTTCGCCTGTCGTTCACCAGAAGTTCAGTTGAGGGTTGTGTGCTTGATGAATGATGAATGGTGATGATGAGGCGCGATGTGCACGACTGGGAAGAGAGACGCCCGAGATCTCTGTCAATCTCTCTCCCTTCAACTCCCAATCCGTCCGCCGTCGCTGTGTGTACGCACCATCGACTGCCTCGGCCTCGGTCGTGACTTTGAGCAGGACGGAAACAGCAGCCTTCGTTAGCGCAACGCCTGCTGCTGGTGTTGCAAAGTGCGCCTTGTTGCCGAGCAGACCAAGTCCTCCAGTGACCGACGCGGGAAGCTCCATTCAAAATTGCAGGAAGAGTGATTTTTTTTTTGTTCTTGCTTTGCATTTGCCAGCATCATTCGATCGCCCCACTCCCAAAAACTTTGTATCCCTATCAAGTTCTTCTGAATATGTCTAGTATCAGACACAATGCCTCAAACACTCGATTTGATTTTCGGGGGAGCTGGGCAGCCAAAACCAATTGCTCGCGCTCTTTTCCTTTCCCAGCAGCTCCAATACCCAACCTGTGGGACGAGGCTTTGCAAAAATAGGTTGACGATAATCTGTTTACCAATATGGCGCCCAAGTATAGACGAAAATCCGGACTTTCATTTTACACCTGGAGCTGAGGGTCGACTGCCAAAAAGGTGTCGAGCAACCTGATTTTGGTCCGTTTTCAAAGATCATGGAGAGCTCTCGAAAACTCTCAAGAAGCTGCCTCTACGAAGCTCATTCTTGTTCCACCACGACATCAGTACAATAGTGTTTATTATTCGCAGGTAAAATTTCCGAAAAAAGGCAGGGGGTTGGCGTGGTCGACGTTTCAAAAACCTCGCTTCTCGTCTTCCTGCCGATACTCACGATTCCGTCCAATCCGGCGAGACCGTACAATAGAAAACAACTTTGAATAATATTTACCACTAGCTATTCAGGTGCAAGGACAGGGCAGGGTGTTTTCTTTTGCACTGTGCCATCGCAAACAAGATACTTTTTTTTTGTTCCCAACTGACGTCTCGATTTTATTTTTTTTGATTTCGGTCATGTCAGCCTTTTCCGATCCCCGTGGGGTCTATTCTCCCTCAAATTCACGTTTTTCTTCATCAAACCGATATGTATTTGGAATAGCTACAGTAACCACACCGTCAAAACAACAAAAACAAAAGCTTATTGGATCTCCCCACGAGATCGACAAGTCAGCGTTGGATCTACCAGCGATCCCAATACCCTGGATGGTGGGGGTCGCGCGGGTGAGAAGACTGATCAACCATCCAGCTCGGCTTGCTCGGCCGTTTTTCCGACCGGGCGTCGAGGCTGAGTTGGTCGACGGGCAGCATCAACCGGTACTCTCGGTTTTGCGCATCCACACACGCCAGAACATGCTTGTGATAGGAAGAAACGTGCACCGACGTGCCACAGAAGCCGCAAAACGTCTCATTGTGTTCACATTCCTGGAGATGCGCAGACACTGCGGGACTGCGCTTGGAAGTGTGAAACGTGCAACCCAGGTAGGCGAGCGGGCACTTGGCAGCTGGAATGTCACTTGACTGTTTGTCATGCTCATCCATGTGCTGGCGACGCTCGAGCAGCGACACAACATCGTCGCAGAACCGGCATATGGTCAAGCCATACCTGCATGCGGGAACCTTGGACAATGTGCGAGCTTCCTTTTTGCGCTCAGCCTCAAATGCCTTGAAGGTTCCGGGATTCACGCTCATGTGCATTGCAATTTCTTCGGGAGTTCCGGTGAAGCGACATCCAGAGTGTTGGCGTGGACAGGTGCGGTGTTTGAGGCAAACCTCGGCGTGGTCTTGCGCCATGCATTCGCGAACGATTTCGTCGCATCCATGCGGACAGCGAATTCGATTGCAGCTGTGACGCTCTTCGTCGCAGGGGAAGGACAGCAAAGGACGGGCCAAACGCTTGCGGTCGAAAAGGGCAGGACTCGGCCTGTAGAGCACCTTGACGCCCAAGTCCGAGAGGCGCGTCATTGCCTGGTCGTTTCCAGTAATAGTTCGGATGCCATACATGGCGAGCCGCTGCAGTGAAGCCCCACAACGACAACGTGAAAGTGAGTGGTCGGCACAAAGAAAACGCACCACTCCACCCCAACAAAGCAACATTTTGATTCAAAAGTGCGGCGACGGCGGGTCCTACATCGAGCGAAATGCCATTCTTTATCATCGAGCCAATCATGTCCTCTGTGACGTGAGTGCAGCCGCTAATGTCGAGATCGCGAAGATCCTTGCACCAAGTGAAGAGCGATTGCAGTCCAGCATCGCCAATGTTGCGGCAAAACGGAATCCACACGGTTTCCAGCTTCGGACAACTAAGGACGTCCGCGAAACACATCGAGTGAGCGTGTTAGAACATTGCGAAAGAAGCAAAGAAGACGCGGGCGCTAGAGAGAGATAGATAGAGACGACGGCATACCTCGAGGCGAGAGTGGTCAGACCCACATCTGTCATCTGCAAAAAGCTCTCGAGCTTGAGTTCGCGCAGCTTCGGACAGCGTGTCGCAATGGCAGTCAGAGTCGCATCACTCAGTCTGGAGGCGCGGCCTTGGTTGAGCGAAAGGGATTGCAGATTCGGAAGCAGCGCAAGCCAGTCGTCCACCATTTTATCGGTCAACCCGTCAGCCTCTCGAATCACAAGGTTGACGAGGTTGGGGCAGCTTGCGAAAAGCTGCGCAGCAACAGCAACCCACCGCAGTCATGAGCATAGAAACCTCCCGCCCACAAAGCAAAGTAAACAAACACGAGGAAAATCCAAAAACTCACAGGGATGTAAGTGTACTTTTGGGTGAAGTTGTATCGAACCGGGTTGTGGAGCTCGAGAGTGTGCAGGTTTTCGAGACCTGCGAGTGGCTGAGTGACATACACACTGCAGTGGTGCATGCGGAGAGCGGAGAGTCGCACGCTCGAGATGAGACGGTTGAGCTGCTCCGGTCTCTCGTCGAGTTGCATGCTCGCCACACGGACATCCGTGAGGTACGGCGTGTCTTCCCAAGACCAATCGTTGGAGACGACAAACTGGGATTCCACCCAGAGCTTCTTGAGGTTTGGAGGCAGCCTGAACTCTGGCGTGAGATGAATGGCCTTGATCACCAATTCCTCCAGATTGGTGAGGTTGTCCATCCGAGTCATCATGTTGTGCGCTGACACGAGCAAACTTGGCGCAGTCAGCGTTTCCAATGACTGTCCATGGTCCATCAGATAGCCTCGACCCGTCTGTGTGATTTCATCGCAATCTGTGCACACAACGAAAGCCAGAAATGTGATGAGTGGTGATGACGGCAGTCGAGAGAATGAATGAATGCGGAATGCTTTTCAGGTCAGCACATCCCCCAGGCATTAACTCACTGGTCAAGTTCAGCTGCCTGGGCTGCAGCCGCGTCAGGATGAAGCGCAGCGTCTTGTCATCGATGCCACGGTGCTCATGGGTGAGATCGATGCTGGCCGACAGATAATCGATAGCGACCTACCAACAGCAGTGAGACGAAATTGTTGAGCTGAATTTGCTTACGCCAGCGCTATGTCCCTCACCCCCCCTCCGCTTTGCTTCCGTGCACTGCATGTGTTGGCCAGCTCATTACTACGCACCTCAAACCAAAAGCGACACACACGGCTCGCAGACAGCACGTCTCGGAACGGAAGCCGCTCAAAGATTTCCATCACAATTTCAGCTGGGAGCAACTCCATTTCTCAAAATAACAGCAGATTGAAATAAAGACTAAATCCAAGCAAGCCACACACATAACGACTGACTATTGGAGATTTGGTTGATGTAGATCTACTAACATTGAAAGTACAAGGTTGCTCACAACAGCAACAAAAGCAGAACAAAACAAAAAACCAACATCTACAATTCCGCAGCTGTTTGTCCTCTTTGAACGTTAGTATCAACAACGAGGATGGCAACAAACCAGTCTTGCACGTCTCATTAGCACAGGCGAACGCGCTGGCTCTTGGCGCTCAAGAAGACTTGCTCGAGTCAGCGGGAAAGAGTGACTTTAGCAGCGCTTTCTTGTTCACCTTGCCCATCGCGTTGCGCGGAATCTGATCAAGCACCAAGTACTCTTTCGGTTGCCGGTAGCTGGCCACACGATCGCGCATCCATGCCTGCAGCTCGGGCGGTTCGATGCGCAGTCCGGCTTTCGGAGCCACCAACGCGACAATGCGCTGGCCGTACGTCTCGTCTGGCGCGCCAAGCACCGCCACTTCGCCAACCGAGGGATGGAGCAGGAGCTCTTCTTCAATCTGCAGTGCAGACACCTTGTAGCCGCCAGTCTTGATAATGTCCACAGAGATCCGGCCTACGATGGAAAAGTACCCTTCCTTGACGGCTGGAATCGACGAATCGACGCAAAAGTCAAAAGCGAGTCAGTCCATGCACAGTTGTTCGAGATGGGTCGTTGCCGGGGAGTTGCCCTTACCAACATTATCACCAGTGCGGAACCACCCGTCCTCGGTGAACGCCGCCATCGTTGCTTCAGCGTTGTTCCAGTATGCACGGAAGACACTCGGTCCTTTCACAAGAAGCTCTCCGTCTTTGCCTTCTTCGGCAGGCTCAGCGTTGCCACCTTCCTGGGATGCGATCGAAACCTGCACCGTTGGCAATGGCTGACCCACAGTGCCCTGTATCATGACGTGAAAACATACAGACAAAAAAAAACCACCCAAAGCCATGAGCACACCCAAAACAAATTCCAGCAACACTGCTGGACACTTGGAGTTGCAACGTACAGAGCGGCGCTGTCCGGTCAATGGATTTGACAAAGCCATGCCAATTTCAGTCATGCCATAGCGCTCAAGCAGGGTATGGCCGGTCAGAGCGCGCCATTGGTCGAGCACCGGGACTGGAAGGGCTGCAGAGCCGCTCACCATGAGACGCAGAGCACCACACCGCTTGCGAATCAGATTGGGATCAATATTGTGGCGGTGGGCGTACTCGATCAGCTTGGTGTAGATGGTGGGCACAGCCATGAGGACGGAGAGCGGGGTTGTCGATCCGTCGGACGTGGGTTCACGCAACAAGGCGTCCCAGACTTTGGCAGGTTCGAATCGCGGAGTGCCAAACTCGCAGGTGGCGCCGTTCCACATGGACGTCAACAGCACATTGGTGATGCCATGGACGTGATGCAGCGGGAGCAGATGCAAAACCCGGTCCGCTGGCGTCCAGCCCCAAGAGTCGGACAGAATGCACATTTGGGTTGTGAGATTGCCGTGGGTGAGCACGACGCCCTTGGGTTTGCCAGTCGTGCCACTCGTGTACACAATCATGGCAGGTTGGTCGCGGATGGCCGAGGAGGAGAGGAAGGAAAAGAGCTCGGACTGGTGCGGGGGAGCCAACGCCGGGTCGACATCTGCAGGAGAGACAGATGCAGATGCCGATGCTTGGGACGCTTGATCTGTCGGCTTTGTCGCGGCCAAGGCAGCAGCAACGGCCATCTCGTGTTGGGCCGCGCCGAGAGCAATTGCACTGGAGGTCGGGAGGGTGACAACGGGCAAATTTCGTTGCTCGGCCAGAAGTTTGATATGGCCCTCGAGCTCTTCATGGGCAATAATGGCACACACGCCAGAGTCCGAAATGACATGCTCGAGCTCGGCGATTGGGTGGTCGGGTTGGAGTGGCACAGAGCAGCCGCCGAGTCGCCAGATTGCCAGCTGGGCGATCGGGTAGGTGACGTCGCGCGGCGCAATGAACGCCACGCGCTTGCCATCGAGGACATGCCCCGCGCGTCCAGAGTACGCAGGGGTGCCTTCGGCATGGACGGTGAGCGCGAGCGCAACGCTGCCCGCCAGAGCGGCAGATTGTCGGGTGAGCTCGCTGTAGGTGAAGGTGCCGTTTGCATCCACAATGGCCGGACGGCGGCCAAACTTGGCGGCCCGGAGGACCAGCGGGGCGACATCCAGCTGCGGGTCAAAGAAGATGGGACCGCCGGGCTCGACCTCGTGCGGCTGCGGGTGGTGGAACTGAGCGTGATGACGAGGAGCAGCCGCGGTTTCAGCAGCAGCCATCTCAGACGCCAGCGGCACTGCGGCCATCGATCCTGCACCGGCCAATGAAGCCGTGCTGTTTGGATTTGCAGTCAGCGGAGAGGAGAAGGACGCGACTGCGGGGCGCTGGTGGAAGGCTCGTCGTGCAAAGGGCGACGGCCAGACGGGAGCGGCAGAACGAGGATGGTCGGCGGTGGTCGGGTGCTGGTTTGTGGCCGACGACGACGACGACGACGAGGACGAGGACGACGAGGACGATGATGGGGATACCAGAGCAGCGGTTGCCGGGCCCATGCGCAGTTGAGGGGCTTCCGGAGCAGCTGGCGTGCGATAGCCTCGGCTGGGCGTTGATCTTGCCGGCGACGGCCGCACATTGCCGCCAACAAGCACACTCAGACGACTGCTGCTGCGACTGCTGGTAAAGCATGTTGATGGCGTCGATGCCGCGGCGGAAGGTCCATGATGCACGGCGATCGAGTAGGAGGAGCGCGGCGCAGGGGCGTGTTGTCCCCGTGCAACAGCGGGAGTTGAACAAGAAGAAGAAGAAGCAACAACGCTCAGCCGTTGCGCCGCGAGCGATGCGCGCTGTGCTGCTGCTACTGCTACTGCTGCTGCTGCTGCTGCTCCGTGGCGTGATGCAAACATGGTTGGCTTGGTTTCAAAGTGTTGATGGTTGGAATTTCTTTTTGGGATGCACCGAAAAAAAAAAAAAAGCGAACAAAGCGAACAAAGCGAAAACGGATTGAAACGAAAAAAAAAAAAAAAGACAAAAAAAAAAAAAAAAGACTGCCCAAAAAGATGAACAGAAAAAACGACACTCTCATCAAATCATCATGCAATAGCGATGTGAGGGGATGGGTTTTTGTAGTTGATTTAGTATCGATAGACAGTTTTAATGGCAAACAAAACATATTCGTCGCACACTCCGAAAACAATCGAACAAAAACGAGTTGCGTCGTTGAAAAAAGCCGTGAAAACCAAAAACGCAACGTCAAGCAAATTTTCACAAGCAGGTATTAATTTTTTCTCGTCCTTCCCAACAAGTCCGAATGCATGCTCGAAAGTTGAGCAAACGAAGAACGACGACGGAATTGGGGAAGAAGAGAAGGAAGAGTTCCCAGCAGGGCAGGGCAGGGGCAGGGCAGGAGAGCGGAAGGCGTTGTTTGTGTGCGCATTGCCTGATGTTCGCAGACAATCCGCGGCAAAAGGCGCAGGCGTGTCATCATGCGAAATAAAAATACCCAAAACACCTGACAGATAAACAATCAACCAGCAATCCAATCGAAATTCGACGCCGATCGTATTTTCACGGCTTGGCGGCAAGGAATTCGCGCTTTCCGAACAATTCTCCCGTGTGTTTCTCTCTCTCTCTCTCCTCTGCCAACGCCAGGAATGAAGAGCACGATGCAGCGCAAGTGCAATCATAGTCGACATTATCAGCGAACAAGGATCCTTTGAGATTGCCAAACCGAGCAGAAACAGCGTTGCAGATTTTGGTGTGGCCCAAAAGCCGATGCCCGATCTGCCATCGGGCCGAAACAACTTCCCCCAGTGCAGAGGCAGCACTCGGTTGAGCTCAACCCTGTCTTGAGACTGCAGAGTCAGCAGGGGACTGCATCGCTGCGCAAGAATGGGAGAGTGTTTCAGGGCCGAAACGAATGCTGCGAACTCTTTCGGCACGAATGCTCACAAGCTGTTTGTTTCTGACACAAGCACATTCGATGATATGGTAAATCTTCTGCATACTGCAGGACAATTGGCGTAGGAATGAGAAGATCGCAAAGTCCAACTTGGAAAACGGCTGCCCACTAAGACCTGAGCGTCGCTCTGCGTTTTCACTCTGGTCAACAAACCGACGTGCAAGCCAGATAGAAATGCTCTATTGATGTCCATCTGGAGCCTAGATTCGGGATCACTCTACCATCTCTTTGGACGAAACAAATGACAAAGCCATCATCGCTCAAACCTGCCCTCAAAGCAGGATCATCTCCATCACATAGAAGCAGTAGCAATTCCAGCGCATCGCACACTGCACCAAGTACAGCGAAATCGCCAATAGCAGCAGTCGCAGGGGCAGCAGGGGTTGGCGGCAAGAAAAGCTCCAAGCAGCCAGCAACGCGCGCCGCGATTCCCGTCGTTCCTTCTTCCACCAACAAGACCAAGACTGTCCCACTCACATCCAGTAAAGCCGCTGCGGCCACCAATAGCGAGGTCCAGCTTGCTCGACCACAGGCAGACCAGCAGAGCAGCAAGTCCAAGAAGGCGGCCAAGAAGGCGGTGAGTGTTGGCACATGTTTCGCTTCACACGCGAGCACGCGAGCAGCAGCAGTCATCGCCGTCGTTGGTTTGTTGCACTCATCATGATCGTGCTCACTTTATTGCATCCGACAAAACTGTCCATCGTAGAATGCGAAAGCAGAGAAGGACGAAGAAGACGATGATGACATTGACGCGCTCTTTGCCGAATCCACCAAGACGCAGGCAAAAGTGAGGGAGGCTAAGGCTGCAGAGGCTGCAATCGAAGCTGCCGCACAAGCCAAAGCAAACCTCCTGGCACGCTACGCAGCGGCCGCAGCGAACGACGACGATTCGTTTGGCGATAGTCGAGGCGCAAAGTGTAAGCACGACTTCTCAGACACTGTGGCTGCGCTCAAATGTGGTTTGTTCAATCGTGTTCGCTTACGAGTGATGCCACCACCCTTTCACACACATTGTGTTTCCAGCTCGCAAGCGCATTGAGGGATATAACGTGTACACTGAAGACGAGCTGAAATTGTCCACCACCGGCGGCGATACTCCTCTTTGCCCATTCGATTGTGACTGCTGTTTCTGACACAACAATAGACTTGATTGTTGCGCACTCCTGTTGAGCGTCGGGACTGGATAGCTTGAGCCACCAGACACACACAAAACCCACCTGCCCCAAAACACCAAAACCCACACTCCCCCGACGAAAGCGCAATAAAAAGTGAAGGAACTGGTATTGTGTACAACGGGGAAACACACAACCGAGAATCACACAGAGCAAAATGAGGACGCTTAGAAGATGAGAGCCTGGCCCTTGCGCTTCTTGTCGCCACCGAGCTCGAAGTGCTTGCAGCGCTTGAGGGCGAGCTGCTTCTTGTACTTGCAGACGGAGCACTCCAGACGAAGAACAATCTTCTTGGTAGTCTTGGCCTTCTTGTGGAAGACGGGCTTGGTTTGACCACCATAACCAGATTGCTTACGATCGTAGCGGCGCTTGCCCTGGGCGAAGACCGAAGCCTTGCCGGTCTTGTACTGGGAAACCTTGTGCAGGGTGTGCTTCTTGCACTGCTTGCCCTTGCAGAAGGTCTTGCGGGTCTTCGGCACGTTCACCTAAAATTGAGAAAAAAAAAACGCGTGTCAGTTGTTTGAACGAAAAACAGACCAAAGCGAGACAGCGATAGCGGAAGAGGATCTCAAAAACAGGCGATGCTGGTACGGATGTAAGTCACGGGAGAGATCAAATGACGGAATGGCAGGTGGATCGAGATGAAAGGGAGAGAGAGAGAGCTCACGATGGAAGAAAAAGGCCAGAACAAAAAAAAAAAAAAAATAGTCCAACCCCAACCGCCTGCCTTCTTGGCGCAGGTCGCTTACTCATACGGGAGTAACAACCCTCACACCACGAGCACCGCAGGATCCTGAAACGAGGCGACAGGCGACAGGCAGTGCCCCAAACGAAACGGCCTTTGGTTTCACTGCCCTTCAGTGCTCGCTCGCTTCGCCGTTCCATGTCGCATGTCCCCTCTGGTCTCTCAACAGAGCTGCATCCCACAAAGCCAAACGGATATCGCCACAACATGGACGCCAAGTCGAACGGCCAGGCCAAACGAGATGGGAAGGGAGCGAATACCGGCTGAAAAAGTCGGTCGAGCGATTTCAGCGCCGCAGCCGCCAACCTTTTGTTCCCGCTTTCTCCACGACGCTCCATTGCATCCCCATCATCTACATGCATGAATCTCCTCAATAAGTCGTTCTCTATCGGATTCGCGCGGCGGATGGGCGCTGGGTGAGGATCTAGGCCGGTCGTACCATTATGTGCAGAGGAAGAGAAGAGGCTGAGCTCCAAACTCGGTTGCTGGATTGATATTGATTTTTGATTTTGTTTTTTTTTGACAAAATCCGACAAAATCAAAATGCTGCTCAATTTGACTCGAGGTGCACATCAAAGCGTTTAAAAATTGGGAGCAAGCTGCACTTATTTTGCAAACTATTGTGGTGATGACTCTGGGACTTTGAAGCAGCAGCAGGAGGAGGAGGAGGAGGGCCGAGGGTTGGGCTGTTTCAGATTTGTCAGAATTTTCTCAGTGTTACCCATATCCCACATCCTGGGCCAGTCTTTCAATTTACCTTGTTAATACCTATTCTCTACCTTCGGGTGTAACACGTCGAAACGCAGATAGGCTTGAACAGGTCCAGACGGATGGATGGATGAGAAGCTGAGAACTGCACAGTGAAACCGCGAAAGAAAATCGAGAAGCACATCAACAGGTTTATTCCGTTGTGCTGTACACTTAGAAACACTGAAACAAGTTCACACAACACAGTTACTCGACGAGACGGAGGCATTCAACAGCACTGTACTTTTTGCCAAGCACAAGACGTTTGTTGCCCATCGTCGCGAGCCTCTTACCAACGAGAGTGCACGGTAAGTTCAGAAGCAACAAGGGACTGCGAACACCTTCGTCTGTCTCGTTGTATGTACGAACAAGAGAGACGATATCGTTCGGAAACTGGCATGGATGGACCACCGCGCGGATGACGGTCGTGATGCCCAATCGTTGCCAGTCTTGGGAAAACGCCGAGCTGTTGATACTAGAAAGAAGAACAAAGCAAAAAAGAAAGTGAGACAGACTGGCTGAAGCTCTTGCAATTGGATACATCTCTTGCTGCTTGTGCTTTCGACAAATTACCAAAACCTTGGTTCTCAGAGCTCCTTGTTTGGAAACAGCTCACTCGACCCCTCCAACCAACGACCATACCATCGCACCAAGCGGACATGGCCGACGAGGAGGAGAACGGCGTTGGCAGTCTTCAAGACGAAGCATACAAGCGCAGGGCACGGCTTCGTGCAATGCGGGAGGGCGCAGCGGCCAGCGCTGTTCGTAGGACGAACGACGACAACGACAACAACGACAACGACAACGGCGACAACGATGACGACGGCAAGCAGACACGACACTCCTCACAGGCAACAGGAGGCGATCGCAAGCGCTGGCGAGGCGAAGACAACATTGACGAGGCGGACGAGAGCAGCGCAATGGACGACGGATCCAACGATGCTGATACAACCCTGCGCTTCCGAAACTACACTCCCAACGACGCCAAGCTAGCCAACGCGCAGATCGAGCACCCAGACTTGCCAGAGCCCGAGAAGGACGTCGCGGAGATTGCCAAAGCCGATGCGCGGATTCACGATATTGTAAGGCCTCGTTTTCTGAGCGCGCGGCTTTCTTTGCTCACTCGAGACGCCGCAGAGTTGCAGACGTTCCCGCTCGTCGTGAAATTCGTCTATTCGGAACAATTGAACTCATGGACGGGATGGTTCCTGATGTTTTGTCTGTGTTTGTTGGGTTTGGACAGGATCTCGTGAATCTTGCACCACGCAAGCAGAACTGGGATTTGAAGCGGGATGTCACCAAAAAGCTCGAGAAACTGGAGCGTCGGACAAATCGAGCGATAGCCGAGCTTATTCGTACGTTTCGGTGGGCTTGAGAGAGCGCGAAGCCCGCGAGCGAAAGCGACGTTCCAACCGTTGTATCTCACATCTTTTTTCTCTTCTTCTTTCGCGTTGTGGTTGGTTGTTCTGACATGCCGATTACAGGTGACAGACTTACAGCTCAAGGCCAGATATTCTCCACGACGCTTCCTTCTACCAACTGAGGAGAGCGTGTTTGATACGTTTTGCGCTGTCGATGTTTTCTTGGTTTTGTCATGTAACATTTCGATTGGTTATTCCTTCTCGATGACTACATATTTTTTTGAAAAAACCAATTTGTGTCGGGGACACTGAAAGCACTCCCGGAACTCGTCATGAAGCATTGGAGCATCAACAACAACAACGACAGCCAAAGTAAATGAAATCGATTCGTCAACAAAACAAAATCAACAAGAATAAACGGCAGCGCTAGAGCACAACAAGCTATGCAATAGGTGCGGTGAAACGAACAAAGAGATCACACGAAGGCGTTGGTGTAGCGTAGGCTCGTTCGAGATGCTCGGGTTGGTGCGACATTCGTTGCGCAGTACTGATTTTGCGGTTTTTTACTTGTGTTTCCTGCTGGCATTGCGTCCGTAGATGACCGAGATACGTGTCTCTGACAGTTTGCTCAAACTCTTGCACAGTGGATGGTCGCGCGCGCTCTAGCTGAACATGGATGCTTGGTCGAACGTAATACTTGATGAGCAATTCCCCCTCACCAAACGAGCGTTCAACCGAGTATGTGGTGTCTTGGCGCAATGAAAACGTCTCTGCGGGTGATGACGAGGGTGTCAGTAGCATCACCAAGACGATGAGAATCAAAGGGAGGAACTGCGCAATCGAGCGGAAAAAGTCTGGCGCTTCATCGTTTCTTGCCCGCTGCTGCCGTGCGGCATGAAAATCCTCTCTTTGCCGAGTAGAGAATGTGAATTGAGCTGTCGGTGAATGAGTGAATGAGTGAATGAGTGAATGAGTGAATGAGTGAATGAGTGAGTGAGTGAGTGCGTGTAGAGGGAATGATGAAGTTACATCGGTTAGTGATCAGAAAGGCTGGGCATCCAAAGGCCCGAACAATGGTTCGTCATTCACTGAAACTCGAAACTGCACAGATCGGAACTTACGACCTCCAGCTCGCATGCCACCGCCAAAGAACATGTTGAACAGCTCTTGGGGATCCATCTCTTCAAAACCGCCGCCACCGCCACCGCGGTGTCTAGTATAGCGCTGCTGTTGTTGAGGCGACTCGTCAACATCTCCAGTCATATCATAGGTGCGGCGTTTCGAGGCATCCGAAAGGATGGCGAAGGCTTTGGAAATACCTGAAGAACCCCCAAGCAGCAGAATGAAACAGCAGCAATGAGTCTCCAAGCGCAAAAAAGTCGACAAGCAAGCATTGCGGTGCATCCTCCAAGCAGTAGTCCGAGATGAATAAAGGCAGGCAGGCAGCAAGCCGCAACAAAGCGCAACAAAGCGCCGCTATCACAGAGACACTATGCCGAAACAAAGCAAACTCACGCTTGAATGCCTCATCGGCACCCGGAGCCTTGTTCTTGTCAGGATGGAATTTGAGCGCCAGCTATGCAAAGAAGCGGGGTGGGAGAAGGGGAAAGTGCCAAATAACGAATGCATGAGTTGGAAACAGCCAAAGCAGAACTCAACCTTCCCCATCCCCTCCCGCACATCGACGGAGCAGCACTCGAAACCAAGAAACCACGCTCGTTTTCGCAAGTGCTTTGTCGTCTTGTCGTGGTTTACCTTGCGATACGCCTTCTTGATGGCATCCTCGCTGGCGTCGCGCTCAACACCCAGAATCTCGTAGTGGCCCTTGCATGCCTTGATTTTGCGCACTTCGGCAACCTGCTCTGGGGTATAGTCGCCGCCCTTGGGTGCAGACGAGGCCGGAGCGCTGCCCGAGCCCTGCTTTGACGAAGCGCTTGCTGAAGAGCCAGAAGCAGGAGAAGACGTAGAAGAAGAAGCATGGTCGCTGCCACTGTTCTTCCGCTTGCGAGCGCCAACGCCAGGCGCACTGTCCGGATTTGCAGCATACGACGATGAAGACGAAGAAGACGAAGACGACGATGAAGCGCCGCTTGGTCTGTCGCCGTCGTCGTTGTCGTGATGGGCCGACGCGCTACTCCTGCTGCAGCCAGCTGAAGGTGACGTGGAAGCTGCTGCTGCGCCTGCTCCCCCGCCGCGACTGGAGGATCGGCCTTCCAGCTCTGCGACGAACGCAAGCGCCTGTGGCGTCTCGAACAAGCCGACCGACTTGCGAGCGAGCCGCAACGCGCGTTCCCGGTCGCCCGACGCATGTGCCGTGCGCGCAATGGCCAAGCATCGCAGCGCCTCTTCCTTGTTCATCTCCATTGCTTTGCGTTCAGGTTGAAGAAATGGGAATGGACTGATCAAATAAATCATAAAACAGAAACGATCTGATCTGATTGTGCTGAGAACGACAAAACGCTCAGTCCTTGTTTTGGTTGGGAGCGTTGGAGCACAAAGCGAGGACGGGGTTGGGGATTGGATGTCGACGACGGATCCCGCGCAACTGGAAGCGCTCAAGCTCAAGGTCAGTGAATGGACAAATACAGCTTGCAATGTTGCTCATGATCGACCCCCAAAGTGTTGTGGTGGACGGTGCTCACTGGAGTTTGCACAGATGCTGCGGCGGCATCGCGAGGCTGCCAGCAAAGCGTCCTCGCCAACAAAGACCAACAGCAGCAGCAGCAGCAGCAGTAATAGTAATAGTAGTAGTAGTAATAGTAGTAATACGACGAGTGCTGTGACAGCCGCAGCCGTGGCCACGCCAGGCCATGTTCCACCAAGCCACGTCGAATTGGCGCCATCCTCCAGCCACAGCGCGCTCCAAGGCCGGCCTGCTGCTGCGAATCAGAGAGCAGCCGTGGTAGATTCTTCGAGCGCGAGCAATGCTTCTTCTACAAGACACGACGAACTCGGTGCGATCGCGCTCCCAAACCATCGACCAGACGCTCATCAGTCTGCGCTGGTTCAGCTGGACACGCAGGCGCTTGTGCACAATCCTCATCCGGTGCAGCCAGCTCCCGCAGCGTTCGTCAGAGTACCAACGCTGGCTCACAGGCACGAATCCGTGGGAAACGGGGAGCCAATCTCGGCGTCGAGCAAGGCGCCAGTACATCGCGCGCTCCAGTTTGGCCAAGCGCCCAATTCTGCAGCATTGCCACTGCCAGCTCCAAGCAGAAGCCTCATAGATACAAGCAAGCCAGTGCCTTCAACGAGTAGCACGTCGACAGAGGCATCACCAATTCCCATCTTAACACCTGCGGCCCAACAACCGGCCCAAGTCGCGCCTCCTGCCAACACGCCCCCCAACGGTCTGGGGCAGCCTTCACCCCCAGCAACTGTCGCACAACCATCTGTACAACAGCCCCCAGCTTTCGCCATGCCACACCTACATCTTGCGCGCGCACACACCCCGACAGAGGAGCTGGTGGCACGAGCGCCTGCATCGTCCTTTCCGAGTCCTGCCGCCCTGGCTTTGAATGCAACAACGCTTGTTCGCGAGCAGGAGCGCGACCGCGGCCGCACTGCTTCGCGCGATGTGATTCTTGAGCGTCTCGCCAAGGAAAACATGTCTCTCTCGCACAAACTCGTCCAGCAATACCAGGTGGATGATGATCTCAAACGGCTGCTCGTCGCGTCTGTGGCCAACCAGTTTCAAACAGAAGTGTCCAAGTTGGTCGAGGAGAAGAGCACGCTGACACTACACTCTCAGCGGCTAGTCGAGCGTCTGCAAGCCGATGCCGAGGATATCGACGAGTTGTTGAACGAAGTCACGTTGTGGCAAACCAAGTTCCAGGCCAGTCGTGTCGCCTATACCGAGGCCGAGCAGGAGCGAACCGCGCTCCATCGCCTCTCGCACGGCGCAAGAGCTGCGCTGTCGCAGATGCTCCAGGAACGCGAAGCCGCTCAGGACGCACTGGTGCAAGCCAACTGCTTGCTGGCCTGCCTGGTCCAGAAGCCCGACGAAGACAGTCGCCGCAGCCAGTACAGCCTCTCTGCCTTGAACAAGCGGTCGGGAGTCGAGCTGGCTGCCATGACGCTCGAGCTTGTGCAAACCCTCGGCCGACAGCTGTACTCCGTCGGAGCCATTGGTTCCGATGCAGAGTGGCGATACAAGCAGCTCGCGCTAGCTTCTACCAGCGACAAGCAACAAGATCGCTCGGCTCGATCCGGCCCGGGGCTATCATTAGGCGAGATGGCGGCCGTCCAGGTCTTGCGATCGTACTCTGCCATCAACCCACATTCCGTCCTGTCCTCGGCTCTTATGGGCACGCCGTCAGCTGCTTTTCATCATGCCGCCGCCGCCACTGATGCTGCTGATGCTGCTGCTGGCAGAGAAGACGCTACCGATATTGGGCATGTGCATGTCGCCACACCTTCCAACCATTTCGACTCGGCAACTCCAATCAGTCTTGGCGTGTCCAACCTCATCAACAGTGCCGAGGAAGACTACAGTCCGGCGCTCGAGCGTGTCACCACCCTTATGAGAGAGCGAACGTCGACAATGCCCTCGAACAGCTCGCAGCTGCTGGACTGCTGCAAGGCATGCCGTGGGCCGATTATTCACCTGTGAAAACAACACGCCCGCGTCTCAGTTTTACTTTCGGTGCGCAAAAAAACCCACAAACAAACAACAACAAAAACCCAACCAAAAAACCCAAAAGAAAGCCATCTTCGTTAAGATTTGATACATTAGTTGCAATAAAGGGATGTTATATTTTGTTTCGGTAAAGTAGAGTACAAGGTAGAATGGGAGAAAAGACAAATCCATCATGCCAGCGATAATGTCGAAGGACAAACGGAGCACATCAAACAATCAAGCTAAATGAAAACAAGCGCGCGGGTGCGGGGGCACAGACAGTAGTTACTGGCTCTTGGAGGGATCGACGAACGGGTTGATGTTTGCACGTTCCCACTCGGCATACTGCTGACGGACGGCAAGCACACGCCAGTTCATAATGCGGAACCAAAGTGGGGGAACGAGGGCGATCAGAAGCATGGTGGCATAGCCAAAGGGGAGCTGCGGGGAAGATTGCCATGTGCGGAGAATCTGGTAGCGACGACCGGCGTAGGCGTGGTGGTCTGAGTGGCGTTGCAGCTTGAACAAAAAGTAGTTGGTGCAGCGATGGCCAGCATTCCACGAGTGGGCGGGGGTGATGCGCTCGAAATCTCCGCGTTCGCCCTCGGCAGGCTTGGCCGGCTTGGGCTTGCGCTCCAGACCATAGTGTTCCACATAGTTGATAATCTCAAGCAGGCTGAACGCCAAGAAGCACTGCCAGGCGAAGAAGATGGTGGCCTGAGCGCCAAGCACGTGGAAAATTCCAAAGGCGATAAGACCCGTGGAGGCGACCGACTGCACCACACGATTGTGCGGCGACAGCTCTGGCAGGCCGCACTTGTTCAGGCGAGCGCGTTCCAGATGCACGGCAGACAAGAACGAGCCAACGACCGAGCGCCACCAGAACGTGTAAAAGATTTCGCCATAACGCGACGAGGCGGGATCGTCCGGTGTGGACACTCGCTTGTGGTGACCAAACAGATGCTCGACGTAAAAGTGACCATAGCCGACAAACGCAAGGATGGTTCGCCCAAGCATTTGCTCAAACACGGGCGCCTTGTGGATGAGCTCGTGCGCGCAGTTGATGCCGAGGCCGCCAACGAGGCCGACAGCGCCAAGAAAGCCAATGTACTCCATCCAGCTCATTTGCGGATAGATGGCCACCTGATAGCACGCCCAGAGGACGAGTGTGATGTGCATCGGGACCCAGGCCCAGGTCACTGCCCGGAAGGAGATGCGCTTCTCGAGGATCTTTTCTTCCTCCTTGGTCGGGTTGTAGTCGTCCGTGCCCATGAGGACGTCGATGATGGGGATGAGCACAAAGACAATGCCCAACGCCGCAAACGTCCAGCCACCGCCCATCCACCAGCTCAGCGGCAGCACCGGGTACGGCAGGAACGCCAGCGTGTACGGCCACGCACTGACATTGCGCAGCTTGCGTGGAGCGAGTCCAACGCCCATCGCGAGGCCGGAGGACGACGTGCCGTCCTTGGACGTGACCGCCGACGACGCCGTGGACGTGACCAACGTGGTGGTCGTGTCCCCAGCGCTGTTATCGCCGCCATGCACCCCACCTGTCCCCGTGGTCGTTGTGCCCGCAGTGATCGTAGTAGCGTTGTCTGGTGTCTCCATGACAAAGCCACCCGAAGTTGTAGAGAAGAGTGAGGCCGCCATTTTTGAGTTTGGTGTGGTTTGTTTTTTGGTCAAATCTCAGTTTGGGGGTTTGGCTGCGAATTGGGCGCTTTGGCTGCTTTTGGAAGTCGCCCGGCTTTTTGGAGTTGGATGGCGTCGAGAGAAGCAAAATAATAATAATAATAATAAAAGAGAAAAAGAAAAAAGAAAGGAATTGGGTTGATGACAGAGGAAGAGGGCAAGTGTTTGCGACTGGAAAAGAAAACGGAACGGAAGCTGGCAAATTAAAGCGTTTCGGAAGCCGGCAACCAAACGATTCGAACAGAACGAGAGTGAGTAAACGCAGACAGAAAGCGGATGAGCACAGCACGAGAACAAGAGATTGAAAGAACGAGAGCGAAGCGGGGTGGGGGGAGGGGAAAGGGAAACGGGGACGGAAGGGCATACGATTGGTACAAAAAAAAAACTCACCAAAAGCGAAAACAATCGAAAAAGCTTTCCAACAAAATAAAAAAAAGACTGGATGTGCTTTGCATGTGGTCTTCAACCTCCCCCCTTTTAAAGGAGCAGCTCATTTACGAATTTGGCCAGTGGAAGCGTCGGAATGGCGGAGGAGGGGCCCGGAGGCAAGGCAGAAAGAGGGCGGCGGCCGGCAAAACGGAACAGCCGGAGCCAACTCCGCTTACACGATGCGAACGACGAAAAAGGGATGCAGTAAGGTAAACAGACCGCTTCCGTCGCAGCAAAACAAAGTACCACAGCGGGGCAGGGCGAGCGAGGACCTGAGTGACAAATCCGGCTGTGCGGTTCATCGTCCGAAACTTTTTTTTTTTTGTTGGCTCGGGTCGGATTGGTTATTCTGCACGGCTCTGCAAGAAGACATGTTGGTCCAAAAACAACCCTTCTGCTGCTGCTTGTTGCTTTGCCGTGGGTTGCACTGGGCTTTGGTTCGAGCCTTCGGAAACGGAAACGGAAACGGGAACGGAAGCGACCCAAAATTTGCCAATTTGCAAATTTAACCACGCCCCATCGCTTCCAACGGGGCCCCCATCGACCGGCCACCACACACAAGATTGCTAATAGCTGAACGAGCTCAAAAACCGCAAAAAGCGATGACCGGCACCGACGGGCACGGAAACGGAAGCGAGATTTACCGAAAAAAACAAAACAAAACCCAAACCGCAGCTCCATACATCCCAACTCTGCTTGCAGTGCACGGATTGACACTGCCAACTCACTGAGCTGATACATGCATGTCAGGATGGAATAAAGCAAAGGGGTTTATTTGGCAACAAACTCGTCCAACGCACAAGTATCGGCTAATCGAGACATGTTGTTGTTTGACGGGCGAAAAAACTCGAACTTGAAACACCATCACCCAAACAGCAAATGCCTGGAGCTCTTTTTGCTCTCAATCCCATCCAGAATCCAGAAGAGACAGCATCCAGAGGGCAGTCACCTTCTCGTCTCGCATATGCACAAGCGACCAGCGGCAACATACAGTCGCAAAGTCGCGGCTTCTGACTCGGCCTCGAATGCGTTCGACACGATGATGGTGCAAGCGTCCCCTCCACCACTTCAACCGTCCGACCAGACTCCTCAAGATCGTAGCCCATCAACACAGAGCCATCGCTCCTACTCGACTGGGCGCGCTGTGGTGCCAACTGCGAGCGAAACCACGCGAGCACCACTGAATCCAACCACGGTGGACCAGGCTCAGACTCGAGCGATCGCGGCACGACCGTCGACGGCGACCTCCTCCTCGCCGTTGCGCTCGACGCAGCAGAGGTCACTGCGTGCATCCACGAGCGACAGCACGAGCCAGTCGTCGCTCCAGCAGCCAGCGAAAGCCAACTCCACGCGACCATCATCATCCGTCGATGAAGCCGAAGAGGCCTCGTCCTCGTCCTCGTCCGCGACGGCTCGCCCGCTGCTGACTGCTCCACGCCCTGGACGGCGATCGCTTGCACTGACGCCACCGAGAGACAGCGTCAGTGCGACGGGCGGTGCGATCCCAGTCATCAAGCGAAATCCATTCAGTGGGCGTTCTGCACCGCTACCGACGACGAGAGCGAAGGAAGCCACCTTGGCTGCCGCACCCTCTGCGTTTGACTTTGACGATGACGACGATCCAGCAACCAAGCCATTAAAGCGCACCGCCAGTCCTGCCCGTCGAGTTCCCAATTCCGTTCTTCCGGCTGCATCCACCAGCGCTTCCAGTTCAAGCTCTCCGATCGATGCCAAGCCTCCCCGAATAGCAGAGGCGGTCAATACCAAAGCCCTTTCGTCTTCATTTCGCACCTCTCCTCGAACTCGTTCGCCGCCGGTGGAGCAAGGCTCGCCTGCGCGAGAAACCCTTACCGTGGCCGTTCCTCGCGCGTCCGCTGCTCGGCGGCAGCTTGCTGCGTCCACTCAAGCGTCTGCACTCTCTACCCTTCAGCAGCCTCCTATCACTACTGGCACGACCTTAGGTCGAAGTATGAGCGCAACAACAACAACCGCAGCCCCAGCATCCGCCGTCGAGCCCGTTCCTGCGCGCGCCTCCCCTTCGCGGACAGGGCTATCAAAACAATCATCGCCATCCAGCTCTCCTGCGCGCAAGCCTCCTGTCGCTGCCAGCACCGCCAATCCAGCACGGCCAACCACAAAGCGACCGACGGAAAAGCGCACTTTGGCCGACACAGTCACATTGCAACCGAAACGTGTGCGCGTGGAAGACCCTTTCGACGATCTGGAATCACCGGTTAGTATAGATTGGGGCGAGAGGGGGCAGGGGTTGGATGGAGCCCGAGTTGCACGTCTTCCATGTTCTTGTCTGCTCGATCACTCACCCTCACCGTTAACGCCCAGGACATGTCGCTTGCTCTGACTGGATCACTGGCGTCTCGACAAGCTGGCGAAAACCAGCAGCTTCGCGACGATCTCGAGTATATGCTGGAAGGTCTCGGCTCGGCCCAGCCACCTGGAGTGCGCTGCAAAAGGTAGCCGAGAATTCGACCAACTGGCGCTTTAACTTTGTCCTTTGAACAATTCCATCTGTCAACGGCTTTCACTGACCTTCACAACGCTTGGGGCTTGTCTGTTTTTTGTTTTGTTTGTTTGTTTTTGTTTTGTGCAGCATGTGTACGTTGGCAGAGCAAGCGGCATCGCAAGATTTTCAACTACATTTTCGTGCATTGGGTACCCTTTCTCGAGTCTGCCGGATGTTGTCAGATGCTCCCCAGCATGCGGTATGGTGATTGTCAATGATGTTGGTTGTTTTCAATTGGTTGTAGGGAGCTGCGCTCACACGACGCTTCTTCTTGGCAACAGGACTTGGCCATTTGCACTGCTGGTTTTTTGGCCGTCTTTACGCGCGATTCTGCCGTCCTTGATGCATCAAGCGATCTGCTCAAGCTTGCGCTCGCCTTGTTGGAAACTGCACTAGCACCCAAGCCGATTGCCAACCAGAGTTTGGCAGCTAGCAGCAGCAGCAGCAGCTCGCTCACCCCGCGTATGCGAGCAACTGTTGCAGCCATGCTGGCCACCATTCCACAGCTATTGCCCGAACACCGCTCTGGCTCGCTGCTGCTGCCAATAGTTCTCGTCGTCTTGCGATCCATCGCCACCTGCCGCAATATCGAAAGCGTGCGCCGGCACTTGCTGGCTTCCACTCCACTGTTGGCCCAGGTAGCTAGCGTATTTGTGCAACAGCAAAGGCACTTGCAGAGTCAGCAGACGCGCTTGCTGTTTCCGCAAGCGGGCGGTGAAGAAACCTCGCCCGCGGCTGCTGCCACGCTCTGGACGATGCAAGAATGCATGACCATCCTCAGCGACCTGACGGTCGCAGCCACACCCGAGACACAACTGCGACTAGTCGTGGCACCAACGCCAGAGACGGACCCGCAGTCGCAAGCCTCATCCACTTCATCATCGTCATCGTCTGCAGAAGCCATTCATCCCAGTGCGCTGCTTGTTTCGATTGTCGACTTTTGGGCGTGGCTGTTGGAGCAAATCAACGAGCCTCTCGCTGATGTGAAAGGACCTGGATCGACCGCGCCCAAAAAGCACCAGTCGCGTGCCGCCCCTTTGCCTGCTTTACCTGCCACAACAACTCGTCGAATGTTGCCAAGTAGCTGCACGAACATTAGCGTGTCTGCGCTGCGTGTGTTGATGAACGCCACAAATAACCAGTCTGAAGCGTGCTTGGCGGTGGCCGCCGCGTCGCCAGGACTGGCCGTGATTACGGAGACGGCACTCGTCCTGGCATCGCATGTGGTTGAAGACAGCGGATCAGCAACCACGTCGCGCGTTGCGGGTGGCGTGGCACACCACAACCACATCACGCACGATGTGCGCGTCTACGGGCTTGGCTTGCTTGTCAATCTGACCGAGCATACGTGGAGCAATCGCCAGGCGATAGGAGTGCTCAGCTTGTCCAAAGCGCAAGTTCGCGGCCTAGCACCGACCTTTGCAACGTCTCAGCATGAGGAACCGGCCAAGAATAGCGCGCACTTGTTCGACCTAGCCACCTCGGAGCACTTACCCATTTCGCAAGCCGTCTTTCTCCAGCTCGTGCATCGGCAACCCCAACCGACTGTTCCATCCACGCCAACGACACCGACTGCGGGCGCGCCGACCTCTTCTGGCACGGCATCAGCAACGACACGAGGGCGTCGAAAAGCAACTACTACTCCGCCTGCTGCTGCTGCTGCTGCCCCACCCACCGCGGCTCCTCCCGCTGTTTCGCAGCCGCCGGAGCTTGATGAGCAGTCTGAAACAGATCGCAACATTACCGGCGCCTACGCAGCGTTATTTCTGGGCTGTCTTGTGCGCGATCATGACTTCAACCGAGCTCTACTGCAGCGTGCCTTCCCGTCCGAGGATTGCTGGGCCCAAATGGTGCATCTTCTTGCCGGATTTGTCGAGTACCAGCGTGCTCTGGGAATCGTACTGTCCGACGAGACGTGCGCGTGCATTGCCGATGTGATGGACGTGTTTGTCCCGGGTGCGGGCACAGAGCTGCGCGGCACGACAGATCGTCACACCTCGACCAACACCGGGCAAGGTGTTTATTCGTCCCAGCACGAACCTTTGTCCACCCCGCTCAACTCAGACCTCTCCTCCGCGGTGCCAATGGCCCTCGAGCCACCACAGGGCGCTTCGGGTTTCACGCAACCACCCGCGTCAAACGAAGCATCCGCACCTATCGAGAGCGACAGCGATGATGATGATGATGGCCAAGAGCCTGACTGGCTGCAACAAACGCGAGTCAAAGTCAGGTCGTCTCAGTCGTAACAAGCGTTCTTCATGGAATCTTTTGCTTTGGGTCGGATTGGCGTAACATTTGGATCAATTTTGGGTTTGTATCACTGGTTTGTTTTTTTTCCATGGTTAACAATGAGATTTTATTATCGAAAAGCTCCCAACAACTCTTGGCGACTCTTAAGGGAAGGCTTGAATCTTCACCGGGTAGTCACCGGGAGGTTGTCCACAGGGCAGTTCAACGAAGACTGGGACAGCCAGTTGTCAATGCAATCGCGGTGGAACTCGTGCCCGCAGCTGAGGGTACGAACAGTTTGCTGGGCATCGAAGGGCATGAGGCAGACGGTGCAGACGACTTCGAGAATGTCGTGCTCGAGAACGCGGGTCGGGAAGCTGTTGATGGTGCTGCGGCTGACGGTGGGGCGGGCCACCGACGCATCCAAAGTCAGGAGTGCGTCGTAGTCCTCGGGGGTGATGTCACGGTGCTGGAGCTGGATGAGCAGGTTCATCAGCTGGTTGTCAATGCCAAGCGGGTTGGCGCCCTGAGTAACCGCGTGGCGCACACCGAGCGCAGGATCTTGCTCGTGACGGTGACCGCCGCCATACGGGTGCGCATGGCGTGCAGCGGCTTTGCGGGCTTTGGGCTGCAGGGCAGGAATCGTCGAGGGTGCCAAGCGGCTCGAGAAAACGGCAGCCTCCTGGTTGGGCAGAACCTGCTCAATCCAGTAATCGCGGGCAAAGTTGGGGCGATTCGCCTTCTCGGCAGCAATCTGATCGCAGATGCGTTGCTTGCGAGCCTCCGCGCGACGCAACATGTTGACATTGTAACGGCGCTTGGGGCGGATCTTGTCCGAGCGGTTTTCGCTCGTGGATCGACGCACGCTGTCTCCACGGTGCTTGTTGTACAGAGATGCCTCGATGGCGTCGGCTTGGTCGTCCCGGTGGTCGTCGGCGTTTGTGGCGTCGTCAGCCTCCATTTGGAAATGTGATGAAGTTGCACAATCCGTCATGTGCATTTCGCAGTGTGCCGCGGCCACCTGTCGCGCTGGGTAGCCATAGTAGCAGTCCATGCAGTAGGATGGTGAAGACACAACAGCGTCGTCGTTGGTGGCGGTGGCAGCGGTGGCATCAGAATCATCGCTCCGGGATTCGTATTCAAACAGCAGGCTGAGAAGAACGCTGGGATCGTTGGGAGCGACAAAGCGAATGTTTCGTCGCGGGCGCACAGCCTTGGCAGCTGTCGACATGGCGCAGTACGACGTAGAACCCGACGAAGTCGAGGCAGAAGAAGCAGACGAGGCTGTTCCGGATTTGGCTGTGCTGGTTGGTTGCGCAACAAGAGAAGGAAAGTCGCCCGAATTGGCTGTAGCGCCTCCTCGCTGGCCGACCTTGGCAGCGGACTCCAGCAGGGCCATGCGCGTCATTGGGTGCTCGGCAATCTCAGAGAGCGCCGGGGGAATGGTTGGCGGCATTTGGCGGGTGCTAGTTGGGGGCTTTTCGTACAGTACAATTTGAGGACTGGAGCGAAAGAATGGGCAAAATTGGGGCGGCTTTTGAAACAAAAAATCCCAAAAAATCAATAAAAATCTAAAAAAAAAAAAAATAATAATAAAAAATGACGTCAACTTTTCATTACATCACAAAATATTTCATTGACGAACAAACTCGAGACTCTTCGAAGGGGCAGCAGGGAATCTTCGTTGGCACACGGTCATGAGGCGCTTGAGTGCCTGGATGTACTTGCGGGCGGTCTCGTCGTTGAGCACATCTGAAGAGCGAGAGAGAGAATGAGAGAGCATGGAGTGAAAACGTCAGAAATTTGGACAATCATGTCAACAAAAGATGCGCTGGCAAATGGTTCAGAGCGCCTAGAAGCTCCTCGAAGGTCCCGGAAGGGGGAGCACGATCCAACAAGTGGGAGGAGCGGGAGGGGGAGACCGAGAAAAACAGAAAACTTACGGGCAATGTTGCCAGCGGAAATCTTCTCGCGGCCTCCACGAGCGTGAATACCAACCATCGTCACACCCATGGGCCATGGCGCGTTGCCAATCGCCATCTTCATGTACGAATCGCCAGCCTGAGAGTACTCGCGCTCGAGCATGAAGCGGACGATGCGGATCAGGAATGGCGCAATGTCGTCTGGCACAGCCTGGACAAACACAGTCAAAGATGAGCATCGAAAAGCGGAAACAGCACAAAAACACCACAAATCAAACACAGCACCGCATACCTTTTGCTTGATCAGACGGAAAAGCGGTTTCAGGTACGACAGCGTTTGAATGACGGTTGCACTGAGCAACTTGCCCGCCATTGCGCGCTTTTCCTCTTCAGAGCGCTCATCCAACTCAGTTTCCCAAAGTTTGAGCAGGTACTGCCAGTGTGTGGAGCAAAGAGTCCATCAGCAAACAGCAATCGAAAAAGAAAAAAAAACCGAAAACGAAACGAGCAAATTCACGCTCCAAAGCCACACGACCGTACCTTTAAGAGTTTCAAGACGAGAACAAGATTGCCAGGAATGTCATTCTCGTCAAGGCCTCGTGCTTGTTTCTAAAAAGAATACGAACAAAGAAGCGCGACAAGACAGTCAGCAAACTCTACGCTCCGTTTCGTGCAGCAGGCCGAGTTCGTTCAAAACAGCTTTCCACCCTCGCACCTGCAACTCTTGGAACGATGTCTTTTCGCTCTCGATGGTGTCGGCTTTCCTGACTTTGGCCGAGCGCGAGCTTGCTTCTTGCTGCATCAGCTCGTCGAGCATTTCCTGATCCACAACGCCAATGGCATCCATGAAGTCGTTCCGGAAGCCCTGTAAGGGTGCAATCGTGGTCAAGGAACAAAGAAGGATGCCACCGGAGTGAGCCACTGAGCATGAGGGATCAAAATACACACCAAACCCCCCGAAACACACAAACACGTTATTACCTTGTTGGTGTCTGGCTCGACAATCTCCAATTGTCTCAACCGCTCGAGCACATCTTCATTCGTCTCGCCAAACAAGCGAATGGGGTGATCACGCTCTCGCAGTCGTCGAATGACCTCAGGCTGAGGCAGCCAGAACGTATCGCGACGGTGCGTATTCGGAACCAGTGCACCTGATGCGTCCGGCTTGGCGTCCGCAGCCGCAGCACCTGCAGACGAGGATGATGATGATGATGATGAAGCAGTGATAGAGCTGCTTGAAGCGCTGGCCGGAGCTGAGCTTGTATTCATAGGAGAGGCGGACGACGCATTGGCAGCGGCATTGGCAGCAGCGAGCTACAAGCCTCCCCGCACCCCCGATTTCCAGACCAGCAACCAAAGCAACACGAATCACACACAAAAAGCAAGTCAGATGTTGAGCTGTGTTGATCACCGACGCTGCTGCTGCTTTTCGAGTACGCTCGAGGCGCTGGACGTTTACCTGTCGTGCAGCCGCATCGAGCACAGGAGTACCGGCATCAGCAGCTGGTGCCGCTCCTGCCGCTGTCGTCGCAGATCCACCATTGACAATGGCGCTGGCTGCACGCGCGAGTTCGAGCTTGCGCTGGTCGAGGTCGGCCTTGCGAAAGTACTTTTTGGGCTGCCCGGTGCCGGTCGGATCGAGCAACTTGCGCTTGCGCTCCAGCTCAGCAGCGAGTGCGTCCATAATGAAGAAGATGTACAGGAAAACGGCAGCAAGTTGTGGAGGTTGGGGGTGGTGTGGTGGATGGGCGGCGTAATAACAAAAAACCCCCAAAAAGACTGACTGGCTCAGAACTCAGTCTTTTATTATTACTGCAACAACACAAAGCCGCAAACATTTGGCTGCCATTGTAGTCCTATTTGATTTCACTATGCGCTCGTCGGTTGCTCTGGCGTTGTGCGTGGTGATGCTGCTCGGTCTGGCTGAAGCTGGTTCAGCTGGTTTGGCTGGTTTGGCAGAGTCCACTTGTCATCCGCTCTGGCCACTCACTCGGCCGTTCCTGATGCGGCACAGTATGTCGTGATGCTCGCTCTGCTTTTCAATGTGTGCTCCTGGTCCTCGTTGGATGCGATTTGGCGCGCGGTTGGGCGCTCGACAGTGTTCCACTTCCATTGCGCTGCACTAACCTTCTCCCCCCCCCCTCTTTTCATCTCGTAGTCGACAGCGATGGATACTTTTCACACAAGGTCATCGTCTTGCCATTCAAGCAGGGTCGCGAGCTGGAGAAGGCCCTCCTCACGTCCGACTACCCTGCGCTCATTCTTGTACGTCTGTCTGTCTGTCTGTCTGTCTGCTCTCAAAGACCTATGGGCATTTTTGCAAACAACTCGAAGGGCAATTCACGCATCGACTCATCAACCGTAAATGTGCTCTGCTTGAATTTTTGTTTTTTGCAGGTCCATTCGCCCTCCTGTCCGCACTCGGTCGCGTTTCTTCCGATTTACCACACGCTGGCCGCGGCGTTTCCGTACTTGCGCGTCATTGCGGTGCAGGCGGATGAGCACGTCGAGACCGTCCCTGTCATTCACTATCTCGGACGGCACCTCGACACCCATCTTCAGTTCCAAAGCTCCTACCATGGCAATCGCAGCTTTGAGAGCGTGGCTGCGTTTGTAACGCGGCATTCTGGCCAGGTGCCGTTCGAATCCATCTCCGTCTTGCCAGAAGACCTGCCAGATGGGCATTTCGACCTGCGCACCCTCAGCGATGATCGACTAATAGCCTCAAGCAGTTTTGTCATTGTGGCGACCGTCATTCTCCTTCTGGTTTGGAAGCGACCAGCTCTGTGAGTTTTTCCATCGTTCGAGACAAGTCCGTGTTGGCTTTTTTTGTTTGCGAACAAGCTTCCTCCAGAGTCAATCAAGCCCCACACGAGACGACAGCACACTATGTTCATGTTAACGACCACCTCTTATTCACACCCCTCCCTGCCACCCACTCTCACGCGGCAGGAGACACCTCCACCCCACCCCCCAACATTTATTGTACCACCACTTTTGAAGATGGCATCTTCAAACGCCTGCATGTCGTGCCGTCCGATTCTTCTGTACTAAACGACCTTTTAGTGACTTTCCATTGTCATTTGTACATTTGTGTTTGCCATGGTCGTTTGCTTTGGTACTGCATTGTTACAACTATTGACCCAGCTCATTCATAATTTATCACGAATGAGCGAAGAACAACCAAGTCCAGTGGCTTTGGAAGGCGATGTGGTAAGTAAAAAAAAAAAAAAAACAAAAAAAAAAAAGTCCTTCAATGCATCGAAAAGTCCATTGTGGCTGAGCCTCGTTGTTCTTGTTCATGCGGTGCTCCGACTTCAACGTCTCCCGCACAACGCATTAAGCCGGCAAAAGTGAATGTGCTCCCGACCACTGCTAGCAAAGCAGAGCGACAGCAGCAGCCCCGCAGCAGCCTGCAGGAGCGGCGCGGCGGTTTTTCGAGTAGCGTCACATGCCAGTATTAGACTTTTTATCAGCCGAGGCGGACTTGCTCTCTGATGGGGCGTTGGCTTTGGCTTTGGCTAAGGGGGGGGGGGAATTACGGGATTTGGGGGTGAATGAAAGACGGCGTGTGTTTGGGAGTTGGCTCACCGTGCCTTCTGTTCTCTCTCTCTGTGTGTGCAGTTGAGCTGCGTTGGTCGAGACTGGACGTCGCTGCCTGCGGAAGCCGGCGCTCGCTTTGGACCCAAGACGCGGAGACTCGATCTCAGCTACAACTCACTCAAGTAAGCCCACAGAGTGCGACGCGCCGAGCAGACAGGGGGGGGAGCGAAGGGGAAAGGCGAGCGCAGTGTGAACGAGAATGAGAATCAGAGCCACCATGATGATTCAAGGGCAAGCTGCTACCACAACGGGCTCGACGCCAAAACAATGCCCCTATGGACTCCTTCTCCTCCTCCTCCAAATGCGCCGGGGCTGGGTGGCGACACTGCTGTCGTCGCGCTACGTCCCTGGAGCGAGTTCAAACCTTTTCTCCGCTGGTTTTTCTCAACTCCAGAACCTCCTGAACCTCTTGGATTCTGATTGCTTTTGTGTTTGTCCACCCATCCCAGATCGCTTGCTGGCATCGAGGCCTTCACGAGCCTGCGCGAGCTCGTGGTTGACAACAACGAGCTGGGCGACGGCCTGGCCTTCCCTGCACAAAAAGAGCTGGACACACTGACACTGAACAACAACCGCATCACCAACGTCGACCAACTGCTCGAGACCCTTGTCAAGTCGTGCCCCAAGCTCACCTATCTCAGTTTGCTCGGCAATCTCGCATGTCCGAACGAACTTGTAGCCAAGGACGAGGAGGACTATCAGCGTTATCGGTCCGTGTTCCGGTGTCTCTTTTTGAGCGGCGCTTGAAGGCTTTGTGTAGTCGCGGGTTGATCTGCGAATGGAATCTCTGACGCGAGGAGATTTTTGTGCATTGATGCTTTTTGCTCGATAACAGGTACTATGTGCTGTACAAGTTGCCAAATCTCAAGTTCCTGGATTCGCGCACAGTCACCGCGGCAGAGCGAGCGGAAGCCAAGCGTGTTGGCGCCTTCATGCGTGTGGTGCGCCCTTCAGACGAAGAGGTGGGTCATCCTGGGCGTGGGAGTGTGTGTGTGGGGGTTGCCGTCTGTGTATCCTCACCTGATTTCCTCATCGACACCTCGAGAACAGATTGCTGCATCCCAACAATCCAAGCAAGTAGTTGAGCAGGACTCGGACAACAACGGGGGCGACTATCAGCCGCTTCCCGACGACTTGGCACAGGAAGGGCAGAGCCGATCGACCTTTGGCGTCTGCAAATACGTCTATTACGGCCGACACTCGGAGGGCAACCGCTTCATTCGCAACAATGACTTGTAACCCCTATTTTTTTCGCTTTGGCTCTTGAGCGTGCGCCCTCTCTGCTGTGTGTGCGGGAGTGTTGGCAGAGGTGGCGCTTATTGGCTGCTGCTGCTGCTGCTGCTGCTTTTTGCTTTTTGTCTTCTTTGTGTTTTGGTGTTTGGTTGTTTGGTTGCCTGATCACATGCGAGTTTTTCGAAATGTCTTGTTGTTCTTGCTTTGCTTTGGACGAACATTGCAATTTGCATTTGCGAACGCGCCAACCATCTTTCCCATGTTTTTTTTTTTGAACCGTTTGCTTCGAAGCCAGATCGTTGCGCTTTGTATACTCGCACAAATACCACCATCAACGCAACATAACAAACACGACCCGACCCAAATAAGGGAGGGGACAGGGGGGAAGATCCATCAGCTGGCTCTTTTTGGGATTTGTTTTTGGCAGCGTGCCTCTGCTTGTTTTTGTTTGTTCACATTGCGTTTCATTTCCTCGCGCGCTTTTTTGACGTCGCCTGCGCTCGTGGAAATTACCTCACTTTCATTGCGTTGATTGGAGTGCTCGCCTTGTCATGGTGTGGTTGTTGAGGGGCTCCTTCCGATGAAACTCTGACCCCATTTTCCAAGTTCGGTTTTGTTGACGCATTCTTTTTTTTTTTTTTTTTTCGGTTTCACCTTGTATGAAATTCCGATGTGCACTGCACCACCAGCAAAATCGCCTTCCATGCTACGACAGCACTCGACTTGACTTGCCAGCCTTGCTGTTGCTTTCGGGGGGAAATTGGTTTGTCTGAGACGACGGGCGAGGCAGATGCAAAAAACAACAACAAAAACTGTGTATCGTGATCGGAATCCTGGACTCCAATGCGCAAGAAGCATCTACGACGCTCCACACACACACACACACACACACACCTCTTTGTGAAACACGCAGCATTTCACGATGACCAGAACAAAGTTGCCCCAACGACGGAAGGCGGGAAGAGAACGACTCTGTGATCTGCGTGTGGGGGGGGGGATTGTTTTGGGTGGCACTGAAGTTCGCCACGACTCCGTCTCGCGCGTCTTTGCTGGGTGGGTTGGCAGTGCAAGGATGTTTTTTTTTGTTTTTTATGATTGCACATCGTGCTCTGATGGTCTCTAGCTCGTTCTCGGACATGTACATTGAGCACCATGTGCAGATGCAACGCCGTGTGGACTCAGATCAAGCGAGAGCTATGCTTCACACTTGCGCTCGCGCTCCCACCCACTCTGCCGCTCGCCCTGTTGCTGCACTCTGGTGGCGCTGGCTGCTGATCGTGTGACTGTGGCACGCCACGCAAGGTGCAACGAGGCGATCAGTGTGACGTGTGACATCCGCCTCAAAGACGATCCAAATGATGTGCATTTGTTTCGTCCTGCTGATCTCTTGTTGTGCTTTTGCATCTTGCATCTCGGTGGGGCGCTCTGGCTGGTTTGGCGGATCGTGATTGCTTTTTGCACAATCTTCTCTCTCCTGCGCTTTATCATCGGCATCGGAGGAGTCCTGGTCCACCCCATCGCTTTATCGCCGGTTGTGGAATCAGTGTGATTTTTTTAATCTTTTTTTTTTAATGTTTTTTACTTTTTTTTTTTCTACTCTCTGCAACATTCTTTCTTAATAACAAACAGCCGACAGCACGCGCGGGTTTCTTTCATCATTTTACCATCATGTGACTACCATCGGAGCGAGGCGGTGTGAGCATATTCCACAAATGCACATGCTTGATGGGAAGGCAAATCTCGTTGATCGTTTCAGCCAGATCCACACTCTATTCTCTCGATCTCTCGTTTGCTGATTGCTTTGTTGTTTGTTCAAAAACCAACCACACTCGCCCTTTCGTCTTTTGCTGCTGGCATGACAACGCAAATCGGCTTTACACAACCGATCTTGACGCTTGCTTCGACTCACTCTCCTTTTGCTGTCATCCTGTTTTATTTTTAGGCGCGCCCTTTTTTGTACTTTATATTTTGTTGTTGTCCAGTTGCCTTTTTGTTTTTTCGCTTTTTCTCTCTCTGTTCGACTTCTCTTCTTGTGGTGCTACTTTGGATCCGATCCTCGTTCCCGTGTGTCCCGGTTTCAAGCATCCATCCATTCCGTCATTGTCGCCGCGTGGCTGAGTCTGCGCCGTCGTATCAAATCCACTTTTTTGCGGTAGCAACCGCCGCCTCTTTTTATCAAACAATTTTGGCCATCCGCGCCACTCATCGTGTCGAGTGTCCGATTCTTCGTCCTCCCACGCGGCACACTCTGCAAGTCTACAGCCCCATCCACTCCTGTCAATAACGCGTGTCCACGAGGTGCAGCGCGCATCGGTAGGGAGGGCGACGAGTGACAAGACGGGTTCGCAAAAAGTCGTTTTTCGCATTTTTTGTTTTTTTATTAATTTTTTCCATTTTTTCATTTTTTCTTCTTCTTTTTATTTTTTTTTTCTACTTTTGCATCCGCTTTTGCTTTCACCTTGACTCGATTCAAGGCCTTTTAGCAAGCATATCCGCGAGAGCACTGCCATATATCCCCCTGTTGTCAAGCATGGCCGCCGTCATCGTGTGCCCCGAGCCCTACATCAGCCCAAACTGCACGGAAACGTTTGGAGAGCATTTGGGCGCGGCCCCGATCGTCACACACTCCATCTACGGCGCGCTCGTAGCCGTGCTCTGCACTCTCGCCGTGTACAACTTGTACATGGTGGTGCGATACAAGAATGGCTGGTCCCTTGACATTCAAAACATTGTGCTGTACTTTGTCGTGTATGGCGCATTCGGCATGCTGCTCCGTGCGTTCGACCCCATGTCGTGGTATGGCATTGTGCCGTACTGGGTGAACTCGTACGCGTATGCCACCTCCACCGCCTGTTGCTTTGCCATGTTGTAAGTTTTCTAGGTCTTTTGGTGAATCGAGTCGGGGGGGGTATGATGCGAGGCAGAATGACATCTCACCGTTTTTTTTTTTTGTTTTCTCGTTCCCTCGCATCCATCATGATATCCCAGTTTCTCGATGGTCTGGAGCTGGATGGGCTTTGTGTCGAAAACAACCTTCCGCCCGTGGTACCGCAAGTTCCTGAACCGAGTGTACATTGGCTCCCTGATTGTGATCTTTTTCGTGAGCTACCTCGCCTTGATTCTCAAGTTCACGCACGTCCTGCTGACCTGGGAGGGAGATGTTGTCGTCTTCATCATGCTCATCACTCTCAACGTGGTATGGAGCTCTGCCGGTGCGTATCACGGCACGCTGATTTGGCGCACCCTCCGCGCAAGTTACAAGCGCTTCGGCTATTCCAGCACGAGCGGCCAGGACGACAGTTCGCACCCGCCCGTCACTGGGAGCTCCGTGCCTGGCGAGTTAACTACACGAGCAAGCACCACCGCTGCAAATGCCGACAAGGTCAAGCAAAAGATGATGCGGAAACGAGCGCACGCACTGCGTCGCATTGCCATTCTCAACTTTTTGTCCATTGGCGTTGGGCTGATTGCCATCGGCGTGATTGCGTACGGAATTGGCTCTCGTATCAGTGCCAAGCGCGACATTGACACCAACCCCATGGACCCGCCCACTATTGGAACTCTGATCCAAAATTACCAATTCGACATTATTCATTTTGTCGTCATGTTCCCTGCGATTTTCTTTTTCCGCTACGCACGACCTCAACGCACCACCGAAGATGTAGATATCGACATGTCAAGCACGTCGCACGGTCGAAACACCAAGCATGAGGTCACAACGCACATCGACGACGAGATCGAACTGGAAGAACAGGTCGACTCGGCCGGGGTGTCGCCAGCACTGCCCCGAGCCCAAATACCAGCGGTGGCGCGGATAAAAGAGGAGGAGGCTACACCCTCCACCTCGTCCACCGACCGCATGTCGGTGCACTCGACCACCGTCGAGATTATGAATTCCAGCGCGTCGCGACTACCCGATGCCGAGGCGGATGTCGAGCATTTCCAGCAACTCTCTCTTGCGGACGGAGCCAATGTTGTAGTGACAGTCGACTCTCAGTCCTCGCAACACGAGTGAGTGAATGAGTTTAAGCTTTTTTGTTTTTTGGTTTTTTGAGCTTTTTGGTTTGTTATGTTGTTTTGTTTGATGAGATTTTGTGTTGCCGTAATGATCAGGCAATCATACGGCGTTGAATAAGAATTTGCTTTTAGTTGTTTTTGTTTGTCTCGTTGCAAGTGTCAAAGTGCTCTTTGGTTCGTTCGTTGAGTGATTTCGTTCAGCAACAACCAAAAATTTTTCGTTTCATTCTTTTTTTTTTTTTTTTTTTTTTTTTGTTCGATTCTTCTTTCCTTCTGATTTTTCAATCACACTTTGTCGTTCTCTCTCTCTCTCTCTCTCGCTTTGTGTCTGCCTTCTGACCATTTGCACACACAATGTCGTTCTTCAACTCGATCTTCTCCACTGCTGCTCCGACGCAGACTGGGCTCCAGACTGTGGAGAAGTTGTGCGATCGGCTTGAGCATTCAACCCTGCTCGAGGATCGCCGCAACGCCGTGCGCTCGCTCAAGTCGCTGGCCAAAGAGTACCAGGTACGATAAACATTGTTGATTCTGTATTGTCGCCGCTGTCACCGTTGCCGTTGGCATGAGCGAGCGAGCGCAAGTAGGCAAGAATCGCGAGATCTACCAAATTTCGCCTTCCCCTTCTCCTCTCTCCACACAACTCCACACAACTCCGACCGACCTCACATCCATCTACATATGAAGCGAACTCCAACCGCGTCCTTCACTGTTGCAACGCGCGTGTTTGAGTTCGACGCCGACAAAGGCGCCACCTCTTCAATTTCTCTTACTCTGGTACAACCACTCGCTCTCACTTTTGCTCGGTTCCGTTTGGGGTCGTCGTTGCATTTTGTGACTCGTAGGCGGACGTTGGCCGACTCGGTCTGCATCTCTTGCTGCACGTCCTCGAGAACGACAGCACGGACGCCGACATTACACGGTTTGCATTGGAGACGCTGATCGCCCTGTGCACTTCGAAACCAAGCCAAGCTGCCAACACGACAGCAGCAGGGGCGCCTGCAGACGACGATCTGGGCTTGCGTTTCACGGAAGCATTCATCCAGATGAACGACACAGTCTCGCTGCTGCTGTCGCTGCTGGCTGAGAACGACTTTTACGTGCGCTACACCACTGTGCAGCTTCTGACACTGCTGCTGACCAACAGGAGCGACCAGCTCCAGAACTGCATCCTCGCTGCACCAATGGGCATCTCGCGTCTGATGGATTTGCTCAAGGATTCGCGAGAGAGCATCCGCAACGAGGCGCTGCTTCTTCTCGTCCAGCTCACCCGCTCCAACCAGGCCATCCAAAAGATTGTCACGTTCGAGAACGCGTTCGAGTTGCTGCTTGACATTATGGAAGAAGAGGGTTTTGCCGAGGGTGGCATTATCGTGCAGGACTGCTTGCATCTCATGTCCAACCTGCTGCGCAAGAACGTAACCAACCAAAATTACTTTCGCGAGACAAGCTGTGTTCCGCGCCTCGTGCCCTTCTTGCGCAGCTTGAGCCCGAGTCACGCCAGTGCCTCGGCGCCTCCGGCTGCGTCGCACCACAACAACGGCTCCTCGCACCACCACCACCAGCACCAGCACCACGGACACGAGGGTCACGGCCACTCGCACGACGGCGACGACGACCATGAATCGCATGGACACTCGCATGCAGGAGGCCACGGTGGTGGCGACGCACAGACTCCCCAACCCGCCCACTGGACGGAACAAAAGACGGCAAACGCGGTGCTCGGCCTGCAGCTCATCCGAATTCTTGTTCCCCCAAACAACACCAGTATCGTCATCACACAAAAGACCATGCTCCAGCATGGCATCATTGCGCTGCTAGCCGAAATCGCCCTCTTCGAGGACCTCCCGCCGCGCGTCAAGTGCGAGGCGCTGAGCACTGCTGCAGAAGTCATCCGAGGGCTGCCAGCCAGCCAAGATGCGTTTGCGCAGTGCCGAGTCTCTGTCAACGGTGCCATTGTGGCCACGCCCCTGGCCCTGCTGTTTGCCATGCTGGAGCCGCGTCGCGCGTTCGCCGAGCGCTCCGCTGCGCTCTACCTGTTCCAGTCGCTGGTCTTGAACAACGAGGACATGCAGACAGCTGTTGCGTCCACGCTCCCTGGAAACTCCATCCCCTTCATGCCCGCGCGCGCCGCTGCTGGTCGAGGGCAGTCGTCCGCGCTGGGCTCTGGCATCCACCCGTCGTCCTCAAGCAACAACCTGATTGCGACTGCCGGTCTTGGCTCTGGTGGTGTCACTCTGGTGGCTCATGTGCAAGGCGCAGGCGAGCTCCTGGCCAACGGCTTGTTCAATGCCCAAGATCCGCTTGCCAACTGGCTGTGCTCGATTGCGCTGGGCTCGGTGATTACCAATAGCACGGTGGCCAAGGACATGGCGCTGTCCTCCCACATCTCCGCTCGTCTCGGCGAAAAGCCCCTCTCGCTCATGTCGCAGTGCACCAACGCCATGACCCAGGTGTCGGGAACAGGGGCGCTTTCCCGCTCGTCGGTCAGCTCTCCGTCTGCCGCCTCCTCCGATCCGTCCAGCACGCCGCGCACCCTGGTGGGCCTGCTTCGCCTTCTCTGCTCGTGGTTGGCAGACTCGCCTGCTGCCGTCCGCACATTCCTGCACTCGACTTACAACCTGCCTTTCCTGGTCGAGCTTCTCGAGCAACACCACTCGACCTCGACTGGCGCCGTGTCCGTTGTCATCCAAGGCATGGCGGCACTGCTTCTGGGCCTGTGCTTTGCCCACAACGACGTTGCCGAGTCCACCTTCAATCGCGCATCCATCCGGCTGACCATCCAAAACCGCATCAATCTCGAGACCTTCAATGGCTATATTGCCAATCTTGGCAGGTGTGAATACTTTACCAAGGCTGCCTCCAACACGAGCTTTTCAAGCACGAAGCCGGGCGATGTGTGGTTTGATTACGAGTTTACCGTCCTGTTCAAGCGCGCGTCCGTCGCGATCGAACGAGCTCTTGATCCTGCGTATGAGCATCTTCAAACGCTGCCACAAGCACCCTCGGCACCGCAGGGCTATGCCTTGCCGTATCAGAACTTTGGCCAGAATCCGGGCGTGGCATCTTCGCCCCAACAACAAGGCCAGCCTTCACCAATGCCACCGCAACAGCAGCCACAGCAGCAGCACCAGCAGCAACAACAACAATACCAACAGCCTCTGACCCCGGTGCAGCAATCAACCCAGCAGCCCTACTCACCCACGCCGCAAGCGTCGGCACAAGTTGCTGATCACTCGGCAGATCATGCCCTTGTCTTGCAAAACTTCAAAGATCTCATCCGCAAGCAAGACAGCGAGATTGCGCAACTCCGAGCCGCCGTATCTCAACGCGATAGCGAGATTGCGACTTTGGTAAAGTCGTGGAATGTCGTTCTGGTTTGTGGTTTGAATTCTGTTTGCCGGTTTGAAAAAGTCTGTCGTTCTCATTTTGGTGTGCGTGGTTCCCCTCCCTTTTTTTTTTGAATTGGGCGTGTAGACTACACAGGTCCAAGCTTCCAAGCAGTCCACTCCAACTTTGCCGTCGCAAGGCGAAGTCTCTGCGCTGCAAACTCTGACAACCCTGCAGCAGGAGCACGACTCTCTGAAGGCAGATCACGAAGCGCTGCTTGGCATTCTGGCCGAGTATGACGACACCAAGGCCAAGTACAGGCAACGAATCTTGGATCTGGGCGGCGAAGTCACTGATGAAGAAGAAGAAGACGACGGCGAAAGCGAGCAGTAATGGCGGTTGCTCTGCAATTTTGGCCCATGTCCTCTTCTTTTTTTGTTTTTATGTCAACATACGTTTTTGTTTAGCGCGGGTTGGTGTTGTGGAATTTTTTTCGTGAATGTCTTTATTACAGTGTTTTGTTTTCATTGTCTCTCCACTTTCGTTCGCAGAATTGTCACTACTCTTGTTTAATAATGGCACTTAAATACAAATACATCAAGCAAGCTCCTAGCTTTTTCAAACGCATCGCTCATCCAGAGACATACGGGGCGATGCGGAGCGGATGCGCTTCGGTGTTGAAGACATACTCGTCCAATGGTAGTACGTCTCGAGGGCTAAACAGCAAAAAGAGGTACTTGAGCGTCTCAGCCAAGAAGAAGCTCTGCATAGAGTTGTTTTGCTTGGGATTTGGGGAATTGACATTCTCGAGACCAGAGTAGGCACTTGGGGTGCGGCAGTGACGCTCGATCGCTTCGAAAATGGCCCACCCCCAGTCCTGGTACACGGGATTGCCCGTGAGACGGAAGAGCACGAACAAGCTCTCGATCGTTTCGGGCCGCAACAGGTAGTTGGCAGATCGGACGGAATAGCCACGGTCGGTATCGGCGGTTCTATCGGCACTCAAGCGCTCGTCTTCGAGCTGAAGCTGCAACGTAGCCTGCTCGGCAAGCGTGAGGGGCTGCCATTTTTCAGACGTTTTGCCATCAAAGGCAACGGTTTCTGGACCAATGCCAGACGGCGACTCCAAGTAGAGGCGGGCGCAAGTGTACGCCAGATCTGCCGCCAGCGCCAAATCTTCGTCAGGGTTGGGACCGCCCTCGGCACCGAGTGCGAGCAGCCCAGGCAGGTAGCAAGACAGATGCCCCATTTCATGAACAGCGACATTGTTTCGGCGATCGGCGACATACAGGAGCTTGGTGGCCGCGGAGCGGAAGAGCAAGTGTTGTTTGAGCGCGACGACGGCCTCGTCATACATACGACGGTGCTGCACTTCGCGCGGGTGACCCCTAAACAGTAGAGCTTGCTTGAGAAGGTACTCGTAGAAGCTGTCCGCGAGAGCGCCAAACGAAATGTCGTTGCCAGAGAACAGTCCCGTTTGGGGATGAATGAGCAGAGGATACAGGCCGCTGACTTCAAGAGGCTGCGCCGCAATCGCATCCATGGCAGCCTGGGCCTTATCGCCGTAGATGGGTGTTTTGGAGTGCGCGGACAGATACTTGAACTCGAGCTGGAAACTACCGACTTCAGCAAGCAGAGAGTTGCCCCGCGTCCACTCTGGGTTTTTCGACACGCCCGTCTTGACATTGACCTCGTGATACGGCAGGCCTGTCTTGGTCTCGAGGGCAGGCATCAAGCGGTTGGCCAGCTCTACGGCTTTCAGCAGATAGATTCCATCCATGCTCAACTCGTACGCACTCAGCAGACCACCCACATAGCGGATGGTCGTCTCAAAGAACGATACGCTCTTGTCGTCGGTGAAGTGCAGGGCAGCAATGTGTTTGCGAGCCTGCGCGAAGGAGGGAAGGGAAGGAAAGGGGAAAAGGGGGCAAGAGCGACATGGCGCGAGAGCACAAATCAAATGAGCAAGGGGTGAGCACCAAGGCTTGGGTGAACAAAGGTACACTCAGAACAGCAAACATTGACTGTACCTTCAGAACGACAGATTCCAGCCCCATCAACATGGCAGTGTCCAGCCCATCAATCATTGTGACACCCCAGCCGTTCCAGCTGTCGTTCGTCGCATTCGTAACAGGTCGAATCTGAGGCGTAGACCCATAAAGACGAATACAAATGAATGATGTGGCGCAAAAATGCTGACGCACAGAAAAAAAAAACCCCACAAACAAACCAAAACAAATAAAACAAACAAACAAAAAAAAAATCTGCCACGCGACATACCTCATCGTGACCCCAGGCGTGAGTCTCATAGCCAGTCCACGCATGAACAAACGCTTGCGTGACGGCAGTGCGGTGAGTCTCAATCTTGGCTGCGCGATCCGCCGCTGCTTTTTTCTTGTTGGCGAGCGCAGCTTGTCGCTCACGCTCCTGTCGTGCGCGTTCCTCGGGAGTCAGCCTGAGACCAGCCTGCTTGAGCTTTTGGTACTCGAGCTGCGCCGCTGCTTGTATCCGAGCATTGGCATTGATCTGGTCCAGGTATTGTTGCTTTCGCTGGTCGTGCTCCTGCTTGAGATTGAGCAGGCGCTCCATTTCGTCGTTGATTCGCTTCTCCTCCGCCAACCTTTCTCGCTCAAGATGAGCTTGCATCTGCTGTTCATCGTCCAGCTCCTCTGCAGGCTCCTCTGCAGGTTTCACTGCAGGTTCCTCTTGCGCAGGCGGTGGCGGCGGTGGCTCTGGCTCTGCTTTCACCGGCTCGGCCTGTTTCGCGCCAATCTTTCAGAATGTTCTGGCCAGGGAGTTTTCCGTGCCTGTTTCTGGGCTTGTTGGGTTTGACGTCTTTCTTCGGTGCTGCTTCGGTGCTGCCGGATCATCAGCCCCATCGTCGTCGGGAATGTCGGCCTTTGGTTTGCCACCTTGATTCGGCCATTCTTGATGTGAATTGCATCCCCATCATCGCTACTGCTGCTGCTGCTGCTGCTGCTGCTGCTGCTGCTGCTGCCTGAGCCAGTTGACAGAGCCAGCAGTGCCACGACGGCAAAGCAGATCAGCAACAGCACGAGCAAGCGTCGACGCTGCGAGCTCGAGCTCTGGTTGAAGACGCCGATCGCGCCGCTCTTGTCGTACACGCGTGTCAGATGAGCAACACGCTTCTTGAGCTTGAGACGACCCAGCAGCGCGTCAAACATGGACGCGGACGACGCCTTGCTGACTCCGTACGACCGCGCGCCGCCAGCAGATCCATAGCCATAGCCAGACCCGGATCCAGACCCAGAGCCGGCAAACGCATCCGGAGCAGATGATGACGAATGATAGCCGTGTCCATTGCCGTACGACGACGCGTCCGACGCAGAGGCAGCAGCAGCAGAAGCAGAAGTGTAGCGCCCGGCGCCGTAGCGCGAGTCGCTCCCGCTGTCGAGCGTGATCTCGTCAAAGCCGCTCTGCACGTAGCCATTGTTGTAGCCATGACTGAAGCCATTGTGGTAGCCGGGAGTGCCGTTGGAGGGCGGCGCGCCTGGCGACAGCGAGGACTGATCAGCACCCCCTCCACCACCACCACCACCGCGGCGATGGTACACTGGCAGCATAGCGAAAGCGCACAACAATTAAAGAATGAAATCACAAGTGCAAGTCAGAATCAGATATCAGAGTGTGGATTGTTGGAGAGAGTTGTTCTATTAACAAAAAATTACAGGATAGGAAATTGGGCGAAACGGTCATGGCAAAAAGTTGCTCAGACTGGAAAGCCCGGGGGTTTTTTTTCCCTCAACCACAAGCAAGGCCTTTGGTTGTCAAAGAGGAAGGACAAACCAACAGAATTACAAAATGGTGCAAGTACCACTGCCAGTCGCAGCTGGCGGATTGGTTGGCGTGCGCGCTCCCGTGCCAATGGATGCCGTAGAGTTCCGCGCGCTACCTGGATCTGTACGCGGGACGGAGCGCCGCTGTGGCGGTTCTGGGGCCTGTGCAGTCTGTGGGTCGGTCCGGCGACCTTGAGCTGCTGTGCCTTGCGGCGCAGGGTGCGGCTGGTGCTGCTGCTGCTGGTGCTGTTGTTGGTGCTGCTGTGGTCCATTGGGCGGTTGGTGAGCACCTTGCGCCTGAGGGGCGGCAGGATTGGGTTCGCCGAGGACCACAGCACGACGAGGGTTGTTGATCTCTTCCAGCTTAAACTTGGTGCGCCTCAAGTTCTCGCGTACGCGGGCCGTGTACGGATGGTCCGGTCCAAGCCAGCGCTCGCGGATGGCCAGCGCACGCTCGTACAGGGGGATGGTCTTTTGCAGCTCGCCTCGAGACTTGTACAAGGCGCCGAGATTGACGCACACCCGAGCCACCTTGGGATGGCTCGGGCCGTGTATCCGCTCGCGGATTGGCAGTGCCTTGAGATAGTGCTGCTCTGCAAGGTCAAACTCACTCAAACCATCGTACGCCAAGCCCAGGCCGACAAACGTCTGGGCCATTTCTTCGCTATCTTCGGCAAACAGTTTTTGTCGAATCCGCAGGGCCTCTTCATACAACGGTAGGGCTTCCGAGTAGTCGTGCAGCACGTAGTGAATGTCGGCAAGGGCAAACGTGGCGTTCGCAACCTCTTCTCGCTCCGAGCCGAGCGTCGCCTTGTACATGACGATTGAGCGCTCGCGGAGCCGCTTCGCACCGTTCTCGCCAGTCAAGCGGCCCTGGTTGCCCTTGACGAGCGACAAGTTGTACAGGGCATCGGCCAGCCGCTTGGCTGCACAGCCGCGTGTCAGCACGGCAAGCGCACTTGAGGACAGCTTTGTCGACACGTCAGCCAGAGTAACTTTCTGGCACACCAGGGCACGAACGCACAAGGTTTGAAGATCCGGGACACCTGCAGGAGCCGCCTCTTTGGTGGTGGCAGACGCCAGTTTCGTTGTGGCCGAATCCAATGGCGGACGCTGTGTCGAGTCTTGCCGGTGTAATCCCGCGGCGGCAGACGCATCTCCCGAAGATTGCCCTTGCCCTGCGGCATGTCCATGAGCATGCGCAGAGCCATGTGCGTGGTGCCGACGACTAAAGTTGGATGCGGCAAACGTGTTTACATCTTGGTCGCTGATGGCAAAGGTGGAAACCTTATCCTGAAGGGCCAGCGCCTCGAATAAAATCAACGAAATGTCGTACGCATGCTGGAAGAGGCCCTCGGCAATCTTGTACGCGCCATACTCGCGAATTTTATGAGCCGCAGAGGTCATCCGGACGACGATGGCGTCGTCCTGCATGAATGCCAGAGCTACATAGTTGACGCGATCGATCAGCTCCTGACGCGTCCGCGGCGCAATGTGCCTGTTCCAAAAGCCAGGAGGAACATGGCCGTGTTGCTGCTTGAACGAGGCGGCTTCTGCCGCATTCGGGGGCAAAAATAGCGTGGGCGGGTGCCCATCGCTGCCATTTGGCATGAAGGGAGAGCTGCCTGGCAAAGAGGTCGACAAAGACCCGGGGCTCGGCAGGGAAGGAGAGTCCTTCCTCAGGGCGGCCTCGATTGAATGGGGCGTGCCGCCGGGCGAGGACGGAATGGTGCTGCTGCGACGCCTCCCGCCACCCGTGGCCAACAGCCGTGTCATGTGCGGAGTGAATAGAACGCACTTTAAAGGGTCGTATTTACACAAGGTGAGCACCACGAGGCGCCAGTCGACATTTGGCTCGCGCGTGTGCAGCACTTTCAAGTGGTCGCGCTTGCAAATGTAGTACCAGACCTCCAAGAGCGAGCCAATGTGGTACATCATCCTGCAGGTGAGAGAGAGATTGCCGAGACTCACAACATCCAGCTGCATGCAAAGGAAGGCGAGAATTTCTGGAGGTAACCTGAGCAGCGGCGACTGTTGCCGCAACTCGAGCTCGGTCTGGGTTGGGTCGACAAACGACGAAATGGAGGACGATGTCGAGTTGCGGCGGGATGAGGTGGCAGTGGAGGCCTCTGATGGCGATCCTACCCCACCGTCGTGAAGACTTGCATCGCTGGCAACGGCAGGTGTGGAAGAAGAAGATGCAGAAGAAGAAGAAGACGGCTTGGAGTGCCCCTGTTGTTGTTGATGGTGCTCAGCGTGCAGTTGCTGCGGCTGCTGGTGTTGGTGTTGATGCTGTTGCTGTTGTTGTTGGGTCACCAGTTGCGAAAACCAACCAGTCACCTGGGGTTTGGGTTGATGGTTGCTGCTCAGGGCGTTTGGAAGCTCAAGGGCCGAGGCTGTTGCTGTTGCAGCCGAGAGCCACGGATCGACACGTTGCAAAGCGGGATCGGTCTCGCCCAGCTCCTCGTCATCATGCTCATCGTAGCGCGAAATGCGGCTCGACGCCGGACTGCCGCGAGACATGTTTGAACTGGGGCTGGCTTCGCCTGGCGTCCCCGTGCGACTGGGACCGGCGCTAATCGGCATCCATCGGTCACTTGCCCGTCCGCCACTTGAGGATGGTCCCGACGGCGCGATGTATGGTCGCTTTTCCATCGCAATCTGCTGGTGGGAACACAACAAGGTGAGGAAGTTGAGGCCTTGTGTTTGGGGTCAGCTCTGTTTTTGTTGGCAGTCGGTCTTACAATAAGAAGCGGGGGGACTTTCAAATCAATCTCGATAAAGCTTGTATTGGTTTCGTCTCGATGTCGCCTGCCAATGGCCGCTCGTTGCGATACGAAATGCTTGTTCGATATGTCCAATGTGGTTTCCTGTCAAACAATCGCCGCGTTTGAACGCTGTCAAATCGGCCAGTGAGTTCAGCAGCAGCCATTGCAACCACCACCCCCACGCCCACCAACCGCCACCCAAACCACACAGCAACTAGCATAAATGAGTATCGGGATGTCAGCTCGCCCACCGTCGCCGACAACAGGAAGAGAGGCGGAATTTGAGTGAGTGTCAAGGTTTGATGACGAACGGGAAGAAAGAACCCCCGCTCTCCTTTCCCCGGCTTGGATAAACCGTGAGCTTGGAAGCCATCTTGGACTGAGCATGCTTATCAGACGCACTGAAGCCCCACACACAAGCACTGGGCCCGCGCTTCCCCTCTTCCCCCTCTCCTACGACAAAGGCTTGAGAAAAATAGAAAAAAAAAAAAAAAAGGGAACGAGTTTTCCGCTTTCTATCTCTTTCATTTGTTTTTTGCCACACTTGTGCTCGCAGTGCATTCATTCATTGTGCGTTAGCAACTCGATCATTTCGCCCTGTGCAGTGCCCCAAAAAGTCAAAACGCAAGAGTCGCTACTGTTCTGGTTGGATGAGGCGAGTACGAAGCGGCATAGCGAACCCCCGCTTCCTTTTTTTTTTTTTTTTTTTTTTTTTTTTTTTTTTGCATTTGGCCCTTCATCACGAGCGCGCGTCATCAACGAGCCAGAATGGAGTGGAGGTGGTGGAGAGACAGATAGAGGGGAGAGTGAGTGAGTGAGTGTGTGTGTGTGTTTGTTGCCAAGAAGCCCCGACTATGTGGTTGGTTGTGCGCAATGGAGCACCGCTGCCGTACCTTGATGGAAACCAACCCGTAAAGTAAAGTGTGAAAATGGACGACTGAAGCTGGACAAGTCAGACAACAACAAAAACACAAAACAAAGAACGGTGGTCGAGGTTTGCTCGTTGAGAAGGGGTGGAGAAGCTTGGTGTATTTTGACGATCGGACGAAAACTTGAAAACACAAGCGAGATTGATTGAAGCGCCTTTTTCTGTACTGTAGCTTAGTGCTTGGGTGCCATGCGCTTGGAAAGATAGATCGTCCACAGGAAGGCAACAGCGTTGGCAAAGAGAACGCGGTACTGGAGCGGGATGTAGTTCAGGTTGATGAACTGGGCGGGTGTCCAGACAATCAAGTTCATCTTGACAGCACCAGGGTAGAGGGTGCGCACCTTGTGCATGGTTTCCTCCCACGTCTTGCCCTAGACAATACAAGACAAAGGGAGGGGGTGGGGGATTGGTCGGACGCGAAATCCATGCCAGGTGAGCACTGTGACAAATACTAAAATCAACAACACACACTCAACCTACCTCAAGCAATGACACCACGATAAAGAACAAGAGAGTGAAGAGCGGTGCGAAAATGAATCGCTCGCCGAGCAGCTTGATGAACTGACGCGATCGCGACGGTGGCTTGCCGGGAGTGGAGAAGCGCTCCAAGATTTCGTAAAACTTGTGAGTGATTGGTCCGTTAAAGCAGAGTCTAAGCAAGCAGCCGCAAAAGCAACCATTCAGAGGCATTTTCGACGTGATGCATTCGGGTGAGTGAGTCAGACAAGGTCTGTGTTACCCAAAGATCGCATAGGATGCGATGGAGCGATAGTCCACGCGAGGAGTGTTCCGGATGCGCTGCGAGAGAACGTTGCCTGCGCCACCAAAGGCCAACAAAAGCACCAGTGAATGAGCTGACTTCTCAACAACATGCATGCACAGACATTCAGGCCGAGCCCTTGAGTGGGACAGCAGGAGAGGGGTTAGCAGGATGAGTTGTCGGATTTCGTCTGCCCCCTCCAGCAGCAGCCAAACAGCTCGACGATCGGAGGGAAAGACGCACCGAGTGAGGCAATGACACTTGCAGACACGGCTTTGGTGAGCATCGGGCGTCGTTGGAGCGCGCCGAGGTACGCCTGCAGCAGTGCGTTGTTCGCCATCAGAGTTCAGCAAGCAAGGACGACTAGACTGCCCTCAGCGATCGTCCCTTTTTGATACTTGTGATACATGTACAACGACCACATTTATTTGCACAGCTCCTTACTTGTATGTGTACTGTACCTCATTGTGGCTGCCAGTCAGTCTATTCTTCAATGCGAAGCTCTGTCGCCCTGTTCGCGCTCGTCGCTCTGCTCGGCTTTGCGGCCGCCGGTGCGTCTGCCATGCCCGCCCACAAGTTCCACCACCGTCCCGTTCACCACAACGGCGACGCTGACACTGCTGCCTACCCGCTCATCGAGATCACGCTCTACATGGAGTCGCTGGTAAAGCACTTCATCAGCCTCTTTCTCCCGCTCGCTTTTTGTCGTCATTGCTCAACGCTCAGTGCTCGTGTCGACGGCAACCGGCGAACAGCCATTCTGGCCAGATGAGTGTTGGCGGTGTTGGTGGTGGGGTGGGGTTTGAGGGGCGGCTCTTGAACCGGGGTCTGCTGGGTGACTCGTGATGATACCTCCGACACGCACTGATTGACAGACATGCACACATACACGAGCACACTTTTGGCTGACCTTGTTTCTGACCTTGCTTCGGTTTTGTTTCTGTTATCATTCTTAGTGCCCCGACTGCCAAGCGGTAATAACGAAAAGCAGGCTCAAATGTTTGGAAATCATCTCCAAAAACTCACTTGTTGTTCAACGTGTAAACAGCTCATTGCTGGCGATCTCTGGAACGTCTGGAACTCGAGCATCTCTTCCATCATGAACTTGACCCTTGTTCCGTACGGTAACGCCAAGGAGTCGCAGTCCGGATCGACCTGGGAGTTTACTTGCCAGCACGGGTAAGTCAGGTCCTGATTGCTCGTGCCCCTTTGGATTCATGATTTGCTCATGGTATTGGTTTGGTGTATCCCGATCGCTGCTTGCAGCATGTACGAGTGCGTTGGTAACGTTCTCGAGGTAAGCCGAGTGCTCAATTCGTTGTTTTGTTTTGTTTGGGTTTTTTTTCGAAGAAGTTTTCCGCTCACTCAACGCACGCTTCCTCTTCACCACAACCCCCCCCCATCCCTCCGACATAGACCTGCGCCATCAACTTGCTCCAGAACTCGACCGTCTGGTTCCCGTTCATTCACTGCCTCGAGGGCACTTCTGCCCCCAACGCTGCCGGCCCCGCTTGCGCCGCCAAGCTTGGCATCAACTTTGACCCCATTGATGCCTGCATGACCTCCGCCCAGGGCAACGCCATGGAGCACGAAATGGCGCTCAAGACGGCCGCGCTGGTTCCCGCCCACACCTACGTTCCCTGGGTCACGCTCAACGGTGCCCACTGCGTCCCATGCGAGAACGGCCACCTCAAGCAGGCCATCTGCGGTGCCTACACTGGCCCGAAGCCCGCTGACTGCTAAACCAAAGCCAAATCTACCCCGACGTGGACTGCACACACAACAGCCGTCCCCTCTTCGAGGGTCCAGCAGTTTGTGTGTGCGCGGATGATCTTTTCACTGATTTCTCACTGTTTTTGAGACCCCCCTGGTTAAAAGAATTCGAAAAGATTTTTGGATTTGTTTGAAGCTTGTTGATCAGTCAAACAGTGCAAGTCGGGCTACACCAAACCAGTGTGTGGTTTTCCCCGAGCTTGTTGGATTTTTTTTCTTTTGTCTTGTTTGAGATGACATTGGGACACAGAATACAAACTCGCTCCCGTTTCGGAGACAGCAACATTTGGCACGCCATTCATGTACATCATTGTGGCAGCCAGTCAGTCTTTTCTTCTGCATCCATTTGTTTGTTTCCCAATGCGAAGCTCTGTCGCCCTGTTCGCGCTCGTCGCTCTGCTCGGCTTTGCGGCTGCCGGTGCGTCTGCCATGCCCGCGCACAAGTTCCACCACCGTCCCGTTCACCACAACGGCGACGCTGACACTGCTGCCTACCCGCTCGTCGAGATCACGCTCTATATGGAGTCGCTGGTAAAGCACTGCACCTTATCAGCCTCCTTCCCCCCCTCGCTTGTTGTCATTGCTCAACGCTCGTGTCGGCGGCAACCGGCGAACAGCCATTCTGGCCAGATGAGCGTTCGTGGTGACGGGGGGTGTGAGGTTTGATGCGAAAAACAAAAAAACGTGGATCAGGAAAGTGTCGCGACCGGCCTGACTCGTGACCTGTGATGTTACCTCGTGATGATAGATCAACTTCACACTTATTCACACACACACACACACACACACACACACACACACACACACTCTCTCTCTCTCTCTGCCATACACGAGCACGCTTTTGGCTGACCTTCATGCTGACTTTGCTTCTGACCTTGCTTCTTTGGTTTTCTGTGATTATTCTAGTGCCCCGACTGCCAAGCGGTAAGAACGAAAAGCAGACTCCAAATGTTTGGATCTCTCGAATCCATTTCTCGTATCCAAAAACTCACTTGTTGCTCCACGTGTAAAACAGCTCATTGCTGGCGATCTCTGGAACGTCTGGAACTCGAGCATCTCTTCCATCATGAACTTGACCCTTGTTCCGTACGGTAACGCCCAGGAGTGGCAGTCTGGATCGACCTGGGAGTTTGAGTGCCAGCACGGGTAAGTCAGGTCCTGATTGCTCGTGCCCCTTTGGATTCACGATTCGCTCATGTTGTTGGTTTGGTGCATCCCGATCGCTGCTTGCAGCGCGCGTGAGTGCATTGGAAACGTTCTCGAGGTAAGCCGAGTGCTCAATTTTTTACTTTTTTTTTTTTTGTTGTTGTTGTTGTTGTTGTTTGTTGTTGTTATTTCCAAAAGAAGTTTGCCGCTCGTTCTCTCGCACTCACTCAACGCACGCTTCCTATTCAACACAACCTCCCATCCCTCCGGCTTAGACCTGCGCCATCAACTTGCTCCAGAACTCGACCGTCTGGTTCCCGTTCATTCACTGCCTCGAGGGCACTTTCAACCCCTGGTCTGCCGGCAACCAATGCGCCGCCTATTTTGGCATCGACTATGCGCCCATTTATGCATGCATGAACTCTGCCCAGGGCAACGCCATGCAGCACGAAATGGCGCTCAAGACGGCCGCGCTGGTTCCCGCCCACACCTACGTTCCCTGGATTACGCTCAACGGTGCCCACTGCGTCCCATGCGAGAACGGCCACCTCAAGCAGGCCATCTGCGGTGCCTACACTGGCCCGAAGCCCGCTGACTGCTAAACCAAAGCCAAACCAGTGTGTGGTTTTCCCCGAGCTTGTTGGATTTTTGTCTTTTGTCTTGTTTGACATGACATTGGGACACAAAATACAAACTCGCTCCCGTTTCGGAGACAGCAACACTTGGCACTTCATTCATTTCGTAAACGCTTGTCTCAGTTTTTTTTTTTTTTTTTTTGTTTTTTTTCCCCCGTTCGTTTCTTCAGACTTTTCAATGTCGAGTTCAAGCAGCGTTTACAGCGGCGACTACTCTGCCGACGATCGCAGCCTCAACGTGCCCGGTGCGTTCACCCTGAGTGCTCAACTACGCTGTCCTAGTTTAATATCAGTAGATGGAGGGTGGAGTGGTGAGTGGTGAGTGGGGATGGGGGTGTCGTGGTCAGAATGCTGGTCTCTTGGCGAAACCAAAAAAAAAAAAAAAAAAAAAAAAAAGACCTGTTTTTCTTTTGGCTTCTTTGACAAGCAAGAACTCTGACACGCTGCTGCTGGGCTTCTTCTTGTGTGATGCTCACTATTGCTTGCATTATTCGACCAACACAATGAAAGCGGAGCGAGAGGGGGGGGGAGAAGGCACTTGGGAGAAGCGAACCATTCGAGGGAATCAGTGAAAAGCGAGAGAACCATGTGCCGAGTGACTGTGACTGTGATTGTGGCCGCCCGCATAAACCCCTGACTCTTGTCCCCCCCCCCCATTTGGCCACTTTGGCTGGTGAGGCCAGGATAGACCGCCGTGGGATTATTTTGGAGGACGGGAAGGGGAAGGGGAAGGGAAGGAGAACGGGGAAGGTCTTCGCTTGGCTCTTCTCCCACTGTCTCTCTCTGTCTCTCCGGTGCTGACTGTGCGATACCGTTGTAACTCACGATTTGGCATGCGGTCCCTTTTGGAACACAGTGACACCGAACGTCAACCAAGTCGGACGAATGCTCTCGTCGTATGCCTGGCAGTATGACCCGGCTGTCTTTGCCAACACGAACATGGAGCTGCTTGCTCCCGAAAGCGTCTCGCAGGCTCCCCTCGGCATCGGCCATCGTGTCTGCTATGGTAAAGCTTCTTCTGCTGCTCTACGAAAAAAAAAGCCAACGCACAGGATCGAGGATGGTGGAAATTGCTGCAAAGGGGGTTTTTTTTTTTCCTTTTTCCCCTTTGTTTGTTGCACTCATTTCGTCCACTTGTTCTCGGAATGTCAGGCACTGGCACGTCGTACTTGGCTGGTGCAGCGCTTGGCACGCTTTATGGCGTGGGCTCTGGTCTGCGCAACCCTGACGCCACCTCCACCCGCCTGAAGGTCAACAGTGTGCTGAACAGTGTGACACGGCATTCCCAATCGGTCGCGCACACTGTCGGTGTTGTCGCGCTCGTATACACAGTCATGGATGGCGTTACCATCCGCCTTCGCGATGGCCAAGACGATGCCTACAACACAATCGGATGCGGTATTGGCACGGGCCTTCTTTTGCGCTCAGCGTGTAAGGAGTGTTTTGTGCAATGTTTTGTTTTTTGTTTTTTATTTTGATTTTGGAAACGAGTTGGGGGGGCGGTTTCTTGAGGAGCTAATCACTGTTTCCGCTGTGTCATCCCAACAGCTGGCCTGAGGCGTTGCTTGATGGCCGGTGCCCTCGGTGGCGCCATGGCCGCAACATACTATTTCGGCAACCAGATGCTCAATAAGAACGAGGATTCGGCACCACAACATTGATCAATAAATAATAAAAGCATTCATTTTCAAAGCCTTAAGAGAGTCAAAAAACAGCTTTATTGAAAGATCGCTCGATCACAGCGTGTCGCGCTAGAGAATAAACAAAACAAAAACAGAATTAACAAAAACAAAAACTAACAATGTTCAATCCCAATTTTAAAGAATGCTACAGCAACCGAAAACACTTGGCGACTGGTAAGGCTGTAGGTGGTGTAAAGTAGCAGACAGAGACAGATACTCAGATGAGCTCAAGCAGCCAGCCAGCATCAATACGCAAAACACAGCACCACCAAACTTGCCTTGTTGCCGAGCAGCCGAGTCGTTTCCGCGCTCGCTCGTCGGCGGACACTGCTGCTATTGATGGTACTATTGACGCTGGACTTGGTTGACACCATGCCGAGCGACGCCACGTACGACATTTGCCGAGGAGAGGCTGGCGCCGAATTGACGGGTGTGGATGCCGGGATGGACAAGCTAATGCCCTCCACGGCGTTAGATGACATGAAGCGCGTTGATGGAATGGTACCTACGTCGTACTGCTTGGCGTTGATACTGGGCAGTTTGAGGTAGCGACAGATGGCCGAGCATCGATGGGTCTGGAGGAATTTCTCAATGCCCTTAATGCCCAGGTTGCCCTTTCCAAAGCCTACCCGGTCGATGGTGTGCATTTGAGGGTCTGTGTACCGGTCACCCACTCCCTGGACGTCGCAGACAAGGAGCTGGTGCTTGGACGCCTCGTAGGTAAAGTGCGAGAACGCTTGCGGCGTGTTGCGCTCGTCGTCATCGTTTACATAGCCATAATTGTTGTTGTGCTTGCGGTATGGTCCGTCGATAAAGTGCTCTACGGCGCACAAGGGATGATTGGGACGATCCGTCAGCGAAATGAGCCACGCTTCGATAAACTCGATTTTCTTTGGCGGATTGTACGCATTGTAGCGATCGGCCCACAGGCGGCAAAACATTTGCATTTCTGCAAAAAGTGGTGATGGAGACGACGGGTGTGAGCTCATATCCACGAAAGGCATGAAAGCATGAAAAATAAAACAACAAACACAAACGGAAAAAAACAAACAAATAAAACAATCCGCACCTGCATCTTGGAAATACTGCTCGCGCTCCTCTTCCCCGACAGCCATCTTTGCCACAAAAGTAACACCCTTGTTGGCTTCAGACAAGTCCATCATATGATAGGCCGCACGCAAGCCACCGCGCGCAAACGGCTCGCTCTCAATTTTCACGCTGATGGGCGTGTTTGTCCAAGTGCCCAAAGCGACACTGAAAGTGTGCTTCATGGCGCTCTCGCTAGCAAGTAGGGCAAAGTCTGGAGGTGGCCGATGAGCGACGGTTGTTGGGCCTAGAGAGCGAGAGCGAGAGAGAGGATGAGCTACAATTCTCAGCATGTTGTCCGCCCCCCCCCCTCCTTCTGAACAAGCAAAAACCATCAAGACATAAGAATCTCTTCGCCCTTACTGTGTGACTCGCCGCGAGGACTGCCGCCAGCCGTTGTCGACGTCACTGAAGTGCAGGTGGTGCCCGTCAGCTCGTCGACCAGCTGGGCCTTGCGCTCTCGATACTCGGTCACAGTAATGTAATCTTGTTCGTAGAGCTCCTTGAGGTTCTTGAGACGCGCCCAGTACTCGACCTGGCGTATGCTGGGAACGCCTTTGGTTGCTGCACGACCGCCCACATCGCTGGCAAACTTGGCGTGTCGCGAGCTTGGCCGTGTGTCAGAGCCATGCGAAGACAGTTCATCCGACGATGACGACGGAGGTGATGCCATTGTGCCAAACGCAAGCGTAGCCGAGAGACGTTGGCGCGATACGTGCGAACGGCGCTTGGTCGAGTGGGTCCCGGACGACAGCGACGAGGATGACGAGGCTGCCGACGGTGGCGGAGACGGCATAGACTCAGTGGCTGCCGTGGTGCCAAGCCCGTTGTTCAGCAGCGCCGGAATGGACGGTGCGGACGCGGCAGCAGCGAGTGGCATCATTGCAGCATTCAATTGCGGATGGTTCAAATCAGCAGACGCAGACGCAGACCCAGCAAGCGCACCGTCAGCTGCAGTCGACGCAGCAGCAGCAGCAGCAGCGGCGGCAGTGTCAGTAGCACTTGGAGTAGTCGCAGTAGTCGTTGAAGCAGTAGTAGTAGGAGTAGCAGCAGCAGCAGCGGTCGGAGCGGGTGAATTCGCTACGGAATGTCGGAGGTGAGATTGGCGTGGGTTCGCTGATGATGAGGCATCGCTCTTGTTGCTGCTGCTGTTGGCAGCCGACTCGTCGTCCTTGTCGTCGTCGACGTCCGCATCAGCACCGGCGTCTGCGTCCTCGTGCAGGCTGGCTGGACGGAGGAGTGCCCGTGGTGGTGGTGGTGATGGTGGTGGTGGAGGAGAAGAAACAGCAGGAGGAGGAGGAGGAGGAGCAGTCGCTCCCGGCTTGATTGTTGCTGCCAGATTGGATGCTGATCGGGAGGAATCGGCCGAGAGTCCGCGCGCAGGCTGCATGAGCGGGTGCTCTTCAACGAGCGTCAGCGCCGGCGACAGTGGCTGCGAGGGTGGTCGGGACGCAGTCGTCAATGTACCCGTCGTCGAAGGCGAATGTGACACATGCGAGCCAGCTGAGGACGGTGCTGCTGCGATCGGCAGCGCAAGCCCGCCATCACGATCGGCCGCCATGAGTGTCAGTGCCGGTGGTGTAGTCGATGCTGATGCTGGTGGCAGTGCTGAAGCGGTGGCGCTCTCAGATTCACCAGCAGCAGCCGTGGTGGCTGGCGGTTTGCTGGTGGTAGTGGCTGCCGCCTCCGGTTCGGTCGTGCTGGACATTGCCGTCCAAGGAGGAGGGGGAAGGGGTGTGGTGTGTGGTGAGGTGAGTGTCGCCAACAGAACTTGGAGCGGGCAACGACACGGGACGACAAGAGGCGAGAAAGACGGAGCGCAGAACAGTTCTCAAAATAAAAAAAAAATCACAAAAAAAAAATCAAAACAAATCAAAAAAAGAAGGAATGAAAGGATTTGAAACAAATTTGGCGCGAAAAAACAACACGTCCGCGACGTTGCTCTCCTGTTGTTGCTCTTCGGTCGGGGTTTGCGATTGCGCGAGGTTTTGCATTGGACTGCGTTGTGGTCTCAGAGTGTGTCGTGTGTTTGGTGCAAGATCAGCATGCCACGTGCACGAGAGGAGACATTGGTGGCAACGTTGAGCGAAACGCGACTTTTGCACCTGCCGCGCCTTGTTGATCTGGCGGTTTTCTCGCACTGCGATTTTCAAGGACTGCGCTCAGACAGACTTGTTGATCAGGGGAAAAAGAGGGAAAAAGTAGGTCGGCTTTGTCAAGTCGAGTGATGAAGCTGGAGTTTGAGTTGGCTTTCATCTCAAAAACCTCACGCTCCAGCATCGAAAAAGTGAGTGGCCGTGCGGTGATGCGTTTTGTGAATATACATCTATTTGCGCTCACTGGAGCAAGGGGAAGGTCGGAGAAGGTCGGGAAGGTGGCTTGGACGGGGAGTGGGAGGGAAGTGAGATAGTGGGAGAGGTCCCTTCAGTGGGAGAGGTCCCTGAGCTGGATCTAGACGTTCACAAGAGTTTGTGCATGTTGTGACCGACGAGACGAGGCTGTTGTTTGCAAACATAGGGGTTGCGAGCCCCGATCCTCATTCGCCATTTGATCAAGAGCATCTCCGGTGCGAACAGATCCCCGCTGTGAACAGCATACACGTCGAAGGTGAGGTTGTATAGAGATCGTGTGTGTGTGTGTGTGTGTGTGTGTGTGTGTGTGTGTGTGTGTGTGTGTGTGTGTGTGTGTGTGTGTGTGCGTGTGTGTGTGTCACTTTTCGACTTCTGGGACGAGATTGTGGGTGTGACAGTCTTCTTTTCTCAACCAAAATTAATTACATGTTTGTCAACTCCAAACTCCGCGCTCACCGCATCGTCACGCTCATTCTGACGTTAACATCAGCTGTGTTTTATGCCGTTGCTGCTGCGAGCAACACGGTGTACAGCGCCGATGTGAAGACGTACGTGCCTAGCGAGGGCTGGGTGAATGTGACCGCCGACGGCGGGTTTTGGAAGATGTGCGTCCTCGACTACTGCGACTGGTGGCATTGGCAGGATTTTGAAACCTATTCGCTCGTCACCAACTCTGGATTGTCCAAGCTCTACTCGAGCGGCAGTGTTGTCGCGTCTGGCGCGCTGTTCTCTGGGATTGCCGCGGCGTTTATCGCTGCCGTTACAATCAACGCGACGCTCCGCATTCGCTGGGTCCTCGTCCCACTCAGCTTGGCTGTGATTGTCGCGGCTGCGGGCTTGGGCATGGCGGCAGACATCAAAGTCCGCCCCGAAACATGGCTCAATGTCAGTGTCATCCCGATCCCGGTTACCATCGACTACGGTCACATGTTTGGCCTGATCGCCGCAGGCTTTGTCGCCGTCCTCCTGGCGCTCGTTCAAGAGATTGCAGTGTTCGTTGTGCATGGCGACCAGCACTACCTGACCATCCAAGCATAACTCTGCGCATCCTTGTTGCATGATCCCAAAATAAATCTTTCGTTTTAGGCTGTCAGCACGTGTCGCCCACACAGTTTTTCGCATTTGTTCTGAACGCTTGGAACGTGGTCGATCTTGACGTCACAGGGACCCTCCATTCGCATTGGATTCGCAGGTCCATTGAGAGGGCCTTGTGTGGTGCTTCTGGAGCATCGGTGTGCGAATGGCGGGCGGAGATTGTATTTTAGGTAATTGCTTTTTGGGGGGCGGGGCAAACTCGATGACGGTTCCACCCCCACTGTTTTCCCATGAGTGGACTTTGTATTGTGAGGTGGGGGAACGCAGCAACGCGATAACAGGTCTGGGAGGCTGACAGAGCCACCTCGGATCGTCGTCACGCAAACTACTCCAAACATGTTCACTGCAACGTCATCACGACCACATGCTTCCTTTTGTTTCGGGCTTCTTCCCATCAACGGACACTACTAAAGTTCATTGTCATAAAAACGGAGGGGAGCGATAGTGAAAGAAACACCTCGAAACGAACTTGAAGCGTCCACACTTGGAAAAGTGGATTGTCGCGTAACTTCTGCGAAACCCACCCACCCCCAGACTCACATAACCGAATAACGGTACAGTGAATGATTCGACACAAAACCCACCAAGAGTGCGGGAAGACCCCCCCCCCCAATATTGGCCCAGTGCCAGTCTTTTGGTTCTGAGAAATTTCCATTCGGTTTGTTTCTGTTTCTCGCTCTGTTGCTCGTGTTCCCCTTTCGATATTGATGTTTCACACTGTTCTGCTTGTCTTGATAGTGACTCTTGCAGCCTCTAAATGAAGCGAGGCGTGCGAACGGGAGATACGTCCCTCCCTGAGCATTGCCAAATCGATGGAAAGGCGCGAATTCAAGGAATTCGGGATTGTCTTTGAGCTCACCGTGCATGTGAAGTGCGATTGAGTGTGCAAAGAACCGCACCTTTTATTTTGCTGATTTTTGGTGTTCCTCGTCTTTTCAGACAGTCTCAGTCTCTCTTTGTTCAACACCAAGTGTGCGTATGTCACCCATTTCAGCTTTTTGACACACCTCGCACACCACTCTCCTTCTCCTCGCCACCTCCGCCGCTGTGCTCTTACCTTGCTGGTTGCGCCATCAATCACGAGCAAACAAAAACGCTTCTGCTAAACCTCCTTACCCTTCGCTTCGTGCTCGGGCAGCAGGCATCGCCATCGCCGCCCAACCCGCAAAAAAAAAAAAAAAAAAAAAAAAAGTAATGTAGCACGGAATCGGCTGGATTTTGACACTTCGCACCTCCGCACGCATGTGTGCACTGCTCATCCCTGCATCATTGGCCCCGGGGTTTGTTCAACGTGCGAAAGCAGTCTCCAGCCGAGCGGTCGAGAACCAACGTGAGCAAGAAGAGAGGTTTGGGTGGTCGAAAATGGGCGCAGGATTCTTTTTGATTTTTACTTTTTTACTTTTTTTTTTACTTTTTTTTTTTTTTTTTACTTTATCGCTGTCTCTGCCTCTCGCTCCCCAGCGTGCGTGCTGGATGCTCGTCCATTGTTCTCGCTCCATCCTCTCATGGAGATGCTTGGGGCACACGCGGGGGAACGTTCTTCTGGAGTCGAGAAAGCCCCTTTCTTCCGTTCTTCGCATTTTTACCGCTTCTTTATTTCTTGTTTTCGTATTCGTATGAGTATTTTTATTTTTCGATGATTTTCCATTCTCTGCTCTGCTTCAACGACTCCATCCCGCGCAATCCCCCCCCCAACCAAAAGCCACTTGTTGCTGTTCTTCCTCAGCGACCCTGCTTCCCTCTCCGTACTTTTGTGCCTGTTGTTCACAAATGTTTAAACAAAATGGGGCCAAACCACAAAGAAATAGCAAGCCTTCTTTCCTCGCATGATTGTTGCCCTCCCCGTCTGCCTTTCTTTTGCCCCTCTCCTTCATTGCATGCCATTGCCTTCTGCTGCGCTTGCAGTCTTCATCGCGCGTCTCTCCCTCTCGCTCCCTCGCTTTTGCTTCTGCTCTCCTTCCTGCTTCGTTTTGCTGAACCGACAAACCCTAGTGATTTTTGGTGATTTTTGTTGGTATTTTTCAACTTGCCTTTTTTTTTTCCATTTCGAAAACTTGCCTTTTTTTTTCCGTCATTTTTTTTTTCTTTTTTTCTTCCAACCCACATCATGACAACCAACTCACTCTTCTGTTTTGAATGTTTCTTGTTGTTTGACAGACTTGCGCTTGTTTTCTTTGTGCTGAACAAAAAACAAACAAACAAAAATGCACCGTCTGGCTCGGCAGCCGCAAATGGCACTGCCGCTGCTGGTGGTGGTGCTGCTCGCTCTGCTCGGCTTTGCGACTGCAGAATGCCCAACCACTATTCTCGACTTTTGCGGCGATGGATCTGAAGTTTACATCCCCGCAATCGTGGCCCCCGAAGACTTCTGCCCGTGCAGGGTTTTCAACGGATCCTTGTATCTTGGCAGCGGCCCGGCTGGCTATGTTGGCACTCCCGTCAACCTGACCGGGATGGAAGTTGTCACTGGTGACTTTTACCTCGGCGTTGATAGTGTGAGCAGGAACATTGTGCTGCCCGATCTGCGCGAAGTTGGCGGATTCTTCTACTTTCTCGGCGGTCCCGACACTTTGAGTGCATTTCCTGCGCTGTACCGCATCAATGGCACTTTGACCATTCAGCCGCTGATCGGTCAACCCTTCAACAGCTCTTGTGGAATTGACACGCTGAAGCACGTCGGCGGAGACTTTGCTTTTGGACTCAGTCAGTATACCATGGGCTGCACCAGCCTTGGCAACATGCAGCTGGAGACGATTGGCGGCGCGTTGTACTTCCGCAACAGCGACTCCGAGAGCCCCGAACTCACGTCGTCGTCGGCGGCGTTTGCCTCGGTGTCCACGCTCTCAACTCTCACCTTGAATGGCCGGGACGTTCATATGTTAGCCTTTACCAACCTGAACACCATTCGCACCGATCTGCTTTTCGACATGCATTTCGCCGACGCGGGAACTGTGAGCTTCCCGTCGTTGACTCAAGTTGGCGGAGACATCACGCATGACGTGGCCGTTGGCGTGGTCTCGACAGAGATTGTCATGCTTGTCCTGAGTCGGGTGAATGGCTCTTTCAATCTCCCCGTCACCACTGGACACTACACTCTCATGGCGCTGAACTATGTTGGCGGTGATTTTACGGTGCCTATGGCACTTGGCGATGGCACGGCATCTTCTCTGGACACTCCGGTGCAGACTGTGGGCGGCCGTTTCATCATGCCCTCAGGCCTTTCAGTAGACTCGTTCTACGTCTACTCCCCTCAGCTACAGTACATTGGCAGCAGTATCGTTCCGCCTCAACTGTTGACTTCGGTGCACATGCCCGAGCTGCTGCAACTCAACGGCACGCTCAACCTACAGGTCATCGACTTGTCGTTGCCCAAGCTCGATCGCGTTAATGGCGCCCTCCATCTGGATGCGTTGAATCAACCCGACTTGAGCCTGCTGCGCATTGTCAGCGGCGACCTTTATGTCAATGCGCCAATCCCTTCTCTTGGCCACCTTGAATCAGTCGGAGGCAGTCTCACCCTCACGTCATCGACCGGCGACGTAAATTGCGGCAAACTCAAGTTTATTGGTGGTGATGCAAGCATCGAGGCCCATTCGGTGACTCAAGCCAACTTCACGTCGTTGGCTGTGGTTCAGGGCACTCTTACCATCGGACCCATGACCGTCAGCACGTCCGGCAGTGTTTCTCTCCACTTTGGTAGTCTTCGCAACATCTCGCTGAATCCGCTGGCTGCGCCCGAAAACCCTGGTCTGTTTGTTCACGACATTCCCTCGGGCACTTACTTTTTGCGCACCGTCCAGCTCGTCAAGTACGGAGACGTCATCGTTACCGGCATGTTCAACGAGCTTGCTTGCAATTCGTCCGAGATACCCTTCCCGACCTCGGCGATTGCTCATGGCGCCTTTTACGCTTGGGGCAACGACGTGGGCTCTCATCTGTGCACCGCCTGCCACACCACAACAACAGTGATGAAGCAAGCTCATGTCAACGCGCTGAACGGCTGCAAAGTCATCAACGGCTCGCTGATTTTGAACATTACCACGCCCCTCAACCTAAACCCCCTCAAGTCAATTCGTGAAATCCAAGGTGGCATGCTCGTTCTTCATGGCAGTGCGATGGGCTCGACGCTCGACTTTCTTTCAGGACTGCTTGCGGTCGATGGCGAAGTCATTATTGCCGGTACCAGTCTCGTGTCCCTGTCTGCGATGCGTCTGCGCTCCGTGCGCTATGGCTTTTCCATTTCTGAAAACTACCACCTCACGGACTTTGACATGCTTGCTGACGTCCCTGTCCCTCTGCGTGACTGGGGCTATGCACCGCAACGCCTCGCCGATCCCGCTCGCCAGTCCGTCTACGCGTTTCCGTTCGAGAACGGTCTTCCGTTCCTTGCACAGCTCAACTACGCCGTGATTATTCGCCACAACCCCAAGGTGACTAGCTTTGGAACGCTTGACAGATTCCATGCCGAGTCCGAATCCCTTCCGCTTGTGTACATCAATGGCAATGGGTTTTGCGCTAGCTCCTGGTATTTCGCCGTGAGCCTCCCCTCCGCTACCAGTGATGACCCCTGCTCCTCCTTCACCGAGCCGTGTGTGTCGTCGTGTGGTAAGTTGCAACCTCGACAAACAACCATCCATTTCGTTCGTTTGATTTGTGTCGCCAAGCTGGTTTTTTTTTTTTTTTTTTTTTTTTGCTCACGCCATTCTGTGTTCCGTTCTGTAGAGGAAATATCCGAGGTAGATTACCAAAATCAATGCGTCACGCCCGAGGAGTTCTCAGAAGGCGTTGATTTCGCCTTATTCGCTACAGTGGACAGATGGGTTGGCTGCAACCAACTCACGACTGACGCAGACTTTACCCCGGAGCTGGTCTCGCTAGTTGACGAGTTGGTGCCAAATTACAACGCTCTCCAAGATTTTATCAAACTTCGAGATCTCACCGTGTATGGCGCAGTGACGCCTCTCCGTTTCAACAAGCTTGAAGATGTCGAAGTCCTCACCGTGTGGCTGGAAGATTGTGCCTCGTACGAGTTTCCAAACCTGACATCGGCGAACAGTATCATTCTCCAATACTCTGAGAACGGCGGGTGCAACATTTCCGGTCTGTCCACCATTGTCACGGTGTCCGATACCATCACGGTGAAGGAGATTTACTCGGGGAACACGTTCAACGTTCTCGCCAATCTCGCTCCCACTGAGAATTCCGAGTCGGTTATTACTGTTCAAAATGTCGCTGTGCAAAGCCTGCGCGGCTTTGATCACGCATCCGGCTGGGGCATCTATCTCAAGAGCAGCGATCTCGGCGAGGTGCACATCTGCACGCAAGCTCAAAACCTCGGTGATTTTGTCGTGGAGGAGTCCACTGTGACTGCATTCACTGGATTTGGAAACGCCCTGACAGCAAACAGCATCAGCATTACCGACCTGACCATGGACTGCTTGTCGAATCCGTTCCCGTCGCTCGCGCAAGTCCAGGGCTCTATCACTTTGCAAGCGAACAACTGGGCAGACAACTGTACCGTACTCTTCCCGGAACTCACAGTCGTTGGCGACTACGTGAGCTTGCAAAACAACAACTTGCAAAATTTCGTTGCTCCGCGTCTCGGACAAATTACCGGCAACAACCTCATCGAATGTGCTAGCTACTCGTCGACGGCACTGTGCATTGCGTCCAATACCCACATGCAGAATCTGGGTGGTTTTTACCGCATGGCTGAAGCTGTTGGTGCCATTACTGTGGTCTTGAACCCCAACCTCTGCGTTGGCTGGGCCAGTCAATCCGGCCTGGCACCATCAGGCACTGTTAACGCTGCCGACAACTCGGCATCCTGCAGTGAGCTCTCTGGTGACCAGCACGTTTCTTCGTTCGCGGATTTGCTGAGCCTCGTCGGTTACAATTACATTAATGGCGGCCTGCGGATCACCCTGGATGCTGATGTCGACACTGCCGATTTCTACCTGCCCTCCTTGACTTTGCTTAACAACGGCGAGCTTTTCATCAGTGGCGTGCGCACGCCCACGATTGACTTCTTGCCGGCTCTTGATAGCATCAAGTCTTATGTCGTCAAAAACAATCCCGGTCTCGTTGACTTGAGCTTGTCCATTTCCACCTTCGTGGTGTCTGTCGACATTGACAACAATCCCCTGCTCGAAACCATTTCTGCATTCCCATCGTCAGTTTCCGGAGAAACCACAAGCGACTCGCCGTACCGGATCTCAGTCACCAACAACCCTCGGCTCGAATCGTACGACTTTCTGTCGCAGCTCACAAACTACTCACCCGTTCCGCTCCAGCCTGCTCGTTTGCAGAACAACTCTTTGCTCTGCGCGGATGATATTGTTCACCCTGTCGCTGGCGAATCCGTGCCGCTGGACATTACCTTTGTGAATGACTCTTGCTGTAAGTGGAAGCCACTCGACATTGGGGGGGGGGTTTCTTGTCTTTTCTTTCGTTTGGTTGCGTGCATGTAAATTGGAGTTGGCGGCTGACTTTTCCCCGATTGCTGCTTGCTTGATGATTTCCATTTTCCAGCAAACGATCACTTTGTCAATCAGATTTTGACCGTTGTCCCCATTAACTCGCCCACTGGCGCGGGCAAGTTCATGCGAGCAATGGATACGGTTCTCTCGATGATGCAAAGCAACTCTGGTAGTGTCGCGAATTCATCGGCCGTTGTGACGAGCATGCTGAGCTCGATGGCCAATCTTGCCACCTACTTGCTCAACACCGGGTCTTTGCCTTCAACTATGGTGAGCCTACACATTGATTGCTTGAAAAAAAACAAAATCCCTTTCGACAGCTGTTGGAGCAGAGTGAGGAGAATCCCAAACGTTTATTTAACATTTGCGCGTGTGTTGGTTCTTTGACGTTCTTCGCAGACGGTGAACAATATCACGCAGAACATGGACAAGCTGTTCTCAAGCAATCTGATGCAAGTCGCTCGCTCCACTGGACAATCGGCCAATCTCGCTCAGAGTATCGAATCCATCTTCTTTGTGGCATCGTCGTCCGTTGCTTCTGGCTGTGGCCAGTTGGCGATCGATTACCACGGCTCCAACTTTGGTGTTCAGGGTCGTCAAGGTCAGTAAACCAAACGGAGGGAAGCCGAGGGAAGCCTTCGACTGACACGATGACTTTACACGATGATACTCACTTGGTGTCTGGTGTATTTTTTTTTGTTTCTTTGTTTCTTTGTTTCTTTTGGGGGGGGGGTTTCCTGTCTGCACCGATGTTGCAGCTTCGTCGTCTGACTCTAGCAGTGCCTTCCAGTGGGCTGGTATTGATCTCAACCTGCCGACCGACCTGGCCGAACACGTAGGCTTCAACAGCACGGGAGATGCCACGGGCTGCTTGAGCCAGCTGTTTGTTGTGTACAAGAACAGCCCATTTGTTGGCACGTCGGACAGCGTTTCCAGCGTTTTCAGCTTTTCGCTGCGCGATACCCCAATTGTTGACCTGACCTCTCCAATTCGCTTCACAATGGAGGTCGATCTGTCGTCGGGCATGTCGCCCAGCAAGCTGGTGTGTGCGTTCTGGAACTATACACTCAACAACTGGGACACGAACGGTTGCGTTTCTGCGAATGCGACGGCAACGTCCATTGACTGCGCTTGCACGCATGCCACCAATGTGAGGCGCCCCCCCCCCCTTTTTTTTTGTTCTTGTTTTTGTGCTGCTGTTGTTGTTGCTGCTGCTGCTGTCTCGTTGTTGGGATTCGTTCCGTCGTGTCTTCCCGTGCTCATCGTGCTGTCGGAATTGTTGGTTCCCTTTGCCAGTTTGCCATCTTGTTTGACATTTCAGGAGGCGACGACATTTCAGAGGAATCCAAGCTGGCGCTGCGCTATCTTTCGGCCATTGGCTGCGCTCTGTCCGTGGCGGGATGCGTATTCACCCTGATTGTGTTTATGCTGCTGCCCAAGTTGCGCACCGGCCCGGTGGTCCTTGTCATGGGACTCTGCGTGGCCATTCTTGCAGTCAACATTTTGTTCTTGGTTGGCATGAGCGAAAGCAGCAACTTGAGCTCCAGTGGCTGCGAAGCGGTGGCTGCTCTCCTCCATCTCTTCCTGATGGCCAGTTTCTTCCTCATGTTCTGCCAGGGCGTGCACATGTACCTGCTCGTTGTTCGCCTCGCCCGCGATACCGACCACTACATTAAGCGGTACATTGTGGGCTCGTATGGTCTGGCGATTCTCATTGTCGTTTGCCTCGTTATTGCCAACGCTGGCACAGATCCGTACCGTGTGGTCGACTACGGCGGCCAGGATAGGTGTGTTTAACGGCATGTTGAGTTGAAAGAAGGGGGTTTTTGATTTTTCGCAATCTCACTTTGGTTTTGTTGCGTGGTTGTGGGGTGGTTTTTTTTGTTTTGTTTTGTTTTCTTGTTTCCTTTTCGGTTCTCGCCGCTACAGTGATGTCGGTCATGCTTGCTGGATTGGCAACCGAAACGGCTTGATTGGCGCGTTTGTCGTTCCTGTTGGTGTGATTCTGGGCATCAACCTGCTCATCTTCGGTGCAGTGCTGTACAACCTGCACGCGGTGCAGAATGACAAGTCTCTGAAGGGTGCCAAGTCGCAGTCCAACCAGACGCGCTTGTACCTGACCATCCTGTCGCTGTTTGGTCTGACGTGGATTTTCGCCTATGTGGCGTACATTCGTGGTGCCGAGTTTGCCTGGTACCTGTTTGTGATTTTGAACAGCTTCCAGGGCGCCATCATCTTCTTCTTTTACTGCTGCAACAGGCGCGTACTGGACAACCTGCGCCAGCGCTTTGGCTCTGGCTCGTACGCTGCTATGTCGAGTGGACAGTCCAAGTCCACCCGAGCGACGAGTGATGATTTGGAAAGCGCGCGCACATCTCGTGCGACCCAATCTTCGATTTCCGAGAGCGGTACTTATGAGATGACGTCGCGTTAGTTTAGTGCGGGCACTGTTTTTTGTTATGTCTATGCGCATGTCGGCTTGGTCTTTTTTTTGCTTGTGATTGTACGTGATGGTGCTGTATGCCCCGATTGTTAAAACCAAAAGACCAGCTACTTGTTTTTGTCAAGTGTGCGACAGCGCAGGCCAGTTTTGTTGGGAACTGAATACAGTACAAAGGAAAGAGCGTCGTCGTGAAGATGCCACCATCGCATACCTTCCGATCGAGCAGGCACAGTGACCATTTCCCTCTTTCAGATTTTCCAAGTCCAGCTCAGCTGGCTCAGTCTTCAACACAACTGAAATTTGTCGTTGGCATTGTGAGTTTTTCCAGACAAGTGCGATTTCGACTTTTCTCTCCTTCCCAAAAGCCAACCCCACGCCCTCCTTCCTGCATCCTCTAGTGATTTCCTATCAGATCCTTAGTCTTTTTGCTTGGGGTGGCGCGGGGGTGGGCTTTGTGCGCAGTGCAATCATCGAGATTTGGCAGGTTCGGGTTGCAGCCAACCATCCATCATTCCTTGCACAACCTCGCCGCCAAATCGAAGCTGGGGGGAGGGGTGCGGCATGAGGATGCACTAGAGCAGAGCAGCTGTGTCTTAGAGCTCTAGGACTCGCTCTTTTCCCCATTCTGCCAGCAGATCTCCACGGCAGCGCGGTCTAAAACGCCAGCCAAAGTTATTATTTTTTATTATTTTTTATTATTTTTCTATTTTTCTATTTTTCTATTTTTTATTATTTGCACGATCGCCCTGCTCTGGTTCATTGCGACTCCCTCGAGTTCCGCTGCTTTTCCATTTTCAGAGTTGTGTTGCTGAATGTGCTTTCGGATTGCGTTGTGTGTGTGACTGCTGCGTTGTTATATTTCGATTATTTTTTTACTTTTATTTATTTTTTTTTATTTATTTTTATTTTTTATTTTTTTGGTCTGGTTTTGGTTTTCATTTTTTGAGTGAATCGTTTTCGTATGTTTTCACTTCCACTTTTTTTGTTTTTCTCTACGGTTTGTGCCAATTTTTTTGACATGCCTTCTTCGTTTCTTCCTTTTTGTCCCCTTCCGTCGCGCTGTTGTTCTGCGTTTCGCCCGTTCTTTCTCGCGCGTTTCTTTGTTGCTTGCGTGATCTTGCGCTTTTTGTGCATCTTTCCTTTTGGAGTGATTTTTGGTGTGCTTTGGCCTCGCGTTTGCTCACTGTCGATCTCGTTCTCACTCGACAAACCGCAGCGCGCCTTCCCGCACAACACTTTCTTCCCCCTCCCATCCCTCCTGAAGGACCGCACCTGCAATCATGGCCAAGAAGAAGAAGTCTGGATCAACCCCCGCAGCATCCGCCCAGCAGCAGCAGCAGCAGCAGAAGAAGAGCGAGTCGAGGCGCGGGTCGAGTGCGCAGCTCATCGATGACGAGAACGACCTGCCCGAGCTCGATGCCGTCCCCGTCCCTGTCCCTGTCCCTGTCCCTGAGGCCAGCGTCGATGTACGTAACACTTCATGCTTGTTTCTCCCTCTTCCCATGGTTGTCCTCGGTTGGTGTCCGATTGGAGCGTTTGATGGGAGTGATTCGTGATCCGTGTCGGAAATTCTTCGTGGATCGCTTCCGGTTTTGCGGTCTGCGTCGCTCGTCTCGCACTGCTTGTCCTGGCTCTCTGTGTTGGAGTTTACTTCATCTTCACCCGCTCAAGGGGTTTTGGGGCGCTGTGGTTGTGAGGGGTGGGATGCCTCCTGGTTGTCTGGGTGTGTGGAATTTCTGCAGTCTCCTCCTCCCCTTTTTTTTTTCTTTGAGCTCGCCGTCCGTGTCAAGTGCAAGTGTGGTTTGAGTGTGTGTGTGTGTGTGTGTGTGTGTGTGCAGAAACGCGTCTCTTCACGTTTGCTGCTCTGTGATTTTGTGTCTTTGTCTTTGTCGTTGTCATTGAGCCAGCAGTCCTCAGTCTCTCTTTGCTCGACCCGCTCGGTGTGCGTATGTCGTTTCCTCCCATTCCATACACTTAATTTTTGTTTCGACACACCCCACTACACACGCTCTCTTCGTCTTCTGTGCTCGGTTGCACACCATCCATCACGAGCGAGCAAAACGCTCTACTTCCAAGCCTCCTGCTTTGCTTGCGAGTCAACCCACTCGACACCGCAACCCCCAAAGCAGAGAGAGCGGGATGGAATGAAAAATCTGTGCTTGTGCTTTTTTTTTTTTTTTTTTTTTTTTTTTACACTTTAGACGAGCACTCGCACATCCTGCACGCATGCACTGTACTTTTGGGCCGCCATGTGCGTCTTTCAATCTGCTACTACTGCACTCCCACTCCAGTCAGAGTTGAACACGGTTTGGTGGTCGAAACCGAAAGCAAGATTGTTTTGGGAAAGAATTGGGTGAATTTTTTGATTTTTCGATTTTTTCGATTTTTTTTTTTTGAAAATGCCAAACAACACAACGCAACGCTTCATCAACAACCCAACACTCCCACACAAAACAACGCGCGAGAGGAACTTTTCAGTTGTTCTCTGCAAGAAGGCGAATTTCGGTTCTCCCGCTCTCACTCTTGAATCCCATTTCAAATTTTTGTTGGATTCGCAGGCAACCGCAACTCCGACAAACCGCGAAGCATCTTCTGCTGCTTCTTCTTCCTCGTCCGACCCCGTTCCCGCTGAACCCGCTGCTGCCCCAGACGCGGACGTACAACAGCCAACGACCACTACTGCCGACAAGCAGCCGCCGACGGAAGACGAGGACGACGAACCGCCGCCGCTCGAGGAAGCCACAGACGACGAGCTACATTCCACTCTCCAAGGCGACCAAAGTGCACCCTCGCCCGACAACAGCAAGGACAACAAGAACAACAACGACGACGAGGCAAACACTGCTGCTGCAGATCCAATCAACGGAGAGCACTTGCCTGACATTGAAAAGACAGGCGCCAAACGCAGCTTCAAAAACCGACGTGGCGCGCGCGGTGCAACCATCAGCATCTCCCGCGACGCTGCTGTCGTTGTAGCCGCTCGACGTGCCGCCCAACAAGCCGAAATCAGTGATTCGGACTCGGACTCGGAACTTGCCACGCAACCCATTCCGGACTCGGAAGCAGAAGCAACAACACCCACAGCAACCTCAGCAACCCTTCAAGAAAAGCGCGTCGTCGATCGTGCCGCCAGCATGCCGTCCCTCTTCAGCCGCGGCAAAAACCCCAAACATCAAACCATCAGCCAATCCTCGGGTCTGGCCATTCCGCCACCCTCGGACGCTGATCGGGCTGCTGCCGCTTCTTCCTCTGCCGCGAGCAGTGCCTCCGCCCACCCGCCAGCAGGCGGTGCTGGGCAAGTCTTTTCGGAACCCAGCTCGCCCACCGCATTGCAGCCTGCCCATCCCCACATTCTAGCTCATGCGTCGCTGTCCAAAGCAACTGCGCAATCCGCTGCTCGTGGTCTGCAGCGCCAGCACTCCCTCCAGCAGAGCTCTCCGGGTTCGCCGGCCCCCGCTAACTCGTCGTCGCGATTGCTCGAGATTGCCAATCTGTTTATCTCCTCCATGAACAAGTCCACGACCTCGCTCCCTGGCGACATTCTTTCGGACTCGGTTGAGGTTCACTTGATGGAGGCTCAAGATCTCCCTGTCAAGGATCCCAACAGTACGCGAACGAACCTTTTTGTTTTTTGTTTTTGTTGCTGTCGACAATCGTTGTGGGGAAGCATGCGAGCTCACAGAGGGTACTTTTTTATGCTGCCTGATTTTGCTTTTGTTATTGTTTTTTTCGTTCTTTTGCTTGTACTTGTTCATTTCATCCGCCTCCGCAACAGCCCAAGGCTCGCCGTACTGCAAGATTCGTTGTGGCTCGCAAAAGTATCGCACCAAGACTGCTGCACGTGGCGACGTGCCGCAGTGGCGCGAATGGCTGACGATCGATCTGCACGCCTCGCACTCGACCATGATGGATGTGATGGTGCTGGACCACGAGTATGCTGCTGCCAGTGCTGTCGGCTCCCCAGTGCAGTCCTCATCGTCCGTGATTGGCAAAGTCTCGTTCGATCTAAGCACTCTCCCTGCGGACACCTGGATTGAAAAGTGGCTTGACTTGGTCAACGCTCCCTCTGGCCGGCTGCATTTCAAATTCCGTCGCAATGTCACTCGAGCAGCAGGTGCTGATTCCGGCGTCTCCACTCCGCCCTCCGCGCCCAGCGAAACGGACGGTTCCGAGACTGAGGCAAGCGCTGAAGGGTGAGTTTTTAAGCTGAGGTCTTTGTTTTTTTTTTTTGTTTTCGGTTTTGTTTTTCTCTCTCCCCCCCCCTTCCCCTCTCAACTCACTCCCACGTTCATGTTGACGTTGACAAACAATGCAGCCGTCTTGCCCGTGCTCGCCAGAGCAGCATCATGCGCAAGTACATTAGCATGTGGCGCTCTCAATACCCCGGCCACGAGGGCGTGCAAAACCTTGCCACGGACAAGCCGGCTGAAGGCGATGGGTCTGCTGCTGGAACTCCGTTGGATTTGCAAGCTTCCGGCCCGGGTCCGCTCTCGCCCTTGGCCACCTCATCGCCAGTCCAGGTCGCAGCCAACCTCCCGACATCTCCCACGACCAAATCCCCAATCTCTCCAATGCCATTCTCAAGCGGTGCCGCCAAGCCGGCCGAGCTGGGTGGACCTGTTGCTCCAACTCCTGTGGCCGCAGCAGCCCCCACGACCACCGAGGCTTCCAAGCCAAAGCGCATGAATGCAGCGCAGCGCCGCGCATCCGTTCACTACCGCACGATTGGCCACTCTGTGCTTTCTCTCAAGCTCTTCCTGTGTGCGTTCGGGGACACCAAGCGCATTGACTATGCTGGCGTAGTGGACCGCTTGGGGCTGAAGGAGGCCTTCCTCGAAGCGTACACGGGCAACGAGTTTCCCGACAACTTCCCGGCCATCTACATTCGTGACAAGAGTGTTGACGTCTTTTACGAGCTTGAAAACTACACGGAAGTGACTGACGGCGCAGTGCTGCGCCTCCACATGCCTCAATCCGCTCAGCGCAACTCGGCCGCGGTGGAGGAGCGCCTCAATGCCATGCAAAAAACACTCGACGAGGTTCTCAAGCATGTTTCCACCAAACCAGTAGCGCCTCCGCTCCCGGCCGCCCCTCCGCCGGCCACGCCAGCCCCGCCACCGACCGCAACACCGGCCACCACCAGCTCCTCCTCGGTTCAGCAGGTCGCCAAGGTCAACATCGCCCCCGCCTTGGCCGAGGTCGACCGCGTCCGTCGCCAAGTCGCCGTGCTGCGCCAGACCTACCGCGACCAGCACAAGAGCGCCATGGCCACCATGAGCGCAACATTTACGCAACTTTCTTCCACTTTGAAAACGGTTATGGGCGAGAACGCTGGTCACTTGTTCAAGCGCACGCAGCTCGGCACTCGCAAGGACTCGCACACTGCTCGAATTGACACGCTGGTGCAACGGATTACGGATACTGAAACGCTTGTGAACGAACTGACTCGCGAAGTGGTGGTGCACAAGTGCAAGCCCGACATGAAGATGATGGAAACGCTGATGACTGATTTGGACAGAGTAAGTTTTGGCAAAGTTGGATGGTTGTTGGGGGGGTTGGTTTTGGGTAGAGAGAGAGAGATGCTCTTGACTCTCTCTCTCTCTCGGCTCTCTTGACTGTGAATGGCTCTGGGGTAACTCGAACATCACTCACAATCCGTCTCGATGACATCGTCTCTGGTGGTGTAGCTCGATACGGATATTAACGGAGCAAAGGACACTTTTGACGACCTGGAACGCGCGTTCAAGGCCGTTTGGGCCAAGGAACTCAAGAACGTGGTGAACGAAGAAGCCTACTTCAAGACGGCCAACGACGATTTGGATGACTTGGATGGACAGTACGACGACTTGGCAAACACGGTCAAGACGTTGCACCAGCTGATTGCTGTGCAGGCAACGCTGCCTTCGCGCACGCGAGACTTTGGCGTCGAAAACCTGGAAGACCGCAAGTCGGCTGTCGGCGGCATTCTCCAGGAAATCACCATGCTGGCGCCGGATCACGAGGCTCGCTTGAAGCGCATCGAGGTGATTGAGCATCTGCGAGTCAAGCAGCGCGAGGTCTCTCGCGCATCCAGTCCGCTGCTAGAGTTTGAAAACGAGCTCACTTCCAAGGGCAGTGCGCTTCGCAAGACTGGAGGTGTCGATGAGGTCGAGCGCAAGCGCAAGATCCGTGATCAAGAGTTTTTCAAGTCTTCTGGCAAACCAGAGGCATGAGTGAAATAGCAACTCAACACACCAAAGTGGGCTGGCTATTTCTTGTGTTTGCGTGTTCTTGTGACGATGTTGTTGGTTTTGTGTGAATGTTTGTGTTTATGTGACTACAGTAGGTGTGCAAAATGCAAGTGATCTGTGTCATCTCAAGCGCGTTTTTTTGTTTTATCGCTGGTTCTAGGAACTGCTAGAGTATCAATCGAAAATACCAAACTTAGACGAAGGAGAACGAAAAAAATTCATGCTGTCATTGGAGGAAAAGTACAAGCCAAGCGAAAAGCACTTTTGGAAAAAATCACAAAAACTCGTCACTCGCTTAAGCAAACATCTTGGAGTACAAGGCCTTCTCCTTGTTCTTTTGTGCTTGAACCTTGTTTTGAACAGCAGTAGTCTCGGCGCGGATGGCTGCATCGGAGGGCTCGAGCTTGGACGCTGCGGCGAGATCAGCGAGTGCGAGTTCCAGATCGCCCGAACGGTGCTCGGCCTGGGCGCGACGGAACAGGGCCTTGACGTTGTTGGGCTCAATCTCCAGAACCTTGGAGGCGCTCTTGATGGCCTCTGCCCACTTGCTGCCCTTCAGTTGCACGGCGGCGAGATTGCTGTTGGAGGCAACACGCAGCTTGGACACGGCAGCCTTCTGTTCCTCGGTGAATGAAAAGTCGCTCTCGACGAGTTTGAGCGCAGCGAGGTACTTTTTCTCGGCGGCACGGAACTTGCTCTCGCGGAAGAGCGTCGAGCCCTTCTCCTTGGTGACGTTGGCCGTTTCCACCTTCTCCGCATCCGACATGTCCCAGATATCCTTAACGGGGGTGAAGCTAAGCAGCTTGACATCGTAGATCGCGGAGGTGGCGAGCGAGTGGAACGACGGGTGGACAGTCACGACGGCGCGCTCGTTCACCTTCATCGTCTCGAGCGCCATCTCGACAGCCTCGGGCAGCTGGCCAGCAACATCGCCGACGACGACAGTCACCTCGCTACCTTGGCCATCCGGGTGCTGCGAAATCAGGTCCGCGAAGGCCGGGTGCGGGTCGGCGAGCTGCAGAATGCGGACTTTGGCGGTCGAGCCGTCCTTGGCCGTCTTGAAGCCCTCGCCTTCGCCCAGAATGCGCTTGACCACGCCTTCGTCGTCGGTAATCTTGACGACTTCAATCCAGCGCTCGAGAACGAGGTCAAACACGACGGGGGTGTTTGCCGGGACGCCAATTGCGTCGCTGCCGGCATCGGTGGCGCGGACCAAGGCGTGCTCGCCGAGCTTCATGTTGGTGAGCGCGGTTGAGACGGCTGCTGGGTAGACGGAGACGTCGCCGATGCGCTGCCACACTGCTTGCTGCGTGTGGTCGACATACGTCTCTCCGGAGGCGGCGTTACGCACGCGAATGCGGAACTGCACGTCTTCGCCGTTCTTGGGCTTCTTCCAGTTGGCGCCCTCCTTGGCAATCTTCTTGACGAGCGATCCGTCGTTCTTGCCGCTAATGTCGTCGCCGGAGGACCAGCTGAGCAGCTCGACCTCAAACACCAGCGTTGCGTTCGGCGGGATCTTGGGCGGCGATCCGCTTGCGCCGTACGCCATCTCGGGCGCGCAGGTGAGCTCGGCCAGCTCGCCGCGCTTCATGCTTGCCACACCAACGTCCCACGCCTTGATGACTCGGCCTGTTTGTTATTTTCGTTCACAGTTTGTTTTGTGACAAAGTCAGCAACCACAGCACGAAAAACGCCGCCAAACAAGAGAGAGAGAGAGAGAGAGAGAAGATGGTTTTCTAGAGCCTTCCATTGTCACTCGCTTCCCAGCGCCTCAGAACCAGGGGGAGCACTTGGTCCGCTCATCCATCATTCAACCATTCAACCATTCAACCATCATTCAGCAGAAACAGCAACAGCAGACAAAGCCATGGCATGGCGCGCGCACCTTTGCCGAGATCAAAGACGAACGGATCGTTGCGCTCGCGGCTCGAGTCAAACACGGTGCCGTCGAGCAGGCGGCCGACGTAGTGCACAGTCACCTTGGAGCCGCTCGGGGGGCTCACGTCGGCAGTGTCAAACACATCCGCAGTGGCCGCGGGAGTGTCGACGCCAGCACGCAGAATCTTCTTGTTCACGCCAGGCGCGACTTCGACTTCCATCGGCTCTGCCATTGTTCAGGAAACTTGGTGTTTGCAGTGGGGAGAAATAAAAGAGTGAAAATGTCAGAGAAACACAAATTCAACGAGTTCATTGTGGCAACAAATCAAAATCACACACAAATCAAACAACCAATGTATCGCCCCAACCAAAAGCATGTCCTGTAGCAGCAGCAGCGAAAGCCATGACTTTTCAATCCAGTTGGTGCGACAATCAGAAAAAAAACCAACTCATTCAACCATGGCCATGGGTGTTGGCGATTGCTGCAACCGCTGCTTGTTCAACGAGTGCAATGCGCGCGTCGCAGCCTCAAACTCGGCTGCCTTTTGCTCGGCACGATCGATAACCTGAAAAAACGCGGGAAAACAGACACAATTGCATGAGTGACAGCTCAACAAACTCCACCACCATCGTCATCATCATCACCATCGCAACCGACGCCATCTCCCAACAAACAATTGTTCGTTACCTCGGAAGGAAGACCAGCCATGTTGGCAACATTCATGCCGTGAGACTTGTTGCAAACGCCATCCGTGAGCTTGTACAAGAAGGTCACCTCTCGTTTGCCCTCGTCCACGAGACAGGCCATGTGAGCGAGACCGACAATCGGCACCGAGCTGCCCGTTTGTTGCATTTCACGCTGCTGCTCGTCAATCACTTCGTCCGTCAGCATGTGGTAGTGCGTGGAGAAGAGCGCGCGGCATCGGATTTCGTGCGAGAGGTGATGGAGCACAGAGTACGCGATCGAGTAGCCGTCGAACGTGCTCGTGCCGCGACCAAGCTCGTCCAGAATGACCAACGAGTCGCGCGTCGCGTTCTTGAGAATGTTGCTCGTCTCACGCAGCTCAACCATGAACGTGGACTGTCCAGCCAGAATGTTGTCGTTGGCACCGATGCGCGTAAAGATGCGGTCCACGGGCGACAAGACACACTTGGCTGCCGGAACAAAGCAACCCAGCTGCGCCATGATAACGGAAAGACACGTTTGGCGCAGCAGCGTGGACTTGCCACCCATGTTCGGTCCGGTCAGCAGCAAAATGCGCGGATGCGCCTTCCCACCCAATGCCGTATCGTTGGCAATGTACGACGAGCCGAGGTAGGCGAGCAGCGGATGGCGCAAATCCTCCAGCTCGAGCACGGGCTCGCTGTCGTCGTCGCCGCGCTCCACCAGCGTGGGTCGGCACACGGGATCTCCCAGCGAGCTGCTGGCAGACGCCAAGGACAACAGGCAGTCCAGCTCGGCCACACAGCGAACGGCGGCAGACCACTTGGCAACGTGCGTGTCAAAGCGCGCGAGCGCGCGTGCCAGCCCCTCGCGGAGAACGGCTTGCCGAGTTTCGATGGCCTCGGCGAGCGGCGTGACCGTCTTGCGAATGAGTGGGGTCCAGAAGCGGCGCACGGCCTTGGTGGACGACTTGAAGTCCCAGTCGCCGGGAACGTCCGTAATCCGAACAGGCACCTCAAGCTGGTACTTTTCGTTGCCAATGTCGCGATACGCAATCGTCCGATCCTTGAGCAACCGCTGCACCTCAACCAGATGGTCTTGGAGCTTTGTCTCGAGCACCCGCACGTCCTCGCACGCCTTGTCGTAGTCCTCGTCGACGCCTGCGAACGGGATGAGCGATCCTTGCTCCTTGGCGAGACGCTGGTCAAACGCAGCGTCGAGCTCGGTCAGCAGGCCAGAGAGGTCTGGGAAGCAGCCCTCCCCGACGGTCAAGCAGCGACGAAGCCGGCGCGATGTGATCTCGTCCGTGCTGCCGTGCGATCCGACACGTGACGAGTCCTGGAGCTGCGGTGGCATGCGCTGCATCAAGCTTTGGAGCTGTTTAAACCCGTCGATCGCGCGCAAAAAGTCTTCCAGCTTGCAGCTGCCTGCATGAATCCGCGAAACAATGCGCTCCAGATCTGGCAGCTTGCGAAGCGTCGTCGTCAGGTTGCCGGTCAGGTTGCTGAGCCGCAACAAGTCCTCCACCGCGTCGTACCGGTCGTTAATCTCAGGGATGTGGCGCAAGGGATGGCACAGCCAGCGTCGGAAGAGCCGTTTGCCAAATGGTGAGACGCATCGGTTGAGCAACGCATGCAGGGACCCGTCGCTGCTGACACCCGTGAGGCTTGCGCCGCTGTTGGCCTGCTTCTTGCCACCCTTAGACGACGACGACGATGAGCCCGCCGAGCTGTCCTGAGAGCCAGCATCGTGTGCACTGCCGCCACTCGCACCACCGCCGCCGCCGAGGGTGTTGGATGAAGCAAACAGAACGTCCAAGTTCTGCAGAGTCTGGCCGTCCAGTAGCAAGCAAGAGCCGTGTCGCAGTGCATCGTACAGGTGAAAGTTGCGCTGGGAGAGCAGCTCGCGCTCAATGCACAATGTGCGGAGATAATGCACCAAACCTCCGAGAGCCGAGATGACCAGAGGGTGGGACTGCATGTCCAGAATGGCCTGAGGAAAACACGCAGTATCTGCTCGCTGCGAGGTTGCGGACGAGTCGGTTGGCACGCGGGAGGATTGCTGCTTGGCGCCTGTCGCGGCCGGGGTCGACGAAAAGTAGTTTTCAAAAACGAGCTCATCGATGGTCGCGGCAGCCTCCCAGAACTCGACGCGCGGGGTCAGAGGGTTGATTGTTGGGGCAGACATGGTGTTTTTGATGAGCCGCATGGTGGCCGCGGACAGATTGTTTCGCTCGCACACAATCTCTTTGGGTCGCACCTGCATCAGCAGGGTTTCAAGCGTTGTCAGGGCTGGGTCGTCCTGGAAGCCGCACAGGTTGAACTCGGCCGTGCCCGTGTCGGCAAAGCACAGGCCGTACGAGTGACTGGCAGTGTCTTCCTTGATGGACAGAATGTACGTGGACAACTCGTCAACCAGCATGTCACCCATCAGCGTGCCCCGCGTCAGAATGGACGTCAGCTCTCGGCGGATGATCTTCTCTTTGGGACCCGGCTGCGATTTTTCATTCTTTTCTCGCATGGCCTTGCTCAGCGCAGACTCGGTCTCGTCCACCTTGGCGACCTTGTATCCGAGTGCAATGAACTTTGACGCCCACATCGTGAAGGATGACTCTGGCACGCCAGCCATAAACATGTTGACTCTACACAATGAGGGAAAAAACAAGAAGAGACGAAATGTGAAAGAATGAGAAAAAAAAAGGACAGCAAAACACTGCACCACCAACCAAAGCCCAGCCGCGAAAAGCAACAGGTCAAAAAACACATACCGATCCGACATTTTCAAGTCAAACTCGCGGTGCGCAATCAGCGCGTCCTTTTCGTAAAACTCGTAGAATTTGCCCTTCTTGAAAAAGACCACCGTGTCCCAGTGATCCTTCTTGATTGTCCAGTATTGCTTTTCGAACGGAGTGAACTTGGCCCAGGCCGAGGGCGGGATGAAGAGCGTTCGCGGATCGTACGCCGGATCAGTCGGCAAACGGCCGCTGCCATCCTTCACGTTCACCAACCATGGGTAGCGCTGCTGCTGGCCCTCCTCATCGCGCGAAGCGCCTGCTGGGCTGCTGGCAAGGGCGCTGCCCAATCCCATCATGCCCTTCTTTGCCGAGGAGGAAGGAGTCACAGCCGTCATCGGCGACGCTGTGGAACGAGGCGATGTCGAATTCGGAGAGGACGCCGCAAATCGCGCGAGGTGGGCACTGACAGGAGTGCGTGGAGATGTTGCAGCGGATGCCGTTGTGTTGGAAGCGCGAGGTGTGCTCGGTGCCACAAGTGCGCTCGACGCAGTGCGGTTTGGCGCCTTGGACGCCTTGGACGCCTTTGACCGAGGTCTCTCGTCATCCTCTTCAAGCATGTCGTCCTCGTCCATGTCGTTGTCGCTTTCGTTGGAGGCGTCCTCATCTGAAGAGTAGTCGTCCGATTCTGCATCGCTACCGGACTGGGCCGAAAACGACGAGTCCTCGTCGTCAGAGGCCACCACTCGGCGCTTCTTGGCCTGTTTGGCGGGAGAATCTCGGTTGTCGGAGCGGGATGGTCGTGAGCCTCGCGTCGAACGCGCGCGGCGCTCTTCCGTAGTTGCCGGAGCCGAATCGCGAGCAGAATCTGTTGTGCGAGACACCGTGATGGGCCGGGAAGCGTGAGCCTCGTCCTCCGAGTCACTGTCGATCGCAGCGCGACGCTTGGCACCGCGGCTGGCAGAGGACGGGGCTGCGCCATCTCCACCAGCTGGTGCTGCAGCTGCTGCACTGGGACTGGTCGCCGACGAAGCTGGTCGAGTGGCGGCAGGTGTGATGATGCCGCGCGCATCATCGGAGGATGTGTCCATTGGTTGCGCCTTGTTGTTGGTCGATTGTGGCGACATGGCCAGCATGGCCTTGGCAGCTGTAGGAAGATGGCTCATCGGAGTAACGGGTGTTGGCGGCAAACGCTGCTCTTCGTCCGTGGTCGAGCTTCGCGGTGTCAGCAACTCCTCGCTGCGCCCGGCCATCAAGTCGTTGCATGCGTCCTCTGCGTCCTCCTTGCTCGTGCTGGTGCCGAGCTTTGGCGGCGCTGCGGGCTTGTCGACCGCCTTGAAGAACGAGAGCAAGTTACGCTGTTGCGATTTGCCTGGCGTGCCTGCAAACACACACACAGACAGACAGGCACACAGCGAAAGGGCGACCGTTGGTTGCAAAGTGAGCAGCGTGAAGGGACAGGTGGCACTTCAGGGGGAAGTGGCGGAAGCGGAGGAGAAGGACAAAGCAGCAAGTATGGAAAGAAGGAAAAATCGCGCGGGAAAAAATTGGCGGGAAAACCAAACGCGTTTCTTGCAAACGAAACCCCGCGACTGCACCTCGTGATTGGTTCTGTGCCACTCTCTCCATTCTGCACACACATATGTGGAGCGGTGTGTCGTGTGTCGGGGGAGGGTTACCTTTGGTGCTCATTTTGATGGGGGACTGATCCAAAAGCAACAAGCAACTGAAACGAAGCGAAACAATAGAAACAAAAAAGAAAAGAAATAAGGAATAGTCAATCCGAATGCTGTACAAGACAAGACGCCTATCGCTCATCTCAATCAACGCAATGACGTGAATGCAAAGGACGTTGGCTGCATAACTTTATCGAAACACTTCAAATTAACAAATCTCGAGCACTCGGCACGCTGACGAGCAAAACGACAAACAGCTCAGGGTTGGGGTGCACCAAAGACATACGAGGTCATCGAAAGAGTGCGGAAGACAAAGCCGCGGAAGAATGGGACGGCGGGCGGAGATTGCTTGTTGGTCGTGTCGTCGGGCAGATTGGCACCGAGCGCCACAAAGATGGGAACAAAGTGCTCCGTTCGAGGGTGAGCGTGGCGCCCATTTGGGTGCTTTTCAAAGGCGGAGAGCTGCGACTCGCGCTCGGCTTGCGTCAAGTCGGGCGAGGTGACGATCGTGTCGACAAACTGCTCAAAGGACGCGGCCCATTCGGCGACCTTGGCAGACTTCCCTGAAGGATCAAAGTCTCCGAGGTTGTGCGTGACGGATCCACTGCCAATGATCAGGATGCCCTGATCGCGCAACGGAGCGAGTGCACGGCCCATCTTGATGTGCGTGTCGGGCGACAGGTTCCCGTTCAACGACAGCTGCACAACGGGCACGGTGGCCTCTGGGAACATAATGTCAAGCGGCACCCATGCGCCGTGGTCCCAGCCACGACTGTTGTCGACCGTGCACGCGAGCTCGGAGACGCCCGATTTGTTCAGCAGCTGGGCGACTTGCTCAGCCACGTCCGGCGCACCTGGTGCATTGTACTTCCAGTTGTACAGCTCACGCGGGAATCCGCCAAAGTCGTAGATGAGCCCTGGGTTTGCGCCTCCGGTGACTCGGACTCCGTTCGAGTGCGATTCCCAGTGCGCCGAGACAACCACGATTGCGCGAACAGCGTCCTTGATGGCGTCGGCATTGGGCAGCCCGAGGACGTTGCGGACCTTGCGGAAGGCCTGGTAGAAGGGCTCTTTGGTCTGAGTCATGCTCATTGGGCTGCCGTGCGAGACGTAGATGACGGGCAGGCGGCGGGGAGCGGCAGAAGGCGAGACGGAAGCCATGGCGGCGGCGGCAGCGGCGGAGGAGGCGATGGTGCGAATGCGGTGCGCGTTGGATGACGTGGTGTCAGAGTACGTGTCGGTGACAGTCGGACAGTGCGAGGAGGAGGAGGAGGACGAGGAGGAGGAGGACGGCGAGCTCAAAGCGTCGGCGTTCGAGTAGTGTGTAGCGGCGATTGACGGGCTGAGCAGAAACAGGAGAAGAAGAGGAACGGTAACAAGACAAGCACCGGGAATGCGATACACAGCGTGCAGTGCAGAAGACAGAGTGGACCGCGTCGTCGTCGTCGTCGTTGGTGGTCAAAATGAAGAGGAGTGAGGAGTGTTTGGGGCTTTGAAGCGTTAAAAAACAGTACAAAAAACGCTCCGATCGCGCAATCTCGCGCAAGCAACGGCGAAATGAAGACAGACGCACCCGCTCGCGCAATCATGGCGGACAACGGCAAGAAAATAAAGTGTGTATTGGCGATCTGATCGCGTCGACAACACACAGCACGAGGAGCGAAACAAAAAACAAAAAACAAAAAAACAAAGCAAAATGCATCCATTTTTTTGTTTTTCATATCAATCACAAAAGCCGAGCGATCATTCGTTCGTCAATCCCGTTGGAGGAACTGAGGTTGACCTCTACTTGGACAGGGAGGCCAGCTGTTGCTTGAGAGCCAAGAGAATGTTGACTTCGGCAGTAACCACGGCCTTGTCAGCCTTCTGGCTTTTCAGATCGCGCACCTTGTTGCCCTGAACGGCGATTTGGTCTTCCAGAGCCTTGGTGGTGGCAGACGGGGCGGCGGAGGCCGATGCGGCAGGCGCTGCGGACGGAGCAGCAACTGGCGCAGCAGCAGCAGCAGCCTTGGTGGCGCGCTCGAGCTGCGACTTGAGATCGAGCAGGACTTTGACCTCGGCATCAATCTTGGCCTTGTCGGCCTTCTCGCCCTTGAGTTTGCGCACAAGATTGCCCTGGGCATCAACCTTGGCCGTGAGAGCAGCAACGTCGCCGGTCGATGACGAGCCAGCCGCCGCGGTTCCGGCTGCGGGTTGCGGGGAAGAAGCCTGCTGGGTCTTGGACTTTTTGAGAGCAGCGCTTTCGGTGACAGAGACGGGTCCAGCAGCAGCAGCTCCCTCCTGCTTGCCGCCATACTTGGCGCGGAGAGTCTCGACGACGGCGGGCTCAATCTTCTCAAACAGAACGGACGGCGTGCCAATCTCGTGGCCTTCAGGAAGAGTGAGGCCCCAGTGGTCTGCGCGAAGCGATCCGGGAGCGGCGTTCAGCTGCTCGAGAATCTTCTTGCCGGTGACGGGCATGAAGGGGAAGAGCAGCGTCGACAGCAGGTGCACAAAGTTGGCGCAGAGGCCGAGGCAGGTGGCGGTGCGCTGCTTGGACAGATCGTCCGTCAGCTTGATGGTCTTCCACGGCTGCACAGTCTGGAAGTACTGGTTGGCAATCGACGAGATCTTGAGAACCAGGCGGAGTGCGTCGCGCAAGTGCACTTGCTCCAACAGGTCAATGTACTCGCGAAGGTATCGGTTGACGAGGGCGACAAAGTTGCAGCTTTGCGCATCCGTGTCCACGTTCAGCACCACTTTGGGCACCTTGCCGGCAAAGTTGGCCTTGATGAACGACAGCGAGCGCTGAACCAGGTTGCCCAGGTTGGCGAGCAGCTCGTTGTTGACCTTGCTAGCCAAATCCGTCCAGCTAAAGACGCTATCCGTGTACTCGGGTCGGATGCCAAGCAAGTAGAAGCGGAAAATGTCAATGGCCAAGCCAGTGTCACGCGCGTGGTTGCCAAACACGCCCACGCCACGGCTCTTGGAGAACTTGCCATCCTCATAGTTGAGGAATTCTGCAAGCAAAAGCGAAGCGAGTGGTGAATGTGAGCAGCCCAAAACCAAGTGTGAAAGAATGAAAACAAGAGTGCAAACAAAGAATGAAAACAAAGAGTGCAAAAAAGAATACCAACGGCACTAATGTGATGCACCAGGGTGTAGTTGTCCTTGGCAGCGAGTTGCGACGCGGGGAAGATGATTGAGTGGAATGGAACGTTGTCCTTGGCCATGAACTGGTAGAGCTGGACTTGCGAAGGGTTCTTCCACCACTTTTCCCACTCGGCAGTGTATGCGGCTGTGATTGAAATGTAGCTGCAAGGAGCGAAAAATCGAAGAGGAACTGAGCGTTCAGCAGGGTTCTCTCCTTCGCACACTTCAACGTCGCATGCCAAGGGGAAGCAACCTACCCAATCGGTGCATCAAACCAAACGTAAAAGACCTTCTCTCGGAAGCCATCCAACGGCACAGGGACACCCCACTTGAGATCGCGAGTAATGCATCGCGGCTTGACGCCCTCCTTCAGCCAGCTGCTGGTAATGTGCTTTGCGCTGGCAGTCCAGTCGCCTGAGAGACAAAAGAGAAGAGTGATTGAGTTCCCAACATTGCCGACAATCAGGAGGAAAAACAAACCAAACTTGGGGAAAACAGTGAAAGCTAACGCGCAACCTACCTTTGACGGAGGAGCCGGCATACCACTCCTTGATTTGTCCATCGAGCATGGGAAGGTTCAAGAACATGTGTCGCGAAGGACGGACAACCGGTCGAGAGCGGCAAAGCTTGCATCGGGGCTCAACAAGTTCGACAGCGTTCAAAAGCTTGCCGCACTTGTCGCATTGGTCGCCACGAGCGTCGTCATACTTGCACGACGGGCAGATGCCTTCGACGAATCGATCGGCCAAGTACCTACAGTCCCGTCAAAAGCGCAATCAACAATAGTGAGCAAAATGCATCATCAAAAAATACCACAAATGCACAACAGAACACAAAAAAAAAACGAAACAAACGACATCCTGTACCTGTTGCAGGTCTCGCACAACAACTGCTCAACAGACTCCTCCAGAAGAGTGTCGTTCTTGAGGGCGCGCAGGAAAATGTCTTGCGAGATTCTATTTCAAAAAAAAAAGGCACGCGTATGTGGTCAGGAAATTCAAAAGCAAGCCTTGTGAAAAAAAAAAAAACTCAACCCAACAACCAATCAAACCAACCAAAACGCTCAGAACTTACTCGGTTTGCTGAGGAGTGGTGGTTCGACCAAAGTGATCGAAAGAGATCTGGAAGTACTCGTAAATCTCACGGTGCAACTTGTGGTACTTGTCGCAAATCTGCTGCGGGGTCAGACCCTCCTCGAGCGCCTTGGTCTCGGTGGCAGTGCCGTACTCGTCCGTGCCGCAAATGTAGAGAGTGTTGTAGCCACGCTCTCGGCAGAAGCGGGCGTACACATCGGCACTGAGCACGCAGCCAATAATGTTGCCGAGGTGAGGCACGTTGTTCACGTAGGGCAGCGCGCTTGTGATGAGAATGTTGCGCTGGTCGGGCTTTGGCAAAAGAACCTGGCCTGGAATGGGCGCAGTGGGGTCGGAGCCAACTTTGCCCGTGGGGAGAGCATCCTTGGTCCAGTTGCTCAGCGCATCCTCGAGCTCCTTCGGGGTGGCCTTCTCCATAATGTCCAGATCGACGATGCCAGTCTTGGCATCTGGGGCAGGCTGGTGGTGTGTGACAGCAGCAGCGGGTGCTGGAGCAGCAGCGGAAGCAACAGCAGAGGCTTTGGACGGGAGAACAGCCGCTGCAGTGGCAGAAAGAGCGGCAACATGCGCTGCGAGAGCAGAATCGTCCGCAAAACCGGTCTTGGCCAGTGCTTGGCGGAAGGCCTCGGTCGAAAACACGTTCTTTTGGAAATACTGCTCAACCGATGCAACCTGGCTACGGATGGCCGCCTCGAGAGCGAACGCGCCCGTTGCGTGGAATGCGGGGAAGAGGGTTGCGCCCAGAACGACATGCGCGGCATCGCTCAATGGCTGACCCTTGGCGGCCGTGATGGCAGACGCGATCGTCTTGAGCGCAGCAAGAACTGCAGCCTTGCTGGCGGTCACAAGCGCAGGGACCTTGGGAGGCGCGAGCACAACAGCGAGCTGGCTGGCCAAGCGCGACTCGTCCAGTTGGATCCAAGTGGCCGCGTCCGCCGTGCACTGGCCAAGCACCGTCACTGCGATTGCGTTCGGGTTGACCAGTGTTCGGCGCTCATCCAGCGCAAGCACGACAGCAGCCGTGGTGGCCGGAGCGACAGCGGCAGCGCGGTCTGCGAGCTAATGTTACGTCCCAAAAAACGAAGCAGCAAGGCGTGATCATGCGAAAGGGGGGGGGGGTCAGTTCGCACAGAGACAATCATCATCATCATCATCATCATCACCATCTTATTCCAATACATCATCATCATCCTTTTTCCAATCGTGTTGTATGGAACAAGAGAGGAGAGAAAGAAGCATTGTAGAAAGCCTCAAAGCACAAGCTGGTACCCCCTCAACCTCCGCCAAAGAGTCAGTCGAAATGGAACTTTTCCGCTTTGCTTTGCTTTGTTTTGCCTTTGCTTTGACTGCTTTGCCTTGCTTTGACTGCACAAAGCTCGAATGCGTTCAAGTTCGAGATCGCGGTTCTTTGCTTTTTCTTTGCTTTTTTTTTTTTTTTTTTTGGTGGATTTCCATAGTATTGCATCAGTGCTTTCCCCCCACTCCCCCATCTCCCCTTCCCAGTCGCGACTCGCTCACTGATTCATTCACTCACTCATTCTCATTGCCAACAACTCGCTCTCGATTCACTCTCAACTCAATGCTGTTGCTTCTTATTCTCCATCCATCACTCGCTCTCTCTCTCTGTTCTCTCGCGCTCTCCACCTCAGTTGGATTGCGCTTTGGTACTGCAATAGTGCTGTGCTTTTTCGTCTTTTGTTCGCACCTGCTTGGCTTCGGATGCAGTCGCAATGGCGACGGTGGTGGTGCTGCTGCTGCTGGTGGTCGAACGGAGAGCCAGCGCATGCTCAACCTTGAGCGCTGCGAGCGACTTGCCGTCGAGCACTGCAACTGTCAGAGACATGGGAGAAAAATAGAAATAAGAAATGAAGAATGAAGAGAATGAAGAGTGAGCAATGAAAACAAACCCTTCAACCTGCAATATGCTCAGAGTTTGGAGATTGAAGAACCAGAGTTTGCTCAGAGTTGACCCCATTCAGAGCAACAACGCGAATCCACACAGTGCTATCTGCTTCATCGTTGAATACAAGCGCGCTTTTTGGTTCTGAGATTTGCTCCACTCAATGTCTCAGTCCTATCTTTCACTCACTCACTCACCCTCGATCAAACCAAATCAAGATGGAAGCACTGGTGCCGCACTACTCGCCCGTGCGATCGTGCGCGGTTGGCAGCCAGATCACGACAGACTGCGCACCAGCGTACAACCAGCATTCGCACCAACACAGGCAGGAGAGCGAGGTCGAGCTGTATGTGCTCGAGCTGGCCAACTCGCCCTCGAGCGAGCTGCTTGGCGCCGCCACGAGCGACGGCCAGATCCGCATTCTGGACAAGGCCTCGCTCCGTGTAGTGGGCATCCTGCCGGGACACGCAGGTCTCGCGGGTTACCTTCGCGCGATCCAACCCAAACCTGCTCATGTCCGCCGGCACCGACGGCCGCGTGCTCGTGCTCGGCTGGGACCTGCGCACCGCGTTCGCCGGTAATCATCATGGCCACAGCAGCAGCAGCAGCAACGTTCTCCCGGCGATGGAGTTCCGGGCACGGCAGGGCGACCGGTTTGTCAGCATGGATGTGGCCTGCGACGATGTCCTCGTGGCGGCCGGCACCGAGCTCAGCGGCGACTCTGGCTCCATCTTGATCTGGGACTCGCGCGCAAGCCGCAAGACACTACACACATTCCACGAATCGCACACGGACGATGTGACGAGCCTCGAGTTCCACCCGCACGCCCCGGCGCGGTTTGTCACTGGATCCGAGGACGGTCTTGTCTGCCTGTTTGACCTGAACGTCGACATGACCTCCCAGGTCCCTACCGACATGGTTGTCGAAGAAGAAGCCACCCCCGAAGAGAAAGCCACCTTGGCGGTGATGAACGCCGAGGCCTCCGTCCACCGAGTCGGCATCTTTGGACCCTCCGGCGAGTTTGTCTACGCCCTCACTGGCTCGCAGGAGCTCCGATTGTGGAATGGTGCCGAGGCGAGCCAGCTAGCAGCGTATTCAAGCGTCCGAGAAAGCCTCAACGAGCACTGCATGAACGCCAACGCACAGCAGGCTGGCGTGGAAGCGCCGCATGTCGACTACCTAATTGCCACCAAGTACCACGCTCCGTCCGAGCGCTTTTACCTGATTGGAGGAGATTTTAGCGGTGGAGTGCACTTTGCCCATGTATCGCTGTCGAGCATTGACTACATTCGCTCGCTCCGCACCAGCGCCCACAATGCCGTTATTCGCTGCGTCGACTGGGATGGCCCAGAAAGTCTTCTGTATACCGGAGGCGAAGACGAGCTTGTGTGCCAATGGAGTGCAGAGCGATAAACTGCTGTATCTCTGTTGATTGTTAGCTGTGTCTGTGTGTTGTGGAGAACTTTTGGGTTTGGACTACGACCGAACTTTCTCCTCGTTGTTGTTGTTGTGGTTTTTTTTTTCTTTTTCAAACAATAAATTTGCTTTTTCTCTTCAGAAAATTCAACGTACAGTAAATCTTGATTTGTCACAAAAGAGGAGGAACGTGGAAACACGTGGAAACACATCAACTGGCCCCGCTATGGATATAGTAGGAGCAAAGACAACGAGAAAGCCGAAAAGAAGGACAAAAAAAAAAAGAACCAACGAAAAACCCAATCGTACTCTCTGCCACACTCGTCAAGCAGCACTTTGGGATGCGGTGCGCATGGCATCCATCCACCGCGCCATCTCGGCAGCACTCTCGGCAATAAAGTAGTATGTGCGCTGAGTTGCATGCATGGCCTTGAAGCCGAACGCATGATTCGTCTCTGCTGGTGCTTCGTGGATGGAGTATGTGGGGAGCTTGACACGGCCGAGTGCTTTGGGAGCAACATCGCCTTGGAAGATGCCATCCTACAAGATGTAAATGTGAGTGGATGCTTTGTGTAGATGATTGACATGACATTGGATCAGTTCCATCCGAAAAAAGAAAGCCTACCTCTCGCGCTTTAAAGTAGAATAGAGTGTTGCCACGCAGAATCATAAAGCGGTTGCGCCAACTACGAATGGTACCACCTTGCTTCTTGAGCCAGCCAGTGACGTACACGTAATCCGAGCGCGACTGCGGTGTCGCGGTGGCACTACTGGCCGCAGAAGCGGGCGGTTTGGCCGATGCAAAGACTTGGAAGATACGAAGCAAGCTGGGTTGGAGAAATGGGTTGAGAAAGAAAAAGTGAGAAAAAAAACCAAAAGGACAAATCCAACAAAAGTAACCCTCTGAAGTACAACGACCACGCAATCGATTCTGTGCTTACTTGTCAAGAGCAAGAGTCTGACACAACAAGCGCGGCGAGACATTGTAGGAATCGCCGGCATCGGGGTCGGCAGAGTGCTGGAGCAAATAGACAGCCGCCTCCATCCATTGATTCATCACGATGCGCTGGAGGGGTGTTAAACCGGCACTGCTAGTGTCGGTGCTGGGCGTAGCACTGACACGAGTTGATCTGTTGATGGAAGAATCGGATGAAGTACTGTAGCTGGTACCCCGCTGGCTCGATACTCGACGCAAGCCTGGCTGGGCGTTCAGAGGTGCCAACGCATCGTCGACCGGGCCTGGAGACTCAGGCGACGGTGAGCGTGGAGACTCGGGCGATGGGGAGCGTGGGGTGGCGGCCGGTTCGTTGTCGGTCGCACCAGACTCGTCGGTGTGTTCGTTTTGCTCACTCAAACTCGACATGGAACCAACGGCTGCAATAGGGGCCGAGGAGCCAGATGCAGACGTGTCAGACACTCGCTTGCTTCGGGAAGCGACCACCTGGCTATCCTCATCGATCGCGGCTTTTGCGTTCACGTCTGCCCCTTCAGCGACAAGACGAACAATAGCCTGCATGTCATGTTGTACGCAAGCTGTGGCAAGCTGCTGCTCCAGCGAAAGCCCGTCAGCGCTGTCGCTGCCAGCTATGGCAGCAGGAGCGACAAAGAGCTTTGCCTCGTACTTGGCACGAATAAACGCCTCGCGCTCCGCCATGGAAGAAGTCGGGGAGGGCTTTCTGGGTGTGGCAGCGGATCCAGCATCCGAGGCGGGCGGATTGTCCGAGCTGCGCAAGGAGGCTTCGTAAACACGATTGGAGACGACATTGCCGATGCTCTTCATCATCTGCAAGAGTGCAGGATCCCACTTGTCCAGGGTCAGCGAGCGCACTTTGGAAATGTGCACCCCCATCTTGCGGTGAATACCAGAGCATTCGATGCAAACGGCAATGCCCAGGTTGATGCTGGCCCAGGTCGGTGCAGCAGCACCACAGTCGGCGCACGCTTGGTTGTCGGCAAAATGCTCCAGTTCTTGTCGCAGTGTTTCAATCTCGGCGCTGGACAACGTTGGCACGAGCTTGAGCGGCAAAGGGGACCGCGGGCCACCGTCCTCTTCGCCAGAAAGAACGTCATCGGCATCGTCGCTGTCCCCTGCTTGAGGCAGCAAGTCGTGCGAGCCTCCCAAGGACACGCTAGCGCTGCCGCCAGGCTGGCTGGCTGCAGCTAGGGCGGCGTCTCCGGTTGAATCTGCCGCCGTTGCAGTCGACTGCGCTGCTGTGGAGGAGGCCGATGGGGGCAATGTCAAAGGTGGGGTTGGGTTGGCAGGAGGAGCGGCAACGTGGGAAGAGGTGCCCAGACCCAAACTTGTTGCAATGCCCTGTTGCAACGCAGCAATCCAAGCAAGGCGCTCCTCTTCGCTTGCCGCTTGCAACAGCAGCGTGCGCTTGGGTGACACAAGCTCAAACACGTGCGAGCGGTGATCAATCGCTGCATCTTCGCCCACGAACGCCCGAACCATGCAAGTCTGCAACATTGCGAGTGAAATGAGCGGGCTAAAGCCCCGCACATGTGCGCCCAGATCACTGGCGTCGTCGCTTGCCGACGAGGTCGCTCCAGAAGTGCTTCCCAACGTGCCAGTAGCCGACTGACCCGCACGGCCCGCTTTGAATGGCGATGAAATACCACCCCCTGCTGCTGTTCCTCCTTGCACTGGCTCCCCTCCACTGGCTCCGCTTGGGTTTGAGCTGAAGGTAGCGTTGCTGGTGGACGAAGGCGTGGCGAGCCCCGTCGCGCTGGTCGCATTGGAGGAGGCTCCAGAAGCCGTCGCACCACCACCACCACCACCACGGAAACCAGACGCGGCAGCCTGAAGGTACGAAAGCGAAGCGCTCATCCATGAGGTCGGCTGCGGACTGACCAATCGTTGATAGAGCAACTGTGAGCCGTCGCAGAGAAAGTAGCATCGTTTCCACACGCCCTTCCTCTTTTTAGACTTTTTGTAGAGGAAGCCTTGCTGTAGGATGGGGCGGCCGTTGGTCGCCGCCACGACGCGAGGCGGAGGCGCGTTGTGGCCGCCACGTTTTCCGCTGGGAATGATGGATGCTGGGTCAACGGCTGCCGTGCATGAAGCAGAAGGTGGGACGCCACTCTCGCTTTCCTCCAGCTGAGCAGAGCGGACCTTGTTGCTGAGCTCACGCCGCTCCTCCTCTTGGCGGGCTTTATCGTCGTGGTAGCTGCGCTCAAGCTCGTTGGTAAAGGAGAAGAGACCGTCCATGGCCGGCTGCAAGTCTTTCATGAGGTCGTGCGCTTGGTGGAAGAAGGCAAACTGGCCCTGCATGAAGGTGAGCACGGCCTGAAGGACGCGGAGGTGGCGAACGCGAATGACATCGTTGATGGACACGGCATAGTCCAGGGAAACTTGCTGAAAGTCCTGCTTGGCGTTCAGGATTTGCGTACGGTGGTCTTCCACGACGGTGCGATCCGCGCTGCGATCGAGCGCCGCGTAGCGGGCCTGGCGCTGCTCCACGGTGCGTGAAGATTCCTCGAAAATGTGGCGCTTGTGTCGAGACCGAATGACAACCTCGTTGGCAACAAAGCTCTCGATCGGCTCAGCCAGCACAGCAGCTGTCTGCAGGTGCAGCATCTCGCGGTACCGCTCCAGACCAGCCAGAGTGTCGGCGAAGTTGCTCAGCGAGCCGACAACGCGATCGACCACGGCCTGATCCGCTGCACCCAACTCTGCAGTGGATGTAGAGTCGCTGCCACCAAACTTGCGAGGAGCAAGCGGGCCTGGGTGCTCTGCCGTGAAGTTGGCGAGCTCATCTGCGAGGCGCGTACTTGCTTGGGAGTATCTGTGTTGACGGTTAAGCCCCGCCATTTTTTTCGAAAAGTGAGCACCTTTTGATGAACTTTGTTTTCACGTCAGTATTGAGTGGCTGGTTTTTGTTTGCTTGCGGCAATCATCAACATCAGCAAGTGTGTGTGAGAGCGATTGCAATGACGCGAACTTGGAGAATTCGCCTACAGTGATCATTGCTCTCCGCCTCTGCTCCCACCGCACCCTCCTCCTCCTCCTCCTCCTCGCCCCAAGCAGCCTCTAACTCTTTCCAAGACTCGAGCGACGCGACTACTCGTCATGGGAACCAACAAGTCGCTCCGTTTCCTCTCGATTATTTTTTTTTGTTTCTGTTCCTATTGCTTTTGGGTTTTACTTCACGTCCAGCGCGAACACCGCCAACGTAATCACGCAAGTGTGTGCGGCCCTGCATGCATGCATGCGCTTACTTTGTGCCAGCGTCGCAGGCCGTGTTGGTTGCCGCGACAATCGAGCGCATTCGTGTCACAAAGTCCTGCAAAGTGTCTTCTGCGCGCAACAGTGACGCGCGGTACGCCGGCGTGTCTGCCAGGCCCTGCTCCAGCGAGACCTCCATGATGCACGTAGATCTAGCAGGAACTCCAACAGCGATAAAACCCTGTGCGAGGTCCCAATCAAAATAACACAATAAAAATACTAATAAAAGGATGGAGTGGAGTTTGTGATTTGTTGCCAAATGAAGCAGTCTCAACGTGGATGTCGAGCATGTCCCGCTCTCGTTTCCCATAGCACTGTCAGTCAATGTTGGACTCTGTTGCGTTTTTTGTCGGATCTTCACGACTCAGCGGTGAGTTGCGGGGTGAACTGGACAAAAGGGCCCGTTCTCTTTGTTCTCTTTGTTTTTCACAAGATTTGCACCTTTCTGTGGTGCATGGATTGAAATAAAAGTGGATGCAGCTTCAAAATTGCTCACAAATTGCAATTTGCCACCAGGTTGCTTTATTGGGATCTGAGCAGCGCAGCCAGTTAGTTTTTTTTGCATCTGTCTCTTTTCCACACTTTTCCACACTTTTCAACCTCCTCCTCTCTCTTTCTCGCTTTTTGCTGCTCTCTCTCTCTCTCTCTCTCCCGTCCTTCTCCTCCTCACAAATGCGGCTGTGTGACATTGCAATGGCCACCCGGTTCCTCGGGCAGGTCGCAGCCAAGGCCCACAAGTCCAAGGCCCGCCAGCTGCCTCTCTCGGTCGTTCGGTAACTGCACCCTTTTTTTTTTTTTTTTTTTCTTTTTTTCTTTTTTTTTTCGTTGCCAGGATCCTCTTGTGCTGAGCGGCGGCCGTTCCTCGCAGCTCCATTCCCCCCCCCGCTGGGTGTTTTGCTTTGGACCCTGGGCACACTCAGCCTCCTCTGCAGATGCACCCTCTGGCGCTGCTGTTTCTCGCCCCCCCCCCCGCCCGCCTTCGCTACAAGATCGAAGCCCGACGCTCCTTCCCTATTTGAATTTTGAACTTTTTTTTTCTTTTTCCCCTTTCCCTCTTGGCTCGCATTGCTGTTTGACGGGGCCCAGCGCTCGTACTCCCATCTTTGCTCCATGCTGCACTGATTGGCGCTGTCCGGCGGACGGGATGAACGGGAGCAACGGCCAACGAGCTTGAAGAGTGTGCTCTTTCTACGCGTTAACGATCGTGCTAATCTAAAGCACACAAAAACCAAAAAAAAAAAAAAAAAAAATTCAAAATCCGTTTTTCCATTCACTGAGCAGGAGTAGCAGCAGCAGCAGCAGTCGTAGCAGCAGTCGTATGGAGTGAACCTGCTGAGCTTGAACAGCGGTGCTTTCCCCCTCAATGGACACTGACCCCACACGCCTGGGTGGAACAACCCCGCCTGTGACAAAAAGTGGGGTGAAAAACTGACTCCTCTCATGCTGCTGCTCTTCGCTGGCTCTCGTCTTCATCCACTCGCCATCTCTCTCCTCTCTCTCCTCTCTCTCTCTCTCTCTCTTTTCTTTTGTCTCCCTCTCTTTCTCTCTTTGTCATCTCTCCTTGTACGTGCTCCGTACTCGCCCCATAACGCAAGCTCGCTCTGCGCGATATAAACCCTTTTTTTTCTTTTTTTTTTCTTTCTTTTTATGCAGCGTTCCCACTGCGCAACGCAAACCCCATCCCTCGTTGCCACACACACACACACACTCACGCACATGCACACACTCTTTCAATGCGATTCGGAGGGTGATGCGATGGAACAGCCAATGGAAAACCCGCCTTCCCTTCTCTCCACTCAAAACTCTCTCCACCAAAAAAATTTTGTATTCAGAATGTTTTAACTCGTCACTCATTTCTGCTTTTTTTGAATCCACAACAAAAAAACAATACAAAAATACGACAACGGCATACCAATGAATCAAACCCACACAGGCAACTTTACAAGGAATTGTACAATGTGATTGTGCAGCAGTGGACGGCCATGACGGTCGTCATCATGCGTGGACTGCCGGCACACCTCGACGCGCAGCGGAATGAGCTGCAGCACAGCATGGATAAGCTGAGTGCGTTGTACAACAAGCACCAGGCCACCCTCAGCACGACGGAGGACGCTTTCAACGCAGCCGTGTACGACACACTGCTCGACCTCACGCGCGAGATGGCAGAATATCTGTCCGAGGCCTTCTTTGGGTGCGTCAGTGTCTTGTTCACACCGGCCCTCGCGGACACCAAGGCGTGCGTTGCAGACGTCAAGTGTGTGCAGCTGGCGACGGTTGTGCTGTCCGATCCGCAGGGGGTTGTCACGGCGTTCCAGAAGGCAACACACTCGATTGCTCGGCTCGGCGAATCCGTCTCTCGTGTTCGCGCCGGCTATCCGCCACTCGACTCGCCCCTGTTCATTTTCATGTCGGAGGCGTTCGATCACTTGAACACTGTGAACAGTGAGCTTGCGAACGCTGTCAACGCGGCTCTTCGTGTCATTGTCAACATTCCTGTGCACGAAATTGAGGCCATGAGCGAATCTCAGCGCCACACGCGCGCCGTCACCATTCCCGAGGTGACCCATCTGATCGATACAGTCACCCTCGTCATCACCGTTGCGGAAGACGCGGCAGCGCACATCCGTTCCGAGCAAGATGTGCTAAAGGACGTCTCCCCGCTGTCGCTGTACACTGCACTTGCCATGCAGTCTGCTCAGGCGGAAGTCCTCAAGGAACAGCTCCACCAAGAGAAGGTACAGCAGATTCGCGACTCTGGCGCTGCGGCGCGTGTCAGCCGTCTTCGTCTGGACGACAAGGCGGTCGTTTCGCAAACCGTTGCAACGCTTGCCTCAAATGCGGACGAGGTGGGCGTTCACCTCCACAACATCCAACATAACGTTGCACAGCGTGACATTCGCAGTTTGCGCATTGCAGCCGATGCCGCACGCCCGTCTCTGGGCGACTACTTCAAGACGCTGTCGACTGCGCTCCAAGAGGAGGAGGCCATTCTCAACAAGGACGTGCAGAGCAACAGCGCCAAGGCCACTGCTGCTGTGGCGGCAGTCAAGCCCAACGCAACGCCCGCAGAAGTGCGACCAGCAGCCATCGAAGCTCGCAACTGGCTTGAACTCGCCATCGAACGCCTTCAACCCACGCAAACCAAGCGTGCGTTTGACGGATTCTCCTCGCCAGCTTTCCTTCAACACATCCAGGCTGCGCGCAAGCACGCTGCTACGCTGCCCAACCAATCCACCCCTCCAAACTCAAACCTGACGCAGCCGTCGGTTGTGGAGAAGGTCGCAAACACGAACGCCGAACTCGTTCTGGCCGTTCAGGAGAAGCTGGTCGTGATGCGCGAGCACAGCAAGTCCGACCAGACTGCGCAGCAAGCTGTTTTCGACAAGGTCTCGGCCATTTTGCAAGAGCCAAACAATGGCGAGCTCGAGCTGGAGCTCTTTGACGCGCTCGATGCCATCGAAGATCATGTGGACGGCGTCATGAGCAAGATGCTCCCCTTGAGTGCAAGTGAGGAAACCTTGGTCGACCATGATGAAGACACTACCGCTGCTGCAGCCGCCGCTCCGCAGGCCGGTCTGATGGGTGTCGTCCCCGTTTCCGTCCCGACGTCCACCAGCTCGGGCAGTCTTGCTGACTCGGCACGAGATCTCTCCAAATCGGCTTCGAACAATTCGCTGACGGCGACGCCTGGAGTGACTCGATCGTCCTTCTCCGACTCGTCTGGCCGTGATTCCATTCGTCGAACCGGCGACAAGGTGCTCATTCAAGGCTCGTCCGTGCGCGAGTTTGTCAACGGATTCCAGGAACTGTCTCATTCTGAGAAGGCTGCGCTTGCTGCGGACAAAGCCGCCGCCGCTGCGCCGGCCGCCACTCCCCAGTTGCAAAAGTCTGAGAGCAAGAGCTCTGTGGGGGCCTCCAGCACCGTGGGCGCCAACACTGTCGATTACATGTCGCTCCGACGCCACGGCAGCACCCAGAGTCTCTTTGCAGAGACAGATTTGCCACAATTCGAAACTGGCCCTCTCGGTGAAGATCGCGTCACCCTGGGCACGCTCAACCAACTGCTCAAGCGCCTCACCGACCCCGGCTCGATCGACATTCTTTTTACCAATGCCTTCATTGTTGCTTGCTCCAATTTTGTGACTGCCGAGCGTTTCATGGAGAAGATGATTCAGCGGTACGTCCGACTCAATCATATGCTGATTCTGTGCTTGACTGGTTTCTGGGGTCTCATTGTTTTTGGTTGTGGTGGTTTCATCGATGCTGTGCTTTTGCTTCTTCCATTCGCCTGCAGCTACTACAACCCCTCTATGCTGGATGATACCGATGGGTCGGAATACGACGAAGCCACCAAATATCCGATTCAAGAGCGCGTTTGCATCATGATGTAAGTTCTGCGTCTGATGGCTGAATGATATTTTTGACGCTTTTATCGGAATGCTTGACCAACTTGTTGGTTATTGCCTGTTACAGCAAAAAATGGATTGACGAAAACTACGATCCTGAGGAACCTTCGATGCTTCGCGTGCGTGGTCAAATCTTTGAGTTCTTTGACAAAGTCTCGACGCAGCGCGGCAACCAGAACCTGCTGAATATGATCAAGCGTGCCATCGAAAAGAAGGTGCGCAGATCGCGGGTGTTGTGTGGATTGGAGGGCAAGTTGCCGGGGGGCGACGCGTTGACCAAGATGCGCTCACTTACCAACCCCACAAAACCAAAAAAAAAAAATCGTGGATCTACAGGAAATCAAGGTTGAAAAGACAAAGGCAGAGGCTGCCAAGCCAAAGAGTCCGGTCGGCAGTCTTCAAGGCATCAAGGCAAGCGGCTCCAAGTGGCGGATAGCAGCCAAGCTTCTTCGCATCGAGTCTGTGCTGCATTCGGACGACTACGATATTGCAATTCAACTAGCGCATATGAACGCGGAACTGTTGAAGCAAATCAAGGTAACGCATTCTCTTCACGTGTCGCTCCATGGTCGCAACGAGTGTTGTTCTCGCTGCGCTCATCGTTACGGTTTTGTTGTAGATGAGTGAATTCCGCAAGTTGGCGTGGACCAAGTCGGATCGCAGCACCAAGTCAACCCACGTGCTCGCCATGATTGAGTTCTTCAATCGCGTGTCGGTGTGGGTCGCGTACTCGATTCTCAAGGAAAAGAAGCTCAAGCGACGTGTCACCACGATGAGCAAGATGGTTTCCATTGCTTGCGTGCGTTTTTGGTTACTTTGTGATTTTGGCCACCCGCCCTGCTGTTTTCTGCTTGTTGCTCGTTGCTGACCTCGTCCATGTATTGGTTCCATGCAGTTCCTGCGCGATCTCAATGACTTCCAAGGTGTCATGAGTATTCTTGCCGGCCTGTCGATGGCCAGCATCAAGCGTCTCAAGTGGACGTTCCGATTGATGCCGCGTCGAACCATCAAGGTAGGCAGGGGGAGGGCGGTTTGCTTGTCTCACCATGGCTTTGGCACCTCGCGAGACACCCAAATGAATGACGCTAACATTGCATGACGTTTTGATACTTGTAGCGACTGGAAGACTTGGAGAAAGAAATGAGCTCGGAGCGCTCTTACTCTGTGTATCGCGCGGCTCTTGTTGGTGCTCAGGGTGCGCGTATTCCGTTCCTGTAAGACCTTGTTGGGAGGATTTTTTTATTACTGTCATTTCTGTTTTGGTCAACCCGCTGACTCGTCGGATTTGCCATGTCAACATTTGTTTCTGCCTTGCAGTGGCGTGACCTTGTCGGATCTGACCTTCATCGAGGAAGGCAACGCCGATTACATTGACAAGAACATTAATTTCGCCAAGCAGATGATGTTCTACGATGTTGTGACCTCCATTCAGTCGTACCAGCGCCACGCGTCGTACACGGTTGAAGAAGCCCGTTTCCCCGTTGCTGAGAGCATCGACCTGGCCAACACTGAGATGAACGAGAGTGGTTTGTACGAATACTCGCTGCTGATTGAGCCAAGGAATGCCAAGCGCAAGGAAATCGTCTGAGCTTTTGCAAGATTTGTTTCGTTCGTTCGTTCGCTCGTTCGGGCCATCTCCGTGCTGGGTTTTTCTTGTGTGGCTGTACTCTGAGTTTTGTTGTATTTGTGTTCGCTTTTCTGCACATCCATTTTGTTATTATTGATTGGGTATTCACCGTCCTTGTCGGCATGCGCGTGGCTTCGCTGTGGCACGTGCAGCATCTGCGTGGCGCGCGTCGCCTGTAGACCCATTACTCTTTGGTTTATGTGTTTGTTTTGCACTGGTTTTTTTTTTTTCTGCTTTAGTTTTCGGCTGCGTTTGTTTGTTTTTGTTGTTGCGTTGTTCGTTTTGGCTTCAAGTGCTATCGGATCCCAAATATAGAGTCAAAATGTGATTGATACAATCACGGCATTCTACGTCTAGATCTAAAAGTACATGGGACAATCATTCTTGGGTGATTATTGCAGCGCGGCAATAACTTCGGAAAAGGACGTGACAAACCAGTCGGCGCGTTCCTGGACTGCCTGTCGCCGAACGTTTCCTCCAAAGCCAATGAACATGTCTGCAGGAGGTCGTGCCTCGAGATCGGTGATGCCATCGCCGACCATGATGGTGACTGCATTTTCGTGCTTGGCCTTGATGAGCGCCACAGCTTTGCCTTTCCCGCCGCTGATCGGCACAGAAGCAGATGAATCGAAAAGGCAAGGTCAGACCACTCTGCAACAAGATTCAACAGCCACCACAATCGCTAAACAGGCCCAGCACAAACCTTTGCGAGGTCAGGGCCTTGTCGTCAAAGCCCGCGTAGCTGCCTGCTCGGATCGCACAACCAAGCACACACAATCAGAACTATTTAGTGGATGCTGCAATACGGAGCCACATGTGACAGGTACAATAGACTCAGATTGGCCTACCAGTCTCGTTCTCAAAGAGGATTTGGTTGGCAAAGACGTGGTCGGCGGCAATCTCGAGTTCATCGATAACAGGCGCGATCATTTGTCGGAATCCTCCAGTCACGACATAGACGTCAACGCCGCACGCCTTGAGCATCTCGACCAGCTCCCTGCACAGCGGCAACAACGACAACACCAGAAACAATTTGAGCAAAAGCATAAAGCATAAAGCATCAAGCATAGAACAGTATCAAGTGTTGCCATACTTGACGCCAGAGGTCAGGTGCGGCGGATGTTGTTGCAAGCAGTCGTGGATGTTTTGGGCACTTGGCTTGATGAGATCCAGTCGTTGCTTGAGGGCGACCTGGACAAAGCCAAACACCAATCAACGGCAAACAAGCTGAGTCGGGGACTGCACCAACGAAGCCAAGCTTGGCTTTGTGTCAAAGCCGTCGTATTTTTTTTTTTTTGTTAATTCGTCTTTTTGTGTGTGAGATGTATTTTCGCTTGCGCACACATGGCGATCCAAAGCGAAAAAGCGGGGTGGGCAGCTCCAACAAAGCACTGTGGCCCGTTCGCCCAGCGCGCCAAATTTCGCTTCCACCTGCTTTTTGATCATCTTCTTCTTCGTCTTCTTGTTCTTCTTCTTTCATTCTGCGACTGTCGCTCGTTCTTCTACGAAACAGCACACAAACACAAATAGAGCGCAAGAAGACGAGCGCAAGACTGTACCTGGAAGGGCACCGCGCCGCCCATGGCCTGCGAGGTGAGCTCGGCGACTTGCTTTCCGACACCGCAGAAATCAGCCAGCACGTCAATGCCCTGGCACCACCCAAAAAAAAAAAATGGGTGAGTCAAGCAAGAGCCACATGGAACTTTGCCAATGGTGAGTGCATCCTCATCCTCATCTCGGTGCAGAGAGAGACAGAGACAGAGACAGACAAAGAGAAATGGCGGGAAAACGGGAGCGTGCGAATCGCCAACCGCATTTTAGGGTTTTACCTCGAACCTCACCCCGCACACTGCTCGCTCCGCCGCGCTCAGTGAAGGGTCTGTTCGCTAGTGGTGTGCTTTTTGACTGTGCATACTGCAAATGCTTCGGGGCAGTGACTTGGAAAAGAAGCGAGAGAAATCAAAAACTCGCCTCAGTGCGGTTTGAGTGTGTGCGCAATCACTTAAAGGCAGCGCAGATAGGAAAGCAAGCCCCAGCAGCACCACCCAGCCCCCATGACAAGTGACAACGACCAGCAGACCAGCAGACCAGCACAAGCCAACGCCGAATGGGGGCAAGCGGGGGTGGGAAGGGGAAAGGGCTGGAAGCCACGTCGGCCGAGCAATCATGAACGATGTGCCCTCACTGCCCTCACTGCCCCCGTCCCCTCATCCATCCAAACGTGCTCGCGGAAGTGTCATCCGACAGTGAATCTCAGCAACACCAGGGAAGGCAAAGATCCAACATGCGGTAGGAAAAAACAACGAAAAGCTCGAATAGAAAAAAAAGCCGGTACCTCTTCTTGAATAAGCGTGCTGTCCACGTCAAACACGACGCAGCGAGCCGACTTTAGCAGATGCACGATCGAGTCTGCTGGAGCAACCATTTTTTGTGTTGAATGAAAACGAGTAAACTTTGGTTGAAGGAGACTGACTGAACGTGAGTACAATTGGAGAGCAATAAGAGTGTGTTCACTCGTCGCTTTGTATAAGTGAAGTCTCTTGTTTCCCTATCATCACTCTCATCATCAACCCATGAATGAAAACGAGTAAACTTTGGTTGAAGGAGACTGACTGAACGTGAGTACAATTGGAGAGCAATAAAACTAAAGCTAGCTCCAAAAGGCTCAGCAATCAAGCGTTGTGGAAATTCGTCCTTGCTCGCCATCTCTCGTCATTCTTGCGCTCTCTCGCTCTCTTCGAACATGGTCAATTGTAATCCAATGCTCTGATCGGTTCAACATGCTGTGCTCATACGAGTGAAAATCCACAAGCAAAAACAGCCATGAGAACGACAAGTGTTTCACTCTTTTTTTCTTTTTTTTTTTTCGACTTTTCCACTTGTCAATCCAAAAGAGCAAAACAAGAAAGACAAACCCCAAACATCATCGCAATCGCACCACAGCCCAATCCACTATGGCCAAGAAGAAAAAGAGCTCAAAGGAAGAGCAGCAACAGCAGCAGCAGCAGCGTGACAGGAGCAGCAGCAGCAGTGGCAGCAGCAGTGGCACTGCGATCACCGGGCTGCGTCCACATGACGCACCCCAACAGCAAGCACAGCAGCAACTACAACAACAAGCACAGCAGCAGCAACAACAAGCAGGAGTGGGTCCTGCATCCGTGCCACCGCCGCCCCGCGACGTCCCAATGCCAGCGCCATCTGCGTCCGATGCAGCAGCAGCCGTGTCGCAGCCGCTCTCCATCAGCGGACCCACCAACGTCAAGCGCCACCTGTCGCTCTCGCTCGACCTCGAATGGACGGGCGCTGAGCCCCTCGACATTTTCCAGCTCGTCTCCAAGATTGGCGAAGGGTACGAAACAACAACAATGATGGCTGGCTGTGCGATTGACCAGTGGCGGCGGCGGGATTGTGTTTTGCCAAACTGAGCCAAACAACTACGCAAAACAACAATAGAAAGGGCCGAGACGCCGCATCATTCGCTTGCGTGTCTTGTGCGGCTCATTGCGGCCATTCAGAGCTCATCGCAGCGTGGGGGCTTGGGCGGCGTCGACGGTGGTGGATTTGAGGGATTGAGAGAATGAGTCGGGACCGAAACGGCGATCGTGACCATCCCCCACCTGACTGTTGAAGCCTTGGTGATTGTGCATGTGAATAGCTAATGTGCTTTTATTGTGTGTGTACTTCTGGTTCTGTTGGTTTTGTTTTTCACTTTTTGGCTAAGGTCGTTTGGATCGGTCTATCGAGCGGTGGATCGCCGCAGCGGAGGAGTGTTTGCCGTCAAGTTGGTTTCGCGACAACCAGCAGGGACAAACTCGCTGTCTCCGTTGTCCAGCATGCCGGGCAGCCCAGTTTCGTCGTCGCGTCACAGTCCGTCCACAGTAGCCGCCGCAGCCGCAGCCGCGGTCTCGTCAGACCTGCTGACGGCAGAGTTGGAGAACGAGCTCAACATTCTGAAACAGTGCCGACACGCCAACATTATCAGCTACTATGGCTGTTTCCGCTCGTCCAAGCACATGTGGTTGCTGATGGATTGTTGCGTGGGGAATGTCAAAGACCTCGATCAATGCAAGCCGCTCGCGGAAAAGCACATTGCCGCGATTGCCGCGTCGGCGCTGCATGGCCTTGTCTACCTGCACGGCAAGCGCATTTGGCATCTGGACATCAAGCCCACGAACATTCTCATTGCTGCATCGGGTGTCATTCAACTGGCCGACTTTGGCGTCTCAAAGATGATTGCGGTGCATCGCCGATCGCAAAACGCCAGCAACGGGACTGGTGGTGCCGAAACCAGTCCAGATGCATCCGAGGTCTGGGAGCCCGCGGCTGGGAGCAAGCTGTACATGGCTCCGGAAGTGCTGCAAGGCCGCAACGTTGCATACGACCATCGTGTGGATGTGTGGTCGCTTGGCATTTCGTGCATTGAGCTTGCCGAAGGCCAGCCGCCGTATTCCGAACTGCGCCCAATGACTGCTGTGCGGCACATTCTCGAGCAGCCAGCCGCAAAGCTAGCCGACGTTGAGCGACTGCGCAAAAACGCTGCCCGTGAGGCAGCCAAGCAACAAAAGCTCCAAAAGCGCTCTGCACAGCGAGTCAAGTCTGACGATCCGAAGACGGCAAAGCTGATGAGCGAGGCTGGAATCAGCCCGACTTCGGCCGAGTACATGCAGATCGATCAACCAACCGCTGGGAATGAGCAGGATTTGTGGCTGCGGCGGCCATCGAAGCGCTGGTCGTCCGCGTTTGAAGACTTTGTGGCGCAGTGTCTTGAGAAGAATGCCCAGGAACGGCCTGCCTCGTCTCAAATGGAGACTCACAGTTTTGTCGCCCACGCGCGCTGTGACGGCACGGTGATGCTCAAGCGGCTCAACTCGTTCAAGTCGACGCGAGACGCCATCAATGGCGGTGACCCGTTGTCTTCCGACGTTGTCCAGGACTATGAGGGAGCCCCCACTGACAACAACAATGAGAGTCAGACGAGTTCATTGGCGGACGATTCGGTAAGCGGCGGGAGTCGTTTTGCAGTTTTTGCAAATGGATGTTACTCGGATTTTATTTTATTTTTTTTGCTCTTGCTGTTGCTGTTGTTGTTGTTGTTGTTGTTGTTGTTTGTTGTTGTTGTGTGTTGCTATATCTGCTCACTACTTCCTTCGGGTGCTGTTGATGCTGTTTGAACTAGCGCTTGAATGCGAGCGCATCTCGGCACGCCCTATCAACGTTCCCAGCTCCCAAGCGCATCCGGGCCTACACAACCGAGACCACGTCGAGTGCCGTTTTGGTCGACTCGCGGCTTTCGACGTCGTCCGTGTACTCCGATGCACCCAGTACCCGGTCGAGTGGCTTTATCACCAGCCGAGGCAGTTCCGACCGATCGCCGTTGCTTGCCAAAAACACAAAACTGAACGCCGGACGCCCAGCTATCCCTTACCGCCAAGACGATAGCGTGACTGTCAAGTGCTCGTGTTGCACCATCCTTTGATTCGATGTTGTCTGTTTGCTTGTTTTTGCTTTCTGCTTTGCGGTTCTGTTCCATTTTATCCACCCCGCTCCGCTTTCTGCTGCCACCAGTAAAATCACTTTCACAACCACCACCGGTTGGATGTGGCTTGAAGCACAAGCACATCTCCAATCCGACAGAGCTCAACAAAACAAAAAGAACTGCTGCTGGGAAGCAGAAAAACTATGGTACATTGAGCATAACGAAAACAACTACATCTTCTGGTGACGAAGGAAGAACTGAGCAGCCGATCGAGCCTCGGCTTTTGGTACAGCCTAGCCACAAGCAAGCACAGAATCGCCCAAATGCGACATGATGGTTGGATTGAGAGGTGAGTGAGAGCACCGTTCAGAAGCAGTAAGCACATGCAGCAGCAGAGCACGAAAGCATCACCACCACCCTGCTCCACTGCTCCATGCACACCCCAAACCAACTTGCAGACTTTCGGCACTCACCAATTCGTTGATGCAGGTCTGGAACTCGGCGAGCAGCTGTGAGCATGGCTTGTCCAAGTGGTTGTTTTGCTTCCAGCAGACCATGAGCTTCTGCATGGCGCCGTCGCACAGATCCGAGCCTGTGTTACAATGGTGGATGGTTGGTGCATTGCAAGTCAGTTCGTGTTGATGGTTGTTGCGCGCCAACGAGCGCTCAATGCAATGGACGAGCAGCGCTTCAGAAGGACGAGATCTGTCCCTTTCGCTCCTCTCTGCCTCTCTGCCTCTCCACGGCGATCTCGATCGAACGGCATGGCTTGCTGTGTGTGTGTGTGTGTTGGCTTACGATCCATGAGCGATTCGCGCAGCTTGGCGGTCGGAATCTGCCGCGTCGCAATGCTAATGTGACGGAACTTGGCAAGCGCTGGTCCCGATGGAGCCAACATTGGTACTATCGATGAGGGGGGAAAAGAGAGACTGCTGGAAGCGTCGTAATATGAATGAATGAAATGATAGAAGTGAATTGTGTGAGGATGGGGGGTGGACGAAGCAAGTATAAAGACAATCAACAAAGGGGAAGAAAATCAATATATATTATGTGGAGAGGGAAACAAGGATTGAAAAGGCTACAGGTAGATGCGGCGTAGGTGCGCTGGAGTCGTGATTATGTTGCACTGCGGGCATACTTTCTTGGCGCCGAGCGTGGCGAGCCAGCATTGTTGACAGTGCACGTGCCAACAATTGATGGAAACGGCGGGATTTGTGTACGGCTCCATGCATATCAAGCACTTGTGTGCGGCAACTGTGGACGAGGCCAGCTGCGTCTGGAGATCGCGAATCATCTCTTTCAGGGATTGCATGACTATAGAAGCAGAGGACGCTTGCTCGCTGCCCGCGGCTGCCACAGCCACAGCTGCTGCTGTACCGGAACTGCTGTCGGCAGGTGCCCCTGCTGGTGCAGGTAGTGATAGTGCTGCACTGGCAGTAGTGCCGCTTGCATCTGTCATGGATGTAGCAGTGGTGCCTGCCGTGTTCACCATTTCAAGATCGTGCTCTGTGAATTGTGCAGTGCCGTAGACGGCGCTATCGTCTTGGTCGACATCCAAATCCTCATCCTCGTCCTGGTCGTTAACATCCATCTCGGTGCCAGTGCCAGTCGTTGACGCGTAAAGTCCCGATCCAGAGTGCAGTGGATGAGCGCCTGACGCGGCTGACGATGGTGGTGGCGGTGCAGACGAGCTCAGAATGTGCAAAGCGCCCTGGTTTTGGGCCAAAAGCGCGGTTGCGCGGACCCGAGTCTGCCCGCACCATTCGTATGTGTCAAAAGCATTGCCATTGCTCGTTTCAGCAGCCGCGTCGAGGGCGTCCAGGCGTGCCATGGCCGCACCACCACTGTTCGCGTTGGTATCAGCGGCAGCAGCGGCAGCGGCATTGCCTGCCTCGCGCGGCTGGCCGAGACACTTGTCAATGTGTGCGTTTATCCTGTCCATGTCGCCTCGCAGCACTTGATCGCAGATGGGACACCTCGGCAGCGCGCCCAGCATCAAGTCGCCGCCGTCCAGCATCGACATGTGTGCTGCGCCGCCGCCCGAGCCGCCGCCCATCCCAATCCCCATCCCCATCCCAGGACTGGCAGACGCGTGCATCAGACCAGCGCCACGCCGCCGCTTGGGCGCGACAGGAGCGACTGTTCCGTCGTTGACGAGCTGCGTGTACGTTTGCGTGCGGAGTTCGCGTCTCCGTCGCACGCTGTCGAGCACCTGGCGGCCGTGGTCGACCGCAGTCATGGCAGACAAGCTGTCGACCTCCATGCCACGGCCACGCAGCTGCTGCGAGTGCGACAAGACGCGTTGGCGCGCGTGCACGGCGGCCTCGCGCTTCCCCAGCGTCGCTGCAGCCGGTTGCATTGGATTGAGATGGATTTCGGGCTGAAGAAGAACTACAGTAAGACTGTTGTACTGGTTAAGAATAAGAAGTGGCGATGAGCAGAATGAATCATCATGATGAGGATGATCAAAGCGAAACTGAACTGGGGGGTTTTTTGTTGCTCAGATTGTCTGTCTCAGTCGTTCAGTCTCTCTATCTTTCACTCTCTGTCTCACTCACTCTTTTGAGCCCGCTCGCTTGTTGGCATGAGCGATCTTGACGCAGTCAAACGCCAGCACCGCTTCATCTGGCGCGATGATGACCGGCTTGCTTCAACTGGCGCTGCAGCTGCTGCTTCAGCTTCGACTGGTGCTGCTGAAGGAGTGATGACGGCGCGGATTGCATGGGAGCAGCGACTGGCCGCCCGCTTCTACGATCGACTCTTCAAGGAGTACTGCCTCGCAGACTTGCGCTTCTACAAGGAAGGCCGGATTGCCCTGCGATGGCGCACTGAGCGCGAGGTGCTTCAAGGCCGAGGCCAGTTCTCGTGTGGCAATCTCAAGTGCGCGACGACGCCTGCTACAACTACTACTACTACTACGACTACGATGCCTACTACTGCTGCTGCTAATAGTACTACTGTGACGACGCATACCCGTGCCGGAGCTCCAGTGGGAGATGCTGGATCAGGCCGCTTGTATACCTGGGAAGTCAACTTTCGATACGAGGAGAAGGGCGAAGTCCGCAACGCGCTCGTCAAGCTGCGACTGTGTGGCGGCTGCTCGGACATGCTCAACTATCGCAAGCAATCCAAGCGAGCCAGGTCGCCAGACAGGCTGGACGAAGATGCATGGCACGAGATGCAAAGCTTCAACCCGGCACGACCCCGACGCCATGACAGCAACCAAGCAGTCGAAAGCAGGTCGTCGTCGTCGTCGTCGTTGTCAGCCGACCACCACTCCGCGAAACGGAGACACCGGCGTCGGCGAAGCGAAAGTGATGATAGCGATTTGGACGATGATGCTCCGCTGGCAGACACGGGCCAAAAATCACATCGACGCCGGCGAAAAGCACGTCTCGAGCACACAGATGAGGAAGACAAGAAGGAGGAAGGGCAGGACGGCGAGACTGCTGCTGCAGCAGCCACTGACAGCCCCGAAGAGAGTGCTGCTAGTGGCGCGGATATCTGGAGCAAAGCGCCGGCAGTTCAGCAGGATGATCGAGAAGAGGCTGCAGCCAACATTGACAGCTACTTTGCCAGTGTATTTCACTAGCAGCGTTTCAAGCCTTGTTTTTGAGTCGCATTGTCCAATGTATTTATTTCTACGACAACCCACATGAATAAAAGCGTTTCGCTCGGTGACGGTTTGGTTGAAGCAATGAAAAGGCTGCTGTCGCTCAAACGGAGAGGTTCCGCACAGCAGCGATCGCTTGATGCTCTTGAAACAGACGGTAGGTAGGGCTTTCGCAATAGTGCTCGCTCACAACGATACAGCAAGTACATGTTGACTTGCACAGTTGGATATCGTGTGACCGACGCAGTGACTTGTTTGAAAGCAAGACATTCTCCCACGTTGCAGGAGTGTGGAAATTGTCGAAACTGGCGCCCGGTGGTGGTGTTTGCAAGGGACGTTGACAAGAATGTTGCAGATGCTCGAACATTGCAGTTTTGGCTCATGTCGTCAGCCGCAACACTTCAAGGTAGTCGGCAAGTGCGGGGCTCGTGCAAATAGATTTCCACGAATGGCCAACATGTCGCAGCCTGTCAGTGAAGACACACACACACACACACACACAACACACACACACACACACACACACACACACACACTGCACGCAAAACGCACGCACGCGGCGGCCTGCTTACCACTCCCTTTCAGTCACACGGAGCAATTGACTGGTCGCAGGCGGATCGAGAGGAGCAATGATTGGAGGTCGAATCGGACTGGATTGGCGGAAGTGGGCAACGACGCCTTCAGCAACGTGGGCAACGACGCCTTCAGCAACGTCCCGCCAGTGATTGGTGCTCGTTTTGACAACAATTCGGTCAGCGGAAAGATCAAGACTATGCGCGACGACGGGAGCGACGTGCGCAATGAGCTCGTGGAACAGGCTCAGTTGCGCTGCAAGATGGACTGCGTTGTTGCTCCACCGCTCGGCATTCAGTACAATGACGGCGGATAGCGTTCGATACTCCTTTCCAGGTGGCAACGGCGGGCCTTGTTCGGAGGGCGCATCTTCGCGACCCGCGGAGGCAGGCCTCCAAACGCTCTCGGTCGGGGTGCAAGCAGGTCGCAACATGACTAGCGTTTTGAGCAGGCGAAGGAGGCTGGCGTCTGCGACTACATCGTCGCACACGAGAACGATGGTATGACAGGTGGATAGCAGGAACAATCCCACGTTCAATGTTTCTGCCAAGTCATGCGTGACGGTGGCGCCGCTGTTGTTGGTGCTGCAGTTGGAAAAGTGAAGCATGGGCTGTGTGTCCATGAGAATGGTGCGAACCGGCCCAACCATATGCGTGTGAATGCCAGAGGTTGCCAAGTGTGTCGCGGGCTGGCGTGGCGCGGGTGGTTTCAGCGCATCGCTTGGCGCAGCCCCGACAGTGCGTCGGGACGACTTGTACTTCCACGTCGCAAACGGTGCGGTTGCACTAATGGCAGCTGCGACCTCTGCGGTGGCCGGGGTGATGGGGGACTGAAGCAGAGTGGCAGGTCGACCCAGAACAACGGCAACGGCGTTCATGAGCGAGGACTTGCCAACACCCGAGCGCCCCAGCACGCCGACGACGTGATAGTTGCTGACGTCCGAATTGAGCAGAATGGAATGGACGGGTTGGAAGCTGCTTGACTGCACAGTGGCGGGAGGCGGTAAGAGCTCCAGCGGACCGCCGACAGCTGCGCGGCCAATCATGTGCCAGGTGCAAATCGAGGCAATGTGGTTGTGATGTGACGATCCAGACGACGACGGCCCCGGAGCAGAGGATGACGATGCGGCAGAGGTTGAGCTTGCCTGGCCCTCGCTTGTGGAGCTCGCCGACGACGACGAGTGACTCGACTTGGTCACCAGAACTCGCGTTGGCGCGGTCGTTGTAGCAGATGTTGCAGCAGCAGCAGCAGGTTGAGCAGCATGGACGCTGCTGCTGCTGGTCGGCTTGGCAAGCACGATCGGTGTCGTGAGCGGCTCGCTGCCATCGTGTTTGGCGCCACCCGACCGCCCGCCTGGCCCTCCTCCTCCCCGTGGGCCACCCGACGCGGGAGACTTGTGGGCGCCACTGGCATTGCCCCTGTGTCTCGATCCGCCGCGGTCTGGCGCGTCGCCAGCGACCGGCTTTGACATTTCCTGTTGCTGTTAATTCTGAGCAAAGGAGAGTGCGCACCGTTTCAAGAAACAAAAAAAAAAAAAAGCAAGATGGTTGGATATCGTTCTGTTACTACCAGAGTGTGGTTGAAAGGAAAAGAATGGAAGAGGAAGCAAACAAACAACAAAGAAAAAAAAAAAAAGTACAAAAATCCCAAAAGCAAAAAAAGAAAGCTTGCTCGATGCAGGGATCGAACCTGCGACCGTGGCGTTATTAGCACCACGCGCTAACCAACTGTGCCAATCGAGCTAGGCGCTTCTCAACTGCGCTTGTGAGTCTACTGGGCTGAAGGGTACAAGAGCGATTTACGGGTGGAAGCCAAAGCACCCATTAGCATCTTTGAATCCACGCCCTGATTGCTGTGTGATTTCTGTGCCATTCGCACTGTATGTCATAGGAATCGAGGTTTCTGTAAGACCTTGGTAGGGTTAGCCAGGCAATGTTGTTGTAAAGTGTTTTATTTCACTTTGCAGACTGAACTGCAATTCCAAATGCATGCAAACAAACAATACAAAGACATCAACGCCGAGTCTTCTTAGCAAAGAACGACCCAGTCGGGACCGCAGAGCCTGCGGGTCCTGACAGTTTCTGTGCCGGCAAGGGTCGCAGATGGGCTTGATCACGATGATTTCGTCCAACGCTGCGTTCACAACGAAGGCACGTTTTTTTCCCGCCCGAGCCACTCTCGCCATCGCGATTCAAGGCCTACAGATACAAATTGATATTTACAACGACATACATGCGACAGCAGCGCGAAAGGAGCTTGTCTACATGGATGCACATTCAGTGTAAGACACACCACCGTAAACTCTACAAAAAACAAGCCAAACAAACCAGCCTTTTTCGAGCTTGGGAACTCCACACTTGATATTGGCTATTTATTTTTATAAATACCAACAACAGAAAAACCAAGCCAACTCCATCTCACACGCAGTCGTCATGGCACAAGTTGTCGTTGAAGAAGTCTGGGAGAACCAGCGAAGCGGCTTGTTTGGCAAATTCGCTACCAGTACGTCGCAAAACTCTCTTGTGTCCTGAGGCTTCCACCGCACGGACAATGCTTCCATGCTCATGCAGCACAGCCCACTGCTCTACGCACACGCATCCACGGGGGAGAGAGAGACTGAGAGCGAGCGTGTGAACGTCGGCTTTTGCACCGCCTTTTTTTCCCCCCGCGCCTCCGTTGCTCTCTGCTCGGCGACGTCAAAGTGTTGCCGAGCAGCATCGTCTACGTTACTCGGAGCACAGACGCACTCTACTCACCGAGACCACAAGTGGCTGAAAGCTTGAGCTTTGCGCCTGTGTGTGTGTGTGGGGAAAAAACGTCAAGCCGAAAGGAGACTCGATTTTATTGCTCCGCTTTTTGCGTTAGCCGACGTTCACCCCGGCGATCCTTGGGATTCTGTCGCCAGTGCATCATCGCAAGCAGCAAGTGCACACTGGTGCCATCACACACTTGAAGATGTTGGTTGACGTCGGGGAGCGAAAAGGGGGGCGCGGGGAGTCGGATCAAAGCCATCAAGCGCGACTCGGTGACTGCAGTCATCAGCATCATCACGCCATCGCATCGGCAATGCGGCGCCTTCAATCCGTCCACCAAACCAAAGCCACACACGAATCACCGCAACCAGTCTCAATTGATCTGACTGCATTCGCCGCTTGAATCTTGGTCTCTGACGCACAGAATGGCTACTGCCGCCAGAACGCCCAGCGTGGAGCGAACAGAATGGCGCGCCAAAGCCCTGCAAAGAAGACATTCATTTGCCCGGCGTCAACTGGGAATGGAAAACGCCATGGACAATATGCACAACAGGTCGCGACTGTGACGCGGAAGGATGGGAGGTAAGCACGAGGCAGACCTAAGCATGCCACCCCGCTCATGAATCTTTGCTGTCAGCTCAGACTAATACCTCTGCTACAACATTGAAATAGTATGCAATCAATTGGAATACTGGCTGGATGCCAACAGTCGGCGCAGCAACTTATGTACGGCGTCGAAAATGGGTTCGAACACGCGCGTTGACCAATTCCGAAGGTATGATAAACCCATGCTCTCGCTCGTTCTTTGCCAAAACCAATACATGCTGACTCATGGTTGGTGCCTCTGCTTATTATTTATTTTTGAATTGTTTGATTATTTTTCCCTCATGCAGTCGAGGCAATCGGTCAGATACCCGCCGCCACAAACTCTGCTCCCAATTCAACTCCGACCTCTCCCTCCAAACGTCTCGCGAGCCAGTCACACGAGTCCCCTGAATCAGTACCGGGCGAACCGACCAACATCCGATCACCCACTGCTCGAGGAGTTAGTGGATCAACTTCCATTTCGGAGGACTCGCATCCCGATTCAGACGACAACTCGAGCTACTCCAGCGATACAAAGAGTCGGTCGTCCACCATGCACCTTTCCGACCAACCCAGCTTGTTTGACCTGCAGGACGCGTTCGATTCAAGCATAACCTCGCCGGAAGAAGCCTACAGGGCGAAAATTAACGAGCTGAATGGCAAATTGTTTGACTTCAAAGAACAGCTATCGCGAGTCACCACTCACAAGGCCAAAATGGAGAAGGAGCTTGAAAAGCTGCGCAAAAACGAATCCAAGGAAGTCGAGCGACTCACCGCAGAGTTGCAGCAAGTCGAGGTAGCGCTGGTTCGGTCTCACGGCCGCGTCGAGCACCTGAACAAGGCCTACGACGCGAAACGAAACGAGTTGCTCGAATAGTAAGAGCCGTTGACTGGCATGAGTGATGGAGGGATGTTGGATTGCGGTTAGGCCTTTTTTTTTTTTTTTTTTTTTTTCGTTGGTTTGTTGGTGGAGCAAAACAATCACTGACAACTCATATCCGTATCCTTGTTTTTTTTTCTCGCTACAACACACTCACCAAACGGCCGACAGTCTGAAGGAGATGAAAGACTTGCGAGAGTTCAAAGCTCGCACTCTTGCCGCAAATGGAGTCCCTCCACCTGTACCGGTCGTTGACGTTTCTGAGACTCAGCCGTCACGGATTCGCACCATCAAGCTCGAAGAGACTGACATTGTTTATGAAAATCAGCGCAGCGGCTTGTTTGGCGCCTATTCGGTGAAGTGGCTCATTCCCAAGATGGACCAACGAGGCGAATGGAGTCTCGAAGACGATTCGAATGTCATTGGTGGAAAGGATGCGATTGTGCTCCCAGACGACTCATGGCAATGGACAAGTTCCACTTGGGAATTTGAAAAGACCGATGCAACTGACAACGAGGGCTGGTCGGTACGGAAAGCATCGAACGTTATGCGACAACTGTTGTTGTTGTTGGAGTTTTCAACACACTTAGGATTTTTCATTGATTGAATTGCTGCCTGTTTACAGTATGCGTTTAGCTGGTGGGACAGTACCTGGAGTCCCCAATCCAAGCCCCAAACTTTTGTACGCCGTCGAAAGTGGAAGCGCGTTCGCACCAAAACCACTACTGTCGATGAAAGTGGTAAAGCACGCCAGCTGCTCTGCACCCCCCGTGCGTTTTTACTCGACGGGCTTCATGTCTCACGCATCCGATTGCCTGGATTGATTTTTGCTTTTGCTGTTGTCATTGTGATGGCAGAACTCGAGAATGTGGAGCGACCAAGCGCGGCCGTCTCGTCCACTTCCACTGAAGACCTTCCACAGCCATCGGCGGCCGCACGGGCTGCGTCGTCGGTCGACACTCAGTCAAGGACAGAGTCTGAGAAGCAGCAATCTCTCCCATTGAAATCCGGCTTGGCCCTCACGACGAAAGCTCCATCCACCACGGCGCTCCTGTCTGTGCCGGCTACGCCGCAGCCGGGCACGTTCGGACACTCCCGCAATCCTTCAATGTCTCGGATGCCAGTCTCACAAAAGGCACGCTCCACGTTCTTGGAGGCGCCCTCGAACGACGAAGCCGACTTGCACATCCAGGCGCACCCCGTTCTCCCGCTTCTCTTCATCATCTGCTTTACTTTACTCTTTCTAGCCTTTGTTGCATCGTATAGTGCTGTTTGGCATGTTGACACTGTTTTATCCAACCTGGAGCACGGCAACTCGCAACGTGTGTGGGAGTTTTCGACTGTCAAGTCGTAGAAACCACCATATCGGACTTGTTATTTTTGCTTTTTTTATTTTTGGGTTTTTTTTTTTGCTTCTTCCTTTCTTCCTCTTTTGTTCTATTCCTCTTTTCTGCGTTCGAATACAGTCCATTCTTTTGTTTTTATTTCCATCCCTGCTTGCGTTTGCTTACTCGCTCCACGAACAAGCACATCCCTGCTTCGAATTCAACAAGGAAGACACACACAAAACAAACAAACACACACACACACACACACACAAAAAAATCAAACAACCGTCTCGGCAATGTTGCTAAACAATGATCACGCAGACGGGATGGTTGGCGACAGCACCTTGTCCGCTGGAGGCAACCACCCGCCGGCAGCACCAAGTCTGAGTTTTGCCGCCACCACCTCCTCGATTTTGACTCGCACCGATCCGCCCTCCACTTGTGATCCTTGCGGCATGTCGGCACTGGCGCCATCGAACGCTCGTGTTTCGGCCTCAGCTCCTCTCCAAAAGCAACATGCGTTCGACGCGACGAACTTTGCCGAACAAAATGCCAAAGAAGAGGCAGAAGACGACAACGACAAAGAGGAAAACGAAGCCGGTTCTGGCATGGACCCAGACTATCGCCACGATTCCATGCCACCACGATCCTCCGATGCTGCTGCTGCTGCTGCTACTGCTGCGGCTCGACTCGACTCGACTGCAGCTGCATCCAATGTCGCACCCACCACGTCGTCGCGACGTGGGAATGAGGGTGAGGGCGTGGTCGCCCGCGGTGCTGGTGGTGGTTTGGCATGCACGCCTACGTCCCTCGAGAATGGCCCGAGAAGAATGGCATCATCGGCTACTACTTCCTCCGATTCCAACGTCTCATCGGCGGCCGTGCCCAGCAGCACACGCAGCAGCTCCAACACGAAGGATGTGGCTCGTCGCATTCGCCCAGTCAGCGTGCACGGCAGCAACCCCGCCCACGCGTGCACCGCACCCGGCCAAGATCAACGCCGCAGCTGGCCTTTGGCAATTGGCGACGACGCCGATGAGAACAACATTCCCGTGCCAGACCACTCGTCTTTTTCCAACACGCCCATCTCCACAACGCGGGCTGCAACTACGGGGCCCGGAATGACCGGCATGGCTCGAGCACGCGTGCAGGGCGGCGTGGCCGCTGTCGAGGGAGAACTCGAACGGATGCAGCTCGTCGCTGAAGATGAACGCCTCGTCACCGCATCTGCTGCAATCAGCAACCGAGCTACGGCAAGTGCTGGAATGTCACACTCCACCACCAGTGCGAAAGCAACAGCTGCACAGCTGTCGGACACCAAGATGACCAACCGTCGCTCCTCAGGTCCTCCCGACGCCGAGGAGGAGGCAGCAGAGCCCAACCCCAGTCAAGCATTGCGTCCTGGTCCCGACCCAGCTTCACTGACTCTTTCCATCGAAGAATGGCGACGCGAGTTCCCAGACCTTGCGCTCATTCTGGAGCAGATGGCGCCCCGGTTTGCGGCCACATCGCGCCTCGGCGCTGGAGCATTTGGGCAAGTGCTCGAGGCGCTGTGGCATATTCCGAAATGGGACGCCAAGACGGTTGCAGCCATTTCTGCTGGAACCAGCGTCGCGACGGCCAGCACCGCCACCGACGCGCTGGTTGAGACCTGGGAGTGCCCAGATCGCGTTTCAGCGTGCGGCATGCACCTGAGCGTGGCGCTCAAGATTGACACCCTCGGCACGGGCAAACGCCCTGGCACGGGGATGGCTCCTGGGATGGGCAACCAGTCGCTGCGTCACGAAGTGTCCGTGTACAAACGCCTGAAGGGCCTGTCGTGCATTCCCAAACTGTACGGCCATGGTCACGTCGATCTGACCCTGCCAACTCGCTCTTCGCATGCATTCATGGTCCTGGAGCTGCTCGGAATCAATCTCCGTGACATTCGCCACACTGCTCCAGACCGCCGCCTTCCCATCCCGCAGGCCGCCGGCTATGGGCTGCAGATGCTCTCTGCCATCGAAGAGGTGCACTCGCGCGGGGTGCTTCACCGTGACATCAAGCCATCCAACTTTGCCTTTGCGCGCTCGACCAAGCCTGGAGTGCAGGGTGCACAAGTGATCTTGTTTGACTTTGGCATTGCCAAGGTGTACCTTGATCCGGAAACTGGGCGCCACAACGAAATGCGCGATCAAGCTCCCTTCCGTGGCACGCGGCGGTACGCGTCCGTTCATGCGCACATGCAACAGGACCTCGGTCGACGTGACGATCTGTGGTCATTGCTGTATGTGCTGATTGAGCTCATCGCTGGCGAATTGCCGTGGAAGAACGTTGAAGACCGCGACGCAGTTGGCAAAATGAAAGTCGAAACTCTGCTGCTCGAGGATGGCGACGCAACAACAACAGTCAGCACTGGGACTGACGACGAGGACGACGAGGACGCCGAGCACGGCACCAGCCATGGCACGTCCAAAGCAACCCGACATTCCCACCACAATGTGCATGCCCCGCTCCATTCTCGTTACTCACCCAACGATCTTTGCTCTGCCCGGTCGCACATGGAAATGCTGGCTGCGCAAGTGGCCGCTTCGGTGAATCGTGCGCCCCGTCGCACAGTGTCCGACTTGCACTGCAACGATTGCGGCGGCGTGCGCACGGCGGGCTCATCCACTGCCATGGACTTGCCGACCACAACGATGCCCCGCCGAAGCAGCTATGGTTCAATCGATCTTGGCATGGTCGAGGGCGGTTTCACGACCCATCCCGACGGCGCGACAGGAAGTGTTTCGGTGACAACTGCAGAAGCCGCCGACGCTGTTGTTGCAGCCTCTGTGGGCGACTCGAGGGCTCCAGGTTCTCGCAATTCGATCAGCCTGCATCCGTCAACTGCCAGCTATGTTGCAACTGGCTGCCGCAGGCGTCGCCTGTGTGTTGGGCTTCCAATCGAGCTGACGCTGTTTGCTGAGCATCTTTTGCAACTCAACTTTGAAGATGCTCCCGACTATCGCCACTTGGAGCAGCTGCTGGAGTCCATGCAAGGCGATCACTCGGTTCCCGGCAACTTCTCTCCGGTGCCGTCCGTCAACCCCTGTTCGTGCCGCCCAGAAATGATTGCGGGGTCGAGCCAAAGACCGTCACCCGCCAGCATTGTCTCTCGTTAAAACGTCACAGAGACCCGTGTGTGGAGGTTCCAGACACCAGGCCACAACAACAACAACGGGCGCACATCCACTCCCAATCATCACCACGGAAACGAGCAGGTCAACAAAAAGGCTGGATTCTTTGGTGATGAGTATTGTTTGATGTTTGTTTTTCTGTCTCTCCCCCCTTCTCTCGATTTTCCTTGGCTTTCTTTTGTCTCGACTTTAGTCAGTTTTGCATTCGACGCACTGCAACACTTTTTCTTTTTGAAATGTCTTTCTTTTCCTGCATGGAGTTCGTTGCGTTCTTTGCTTGCTTTCAAATCTGCAGATCTTCTCGCTGGGCTTGCCGCATGGCGTTCGTTTGCAACTTGTGTGTGTGTTTCGTTTATCGTGACAATGTGCAAAAAGTAAATCTTGATCGGTTCAACGAAGCTTGTGCAACGCGGTTGGGCTTTTTACGACAGTATCTGTCCTACTCCCTGTCATGCCAGCATGCTTAGTAATTGCAATCACAAGCACCTTGTCTTTTGTAGTGCATTGGTGAGCAATGCGCTGTAAATCACGCACCACAAGTCCTGATTTCACTTTCCGAGCCACTAAGACACGACACGAGTTTATTTTTTTTTTGTTTTTGAGTGGTAGGGCTTGGCAAACAACAAATGCGAGGCACAAGCAATGCGATAGGGAGACAGCAGGGAGGAAGAACAACAACATCAACAGCAACAACAACATCATCATCATCAACAACAACAACAACATCAACATCAACATCAACAACTGAATCGCCATCCATGCGAAGCACAGATCGGCCGCGGGCAAAAGAGACGTTCAGTTGGTGCACGAAGGCAAAGAGCGGTACAGAGCGAGCAAGACAGGCAACAGGAAGCACAAAGTGGTCTCAACTACTTCACGTGCTCGCTTCCGATGCAGCATGTGTGGGACGTCGAGTCAAAGCTGGCGAGGAGTGTCGTCGTCGGACACTTCTTCACGCTCGCTCGAGGTCACTGAGTTCGACGTGCTCGCTCCACCAGCAGCAGTAGCACCACCAGCAGCAGCAGCAACAGTAGCACCAGCAGCAGCAGTAGCACCAGCAGCAGCAACACCGGCAGCACCAGCAGCAGCAACAGCATCGGCACCCTGAACAGGAGCCGCGACCGGAGTATTGCCAGGAGCAGACCTAGCGGAGGTCGAGGAAGCATCAAATATAACAGAGGCCCAGGAGGGTATCGCGGGCTTGCGCTTAATCAGAGGGAAGATGGCGAACGACAGCTCTGGGTCAGTCTTCGTCCTCGCGTCCCCAAACACCTTGGTCTTGAAGGCTTCACGGAGCACTTTCTTGGCCTTTTCATCGTAGTGCTCATCTAGCTCGAGGAATCCAGACGTGTAGACGAACCCCTTAATGTGAATTGGGGTCTGTGTCTCCTTCTTCTGCCGCGGCATCAGCTGGAAGAGCGCAACGAACAGTGCCGAGTGAATCAGCAACCGTCTCTGAGCAGCCTCGCGTCGATATGCACTCGTCTTGATCTCCACCAGTTGCACCCCAACACGAGGCTGCACAAGGCTATCAAGCGGTGCCATGGCATCGAACTCCACTTCGCCCAAATGCAGATCGAGCGTCGGCTTCAAGCGAGTGTAGATGCTGACGACAACCAGGAGACCGAGCTTGCCGCAGAGCATGTCGCGAAGCTTAGGAGACAACGGCGGCGGAATGGCAGAGTTGGTAGCAATGCCGCACATGTCCTGGAACAACTTTGCAGCCTCGCAAAGCAGCCTCGCAAAGACGGCGGCCTGGCTGTCGCAATTGTCAAAGTCAGACCAAATGATGCGCAGCTTTGCCTTGAGGGCAGGTTGATCCACGAGGTCCGAGAACAGCCCGCGAGCCTCTCCGAGACTTGACTTGATGTTCGCCCACCAGTTGAGCGTAGAAGGAGAGCCGGGCTTTGCCATCTCGCCGAACAAGGCATTAGCCTTTGACTCGGCCTCCTTGAACAGAGCTGCAAGTTCCTCCTGCTTCAGCAAAGTTCCCACCGCAGGTAACTTTGCGACCACTGAGATGACTTCGTACATGAAACGCAGAAAGTAGCCAGAGTCCTGTCGCAGGTTCAATAGTAAAGAACACGCAAGCAACGGTAAGCTGGACTGTGCGGACAACGATCGCCCTCACAACTTTCAACGTGTTGCGTTGACTTACGTAGAGCCAATTGGCGATCTCGCGAGTGTGGCTCTGAGCGATGTTGAGCTGGAACACACTTGCGCTCTGGTCATTCTGGTAAAAGTAAGGGTCGCCAAGCGAAGGAATTACGATAGACTGCCATGAGCGTATGAACACCAACTGCAACAGGCTATTAGTGGTAGTCTTACCGCCTGCAGAAGCGCGACAACGATTTTGAACGCCTCCTCGAGTGAAACTAACTTCACGCAGGATATGAACGACGAGCCCTTCGTCTGCAGTTCATCATTGACTTTCTGCCCTTCTTTGATTTGCGCTGTAAGGCGTTCCTCTATGGCGTCCACTTTCTCTGCACGTCTTTGATTTGCGCTGCCAGGCGTTTCTCCATGTTGCCCATTTCCTCCCGCAATTGGTCAATCTCTGCCAGAATCCTGTATGATGCGTAGCCAGAACAGAGTTTGTGACACATTCAAGCATTTTGTGCGATTAGTCGCGTTCTCGAATACGAAACACCAACCAAGAAACGAGGAACAAACAACAACTTCCAACCTCGTCCCGTCCTCTCCCTCTGCCCCTCCTTCGCCCCCCCCCCAACGCAAAAACAAAAAGAAAAACGAACGAAAAACAAAATCAAAACCAAAAGGGTCAACAGAGCAACGGGATTACTGGAAGGAAAGAGAAAAGGAAAGCAGAAAAAACCCCAAAAACAAAAACCACAATCAAGAAAACAAAGGCGAAGCCCAACAGCGCATCGCACAACCCTTGCGCCATAGCGACACCCAACAACATCAATCAGCAACACGCCATTCTGTCATGGACAGACAGAGAAGGCCATTCATCCACGCATCTCATCACTGCATCATGGGTTTCATCCCATTTCCAGCATCTCTTTTCGCCATCCCCTCCTGCCGACCGTCGATTCCAACGGCGAGCAAGAACCATTAACAATCGCAACGCAATGCCAATGACATCACATCAACGCATTGGAGTCTCGTCTCGACGTCTCCCAGGAGTGGGTTGAAAAACAAACAAACAAACCAACAAAAAAAGGAACCAAAAACGACAAAAAAATGGCATGCAACCAAGATGAACGCGAATTCATGTTTTGGAACAAGTGTTTTGAAACAAAGGACAGATTCACTGCCAACAACACACTGCGGACATCCCTCCAGGATAGAGCATAGTGCATTTAGTCAACAGCGTTTGTCGGTTTGGGCGCTGGGGGGAGGGGAAGCGGTGGATCGCTGCTCCCGAGGGAAGGAGGGAGACACCGCGCTTCTTTTTTTTTTTTCGCGCCTTCAACCAAAGCCGCCAACGCACTCACCAGGATTCAGGGTCAGCGGTCTCTTCAAGCGTGTTACCACCGTGAGGAACATCGCTGAGAGCATCGTTGGCAGCGCCGCCATCGCTTTCCGAAGCAGGGTTCATGATCGCCAGAAAAACCAGAAAATGAGAGACAAAAAGTGAAAAGGCAATTGTAAAAAACGACTGTTCTCCAACTCAACACCCAAAACGGCAAGATAGGGATTGACAAAAATCGATGAAAGCGTTTTCAATTCGAGTTGAGGTGCGCGATGGGGTGGCCAAAGAACGCGATTCGATGCGAAACACTTGCAGTTGCGTGTATGGCTCGATTTCATCGTCCCAGTCAGTCCACTGGTCCTCATCGACATCGTCAGTGTACTGCGCTTTGCTATCATCGACAGTAGCAAGCTTGGCGTCTTGTTCATAACACTCGAACGACGAATCGAGACTGCTGCTGTTCTCCTTCGAGTCGTCATTTGTCGTCGGCTCTGACGAAGAGCTGGAGAATGTGTCTTCCAGTTGCGTCAAGTTGATGTAAAAAACCCCCAAAAAACATTGTTCAGAATCATGAAGAGCATAGTGAATGGACGATTGTATCATATTCCTTTCTCTACAATCGAGGACAGCTAATCGCAATGACAAAAGAGCACGCAGCTGGTTGGAATAGCGGCAAGGGTTTTGCAGCGATCAAAACAGACAAAAGGAACCAAGGACAACCAAAATCAAACAATCTGTTTAAGCAGATGCCTGAACGGGCTCGGCAGCGGGGGCAGCCTGGGCGGGAGCCTGGGCAGCGGGCTGCTCAGTCTTCTTGTTCTCGGAGGAAGGGGCAGAGGGGAGGGCCTCATCCTTGGGCTCGAGGATGGTGACAATGTCGGGGAGGGGGGTCTTGGGACCAGCGCGGCCAGTGGGGTCCTGGGCGAGCATGATCTTGACCTTCAGGCCGAGAACGCCCTGACGGAGAAGAACGTGTCGGACGGCACGGTCGATGTAGTAGGTGGTGGGGAAACCAGAGTGGACCATGAAACCATCCTGGAACTTCATGGCCTTGGCACGCTGACCACGGAGCTTGCCAGAGACGACAACCTCAACGCCCTTAGCACCGCTCTCCATGATGAAGCGGAGAACACCGTAGCAGGCACGGCGGACGGCGAGGCCACCGAGGAGCTTGTAACGGAGGGACTCAGCCTGGGCAATAGCGCAGAGGCCGCGGTTGGCGACCTTCTCGGCGTAGAGCTCGACAGAGTTCTCGGGGAAGCCAAAGCGCTTCTGGACGACGGAGGTCAGCTCGCGAATGCGGCGGCCCTTCTCGCCGAGCACGTTCTGGGTGCGGGTGGCACGGATGATGATCTCAGTGCGGGTGGGGGTGACGCGGACCTCGACGCCAGAGTAGCCCTCCTCAGCGAGCTCGCGGGTGAGGAACTCGTTGAGCTCAGCGCGGAAGACACCGTCGGTGACGAACTAAATAGTGCAACGAGGGAGGGTTAGGGGTGAGTGAGGAAACGGGAAGGCGGAGTGAGCAAAAGATTCAAAGACACGGCAGCCTCAAAGAATGGGAGGGGTGAATGCTGTGAGGAAGCTTGTTTTCACCACATGCCGAAACAGACAAAGAGGAGAAAACTCCAGTGGGTGGAGAGGGGGGGGGGGAAAGCAAAAAAAAAAGCCGCCAACACACAAAAAAAAAGCATTAAAAAAAAGCCGAATCATCGCTCCCGTGCATCCCTACACCACCGACATCATCTCGTGCGAAGGCCTGCCACACCACACAATCCGATAGGAAATTGCATGGACCAACGGATGGCGTGCCAGGGGAGAGGGGGTACAATGGACCGACAGGGTCAAGAGTCGCGTCGAAGGAGGCGCTTTGGAAGGGCAGAGCAGGTCGGACTTCGACATTGGTTGTTCAAGCTGCTCGGTCTGCTCAACAACCCCCCCTCCTCGGCCTTCCCCCCAAATAAGACCCCAACGCAACCAAGTAATGTCGGCACTGCAACTACGTGTCGATCCAGCGTCGGTCCAAGCGAACGAGTGAAATTCTCTCTCGACGCTCTCTCTCGACTCTCTCATCTTCGTCGCCTGTTGCCTTGCCCTGCCCTGCTCCTCGCCTTCTCACGCCCTACTCATTCTGAACGTTGAAAACTGGATCGAGGGTCGCGGGTGACGGGCCAGGTTGCCTACCTTGCGCTTCTTGGACATAGGAGTAGTCGACATGATTCTGAGTTGAAAAATGTAAGAGAGAGAGCAAGCCCGATTTAGTCGACTGTCGTCTTATTCGCCACCAACAAGCGACCAGTAATTTGTACAGGAAATCTAGAAGAAAATGGCCATCACAGCAGCAGAAGCAAACACAAACAAAAACAAGCCAAAAACAAGCCGAAAGTGTTTTGGGAAGGAGAAAAATCACAGCCACAGTCCTCCAAACAAATTTTGCTTCACAGAAACCACCCTGAATGTCGGGGCATTCGGAGCGGCGGCCGAGAGCCGCATCCGAGAGTGACCGCGACTCGCACGCGGCTGGCTCTTCATCTGCCTCTGAGCATTCGGAGGATGGCACGTCTGCGGCGCACGACTCTCGGAAGCGACCACGAATGGACGCGCATCGGTTTCATCATGAGGATGGCGGACAAGTCCCAAGTAGTAGCACTCTGCCAGCCACCGACCGCAACGAGCAATCCGAAGAAGGATCCAAAGATGTCAAGACCAAGCTGTTGGAGCAGCACCGCGTCACCCCGGCTGGGGCTGTGGCACAACATGCAGTCGATGTTGCACCGCGCCGTCACGTCGACGACAGCGACGACAACGACAACGATGCTGCTGCTGCTACATCACGAATCGAAAAGTACTACCCAGCATTCCAAGGGTGCCGGTCTGTGGACGAGTACACGCGGCTGAATCAAATCGAAGAAGGCTCGTACGGTGTCGTGTTTCGCGCCCGCGATGTTCGTTCTGGACGCATCTATGCACTCAAGCGACTCAAGATGGAGAAGGAGAAGGATGGCTTTCCAATCACATCATTGCGGGAGATTGACACGCTGCTCAAGTCGCCGCACCCCAACATTGTGCTTGTGCGTGAGATTGTGGTTGGCTCGAGCATGGACCACATCTTTCTCGTCATGGAGTTTGTCGAGCACGATCTCAAGACGCTGATGGAGTCTATGCGTCAGCCATTTTCAGGTGGCGAGGTCAAGACGCTCATGCTGCACCTGCTGGCCGGTGTCAATCACTTGCATGACAACTGGATTATCCATCGTGACTTGAAAACATCCAATCTGCTTCTCAGCAATCAGGGTGTGCTCAAGCTCGCGGACTTTGGTCTTGCTCGCGAGTACGGGTCGCCGCTGCACGCCATGACGGCGCTTGTTGTGACGCTGTGGTACCGCTCTCCCGAGCTCCTGCTTGGCGAAACCAAGTACACGACTGCCGTGGACATGTGGTCTGTTGGCTGCATTTTTGCCGAGCTGCTCATCCACGAGCCGCTCTTCCCGGGTCAACGCGAACTCCAGCAGCTGCGAATGATTTCCGACATGTTGGGCCCGCCGTCCAAGGAAATCTGGCCTGGTTACGAGAACCTTCCCAACGCCCAAGTGCTCTCCTTCTCCAAGGACCAACCCTACAATCGCTTGCCTACAAAGATTCCTGGCCTATCCGCCCAAGGTTTGAAACTTTTGAATGGTCTGCTCACGTACGATCCCAAGAAGCGAATGACGGCAGAACAAGCGCTTCGCCACCCGTACTTTTCCGAGTCGCCATTGCCCGTCGATCCGAGTGTCTTCCGTTCATGGCCCGCCAAGTCCGAGCTGCAGAAAGTGCATACCTCCCACGACGAGCCTCGCGCTCCCGAGGGCCATCCCAGCGAGGTCGCGGCTGATGGAGATGCAGCAGGCTTTATTTTCGAATCAGACGACGTGTATCGACTACTTCAGCATGGTTCAAACGCACAAGTCGGAGGCGGGTTTAAGCTCAAGTTTTAAGCTCCTTTCCTTTCGTTTGGACAAACACTTGGTTTTCATCTCTACACAATTGCTACTGTATCTATCGGTTTTTTTTTTGTTGTTCTATCAGCATGTTTTCCAACACCATTTCTCTCTCTCTACCCCTCCCCCCAAATTGATCTGTAACGCCTCCTCACTCTTCACAATTCCAAATCATGAGCGATCGCAAGGCCGAAATTGAGCGCAAAAAGAAGAAGATTGAAGAGCTTCGCAAAGCGCGTGAAGGCAATGTACGTGTGATCTGACACCAGCCCCCCCCCTTTGGGTTTGCATGGTTGTGCCTTGTGCTATGGGAACGTGGGTTTTGCTTGTTGTCTGGGAATGAAGGGGGGTCCCTCTGGCAGTCGCGAATGCGAGATCGCTGCCAAAATTCTGAAAATGCCGAACGCTTTCATCCCTCACTCTTCCCCTCTGAGATCACTCGCTGACCTGGTGCCGCTGCCTTTTATACTGCTTGTTTGTTTGGTGCAGGCGGTCTCTGCCGCCACAACGTCGGGGCTGAGCTCTGGAGCGTCCAGCACAAGCTCGTCGCTCTCGACCGACAAGGAGACTGTGGACTCGTTGCTCTCGTCGCTGCTCGGCAGCACTCCCGCACCGCCGGCTGCCGTGGCATCCACGAGCACTGCAACTGCTGCAGGCACGTCGACCGAGGGCACGTTGTCGACTGCAGCGACCACTCCAGCCGTCTCGATCGAAGTCAGGTGAGCCGAAAATTCTCACTTTAAAAAAAAAAAAAAAAAAAAAAAAGCCAAAAACGCAAAAATTTCATTCTTGCAGTTCAGTTCAGTTCAGTTCAGTGCAGCTTCAGTCTGGTTCAGTCTGGTTCAGCGTGAATTGCTGAATTGTATTGCTCGCGACGGGTCGAACGTGGCGAGTTTGTTTTTGCTGAATCACCTCTGACTCATCTCTGACTGACCGACTGACCTCGTTTTGGCCACTAAAGCTCCGTCCGTCCCGAATCGAGCATTGTTCTTGCCGCGTCCGAAGTTACTCGCATGGTCCAACATCCACAGGTATGGGTTGATGTCTGCAGGTGGCCTCAGTCTCGCCTCTGGCGCATCTGCCAGACAAGATGCTGACGTTTTGCTGCGTGTTGACAGGAAATTATCACATACACAAAGGAAGTGCAAACCGAGCCTGTGGTTGACTTTGACGACGAGGAGGGTGACGAGGACGCACCACAGAAAAGTCGCAAGGCAGACGCAGACGCAGCCGCAGCTGCCGCCGCTTCTGCTGCTGCAGAGGCCGAGAAAAACGCGGCTGAGGCTAATGCAGCCGCGGCCGCCGCCGCCGGGCAACCGATTGTGCCACGTACGTCCTTCCTTTCCTTCTCGTCTGGTGTGGGGCTCTTTGATTTTTTTGGCCTCCGAGACACTCACTGTTGCACATTTTTGTTTTCGACTTTGGCTCCACCCTATTCAGAGCTGTCGGAGGATGATCGCTCAGCAATCGTCAAGTCGGATCGCTTTTTGCAATTTTTCGACCGCTCATCGCGCTTGGTGGAGCGTGCTCTGAATGATTCCTATGATGTGACTGTCGACTATTCCGGTGGTGCACAGACCGATTCCGACAGGTACGGTCTTCCCGACTTTGCTCGGAAGAGTTTGAATTCTGTCTTTGTTGTCTTTGTTGTCTTTGTTCTTTTTGTCGTCTTTGTTGTCGTTGTTGTTCACTTGCTTTCGTTTGATCCTCTGCTTTTGTGTGGTGAAATAGCGACGCTGGGGCCAGCGAACGAGTCAGCATCAACACAAAGTTTGTGGACGAGCGATGGAGCGTTCATCGTGCCATCACGTCGATGCAATGGTCGCCCAAGCACCCCGAGCTGCTTGCTGTGGGCTACGGTATCAATCCGGCCTCGAGCCAGGACCCCGACGGTGTTGTGCTGTTGTGGAATCTGCACTTGCCACAACGACCCGAGCTTGTGTTTACATGCCAGTCGGCGGTCATGTCGGTCTGCTTGTCCAAGTTCCACCCCAATCTGATTGTCGGTGGCACTTATTCGGGCTCGATTGTCTTGTGGGACACACGCGCCAAAACCACGCCCGTTCAGCGCACACCTCTGACCTCTGCCTGCCACACTCATCCGGTCTATTGCTTGGAAATGGTCGGCACACAAAACGCACACAATCTTATTTCCGTTTCCACGGACGGCCGGATGTGCGCTTGGTCGATGGACATGTTTGCCCAACCACAGGTGAGTAGATTGAAATTTTGCGCTCGTGGTTTTGTTCGGCTTGGCTGTTTTTTTTTTTTTGTTTTTGGTCAACCGAAAAAGCGCTCATCTGTGTGTTCTTCTTTTGACTTTGTTTCGGGTTTTGAACGTTGCAGGAGGCGATCGATCTCGCCATCTCTGAGACCAAGAGCGAACCCCGGCACGAGCGACTGCCCATTTTGGCTGCTACTGCGCTTGCCTTCCCAGAAGACGAAATCGCTCATTTCATTGTTGGTGGTGAAGACGGCACTGTTGGTCTTGGAAGCCGTCATGGCAGGCAAGTCTTCCCTTTTGTACAGTTCTTGTTCTCCAAGGTTGTAGACTTGTTCACCTGACTGGGATTTTGGTTTTTTTTTTTGCGTTTTATTTGCCACCTTTCAGCAAGGCGGGTGTTCACAGCACCTTGGCGGGCCACCACGGCCCCGTGACTGCCGTTCACTCGCACCCTACCATCAACAACTATCGCGATTTCAATGACCTCATCATCTCCTCTTCGATGGATTGGAGTGTCAAGCTCTGGAGCAGCAAGGTACGATTTTTCCGTCAAACAAAATGGTTTTCGCTTCGTGTGTTGGTGCTGACTCGGGTTGTGCTGTATCTATCCTCCTGCTTCAGTCACGCACCCCTATTCACTCGTTCGAAGCATCCGGCGACTACATTTACGACGCCCAGTGGTCGCCAGTTCACCCCGCCGTTTTCGCCACTGTGGATGGAGCCAGCCGATTGGACCTTTGGAACCTCAACGGTGACATTGAAGTCCCAGCTGTTTCGACCACTATCGACGCCAATGGCGCTGCCCTCAACCGTCTGCGCTGGTCGGCGGACGGCTCCAAGGTTGCTGTGGGCGATGCGGATGGTACTGTTCATGTGTACAACATTGGCGAGGTACGTTTCTCGATTGAGGTTTGAAGTGTGGTTGTTTGTTTGTTGGATGTGTAGTTGTATTGTATTGACGAATGCGCTTTTTTTTGGGGCGCAGAAATTTGCGCAACCTCGCGCCGATGAAACAAGCATTCTCCGCAGTACACTAGCGGAGCTCAAGGCGGCAGAGCTGTCGGCTCAGCAGCAGCAACAACAGGCACAGCAGCAAGCGCAGCAGCAGCAACAAGTGGCACAACTTGTGGCATAAAAGCGCAGCATAGGTTTATGTGTAGAAACAAACGAAGCGTGTGAAAAGCCAACCGCTTTCCGTCTGTTGCTTTTGAGCCCGGGTGTGATGTGCTTGATGGAATGCGAATTGGATAAGAAAAGTACAAATATTTCATTGATATTTTTTTCTTTTTGGCGACCAGATAACCATCTCCTCATTGCTGCATTTCTGCTTGAAACTGTGCAAGCGCCTGCGTTGCTGGATCCTGGAAGGTTTGGCGCCGAATCTCGAGAGCCTCACTGTATAAACGCAAGTCCATACCGTCCACGCAGCGCCCAGTTTTAGCTCGAAGCACGATGGCGGGATTCTGTCCAAAACAATCGAGGACGAATAGGGTGAGAATGCTGATGCGTTCAAAACGTCCACGCCAAATGACCAAGCAAAAAATCCCCACCAGCTCCTTACCGTCACGTGGACCACGCTATCGTCTGAAACCGGAGGAAACATGCGGATTGCGGGTCGTGCGGGATGATCGCGATGGTCAAGTTCCGGGTTTGGCGCAACTTCCATGGGGTCGTGCGAGGAGGCCGTTGACGCGGTCGCTGATGTCAACGATGTGCTCACTGATGTGGTGCTACCTACCGGCACACGCGATGGTAAAAATGTGCCTGTTTCACGGTGCGGCGAATCTACATTGATGGATCCAGAGAACTGGAACAGTCCGCCAACATTCAGCCGAACTGCGCCAAGCAGCGTTGCATCGACCGTGAGCATGCATCCGTCGTGTGCAATGTCAACACGTGTGACTGTAGGTTGAATATCAATGGATGTAATTCTATGTTCTCCACACCAAAAATTTGAGCAAGTAAACGGAGTTCCAGAAGAAAGTCAAGTGGTTTCCTTCAAAACGCAGACGTACCGACCCAGCGTCCGCACCGCCACACCATCGAGATTCATGCCGATCGCCAGCACTTCCCGCAGGGACAGCACGAGCGCCGCTTGTTGCGCCGTTGTCATCGACACTGGCCCGCGGAGGTAAGCTCGGAGACTGAATCTGATGGCGTTAACAACAAGATCAGACTGAGCAGGGCTCCCAATAAAAGACCTTCAACGTGAACCTTGAGCAGCATGCGAATAGTTTGCACACATCCACAGGTTTGATCGATTGGATCTTGCTGACGAATACGATGAGACACGGCCAAAGAGTTTTTTTTTTTTTTTTTTTTTTTTTTTTTTTGGTTTTTGGCTGCTCCGTTTGGATGTCAACCTTTTTTCCCCCTTCATCCCCGCTTTTCGTTTTGCTTTGTTTTCTCTGAGGCTTTGCGAAATGGACAATCTCGTACATTCGCACACACTTTGGGTCGCACTCAGTCATCGTCATTGCTTTTTGTGAGTTTTTTTTTTTTTTTTTTTTTCGTGTGTGTACTTTTTGACTCTTTTTCGACTCGAGCCATCGTCACTCCCGTTCAGCTTGCTCTGCCGCTGCTTCTGCCAACTGTCATCAATCAGTCACTTGACTAGCGATAACTACGGAGCGGGGCAAACCAGGGAGAAGACGAGGCGAGCACAGCAGAACAAAGGAAAAAAACAAAAACGAAAAAAAGAAAAAAGAAAAAAAAAAAGAAAAAAGAAAAAAGAAAGCACTTTTTTTTTCGAACCGTCGCTTCCGCCCCGCTGAGCGCCATTGCGTGCCTGTGCAGACAAAAGGCAGATTCAACCGTGCTTTCATCGCACCGCAGCGCAGCAGGCGACTGGCGCTCGTGAGAGGGGCGCTCAATGCGAACGCCATTGTTTTCGCTTTCACTAAAAAAAGCCAAACAAACAAACAACTTTTTTTTTTTTTTTTTTTTTTTTTTGCTGGAGCGACATTGCCTTGATGCGTTGGCTCTCGATGACGGCGCCTGCTTCATGGCTGGCCGTGCCAGCTGCTTGCTCCCCCAAGCTTGATCTGCAGCGGCATGCTGCATGCACAGGCAGGGGACAGCGTGTAGTGGACGAGGCAGGAAGGGGGTGCCAGCATCTCGCAGCCAGCAGCTGAACAAGTTCAAAACGCAATGCTTTCGGCGGGGAGAAGGGAGGATCGCCGTGCGTGCTCCATGCAGACAACCCCCACACCCTTGGTGGGCCACCGCTGTGCTCTGGATTCCGCAGCGTGAGGAGTGGCGAGGCGAGTCATCACCGCTTGAAGATTGGCACCTAACGCACATCTCTTCTTTTTTTTTTTTTTTTTTTAATTTTCGACGCTTTAGGGCAACTGTTGTTTTGATTGATTTTTTTTTTTTTTTTTTTTTAGCCAGCTTCGTGGATTGGTGCTCCCCGTGTCTTCGCCCCACGCGGCCCATTTCTTCAGTGTTGGTGATGGCGGTGATGGTGGCTATACCACATGCAGTACACGCGTCTCATCGCTGCTTGCAGTTGTCGCTTTTTATTGCGAGAATTTTTCATTTTTTTTAACAAGCATTTTTTTTTGAAATTATGTTTTTTTTATTTGATTTTTTTTTTTTTTCGCTTTCTCAATGCAAACTCAGCAAGATGCTTTTTTTTTTTTCTGTACGTTGTTCGCCACCTTTTTTTTTTTTTTTTTCCCTCCCCTTTCCTTTCCCTCTCCGTGTTGTCTTCAACGGGTCAATCGTCCCACTCGTTCTTTTTCCAAATTTCCCCCTTCTGGCTGGCTTGGAGCCTTCAGCGCGTTTCCAGTGGACTGTCGACACTTTGGCTGAACTGAGCGCAGGCTGGGTTTCGACTTTTTTTTTTTTTTAAACAAAATATTTTGCTCAACTTTATTCTTCTGCATTCTCGTTTTGTTTTCATCTGTTTCTTTGTTCTTTTTTTTTTTTTTTTTTTTTCAAAAAATCCTCTTCTTCTCATGAAAAGTCTTGAAGCAAGTCCTTCCTTTCACGTCTTCACTCTTCCTTTGTCGTCGTCCCGCATTTCCGACTTTTGCCTTTTCGTGAGTGCCACCCCCTTTTTTGTCTGTTCTTTGCTGCCGATTCAGCCTCTTTGCCTTCAGATTTTCGTTTTTCGCCCTTCCCGTTTTCATCATTTGCCCCCCTCTTCCATCTCGTCCGCTGCGTACTCTTCCATCTCGTACTCGTTGTCGCTTGTACGCTTGTATGTCTTGTGCACCTGACCTGTCGTCGCTCACTTGTTCCCTCTGTTCTGTTGGTTTTGGTTTGGTTTTGGTCATCATTTTTGAAAATTTTCTTCGTTTTTTTTTTTTTTCGCTGTTTTCCCTTTGGTCTTGCCTTCTTGACTGGTCGCGTCTGTCCTTTCTCTGTCTGGCTGGATCTACTTCTCGACGTCCGTTTCCTTCCTGATTCACCGCTCCAGTGCACGCAGTTTTCAAGCTCGGCTCATCTTTTGTTTGAAGCGCAGACTGCTGCTTATTCCGTTTCTTTTTTTTTTTTTTTTTTTTTTTTTTTCGCTTTTTTTTTTTTTTTTTTTTTTTTTCCTTCTTTTTCCTTCACCAACCCAATTTCCCAATTTCCCCCTCTCGTCGTAGTTGGAGTTCCCATTAGCTCCAACGCTTCTTTCCAACCGCAGCCATTTCATCCGCAGCAGACAACCGCGATCTCGGCCGACGCCGTACGACTTCGCTCAATGAGCAGTCCACGTCGGCCCGCCCACACAACCCTCTCGACTCGATGCGCATCACGCCCATGGGCCGGGACCAATCCAACGCAGTCGTGACGGTTCTCGCAACCGACCCTGCTGGAAACACAACCGAGCTTGTCTACACGGACACAAGGCCAGTGGGCAATGGCTCGTTTGGCGTCGTCTTCCAAGCTCGGCTCGTGCAGTCTGGTGTGATGGTTGCCGTCAAGAAGGTCCTGCAGGACAAGCGGTTCAAAAACCGCGAGCTGCAGATCATGCGCATGCTCTCACACTTCAATGTTGTCCAACTGCTATACTTTTTCTACTCGAACGGCGAGAAGCACGACGAGATCTTTTTGAATCTCGTTCTCGATTTTGTGCCAGAGACTGTCTACCGAGTGTCGAGGTACTACAGCAAATCAAAGACCAACATCCCCATGCTCTATGTTAAGCTATACACGTACCAGCTATTCCGCTCGCTGGCCTACATACACTCGCAAGGCATCTGCCACCGCGACATCAAGCCGCAAAACTTGCTGCTCGACCACCAAGCAGGCATCCTCAAGCTGTGCGACTTTGGCAGCGCAAAAATCCTCGTGCGCGGCGAGCCCAACGTGGCCTACATTTGCTCGCGCTACTACCGCGCCCCCGAGCTCATTTTCGGCGCCACCGCCTACACAACCTCGATCGACGTCTGGTCTGCTGGCTGCGTGCTTGCCGAGCTCATGCTCGGACACCCCATGTTCCCTGGCGAGAGCGGTGTCGACCAGCTTGTGGAGATTATCAAGGTTTTGGGCACGCCAACACGCGAGCAAATCATGAGCATGAACCCGAACTACACCGAGTTCAAATTCCCGCGCATCAAGGCACAGGCCTGGGACAAGGTCTTCAAGTGCAACCCGCCGGACTCTGCCATCGACCTCACGTCCAAGTTGCTCGAGTACGTCCCCACTGCGCGTCTCACTCCCTTGCAAGCATGCGCCCACCCCTTCTTTGACGAGCTCCGCGATCCCGCAACCAAGCTTGCGAATGGCCGCGACCTCCCGCCGCTGTTCAACTTTTCATCAGCAGGTTTGTAAAACACGCTTTCGATTCTTTGTTCGCATGTTTTTTTCTCCTGTTTTTTTTTTTCCTGTTGTGATTTTTATTGTTCCTTCTTTTGCTTATTGCAAGTCAACTGTTGTTTCTGACCTGCCTTCCTTTATTGATTCCTTGATTCTCATTCGCGCAGAACTCTCGTCGCAACCCGAGCTTGCAAGCGTGCTGATTCCTCCTCACGCTCGTAAGCAGGAGTAATTCCAAGAAGCACCTTCTCCGAAAATGAGCCAAGGAATCAAACGATCTCTCCTCGCCTTCAGTTCCATTTAGCCATCTGTCTGTCACGAGGGATTGATTCTTTTGCGTTCCTTTTTTCATTCGGTTTTTTTCCTTGTTGTCTTTGCAGTCTTTTGTCCCATCCATCTCCCCCATCTCACACCTCTTCCCCATCTCACACCTCTTCCTCTTCCTCCCATCCATCTCTCCCTTGTTTGTCCTTTGGTAGCTGTGTTTTTGTCTTTTTTTAACTCCAATTTGTCGCCCTTGTTCAACTTTCTCTTGTCCCGCTATTGTTGTGGGTGGCGTATGCCCGTTTTTTTTTTCTCGTGTCCTGTTCCTGTGTATGTGCGTGTCGTAATTGCGTGTGCTTCTTGTGTTGGTTGTTTCATTGTAACTTTGTCAATGGTCGTATTCCCCTTTCTCAAAACCCACGCGTTTCGTAATGCAATCTCATAGCAAGCGTGCATTCAATGAGCGGTACGTACTCTACAGCAGCATTAACACCGTGTACTTGACACAAGGATACCCACACACACATCCGACAACAATCATTCACCCCTCAGCTCTCAGTTCAGAAGACAAAGCAAAACGCAAAAACCAACCAAAAATTAATCCACAACCAGCCACAAGCCCACAAGCTGCCGAGAGTGTTGTCGATGGTCTGTCTATTCTCCAGTGTACAGCTCGGTCGCTTTGGCCACCTGGTGCTCGAGACTTTCCACCCGCTTGGTTTGGGTGACAACGCCTGGGCGGGCAGCGTTGCGCTTTTGGATGCGCGTGCGGGCGTCTTGCGTCTGCTTGGCGAGCTCTGCTGCGAGCTGCTTGTGCTCCGTGATGGCATTGGTCAGTTGACGCTGCAAAATGGCAACGCTTTCGTGCACAACGTCCTTGTCTTCCTGGCTCAGTTGGCCGAGAACAGATGGGGCAAGGGCTGTAATTTCGAGCAGCTTCTTTTGCTCTTCGAGCATGGTCACAATCTTGGATTGCGCAGACACTTCGTAGGAAAGCGTCGTGACGTCCTTGGTTGCTTGATTGCACTCTTCATCAAGACGATTGAACTCTTCCCGCAGGCGCTCGAGAATGGCCGTTTGCTCGACAAGACGCTCTTGCAGCACGGCAGGCGAGGCATTCCCGTTCAGGTCTGAAATGTCCACTTCCGAGTCCACCAAAAGGCTGCGCGTCGCGCCACCACGGCGAGCGGACCCGCGCCGTGACATGCTGGTGCCTTCGTCGTCGTCATCGTCTTCATCAAGATCGTCGGCATCGCCTCCATCGCCGTCGCCGCCACCATTCGCATTGGAAGGGTTGGTAGAAGAATCAAACTGGGACTCGTCGAACTGGTCCTCGCCTTCCTCTTCAGAGTCTTGTTCACCTTCGCCTTGCTTTCTCGGCTTGAAAGCCATGACCGTACGCTAAGATAGCAAACGAGTTGAGCACAATTGGGGGGGGGTGAGTACAGTTAGTGTTGGGGCCATTCGAATGCAGCGGGGTCAACAGCGACCGATTCAATGATCAGTGCATTGTCCATGGAAAAAAAAAAAAAAAAAATACCTTCAAAACTGTTTGCGAAATCTTTTGCATGTCACCAATCAACAAATCCAGAACATAACTCTGAACGGCCACGCAAGTTGCTTTGAGTTAGAACCCAGCAGTACGACCTTTCAGCAAAACACCAGAACGCAACCCTTTCCCCCCTCCCCCAAAAAATCATCAAGCAAGCAAACGCACTGTAATTCTGGCGTCAATGCGCATGATTGCTTCGAGAAGAACAAGAGACTGGCATGACGGATGGAGGAACTTTTCGTATGCCTTCATCAGCGAGCTGATCAGACACATGACAACCTCGTAGTAGTCGACATGCATGTTCTGGCAGTTGACACAAGCAAACAAACACCGGAGAGTGAGTTTCAACAGTCATTGAAATGGACGGCTGTCGAAGTGCTGGAGAAACAAACAACCTCTCCTGCTGGAACAAAGACGGATGCGCGTACCATCATGGGAGTCAGGAGGTAGGTGAATTGTGGAACATTGCCAGCGAATTGAATCTCAGGGCTGACAGGAGAGTCCTCGTCAAACATGCCCATGCCGCCCTTGTCTCGCTTGGTCAGACTGACAATGCCCTTGAAGGCAGGGTTGCCCAGTTGATAACGGAACTCTTCAAAGAGCTGAGCTACTGCACGGACAAACTGCTGTCCGTTCGGCAATTGAAGCACAACCCCTAGAGACAGGCCGAGGTGGAAGAAACTTTTTGCGCTGAACAACAAAACAAACAAAACAAAACAAAACAAAACAAACAAAAAAAAAAAACCAAAAAACAAAACCCCCAATAACATTGTGAGCATTTGGCTGTTGGTGCAAACCCACAACAGCAGAATCAACTGATCATACCGGTCACGGTGCTTTTCGTTGGCATATAGAACAGCTAGATCTGGGCGCATGACGTGAACGACATTAAACCACAACACTCTTTGTGGAGAAAAGTAATTTCACGCCAAAGCGAGTGAGTCCCATTGTCGATGCTCGACACACACACCGATCCAAACAAATAAAACACATCAAAGCACATTTTCACGTACTTTCCCTCGTGAGCTTTGTGCAGGTAGGCCAAATTTTCAATTCGTCGTTTGGCGAGCTCTTCAATATATCCAGCAAGTTGGTCCGATCTGAGCTCAAGTCAAATCCACAAAAAAATTTAAATTAAAAAATTTATCGATCATGTGAGTATGAGCATGACAGAAGCACATAGTGGAAGTCTGATTTTCCGAGTGATCAATGAAAGAGAGAGAACTACGAAGAACGAAAAAAAAAAAAGAAAAAAAAAAAGAGAAAAAAAAAGGGATTTTGTTGTTCTTCCTCATAGACCCGCGTCCCCGGTGCCGTGCACAGAGAGAACGTGGGGGAAGGGAGGGGGAAGGGGGGGGGGACGTACAAGTGTGATTGCGCCTTGAGGAACTCGGTGTCGTTGTCGCGGGTCTGCTTCTTGTTGCGGCGGTCGTTGAGGCGCTTGAGTTGAGTATGCAGCTGCTGGACAGTGTCCCGATTGAACTTGCCGCTGCCAGCTCGGTTGGAGCTGCCGGCGCTGGTGCTGCTGTTGCTGCCGACACTGCTCGTCTTGGCAGGCGGCCGCAGCGGCGACGACGGCACGGCACCTGGCGGAGGCGATGACCCCGCAGACGCAAAGACATTGTTGCTCCGGACGAGGGCAGACAGGCTCGACATTCAGACAGAGGTCAAAAAGGTCAAAAGAAGTGTATGTCTGTGTGTGTGTGTGTGTCTGTGTCTGGAGAGCGATTTGCGCCGGTGTGAAAAACGGGATGCGCAAAAAAAAAAAAAAAAAAAAAAATCAGCAAACAAGCCAAAAAAAAAAAAAAAAAAAAAAAAAAGGATTGAGAAAGGATTGAAAAAATTCACTCAAAATTGTCAAACAAACAACAAGCAACAAAGTAGTTGAATACTAGAAAGTTGGAGACTGTTAATCGCTGAGAGTTTGAGGGACGAAACGAAACGTCGAGCAGTCAGTCAGTCGTCTTTGGTCCTCATTCGTCTCATTCAAAAAAAGGGTCGACTCGTTGGACAATCATACTCTTACATTCACGAATAACACTGCATAATAGCATGACGAGCAAGCGCACTGCATCGGATGCGTTCGACGATCCTGACGACGAGTTTGCGCTGTAAGGGACTTGGAAGTGTCAATGATCGGCTTGCAAAGGGGGGTCGTGCCTCACATCTCTCACTTGGATGATTCACGCGTATGTGACATTGTATGCTGGATGGCTCAGATTCGAGGCCGAGCTTGAGGCATTGAGCGAAACACCTGCTCCGGCTGAGCCAGCACAACAGCTGCCTGCTGCTGCTGCTGCTGCTGCTGCTGCTGCTCCTGCACCACAACAACCAACACCACAGCAACCAGCGCCCACGGCTACACAGTCAAGCGCCGCACCGCCAGCCAGGAAGGCGGCCGACGCTGGGTTGGCTGCCAGCGTCGTTTCATCCACGATCGTCCGCAAGGCTCAAGTGTCCAAGGCAGCCGTGGCTGCAAATGCTGCAACTGCCGCTGCGTTGGCCGCTGCAGCCAGTGGAGACACGAGCGCGGCGGACAGGCAGGAGATGTCGGACATGATCGCGCTCGCTGCCCAGACTGCTGCACACCACCGCGCACTCGAGGAGCAGCGCGTTGCGGCGCGTCAGTACTACCGGGCACCCACTGGCGATCCTCTCGCTGCCAATGGCTATGACGCCACCTACGCCGGGTACTACAATGGTCAAGGCGCCGCTTCGTCCGCAGACTCCGCCGCTGCGCATGCCACGACTGAGGCAAGTGGAGAGGCGTCAGAATCGCGTGCATCTGGCAAGAAGCCATGGAAGAAGCTTCGTATGGCGGCTGGCAAAGTCTGGGAAGACAAGACGCTCGAAGAATGGGATGACAGTAAGCGCAGCTGCTTACGTTGGTTTTGTTTTTTTAAAAACCCATGATGCCTCTGATTGACTTTGTTCTTTTTGTTCGTAGGCCACTACCGCATCTTCTGTGGCGATCTTGGAAATGAAGTTAACGACGATAATCTGACGGCAGCCTTCCGAATTTACCCATCCTTCATCAAGGCCCGTGTCGTCATGGACAAGCGAACCTCCAAAACCAAAGGCTACGGATTTGTTTCTTTCAAGGATGCGGACGACTATGTGCGCGCAATGCGCGAAATGGATGGTAAAGGCAGCACAGCGCAAAAACGCGTCGGTTGTGGATGTGATTTTTTCTCCTCTCCTCACGTTTCGTCGATTTTGGATGTGCACATCTCGTTTCTAGGCAAATATGTGGGCAACCGACCAATCAAGCTGCGAAAGAGCACGTATCACGACCGTGATTTGCAAGTCAAGTCTGCCAAGCAGCAGGAACGCAAGCAGGCCATGCTTGCGGCTTACTCACAGAAATAAAGGGCTGAGGTTTGAGTTAAAGCGCGTGTAGCACGTTCCACTACTGTTATTCTTGCACTTGGTTGATGAGCACATTCGACACGATGACCAAAGATTGAGATGCGAGTGAGGTTGCGAAGATAAGATGTATTCGACAAGCAAAACCTTCAAGGAACAATACATGACTAAGACTAATACTCGGCTTCGCCTGTTAGGTTCAATGCAGCAATTGGACGCATAGAGTGAAACCATGAGCACATGAGCTTTCAAGAATTTCTCACTCACTGTCATCCCCCCCAACTTCAGTGCAAAACCAACAATCTTACCATCGTCACCATCCTCGTCTCCATAGTCGTCGCCAGCCTCGCCGTAATAGTTTGTGTAATCGTCGCCTCCGTCCATGTCTTCGTCATCCTCGACTTCGGCTTCTTCTTCGTCATCGCTCCCTCCAGCAGGCTTCTTTTTCTCCTCGTCTTCATCACCGTCTCGGCCATCTCCATCCTGCAGTACGTGGAACAAAGAGGCGCGCACACCGCAGAGTGAACTGAACTGAGCCGAACTGCATGCATCCAACAATCAGAACAAAAGAACAAACCTGATCGTCGCCATCGTACGCTGCCAAATCCTCTTCGACTGTTGCCGAGGCAAGCAGGTCGCGATCCAACGCTCGGCTCTTTTTGGCAGCTGCAGCACGGCAAGACGATCCAAGGTTGACATCGTGAAAGGAAACAAATTGAGTCCAAGCCAACAACGCAGTCATCCTGCAGACAAGACGCCATAGCATGTCAGGTCAAAAACGTACTTTTACGGGCGGAACGCAATCGGACCAATTCAAGGCCTGTAACGTTAACATCTGTTCGAAGCGAGAAAAAAAAAAAAAGAAGTTAAGATTGCAGCGAATATAGTTTCACGCAGGTTTCAACCTGGAGCTGTGCCTTCAACCATCCGATAGGACGATGACAATCCCCTTGTGTTCCTCATCCACCATAAAAAGATCATAACAAACAAAGCACTCCCCTGCACTTCTCAAATCCGTGTGAATTGCAGACCATTGACCAAAGTTGTTTTTTTTCCTGACCTAAAACTGCCTGCTGTAGTCGCGAGGCCATCGACTGACGCTTCTGTTCCAGGTAGCGATCCGAGTAGCGCAGAACGCGCGCCGTCTTTGCGACGACTGGCGGGATGAAGGACGGGCTCATTGCGAACTTTGCACGCAGCGCGCGGCTGATTGCGACGATGGACTGCTCCTGCTGGCTGAGCGGCTGATCAATCCAGTGTGCCCCGGGCTCCAGTGCCTATGCAGACCCAGCAAGCAACGGGAATGAGCTGGTCAACATTGCACATGCGGTGGCGAGTCCGGTAACAGCACAAAAGCACACCCTCCGCGGCCCCCCGCTCTGGTTTGTGTCGTCGCTTACAATGTAGTTTGGAGGTGGTCGGAGCACTGCCTTGGCTGCCGACGCGGCGGCGGACGCAGCAGCAGCAGCCGCACCAGCGACGACGCCGCCGAGCGCGTTGGTTGAAGCCGCTGATCCTGCAGTCAATCCTCCTGCTGCTGCTCCTGCTGCTCCCGAAGCTCCTGCTCCAGCTGCTCCTGCTGCTGATGACGCGACGCTGGCCATCGCCGGCCGTATTGTCGTGCTGAGGCGTGTCAATCGGTGCATGTTGGCAGAGTACGCGCCGAGCAGCGAGGACGACGACGACGACGACGGAGGCTCACCAGTCGTTTGCATCATCACACACACACACACACAACGCTTTACTTGTCTATTCTCAAATCTAATACAACAAGGACTGATCAGATTAATCTCAGATATTCGAGTATTCTAGGATTAGGATTCTGAGATGTTCAAAGGCTCAGTCAATTTCTTTTTCGTTCGTCCTCGTTGTTCTTGCATGGCTTCAACCTCTTCATCGTCGCCCTCATCATCGTCGAGTGGCGAGCAAGTGCCGACATTCGCTCTGGCGTCACAGTGCCGCGACAATGGCACGCCGTTCGTCATTGATGGAAGCACAATGGAAGGCGGCGGACAAGGTAACTCACTCCAAGTGATTGAGTAACCAAAACCATGATGTCAACGCACAACAAAAAGTGCTCACAACAACCTCACCGCAAAGGCAGCAATTTGAGCATGTGTGTTACTGACAATGTCAAAACGCCGTTGGATGATGTTGTTTTGGTAGTGCTGCGCAACGGGATGGGATTTGCGGCGTTGCAGGGCATCCCCATCCATATTAATCACATTCGCGCCGGGCGATCCAAGCCGGGACTGCGAGCACAGCACTTGTGTGGCATCGAGCTTGTCTCAAACATGGCGCGCGGACACCTCACGAATGCAAGCATCAACTCGACGAGCATTACTTTTGTTCCCGGTGCAATTGCGGCAGGTCGGTTTGACGCCGACATTGGCACGGCTGGTGCGACCATGCTGCTGGTGCAAATTGCTCTGCCATGCGCACTCTTTGCGCCAGGGCAAGTTGCATTGAAGCTGACTGGCGGCACGAATGCCGAGATGGCACCTCAGGTCGACTACACCGTTCAGGTAGCGCGATTTTGCTCACTCACTCGCCTCACAAAGACAGTTGGCGTTGTTGCACTCACTCAATCACGTTCGGGTTTTGCAGATCTTTCGGCCTATTGCACAACGCTTTGGGTTTGCTCTGGATCTGGAAATACGTCGAAGGTGAGGCTTTGCACACATGCGATGTGCCATTCAATTTCCCGTCCATTTTTTTTTTCATTTTTTTTTGTTTGTTGTAATTGTAGGGGGTACTTTCCTCGAGGTGGCGGTGAAATTGCGCTGACCGTCAAGCCGATTAAACAACTCAATGCAGTCACCTTGACTCAGCGAGGCACCGTCACGCGCATCACAGGACGAGCGTTTGTGGCAGGGACTTTGCAGCGCCGAGTACGTTACCCCTGATGACTGTTGTGTTGAAACGAATGCTGCCATGGTTATATCGTGGCCACTGAATGTTTGATCTGCCCTCTACATTTGCAGCTCGCGGAAGACATGGCGGCTGGAGCCAACGAGCTCATTCGCAAGCACTTTCCCGGCATTCCTGTCGACATTGCCATCGTTCAAGAGCCGCGAGACATTGCGGCCGGTAACGGATCGGGTATTCTTTTGGTGGCCCATACGAGCCTGAACGGCTGCTTGATTGGCGCCTCAGCACTGGGTGCTGCTGGTCAGCAACCAAAAGCGGTAATTTGTTCTTTTTTTTTTTTTTTTTACCAGTGAGCATCTTTCAACAGCCAAAGTCACTGACCCCACCCCTTCAATTGCAGCTGGGAAAGGAGGCAGCCACAAGCTTGATTGCCAATCTCCAACACGGTGGCTGTGTTGACGAGCACTTGCAAGACCAGCTGATCATCTTCATGGCACTTGCTCACGGCGTTTCCAAAATCAAGACGGGGCCGCTGACCATGCACACTGAAACGGCAATCCACTTTGCCAGGCAGTTGACGTCCGCCCTGTTCACCGTTACCCCGGTTCCTGCAGCAGAAAAAGAGTTCCCAGAGGAGACCACCTTTTATATCGAGTGTGTTGGCTCGCGGCACGTAAATGCAGGGCTGTTTGATTGAGCGCAGATGCACTCCTTGCTTGAGGATTCAAGCACCAAACAATCAACATCAAATGAAACCAAAACAATAAAACCAAACAAAGACAAAACGGACAAACAACCTTTTTTGTTTTTGGAAAAATTACAACTTATTCACAAAGAGGACTGGGCCAGAATCGCAGTCAAATGGCTCAATAATCTACTACTTGCGAGCACGAGACAGACGAGCCTTTCTCCGTTTCAAAAACCGCCCAATGAGGTAGACTGACAAGTAAAAGAGAGAGGGAAGCGAGAACACAACGACAATCACGGCGATGAGCTTGGAGGACGTGGTTTTGGAGGCGTCGCACGAGTACGCCGACCACGATGTTTGGACGGCCACAAAGATATCAAACATGTCAGAGTTTTGCTGACAGTTGCTTGACAGACCCTGGTAGTAGTTCACCACGTTGTTGTACGCGGCATTGCAAACCTGGCAAGTGTCGTTGCCAACATCGGGATCGTTGAAGCAGTGCAGCAGCTCCTGCGCCTTTTCCTCGAGGGTGGTGTACTCGTCATCCGTGCACGAGTCGCAGCTCGCTTGGCTCCACACACTCTGCACATATGCCGATGCAGATGAGATCGGGATGCTCGTTGTGCACTCGCTCGAGAGCTTGTTCAGCTCGTCCTTGACGGCGTTTTTGGCGTCTTGGCACAGCTCGCAGTACCGCGTCGGGTGCGAGTAGTTGGCCACGCACGTCGTAAAGTTGCTCACCAGCACACCCATCGCCAGGAAGCTTGCCTCTGGGCAAAAGTCATCGTCACCGGGAGTGCGACGGGCACGGGCGTTGCTGTGACCAGCCCCTGCCAGCGACGACGACGACGACGCTGATGATGATGATGCAGATGAGGATGTTAGTGGCAATCCGTCCGAGTGGCGGCGGCGGCTTTCGACGACGGCAGAGATGGAGCGCCACGCTTGGTAGCGCCGAGCTTGTGACCTCGAGGTGAGGATGGGGTGGCTGGCAGCGTGCGCGTCGACCTGCTCAGCAGCATCAGCGTCAGCAGCAAGCCATGCCGAGCAGGCGACGAGCACAAGCAGCGCGACCGCGAGCGAGCAGCGCGTGCGGCCAGCCGAGAATGGCGAGCCGTGCCGCATGATTTTGGAAGGACAATGTAAGACTGATCCTTCCCGAACGCGTTTGCGTTGCAACCAAATCCCAATAGGGGATGCAAGGGAACTACAATGCTAGATGGGAAGAACTCAAAGAACGAAGGAAGCGGAGCACAGCAGAGTATTCGAAAAAAAAAGAAGGAAAAAAGGAAAAGGCAGCGAACATCTAACCGGTAGATTGTTGACAACTCAGAACATACATGCAAAAACGAAAGAAAAAAGAGTCTACAGATCTTGCAAACAAATCAGTAGACACACTAGCATTTAAAAATTTCGCTCTCATTTACGAGACGCGACTCGGGTATTGATTCCGTTTCCTTGGAGTGGGTTGTTTTTCGCCCAGCGCTTCTTTGTCACGCCTTTGGTGACCGAGTCAAGAGAGGTCGTCGAGTCGGGAGACGCGAGCGAGGTTGTGCGCGTCACGAGCTGCGCTGTACCGACAGGAATGGACTGGACATGCGGCGCAGCGTCGACATGTGTTGGTCTGCTCATGACAGCACCGCGGTTGACATTGGCAATGCTCGAGACCTGCGCCGGAGATCCAAAGGAAGATGTGCTGCTCGTGCTGCTCGTCGTGGACGAGGGGTAGTTGAACGTCGCGGCAGAGCGGGAGGTTGGGGAGCTGGCGAACGCCGTTGGAGTGGTCGGAGTGGTCGGGGTCACCAACCCAGCAGGGACACGTTCAATGTCAAACAAGTTGGGACGCAGCGCTCGGCCACGGCCGGACATGGTGCCAGACCGGCTGCTCGCCGGCGAGGAGGCACTGTCAAAGTCGAAATTGCGCTGGTAGATTGCCTTCTTGGCCCACTCGACTCGGGCTTGGGGCCCCATGGCTTCCATCTCGCGCAAGCGAACAGTCAGCTGTTCTTGGTTGGAGTAGGCATCCTCGAGCGACATGACACGCTCGTTCTGTGCGTGCTTGCTCATGGTGCCTCCTTTGACCAGCTTTTCAGCAGCGTCAATCATGCGTGCCTCAATGCGCAGCAAGGACTTGATACGTTCGATTTCCTGGTTGAAGGCTTCAAGCTCTTCGCCTTTCAGCATGTACGACAACGACGTGGTCACGGGCGACTCGGCCCGCGGGGTTCGGCTCTCGTACGGAGCAGGGGAGGCGCTGCGCTCCATGCTGGGCACTGCGACGGGTGCCGGGCCGTTCACGCCACGACGCACAGCGACGGGAGAGGTGCCTCCAAGAACAATCTGAGGGATGGACGGCTGCGAGGTGGGTTGTGATGCAAGTGGGCGCTGGTTGACGGTGAGCTGCGGAATGGAAGGAATGGCAACAGGAGGCGCCTGGAGGCTCTGTTGCTGCATTTTGCGTTTGGCGCGCGCCGTCTCTTGTCGGGCAATTTGCTGAGCAAACTCGCAGTCGGCGCGAATCTGAGCGTTGCGGCGAACACGGGCGACAGACACGAGATCAATCTGGTCGCTGTAGCCGTACTGCTCTTGCACCAGTTCGTCGTACATCAGACGGTCGCCGTCGGTGGAGATGGTCAGGAAGCGATAGTGCTCCACCACTTCGAGCAGCGAAGCAAAGTTGTCGGCTTCCTCGCCAATCACCCAAAACCGATCCTTCTGCATGGCAACGGGATAGTGCTTGCAGCCTTCAGGACGCCGCAACGAAATGCAAAAGCCCATTTGGTTGTCTGCAACACGCACAAGGAAGGTGCCAACATTTTTGGAAGCCAACTTGCGCTCGGCATCCGTTCGACTGAGCATACCATGGTACCATCTGTGCGTGTTACAGAAAAAAAAAACACACCCAACAAGCACACGACAACACGAAGGAGACAAGTCAAAAGTGAGAATGGGTGAAAATCCAACTTCCAACCTAGCAAGCACTGACTGCCAACACCTGCACCCTGGGGGGCTGCCACCAACCAAACGCCGCTCCCCCTTCAACAACAACAAAATTGCACTAAGAGACGTACAGTTGTTGCTCGATCATTTCGCGATAAATTTGCTCCTCGGACAACGGGTGCGGCAGGTCCGTTTGAGAACCACTGCCCGGTCCGACGGACATTGTGCGACGATGCCGCTCGGCAGGAGGAAGCAAGCTCGCCCCACGTGAAGGGATGCGAGGAGCGATTTCTGGCGCTGCCGCCGAGGGGCGTGGCGAAGGGGGCCGGTTTGTCGGGTTGTACTCGCGGGACAGCACATTCCCGCTATCGTCCAGATTCTGATAGTCCACGTCCATCTGGAGGAAGGACTGAGCGTTGCGGTCGAGCTCGGCTTGACGCTCTTGCTCCTGAGCCAGACGACTCTCCATCTCGGCTTGCAGAGCAAGTCGCTCCTGCTTCAGCTGTTCTTGCCGGAATGTTTCCTGCTGTCGGGCGAGCTCGGCCTCGATCTGGCGGATCCGCTCCTCCTCGAGAAGTCTCTGCTCTTCCGCGAGCCGCTGCTCCTCCTCCAAGCGTTGCTGCTGCTTGATGCGCTCTTCCTCTTCGCGACGCTTTTGAGCAAGACGAGCGAACTGCAAGCGCGCCAGAGCTTCTCGAGTGGCTGCAAGGAAAAAAAAAACTCGGCGAGTGAGCGTCGTTTGCTGATTGCAACAAAAGCAAGAAAGAACTCTTTTCAACCCCCAACCCCCAAAACCACAGCTCCTCTCCCAACTTTGTACCTTTTTGAACGACCACGATCTTGCGGAAAAACTCGTCAGCAATGGCATCGAGCCTTTCGGTCTGTTGAGCCTTCACAAAGACTCGTGAAATGCCGATTTGCCAGCCCTCGGGACCCACCACTGCGTTGAGAATTCTGCTGCAGCTTTCTGGTGTTGCCGGCAATGGATCAGACAGACGGAAGGCTGTAACCTTGTAGCGGCTGACGAAATCGTCGAACGAAATACGGAGCGCGTAGCCCTGTCGACGAACGCGAACAGTGTCGAGCACACCGGCGTACGAGAGTTGCAGCAGGATGTACTCCTTATCGAACAGGCCATGCACCTTGCCCGCGTTTGGCTTGATGCAGCGAACAAAGTGCGGAGTTGCGTCGCCCACCTTCTTCATGAGTTCAGCGAGCGACTCCTAGAAATGTTCGAAAACAAAGAGTAAAAGCCAGAATGAGCAAAAAATTATGCACGTGTGTGATGAGTGTCGACGTGTGAAACCAGCGCACAGACACAGGCACCAACGAATCGAGGCAAAGAGAAGCAGCAGCAGCATGCACATACCCGGAAGATCATGGCAACGGTTGATCGGACCCGAGACTTGTTGCCGCCAGCCTTGGAAACGGTGCCCAGAGCAGCTTTCTTGGAAGGAGCGCGAAGTAGCTTTTTGGAGTTTCCGCGCGTTACCTTCTTGTTTGAGTTCTGGCGCCCAACGCCACGGGGATCTGCAGAAGGGCCGGCGGCAGCAGCATCCGGCGCTGCGACTTGCAAGGAGGGCTCACTTTCAAGAATTTCGTCCAGAAGCGAGACGTTGGTCGACCGCAAGAGCTGCAGGATGGCTTCGGGGACGGTGTCGCGGTTTTTCTCGAGGAAGAAGGTGGCGTCGTAGCTCACACGACTCGCAAAATGATTGACAATGAACGCGTCCGTGCCCAACTTGGGGTGCTTGATAAAGTAAGGATGCTTGCCAAATTGGTAGGTGAGCTTTGCAATAAAGCTCTGGTCTGACGCGCGTGGAAAGTGGCTCTCTTCATCGAGCACTGCAAAAATGCCGATGGGCCGTCCCGTGAGGAGGCTCAGGCACTCTTGGTTGTCGAGGAAGGACACGTGCTGCCACTGGATGCCTTCTCGGGCGTACTCATCTTGCTCCCACTTGAAGACGTGCTGGATGAAGTAGTTGGCGAGCGATTCGTTCGCCGTGTTGATGCACAGCTGCTCGAACGAGTTGCGGGCAAAGTTTTCAAAACCGAAAATATCAAGAATGCCAATTGTTGCATGTGCCTCTTGAACGGTAGCGGCGTGGGCTCGCTGAGCGCCCAACATTTTGGACGAGATGGCCTTGGATGTGGCGACAGCTTCGGCAGTGGCCGTTTGGTCGCCATCGGCTGCTGCATCGACGGCGCGGGCAGTCTGCTGAGCAATGCTGGCTGCCGTCATGAAGAGCTTGTTGACAAAGCGGACAATCCACCCAAAGATGAACTGGTACATGATTTTCGCCATCGCATCGCGCGCTTCAACAGCCTGCTCAACAGTCACGTGGCGCTTGATTGTGTCGCCGCCCGTCACAGTTGTGATGATGGTGAGAGCGTCGCCAATGTCCTTGATGGGCAAGTCGAAAATTTCTGCCACATGGCGAATGGCTTTGTCGTTTGACACGACAGCCTCGTCGCGGTCGTTGGACTTGAACTCAATGTTGCCAAGATGCAGAATGGCGGCGAGCAGGGCGCTCAAGTGTTCGCGCTGCGGAGGCGTAAAGCCAATGTCTTCCATGAGCGTGTCGAGCTTGCCAAAGCTGCGCGCTTCGAGGCGGCGTGTCTCGGCCGTGTCTTCCGGCGCAGGTGGTGGTTGCGACCCAGATCCTACAGCACCGCCGACATAGGTTGCTTGGGCGTACTCGGCCGAGGGAGCAGCGTGCGAGCGCAAGTAGCGGTAGTCGCTGGCGACGGTCAGGTTGTACTTTTTTCGGCTGCTTTGAACGCCGGCCAGCAGATAGTAGAAGATGTGAAAGTTGCGCTCGCCATACGCATGCCCGACAACGCGCGACTTTTCCAGCAAGTAGTGCGAAATGGAGGCGCCCACCACCGAGCCGTTCTTGTCAAAGCCCAGCTCGATAAATTTGCCAAAGCGAGACGAGTTTGAGTTCATGGACGTCTGCGCATTGCCGAACGCTTCCAGCAGGGGGTTGACCTGCAGAATGCGATCCTCCAGCTTGTTGATGGTTGCTGCGCGGGATATCTCGACAATTTGACGCACCAGATGCTTGGTGGTCTCTGTTTTACCGCTGCCGCTCTCGCCCGAAATGATCACGCACTGCGAGCGTTTTGAACGCAGCATGTTCTGGTAGCACGCATCCGCGACGGCGTAAACGTGCGGCGGATGTGCCCTTCGTGGCGCAAGCTTGTACCTTTCGGCGTGCGCACTCGTGTACAAGCCCAGGTCTTGGAACGGGTTGATGGCGATGAGAATGTCGGAGATGTACGTCTGCGCGCGAGGTCAGTCAGCAGCATTTCGAGAAGCGATGGTTGAGAAGGATAGGGGATCTCCAGTCAAAGCCAACAAGACCCATAAAAGGAAATTAAGAAAAATAAAAAAACAAAAAAAAAAAAACAAAAAAAAAAAACAAAAAAAAAAAAAAAAGTAAAAGAGGAAAAAAGAAAAAAAGAAAAAAAAAGCCCTTTTTTTTTTTTTTTTTTTTTTGTGTGTTTTTTGGCAGCGTTCGGTTGTGCTTTCGTCCTGACTTTGCGCCCGCTTCAGACACGACCAACCGCAGGGGTGTAAGACAGACAGCAACAGAGTGTCAGTGCCCTCGTGGCGTGCCGGACGGCTGCGAGGGAGACATGCACGCGAATGCCCAACACATTCGAGTTCGCTGTGTGTTGTTGTTGCAAGACCGCAAGCACCGATCTGCGGTGACGCGGGTTTGAGCATGGAGAGCCCCCCGCTATCCACTCTGCACTTTACAAACTCCACCTTGTCGTAGAGGACAGCGGGGTGCAGCGTGTGGCAGGGGGGGGGGCAAATCCGCTTCTTGGCAACGACAAGCTGAAGATGCGAAAAAAAAAAAACGAAAAAAAAAAAGCAAGCGCGGATGACGTTGCTGACCGGCGCCAACCGACGCGCCCCGACCTCAGGAGAGATGACACAAAGTGCAAAGAAAGACACAAGGAGCCCGGCGGAGGGAGTTCAAGGCGGCGGGGCTGTTGCGAAATCGGCACCGGACGTTCGGAGGGAGGGAGGGGTTTGAGTTTTAAGTTTGTTTTTTTCAGAATTCAAACTCGTCACAGCTCGTGCAAGGCAATGCCGGCACAGCACGAATTGCACGACAGACACGCACTGCTGCATCACACACAAGCATTGCACATAGGGAGGAGGGGGGGGGGAAAGAAGCGCGCTTGGGACCAGTGCCAGAAAAACGAAAAAGAAAAAAAAAAGATCAAAAGACAAAAAATCACGTCCAAAAAAAACTCAGAAACAGCTTTCCCCATATGATCAGAAAAGCCACCCGAACAAGACCGAGGACGACAGAGTTCAGACGATGCTGATGTCAGGGGAGCCTGAATCACTCTGTGCCTCGAAGGTGGAAAGGGGGCGGAGGAGCTAACGAGCAGGAAACCGATGACACATTGTCGACAACAGAAAACAAAAAAAAAAAAAAAAAAAAAAAAAAAAAAGAGCGTTACATAGATCTGCTGCGCGGAATATCGGCCAGCGAGTTCGCGCAGCAAGGTCGTCTCGTTCAAGTCCGAGAGCATGGACAAGTCGTTTGTCTTGGCAAGGTGGTCGGGGCTTCCAGGCGTCGTGTTGGCCGCCGAGTCGTCCGGCGTCGAGCTGGAGCGAGTTCGGACCATGACTGCAAGCCAAAAAACGAAAAAAAAAAAAAAAAAAAAAAAGAATAATGAAAAAAAGACTAAAAGTCAAAAATAAAAGGAACAGATGGCCATCCAAAATAGCACATCAAAACAAGAGGTAGGGCCCATTTCTGGTTTGGTCGGGAGCGCAAGGGTGGCCGATGTGAGTGGTATTGTGCGCGTGCGAGTGACGAGGGAAGAGTCACTTTGGAGGGTGGATGCGACGTTGAGCGTAATGCGAATGAGGGCTTGACAACGGACACTTCGATTTGGGCATCGGACTGCCAAAAAAGCGACCGGCCAATCCAAGTATGGGAAAACCGTCACAAGCGTCGCCGTAACAGGAATTATTCAAAGATGAATGAAAGCAGCAGCCAACAACCATCATGGTTCAGAGAGAGGGAAAAAGAGGCGGGGCAGGAAGCAGGCAAACAAACGAAAAAAACGTCTTGTACTGAAAGCGAATGGAAAAAAAAAAGCGACAGGCACCAAAACACACACACACACACACACACACAGCCAAAATTACTCTCTCCCACTGTATGATGAGACAATCGGTGTTCAACTTGGGACCACATAGTTGGGATGAACTTCGAGCACACGATCATCCTCCGGCAGTTCGACTACTCGATTCGCTTCATCATACGTGCTTACAACGAGCAGAATTTTGTCCTACAGTAGTTCAACAAAGAATTCGTGGTAAAGCACGGTGGCAAGTGAGCGAGGGGGGGGGAGAGACATCCAACGGACACGCATTTTGTTTTGAAACATCCCCCACTCACTTCATTCACAAGTCGTCGAATAATGAGCGAAACCAGGTTGCGTTCAGCAATGAGGTCAGCTTCGCTGTGAAGTTCAGCCTCGATTTCCTCGAGGTATTGGTTGATCAGTTCAGACTGCTTCAAGCCAGGATCTGCGTACACAAAACGAATGGGATTGAGCATTTGGGAGACATACCAGAGCATGAACAACACAATCTCGTTTCCGTACCGTTTTCATCGTGTTCTTCCCGTCGTCGTAGTCGCGTCACAAGCATTTGCGTCACACGAAGATACTTTTCGTAGTCGACAGTGGTTGGCTTGGCGTTTTGTGCTTGCTGCTGGCCTGCGGGCTGCGACGAGACATCCGGAGCAGTGCCGTCGTCTCCATCGTCGCCGCCATTGCCGCTATCGAAAGGCGTATCAAGCCGGATGTCGGCATTCTCGACGTGAATGATGGAAATGCGCAACAAGCGCTCCGCTTCGACAATGTGACGAGGCTCAATCTAGATTAAAAAGAAGGCAAAGGAAGAATGAAGAAAAGACAGGTTTCTCAAAACCACCACATCGACACGAACCCCTCGTTGAGTACTCACCTCTTCTGAAAAATGCAAGCGGGCAAGTGCTTCGGCAAGTCGAATCATGCTCTCAAGTTGTCGGACTGTGATGCGGTACGAGGATTGATTGCCGCCCGAATCGTTCTGTCGTAATGTGCGGTACATCTTGGCAAGAAGGTGCTGGCTCTCCTCGTTAAGCTGAAAGTGCACAAGGCGACCAACAAACAAACAACCAGCAGCAGCAAAACCCCACAGAGTGAGAATACGAGAGAAACCTCCCCTCCTACCCCCAAAAGCCTCCGCGGTGTCCTTCGACACTCACATATGGGCGCACAGAACGCGCAAGCTTGATGTACAATTGCAGCTGCTCGAGCGAGTATTCGGGAAGACTCTGAACTTGACCAAGCTGGTGCATGTTGACAATGTGGCGAGCAATGTTGTAGTCGGTGACTTCGTTGCACTCGTCGAGCACCACAAAGAAGAGGTCAAAGCGCGACATGATAGCCGGAGTCATGTCCACGTTGGCCTTGAGAGACCGAGACTTGTCATATCGGCCAGCCACGGGATTTGCAGCCGCGAGAATGGAGGTACGAGCGTTGAGGGTTGCGTGAATGCCGGCTTTTGCGATGGAAATGGTCTGCTGTTCCATGGCTTCGTGAATGGCAACCTGGTCCTTGATGTCCATCTTGTCGAACTCGTCAATGCAGCAAATGCCGTTGTCGGCCAGCATGAGCGCGCCGGCTTCGATGCCAAACTCCTTGGTCTCCTCATCTTTGACAACCGACACGGTCAAACCAGCCGCCGACGAAGCCTTGCCCGAAGTGTACACGGCACGCGGGAGAAATTCGACAACATACTTGAGGAATTGACTCTTGGCTGTGCCGGGGTCGCCGACAATACAAACGTTAATGTCGCCGCGAATTTTCATGCCCTCGGTCGTTGTCTTGTGCACGCCACCCACGAGCATCAATAGAATGCCGCGCTTCAAATCATCGTGCCCATGCACTGTCGGGACAAGAGACCTGGCAGCCGACGCGAAAAAGTTGCGGTTTTCACGCATCTGCCGAAGTGTCAAATGCTCCTGGGGCGTCAAATCCTGAAGCATGGACAAGGCGCCTTCACGAATGTTGATTTGACCGCTCTACGTACCCCCGCCAAAGCCCCGTGGATTGAAACGCACAAGTCAGACTAGTGCAAAAATAAACCCCTTTCCCCAATCAAAACAAACACAAATCCTACCTTGACGTCGCCTGGAGTCACCATGCAGGCAAGGAAGGAGAGCTTGTAAGTGAGATCACGCACACCGAGTGACTTCAAACCCATGACGCCATCGGTCGTGTAACCGTCCTTGGACCGACTGTTGTTTCGCGACGACGCTTCGACACGACCGCCCGCAGACGAGAGCTGGGACACGTCTGGAACAACGACGAGCGTGCCCGTGAACAGCACTTTATCACCGGGCTTTGCAATTTCAACCATTTCATTGCGAAGGATGATATCCAAGGAGCGAGGCATGCCGCCCGAAGGAATTTCGCTCGAGTTTTCTTGGACGCGAATCTTTTGCCAGTCGACAAAGCGGGAGCGATCAGCCATCAAATGGAAGCGTTCGCGATTGCCGCAGTTGGGTACCGGGCAGACCATTGGCTACAAAGCAAAGAACAAGAAACCAATTTAAACAAAAGTGCCAAAAGTCAGTTAAGGAAGAAAAGAAAAGGGTGACTAGCATCGCTCCCCCACGCACGCACCTCTGTGTACTTGAATTGCTGAACTACATTCATGATGACATGGCCGCATTCCAAGCACCGGAATGTGCCAATCACAAGCTCGGGACGAACTTCCGACGTGCGCACAACCGTGCCGAGAATCGAGACAAGATGCCCGATGCGAGTTGCTTTGAGATCGCGAAGCCTAGAGCAAGCAGCAAGCACAGTTCCGCTCCCAGTGAGTTGACAGGGCAACGGCATGAAAGAGTCGAGCGAAAGTTTAGCATTTTGTGGGGGCGTTTGCTCACTTGAAAACATGGCCCAGATTGTGCAACGCCACCCAGATCGAGTCGGACGACGCATCCGGGGGTGACAGGTTTTCGTTTTGCAAGGTTTGCAGCAAGGCAGCTCGAAGGAACGGATCAAACCTAGAGTCCAAGCAGTGTGAGCAAACGCTTGCGAAAACCAGCCCGTTTGAAAAGCCTTACCTGTAGTAATCCTGGCGAATGGCTTCGGCAAGCTGTGTCGAGTATCGGTTGATGTGCTGGAAGTCGACGTGCAGCGTGTTGTGCTCCTCATTGACAATAGAGCGGCACATTGTCAAGTAGATGGGCGTCCCCGTGTTCTCGGGATCGAAACTGTGCGAGCAGAGCACAGAGAGTGAGTTTACAAAAGCATGCAAGGCTTTCTCGCTTCCCGACTCCTCCTTCTCACAATGCACCCCCAAACGCAACATGCTCGCCTTGCGCTGTCCCCCTCTTCCTATCTCTCTCCCCCCCTTTTCCACCTGGGACAACGACAGATCAAAACTGTCTGTCCCAATGCGAATCCCATACAATCCACCACCTCCCCGTCTCACGTCACTCTCCTCGTTCCTTCCCAGTGCCGCCCCCGCTGCACAGTAACAACAACAACAACAACAACAACAACAACAGCAGTCAAGTGCAATCCTGCTCAGCAAAGTGTGGACCTGGCCATCCCTCACAGTGTAGAGCTCTCTGTTCCAAGCCCCGTCTCGCTGCTCTCTTTCCCCCCCCCCCATCCGCCCATCGCCATTGAGCGGGGCCAGCCGATTCCCCTTCGGCGCACTCACACCACCTTCCGCTTGAGCTGGACTGGCTGCGGCGATGTCGGTATTCTGCGCGCTGCAGTGCATCGATTGCAGGCGACCTGTCAAACCAGACCAGAGCGGTTTTTGGCGATCTCTGGGATTTTTTCATCGATGTGTCTGCCTATCCTTCCGCCTGGGTTGGCGTTGTGTCGGGACGCACACGGTTCTGCGTTTGTTGATGGGGAAGGCGGGGGGATGGGAAGGGGAAGGGGAGATCGGCTTACGAGTTGAGGAAGAGGTAGAATTGGCGCTGAACGCGGAGACCGAGCTCATCCTGAACGATCAGCAGCGGACCGCCCGCAGTGCTAACGTCCATTGTCAAACAAGCAACGCGAGTAGCAAATGGTCACAGCAAAGAAGAGCGAGGAAGGAAAGAAGAAGTTGAAGAAGAAGAAGAAGCAGAAAATAGACTGATTTGAACCGGAACTCGATGCCAATGCAAGTACATTGAAACACACAAAAGCCTCAACGACCTCAGAGCAGTTAGTTCAGTAGCACACGATGTAGCAACAATAAAGTGTGCTGTGGGATGCGATGTCGTTGGGGGCCGTTTTGCTGGCTGCCAGTCCGCTCCATTCACTTCTTCTGAGACCGACAGTAGTTGCCTCCGTTGTTCTTCTTTTTATTCTTGTTTTGCGCTTTCGTCCTATCACTCTTTTTTTTTTTTTATTACTGGTTGATTTTTGCACTGTGCCATGCTTGCTCAGTCGGCCGTTGTCCGCACCATTGCCTCGTCGCTCGGCCGCCACTCGCAGTCCCGCGTCGCTGCCCTGTCCACCCACGCTGCTGCGCTGGCCGCGTCTCCGGCGTCGCCTTCACCATCATCGTCTGCGTCCGGTGCTCACAAGCGCCACCAGATCGCCCTCGAGCAACTCAAGCGGGAGCAGCAGGCAGTCCAAAACCTGCGACGCGAGCAGGCTCGTGGCCCGAACATTCGCATGGCCCTCGGACTGCTGCTGTTTGTCGTTGGAGCATGTATGTGGTCTTGCTATTAGCTTGAGTCACTCGACTCGAGCGAGAGGCAGGGGGGTGGGTGGGCAGCAGGGAGAGCGAGAGAGACCTTGCACTCGTCCCCCCACAACGGCCTTGCTCATCTGCGAAGACACTGACTTGTCGTTGTGTGTGACATTGTCGTGGTTTTGGGTTGTAGACGCATACACGCTGTCCTCTGTTCGCCAAGAAGACTTTACCGGCGTCGATGCCTCGAGCGCGTCCGGTCGACCTGTCAATGCGCCGCCCACTTCCGCGTCACCCACTGCTTCGCGATGATAAACGAGGATGATGCAGCCATGGTGTGTGTGTGCGTCCAAATCATGCTAAGTGTAACAGTTTCATGTCCATCCGTTCTCTTTTGATCCAAAAACAGGTGAATTTCCAAGAGAAAAGGGAATCACAAGACAGACAGACACACACACAGACACACAAACAAAACACGCACAGCAGGTCACACATAGCAAAGCACAAACTCGTGGTTTTAGCGGGCTCCAAAGCGGAAGGACAAGCTGGGCTTTGGCGGAGCACTCGAGCTGGCTTGGGAGAAAGAGTATCCGCCCGAGCGAGTCGACAGGTCGGCAGCTGCAGTACAACAAAAGCAGGATGAAGTTGTCAGTCAATGCGCCATACAACTCCCAAGGCGAGCCACACACGATCTGGGGGAGGGGGTTGTGCTTACCAACTGCGTTCTTGATGCCCTGGCCGTAGTTGTTGACACGCTCATACACGCTCGCAAAGTTTGGCTCGTTCTGGAACAGGGTGACGAACAGGGTGTGGTGTTGGGTTTCCAGATCTAGAAGGAAGGATGGAAAGAGAGACAATCGGAAGTGAGGGCACACGTACACACAATCCACACATACACACCCCTACAGCAAAAAATTCCCCTCCTTACTGCGCAAAAATTCAGAGAGGACCAAGAGTGGATCATCCTCGTTTTCCAGCTCATCCAAGAGCTCGAACTTGGCTTCCAGGTCTTCGTCATCCTGCAGGCTGTCGGCCAGAGCGGAGGCTTGTTGTGCCTTGTACAAGAGCTGCGCCATGTAGTCGTCATGCTGCGCGGCGTCATCCTCTCCCAATTCACCAGCCTCCAAGCCGGAACCATTCTCACGAGGATCATGCGGCTCATCGTCATTGTCGAAATCCTCGTTTTCATAACGCTTGGCCAGGTTGGCCTTGAACTTGTGGCGTTCTAAGTGATTAAGAGCACCCAAGAATAGTGGAGGAACAGAAAATTGAGCAGTCGGTCGGTGGCACAACGCACAGCAGCAGCAACAACAACAAAAAACAAAAACAAAAAAACAACACCAAAAACAGCAACAACAACAACAAAAAACCCCTCGAACAGTGGATCGTACCATCCAGAAGGTCGAGCACACGCGAAGACGAATGAGACAGTGTCATGCCAATATGGGGCAAGCAGCTGAGCACGTCTGCAGGCAGGTCGGTCACAGGCATTGCCAGAATAGCCACGAGAGCGGCCACAAGAAGCTGGTGGTCGCGAATCCTAAACGCACAATAAAATGAAACCAGTGGCAGGCGTCGCAAGGAAAAGGAAAGATACAACAAGGACAAGGCAAGCATTTCAAAGTGAGGCTGAGCAACGCAGACGTGCAAATTTCAGGGAGTAAGGACAAGCACTGCGAGAAGCATTACGTGTCTGCATGTGCCACGCCAACTCGGACCATCTCAAGCAGGCCGGGAACACCCTGCCCTTGAACCTGGACCAGCCACGAGTACCCTTGCAATCCGTTAAAGGCAAGGGCGACGAGAATAAACTCAAGGCAACGGGCCGGGAGGTACTCGACGATGCATGGTTGCTGTCGGAAGGCGACAGGTCCAACGATGCTGCAGGCCGCGGAAACGAACTGTTCAAGACAAGGCACAAGGTGGTGAGTCACGGACGCCAAAAAAAAAAAAAAAAAAAAAAAAAGTAATCCGAGTTTTGTTGTGACCCGCAAGTGTAGTAGTGCTTACCTCCGGGGGCACCAGTTCGCGAACATCTTGTGCAATCGCCTGGAGCAAAATGGCTTGCAGAACGCGCGAAATGGCGCTGCGGTCTTGATCACCAACACTGGAATGGACGAAGGCGAACTGGAATTGCTCAACCACGCTCATAGCCATGCCCGAAGTGAAGAGCCATTCGACTTGAACATTCACGCACTGAATCAACAAGTCGACAAACTCTGAAACAAGCAATCAATCGCCCAAACAGACCAAATGAGAACACACAAGTCATGCTTGCGCGCACGGGATTCGATTCCGACACAAACCTGGGGTGTAGCTCAGGTAATGCGAGTGGTAGTTCTCAAAGATCTTGGAGAAGAGGGCGACAACATCAGGGGAAACTTGCTGCTGGTTGGAGATGACGCTCGTGACGAGTTCAAGAGCGCCCTCCAAATAGTTGGCAAGATGATGCGAAACAACATCCATGAGCAACTGGAATACGCTCGGTTGAGCTGCTGCAAACACCTGCAGTCCCCCCCCCGGAAAAAACCAACAAGTCGGTAGAAACAAAGCATAAACGTAAGAATGCGTTTGTTTTTTTAGCCCTCAGTTCCCCTCTGATTGACACCCTTACCACTTCGTTCGCGTAAGGAGTGTCTGCATCCTCGTAGGCATAGAGAATTTCCTGCATTGCTTCCAATGCATTCAACGCGTCGGGAGCGCCGCCTTGAGCCTCGTCTTCATCAGCCGCTTCTGGATCAGACTCGTCCGTCATGGCGCGCACAAACGATTGATACTGATGAATGGGGGGGGGCAGCAAAAGAAGTTGGAGGAGAAAAAAAAAACACGGCAGGCAGAATGAGCAAAACGAGAAAGAACAACTCAAACACATGTCGCGGAACTGAAAAAGGTCAGTCCTTGACATACCAAGTGTTGGAGCACGAGACCAGCGAGGGATGTCATTTCGGTCGAGTAGCTCTGCACAAATTGACTGAGGTAGGTAGGGATGGAGGGGAAGCGGACCTTGGACGTTTGCATCAAGTTCACCAAGCCTGCCAGAGATCCGACAACACGGGTGAGTTGCCGAGCAAACAAAAAAAGCCAACAAAATGGTGCCACAAACCCACCACCCACTCAGCATCAAGAAAGGAGCAAACACAACCTGGCTGACTTACGCGTAACCATGGGCTCGAGCTCAGCAACAAACAGGGGACGGCAGATCGGTGATTCGCGCGCAAGTGTGGACACGAGGTTGAAGGCCTCGAGAGCGACGACTGCAACAGGATCATGGAGCAGAGGCATGGACGCTTGGAGAATGGCCGCCGGTGTCTCAATCTTCTTGAACTTGTAAACGAGGCAGAAGTTGCGCAAGCACCAAAGCGCAACAAATCGGACCATAGGGTGGGGGCTGGTGAGCTCAGCGGGGAAGAAGTACAGAAGGGCAGGTTCCAGCATCGGTTGGTAGGCCTTGCGGCTGCGCATCACACGGCAGGCGATGAACGCCATGCGCATGGTCGCGACCTTGGCTTTAGCGGCTTCCATATCGTCGGGTGTGGGCGCGGGCTGAGCGTTCATTCGTTGCTGGATAAAGTTGTTAATGTCCTCAAAGACCATCGAGGTTCGTCGGTAGCACAGCTCGTACAGGAACTGGCGGGCCACGTCGGGAACGGTGGACTTGAACGAGTCTGCATCGTCGTGGAAGCTCAAGAAGTAGATGGGATCATCCTCCATGTCTTCCAGCTCTTCGTCCACAAACCGCTGCCATTCGCACAGCTGAGCCAACACGATCGGCAAGAAAGGCTTGAGTTGCTGCCAGCAGCCCTTCACGGACATGACGTTCAGGAGGAACGTCCAGCCGTGGCGCGCGACACCAATCGCCAATCGGATGCCCTGGTGTTTGATAGCAAATCAAACGTGCAAGGCTTGGTTGAGCATACGCCAAACAAAATTTACGATTTCACAGGCCTGCCGCAAGAATCCAACCTTTCGTTCTCCACCACCTCCTCTCGAACAGCCTTACCCGGGCTTCGGATTGCTCGAACGTTTGCAACGTGATCAGCTGAAGAGGAACACTCAAGCTTTGCTCGAATGCATCAGCAAATGCTTCGTACTCTGGGGTGGCATTTTCTCGGAGCCCGTAACTGCAGCAAAACACAAAAGCAAATCCTCTGGAATCAATGAAACAGCTTTTGACAAGACTGATGGTCCGTCACCCAGAGACAATCCGCAGTTTTTTTTTGTTGTTGTTTTTACCGAGTGTGCAGCTTCATGAAAAGCTTGAACGCTTTGCGCTTGAGCGTCCATTCGGAGTGCAGCACTTCGTTTTCATCAGCCTCGGGGTCCAGATTGATGGCTTGCTGATAGGCCCAGGCTGGCTCTGAGATGGGCATTGCGGCAATGTGCATGACAGGCTGGAACCAGGACAGGAATTGCTCAATGGACGCCACCAAATGCGACGGAAGTGAATACTGTACAGTGCGGGTTTTGTGTGTGTGTGCGTGTGTGGGGATTCGAGAATCGTGTCAAACGATGGGTGAGGAGAGCGACGCACCGCGGAATTTCACGACCGACGCGAAGCTCCCATTGAAACTTACCACAGTCAACTGCTGCAGGGTGTTCAGCAAGTCGCAGCACAGTTTGCGATGCTCGTGAGTGGCGACGGTGGTGGCGGACTGCAAATGGTGCACGATAAAAGGAAAGGTTGCTTCAAGCATGGCCTGAACTGCCGCCTTTTCCTCATCCGTGTCCAAGTTACTGCGCAACAACAACAACAACAACACACGCAGCGCAACCAAGCGTCAATACCACATTCATCAATCAAACGATCATCAGAGGGACACAATCAACATACTAGTAAGAATCGGCAAAGCAGTCCAACGTGGTGGCGGCTGCTTGTTGGTAGGCTGGTCGGCCGTCCGACAAGAAGGTACGCACGGTGGCGAGGAGATCTGTCCAGTATTCCGAATACTTGTTGGCGTAAACTAAGCTGTCCACAACGACGGCGAGTTGCGCACTGTTTTTTTTTTGTTTATGAGTGTAAAGTGGCCAACGCGGCGCGATGTGCAGGCAGGCAGTCAGTGAGTCCGTGAGTCAGTTAGGGATGAAGAGTGGCCTGGAGCAAAGTGCTCGGCATTGAGAGCGTACCGAATCTTTGAGTCACTGCACGAGGCCAAAGACTGGAGCACGTTGTTCGCCAGCACGACGAGATCCTCGCGCGGGACGGTATTTTGGAACTCGTGGAGGGCGGCGGCCAGATCCGCATCGCGGGAGGCATAAGCACCGTGCGCGGCGGTAAAAGTGGCCACTGCTTTCTGCAGGCGCACTTTCAGCTGAGTGGCGGCTGTTTGCCGGTGACAAAACAAGCAAACCAAACGACAGAGGACGGTTCAATGTGTGTGTGTGTGCGTGAGAGATAGGGATTCAAAGCCACGAGAAGTAGACAGACAAAGGTGCCGTACCAAACAGACGAGCATTCGGCTCCACAGTCGAGTTGATGGCAATGCGCAACAGCGAAACAGTGAATCCAGGAGTCGTTGCCGCCTATAGTGCAGATCACAGTGCCGTGATGAGTGCATTGTGCATCTGAGATTTGCTGTCCAAAGTGTCTGAGAGAGGGAGGGATTGCGTACCGCGTTGAGCCACTGCTCGATTTCGACCATTTGCTCGGTGGACACTGCCGTGCCAGCAGCCACGCAAACCTGCACGAACGGTTGCAACTCGGCCTCAAGCGGCTGCGAGGTTGCCGGGTCGAGTGACGGATCCATACTGGTTTGAGTGCTCCTATGAAACACAAAAACCAACGTCAGTCAGAACAAAGGAGCGCAACGCAACGTGGTCACAGCCCGCAGCCGCAATTGACCAGGCGTCGATGGACTGGGCTAGGGTTGGAGTTAGGGGGTTTAGAGGTCCGGAGGCTGAGGTTTGAGGATTGGGACAATGCATGAGCCGCGTGCAATAAAACAAAAGAAAAAAAAATCGCTCGGCACAAATGCCACCACGCTTTTCCATTCCACGCAGTCCGCACCCCACCAACACAGAAGGGCCCACTGTGGGCCAATGCACTGCCAAGCAACACATCAGCGAGTTGGCCGTGAGCGTGGCGCGTCTGACTCGGAGCGGTCGCTTGTGTTCGTGTTGACAGGGTTTGGCGGGAAAAACACCGCGTGGCCCCCTTCAGCTTCATCGTCAGCTTCAGCTTCTCAAGCCTGCGATTGGCATCCGGCTGTTGCTGCAGGCCGCTGACCAGTCAGGAGGGCGTGTTGATTGGAGCACTTGAGCAACGGTGCGTCGTGGAGATGGGAGAGAAACGGAAGCGGGGAGCAATGTCCTTCATCGTTGAGCCACACAAGCTTACAATGCAAAGGTTATTGGAAAAAAAGAAAAAAAAGGAAGAGAGAGCGAAACAGAGGAGGATGAGATGCTCACAAAGTGAAAGAACACATCCACCAAATACAAATTACAATGCCAGCAAGAGCAATGACAGCGTGAAAGGGAGCGAGCCAACCGGAACATCCCGCTGTCCACAGTTCCATCGCTCCAAGCAATGTGTGGAAGACTCGCAAACGCGCACATAGGCTGATCGAGCAACCATAATGCTCAGCAACTTGGTGCGTTGTTGCAAAAAAACGCGTCCTATTTCGAGTCGACCGACTTGTCTTAGACCCCGATTCAAGTTTTCAGTTTCAGCAAGTTTTCAACTCATTCCACCTCCTCGCCTCGCCACCGATGAATTGCAGCTTAGGAATACAATTATCAGACCGACGCTTATAACGATGATGGTACTGCTTGAAGCCAATCCGAATGAAGGATTGTGCAATGCGCCAGTCTCTATTGTTCTCGCCAATTCTGTCGCGTGAAGCCATGCCAGCTGCATCCAAAGCGCAGCCAACACCCGCCAAGGGCGCAAAGGCCGATTCCCCTGCTGCAAAGTATCAATCACCGCCGATCGCACGACGGACGCGTGCCGCCGCGGGTGCTTTGGCGACACCACAGCAGAGCGCTGCTGCGGCTGCACCACGAGGCGCCAAGCCACCTGCAAAGACTGCAGCAAAACAGACCGCCGCCGCCGCCACTCCGACGAGCTCGAAGAAGAAGGCTGCACCAAGCAGCCAGGACAGCGAAGACGACGAGGACTCTGCTGACGAGGACGCTGCTGACGAGGACCAACAAGAGGACGAGGATGAATCGGACAAAGCCAATCCTCCTCGTGGTGCAGCTGCGAAGGCTGCCGCTCTGAAGGGCAAGCCTGCGGCAAACGGTGCTACAGCAATGAAGATCGATGGCGAGGACGACCAAGAGTCAGGGTCGGAGGACGACGAGGACGAGGACGAGGACGAGGACGACGACGAGAACGCCGATAACTGGGAAGACGATGAAGACGATCTCGATGACCTGAATGATGAGGATGACGACCTCGATGGTGAAGACGACGACGACGACGACGACGACGACGATGATGATGATGATGATGATGTTATGGGTCAGGCCAGCGACGACGACGACGACGACGAACGTCCCAGCCGTCAACCAAAGCTCGCACCAGGCCTCGCGCTAGCAGACGCAATGTCGAAAATCCTGCGCAAGCAGGTTTCGGCCACTGAGGTGAGTGTGCCATGCTGTTCTGGTCGTTTATGTTTTTTTTTTGCTGCTAGATTTGACTGAAGCCCCGCCGTTTTCTGACTCTACCCATTTTCTTGGTTGCAACAGGCCCCAATTCTCTCCAAATCCAAAGCCATTGAGCGCAACATTGCCAAGGCACAGCAGGAAGAGCGCGAAATGCGAGTGAAAGCCGCAGAGCGAAAAGAGCTCGCGAACAAGGATCGCGTCATTCCCACCCTGGCGACACTCGAGCACGAGCGACAGCTGGTGCGCATTGCCACAAAAGGAGGTGTGTACACACGTGTGATTGATTTGTGGACGAGCTTTCTCTACTGGGTTGTTCTCACTCACATCACCCTTCTTTGTCGAATTGTCGAATCGCACAGTTGTCAAGCTCTTCAACGCAGTTAGCCAGCAACAAAAGCAAGCAGAAACCGGACCTGCCAGCACAACCAAGAAAGCTCAAGGTATGCCATTTGTTCGACTCGACTCGTTGCTGTGAAAGGCTTGTGTGCGTTTCCGAATCTCATTTTTCTGTCATTCCGTTGGGGGTCGCGAACTCTTTGTAGTCGAGGCGTCTACCTTGACCAAACAGACATTCTTTGACATGCTGAAGCAACCCGAGACTGGGCGGCCCGCCAGTGAGGTATGTATTTGCGGACGAGAGTCTTGTCAGGGAGACAAATGACAAAATCCGCCCTAACGTGCGTTCGGTTTTTGTGTGTAGACAACTCCTGCCTCGGCCAACACTGCACCTGCTGTCGCCACGGCGGAGGGCGGCTGGCTGCGCGACGATTACATGATGGGCGCAAAGATGAAGGATTGGGACAAGGAAGAGCAGGAGGCAGATTTTGAGGATGAAATGGAAGCCTTGTGAGCGCTGATGCATTGTCGTCGCAATACCCAAGAAGACATCATGTACTTCCTTTTCAGTTTTGCAGAGTTGATCCAGATACAAATTGGCAACATGGAAACGATCAAGATTGTTTTATTTGTTAGACTAGAAAAAAAGGCAACCAAACCATATACCGTGTAGGGAAGCGGGGACGAATGGATTAGTCGACCTCCTCGATGGTGGGGCCAGCGGCGGGATCGGCAGTAGCGCCGGCGCCGGGTCCTTGCCAGCCGCCTTCAGCGCCAGGCATGCCGCCGGGGGCAGCGCCGCCTTGGTAGGCCTTGGCAATGATGGGGCTGCAAGCCTTCTCGAGCTCCTTGAGACGGTGCTCAAACTCCTCCTTCTCGGCGAGCTGGTTGGCCTCGAGCCACTTCATGGCCTCCTCAACCTTCTCGGTGACGGTCTTCTTGTCCTCGTCCGAAAGCTTCTTGCTGAGGTTGTCGTCGTCGACAGCCTGCTTCATGTTGAAGCAGTAGCTCTCGAGGGCGTTCTTGCCAGCAACACGCTCGCGCTGGGCCTCGTCCTGGGCCTTGTACTTGTCAGCCTCAGCGACCATGCGCTCAATCTCCTCCTTGGAGAGACGGCCCTTGTCGTTGGTGATGGTGATCTTGTTGACCTTGCCGGTGGACTTGTCGACGGCGGAAACGTTCAGGATGCCGTTGGCGTCAATGTCGAACGTGACCTCAATCTGGGGAACACCGCGGGGTGCCGGGGGAATGCCAGAGAGCTCAAACTTGCCGAGCAGGTTGTTGTCGCGGGTCATGGCACGCTCACCTTCGTAGACCTGGATGAGGACACCGGGCTGGTTGTCAGCGTAGGTGGTGAAGGTCTGGGTCTGCTTGGTGGGGATGGTGGTGTTGCGCTTGATGAGGGTGGTCATGACACCGCCAGCAGTCTCGAGGCCGAGGGAGAGGGGAGCAACGTCGAGGAGGAGGAGGTCCTGGACGGCCTCGCTCTTGTCGCCGGAAAGAATGGCGGCCTGGACGGCAGCACCGTAGGCAACAGCCTCATCGGGGTTGATGCTCTTGTTGAGCTCCTTGCCGTTGAAGAAGTCCTGGAGGAGCTTCTGGACCTTGGGGATGCGGGTGGAGCCACCGACGAGGACAATGTCGTCAATGGTGCCCTTGTCCATCTTGGCGTCGCGGAGCGACTTCTCGACGGGGTCGAGGGTGCCGCGGAAGAGATCAGCGCAGAGCTCCTCAAAGCGGGCACGGGTGATCTTGGTGTAAAAGTCAACGCCCTCAAAGAGCGAGTCAATCTCGATCGAGGCCTCAGTGGACGACGAGAGGGTGCGCTTTGCGCGCTCGCAAGCAGTGCGCAGGCGGCGGAGGGCGCGGGCAGAGGTGGAGAGATCCTTCTTCTCCTTGCGCTTGAACTCCTGGACAAAGTGGTTGACCATGCGGTTGTCGAAATCCTCGCCACCAAGGTGAGTGTCACCAGCAGTGGACTTGACCTCAAAGATGCCGTCCTCAATGGTGAGGACGGAGACGTCGAACGTGCCGCCGCCGAGATCGAAAATGAGAACGTGACGCTCGCCGCCAATCTTCTTGTCAAGACCGTAGGCAATAGCAGCGGCCGTGGGCTCGTTGATGATGCGGAGGACGTTCATGCCAGAGATGGTGCCGGCATCCTTGGTGGCCTGACGCTGCGAGTCGTTAAAGTAGGCGGGGACGGTGACGACGGCGTTGTTGATCGTCTTGCCGAGGTAGGCCTCAGCAGTCTCCTTCATCTTGAGCAAAACCATCGACGAGATCTCCTCGGGCGAGAAAACCTTCTCCTCACCCTTGTAGTTGACCTGGATCTTGGGCTTGGTGGCCTCGTTGACAATCTTGAAGGGCCAGTGCTTCATGTCCGACTGAACGGCGGGGTCGTCAAAGCGACGGCCAATGAGGCGCTTGGCGTCGAAAACAGTGTTCTCGGGGTTCATGGCGACCTGGTTCTTGGCGGCATCACCGATGAGACGCTCAGTGTCGGTGAAGGCAACGTACGAAGGGGTGGTGCGGTTGCCCTGGTCGTTGGCGATGATTTCGACCTTGCCGTGTTGGAAGACACCGACGCTGTTTTTCAAAAGAAACAAAGGAGAAAACGAGTGAGTGCAAGAATCAATGATAAAATTCGGGGTGGTAGTGAGACTTAATCGAAAATAAAAAAAACCAACAGATAATCGAATTGACTGAAAACAAACGCTTGTGGGATTTTTGATTTTGTTTCATCAATTTTTTTCTTCTGCTGCTGCTGCTTTTAGACTTTCTCGCTCTTTTTGTTGTTTGATGCTCGTTGTTTTTGTTGTTGCCGTCGTTTGACCATCAATGCAGCGTTTGGCGCTTGCATTGACATCACCGCCGAGACAAAAAGCAAATGAACAAAAGCACGAGATCGTCCTTTTTTTTTTTTTCCGTTTTTTTTTGTTTCCTTTTCGCTCACTGAGCAAAACAACGCAACTCGTGTTGCAGATTGCACGACGCGCGTTCCCACAACGACGCACAACGGCGCGAAGAGTGAGATGGACGACAAGATACGCTCAATCTGGACGCACAAACGCGCGTCGGAAGGAAGCTGCTGCGCGTCACGCGCGCCGCGGCGAAGCTCTTGGAAGGCGATGGAAGGCGATGGAAGGTGGCAAAAAAAATCGGGGAAAAAAAAAAGACCCATTTTGCGTTGTGACCCAAAGTTGCTGGCCAACAGCGAGCTGGACACTCGATATCAACCAAAACTCATAGCAGCACGAGGAACGCGCGACCACGCGGCAGGGGAAAACGGCGCAGGGAAATGAAAAGAAAAACGAAAAAAAAAAACGAAAAAAAAGAAGGAAAAAAAGAAAAAAGACAAAAAAACACATGGCCACGCTTGCGACGCTGACACAGTCAACGAGCACAGTCAACGGGCGACGTGAATGCCGCGCATGACGAGGAGGGTTTGAATAACGAAGAGGCGAGTGTGTTTGAAAGCGTACCAAGAGTAGGTGGTGCCGAGATCAATGCCGACAGCGAGTTGAGTAGCCATTGTGATTTGGTTTGGTGTTGCAGGCGAAAGAGTGAGCATCATCCAAAAATAGGAGCCGCGCAGTTAAAGATTGCTTCTTCGCCGGGAGCAAAAAAAAAAAAAAAAAAAAAGAGCAGAGTGCCGCATTTCCAGAGTTGGATTGCGAGCGGGCAATGGCGGCGAAGAGGTGGGGGAATGAGAGCGAGATTGGAGGCAAATCTGCGCAAAATCGATGCGCTTCGTGCTCAACTGCTCGGCTGGCGAAAACAGTGCATGTGGGCCAGCAACATGCCAGTGCACTCGGTATCCAAGTTTCATGGCGGGGAGCTCTTTGCGACGGAGGAAGGAGTACAATTTTGGCTTCCAGATCTCAGCACTTTTTGCCGCCACATTTGATCGCGTCCGAACCAGTTCATCGCTCCCACCTCACCCCTTTCGTTGTTTTGGAGCTTTCGTTCGCATGTCCATGAATGTGCTGCCCACATTATTTTATGACAGTCATACTTTTTTTTTTTTTCTTCTCGCTCTTTTGTTTCTTCTGGCTGATTGTTGCGGATTTTCCATGTCGTTGCTGCGCGATCTACTCGGAGGCAGCGGGGCGAGCGCACCCCCGTCTGCAGCTGCAGTGAGCTTGTCGCGGAGCTCTGCTTCCTTCCAGGCGACGAACGACCGGCACGACTACGAAATGGTGCAGCTCATCGGTAAGAGCGAAAACGTCCCGCAAAATCGAATGATGAGAGCGAGAAAAAAAAAAAAAAAAAAGAAAAAAAAAAAAAAAGGTCGCTCTGGGATTTTATTCTTGATCTCGGTCGTTTCTCTGGGATTTTATTCTTGATCTCGGTCGTTTGGGGGCGAATTGGTCAGCGGCGGCGCGCCTTTTCGGACGATGCGGCGCGACTGGCGATGCACATGGCATTGGCGATCTCCAAGGAGGAGTCTTTCGAGCCTTTCGTGCACAGGCAGTCGATGCAAGCCAAACAGCATTCAAACGGTTGCACTTAAAAAAAAAAAAAAAAGTAAAAAAAAACCTTCCAATCGTGTCGCTGGATTTTTTCTTGTTTTTTTTTTTTTCATTGTTCGGCGCATTGTGCAGTGGAGTCCTCGACGCGACAGCCAGACGCGTTCTACCAGTAGTGCCCCTCGCTGTCGCTGCATCCTGACTGCCAGGTCTTGTTTGGGGGGGGCCCTCAAGTGAGGTGCTGGATCGCTGGTTGGATTTTTTTTCTTTTTTTTTTTCAAACAAAACTTTTTATCACCTTTTCTTTTTTTCGTTTCCTTGTTGACGACGCGTGTCCGCGGCCGAGGCCGAGGGAGGGAGGCAAACCGACAACATGTCTGGAGGGAGCGACCTGCCTTGGACGCTGGGCACTGGCTGACGGCCCAATCGCCGACCAGTCGCGGGGCCCAAATCGCGCGAGACCAAGCAGGAAGGAAAAAGGTCGCCGAGGAGGAGAGGCCCCAGCTCTCCCCCAATGCAACCGTCTCTCTGGGACCTGGGAGACGTGGGGGGATGCGTGGTCACACTTGTCGCATGCGATTTACAGGCAGGGCCTTGTTGATTTGGAAACTGGAGCAATCGCAGCATTGTTCAACCAGCACTGCGAGAAAACCCATAAAAATCGCCGTCCTGTTCAACTCGACCTTCTTGTTGAACTCGACCTCTGGAAAACCAACCGCTCTCGATGCATCTCGCTGACTTGTGTGCATCCTCTGTCTCGTCATTGTTCCGTGTGACGGCGCCTCTGTGTCGTGCGTGCGCAGGTATCAAGGCGTCCGGTGCACATTCCGTGTACCTGTGCAAATTCAAGCCCACCCAAGCGCTCGTTGCTGTCAAGAAGGTGTCGCTGGAGCACGTCGAGTATAGTGCATGGGAAGCTGAGATGGTAAGCCTCTTTTTTGGAAAGCAGTGTGTTGCTGCTGCACGCCAATCCTTTGGTGGCTCACCTGGTCATTTTCTTTGTCCCTTGACAGGAGGAATTGCGGCGGTTGCGGTGGCTCAAGCATCCCAACATCATTTCAGTCAGTCACACATTCATCTCCAGACACGAGCTCTATGTTGTATCGCCGTTTTTCTCGGGTGGTAAGTTTGTTTTTTGTTTTTTCGAATTGCTGTTCGTGCGGTCGATCGCTCCACACCTTTCGCTTATGTTTTTTTTGCCCGTCATATCCTCCAATGTTTACTGTTTTCGCCATGCCATCAGGCTCCTGCGGCACCTTGTTGCAACACACTTTTAAGTCTGGGCTATCCGAGCCTCTTATTGCCTACCTATTGCGAGAAACACTTCGAGCTCTGGCTTACATTCACAGCAATTGGTTTATTCATCGGTAGGTCATTGCAGCCCAATGCTAGTTGAGCGCCTTGCACATCTCACACTCCATCTCGATTGGATTTTTCTCCGCAGTGATGTCAAAGCCAGCAATATCATGTTCGATTCAACAGGCGCCGTTGCGTTGCGCGATTTGAGCCACGCTGTTAGTATGCTGCGCGATGGCAAGCGGCAATACATTGCCTACCAATTTGCCGGGAGCAGTCCAGAGTCTGTGCCCTGGACTGCACCCGAAGTGCTCGAGCAAAATCTCCTTGGGTACGACAACAAGGCCGATATTTACAGCCTTGGCATCACCGCACTCGAATTAGCAACGGGTCAGGCGCCCTATTACGGTCTTCCGCCAACCAAGGTAGGACTTTACATGGGAAAATGTGTCTTTGGCGTTGCGCCTTGTCCTCAATCTTCCGCTTCCCCCCCCCCACGCCTTGCCACACACACATGCAGATCCTGCTGCTCAAGCTCCTTGGACCGTCACCACGTCTCGAGGACATGATTCTGGACAGCCACATGCGGTTTTCAAAGTCCTTCCGGACGTTTATCGACCTGTGTCTCAACCCCGATCCGAACGAGCGGCCTTCCGCCCTCAAGCTCCTAGACCATCCGTTTTTCAAGCAGGTTCGGCGGAGATCAAGCTTGATCCCGCAACTAGTACAATCCATCCCTCCACTCACACAGCGAATCAAGCGCGACTCTGCCTGGAGCGCGACGCTTGCTGCTTCGTCCGAGGATTTGCGCATCTTTGACGACGAGTCTGCAAGATCGAGTGCCATGCTCGGTATGTCAATCGTGTTTTGTTCGTTGAGCAAGGGAGGAATATCTTCAATCCTGTCCGATTCACTTTTTTTTTCCTTCTTTGTGATCCGCTCAGACGACCAAGACAATGGCCAAGACAATGGCCAATACAATGGCCAAGACAATGGACAACCAGCCAACTATGCCGGAGACGACTCTATGCTCGATGCAGCAGATTCGGTGGCAACATTGCAACCAACGTTTTCGGCTGCTCAAGTGCACGACCTCAACGCCCCCGAATTGAAAGAGTCCGAGTGCTTGTAGCTGCTCTCGCCTCGTTCCTGTCTCCGCATTATTTCATTTATTCTCTCAGAATGTTGCCCTCCGCGCTTGGAAGCCAAAAGGCCAAAAGAGCCAACCAACCCAAACAAACAAACAAAACAAATTATTATTGAAAGTACTGTACCACCAAAACAAACAATCACCATTACATCGCAAAAACAAGGAAAAGGAGTTGGCTAAAAGTGTTCAATCATCGTCGTCCTCGTAGACGAAGATCTCTGATTCCTCAAGGTAGTCAGTAGTGTGGTGCGCAAGGGTTGCGCCAGCAGCGTAGCCCAAAGCGCAAACGGCGATCACCTTGGCGATTCCAAAGCGGTTCTGGACACGCCATCCAAGGCAAGAGAAGCAACGAGATGATTGATGGATGAGCGAGCAGTTGGTCAATACAAATAAATACACAGCACCAGTATTGATCGGTTGTCTTCAATGCAAAAGCAAAGGGAGCGAACGACCGTTTGAAAGAAAAAAAAAAAAACCTGGAAAAACAAAAAAAAGGAGGATTGTTGTCGTCACTTTAGCGCACTTCTTCACTGGCGACTCGAAGCACGGGGTTGAAGGTAGACGGACGAGGTGAGCTGGAAAGAAGGCACCAGCAGCAGCACGAATCGCGCGTTCGAGGAAGAGTAACAGAAGAAAGAAAAAAAAAAGAAAAAAAAAAAGAAGAGAATTTGGGCAGAGTTGTCGTCGTCCTGGAGAGAGAGAGAGAGAGAGAGAGCGCGCGACTCACCACGGACGGCGGCGCTGGGATGGCCTCTGTGAACATGGTGCGCGCTGGGAGAGCCGAGGGAGACCGAACTGCAGCGGTGGCCAAGCGTCCCAACGATCGAGTCAACAACAGCATTTTGGTAGCTTCAAAAAAAAAAAAAAAAAAAAAAAGGATCAAAGAGTGGATTTTCAGATTTCAATCTGGTTTACAATCTCAATCAGTTTTTGTGTTGATCCTTCCATTTGATAGATTGAATGTATCCATTCAATAAAATCAGTGCTCATTCTTTTTTTTTTTTTTTTTTTTGATTGTTGGCAATGTTGGAGCTCGTCACCATCTTCACTCGCGGCGGAGTCGTCCTCTGGTCGCGACAGAGTGGAGCCGTCGCTGTCAGCCCAACCGTGATCAACGCCCTCATCTCCAGCGCATTCATCGAAGTGAGGCTTTTTTGTTTTTTTGTTTGAACGACTGTTTCTCTCCATCCAAATGCATTCAATAGAATGACCATTGAAATGAAAAAGCAAAAAGTTTTTTTTTTTTGTTTTTTTTTTTTTTTTTTTTGTGATGCGTTGGCGACACGCTTTCCAATATCACAACACTCACATTTCGGTTCTTCTCGTTCCTCACATCAACAGAAGCGCGCTGTCAGCGACAAGCAGTTTGTGCACGATCACTTTGCGCTCAAGTGGGCGATCGTCAACGAGCTCGACCTGGTCTTTGTGGTGAGTGTGTGACCCAAGAAGAGCAGCTGACTGAGCCCTTCCGTCCCTGAACGCGAATGGTGGCCCGTGCGGAGGTCGGCATTGCGCCCAATGCGTTCATGCATTGTGTAGAGTCCAGGGCTCGGTGCTTGCGACAGAGGCGGCGGGGGGGGGAGGGGCGCCACCAAACAAAGACCGAGCTCCAACTTGTGCTTGGCTTCCCACCTGAACTCACTCGGCTCTGCTCTGCTCGGCCATTTGCCCACACAGGTTGTGCACCAGAAGGCCCTCCAACTCAACTACGTCGATGAGCTGCTCTCCAGCATGGCCACGTCGTTCGTCAACACAAACGGCGATGATGTCCGCGCGTTCGCCGCCGGTCTGCCACTCTTCAAGCCGTCGGGCAAGCATGTGGTGGACTTTGATGCTCGCTTTGATACCATCTGGGAGGGCGTGATGCAGCGCTACGAGGAATCGGTGGGTGATACGGAGCCTAAAAGTTGCGTGGGAAAAGACCAAAGTTTGGCTGACACTTTGTTGCTTGTGTTGTTTGTTGCCGTTTCCCCCCACCCCCGTGGCCGCCCTTCCCTGGGTTGCGTACCCCATCTTCACCGTCGTCTGATCGATCTAGTTGCGGATTCCAAAGGCCATGAAGTCGTTCGAAGAGTCCAAGAAGGCACAAAAGTCTGGCATTGCGAGCCCCGAGCCCAAGTCGCCTTCTGCATCGATCGTGACCTCGCCCACCACCTCGCAGCCTGTGAGTCCGACGGCGGCGTCGTCTGGAAACTCTGCCTTTGCCCCGGACAGTGACACAGCGGATCGCCTGAAAAAGCTCGGCATTCAGTCACGCTCGGCCGGCTCGGCTTCGAAGTCCAAACCCTCCCCCAGCGCTTCAACCGAGTCAAAGGCTCCTCCCAAAAAGAAGAAGGCCACCGCGTGGGATCCCATCTCTGGCGGCATGATGACCAACGCACACTCGGGCCCGTTGGACTTTTCCAGCGACAAGCCGGGCACTGCCGCAGCTGCCGCCCCAGATATGGTAGGTAGCATTTCAGTGAATGGCTGTTTGTCAAGCTTGAAGTGAGATCTCATTGTTCAGAGCGAAACGTGCCACACCAAAAAAACCTCACATTTGTATGACTATCGTGACTCTTTTTAGAGCACCTATACCGCTGGCTTGGAAAGGGACTCTCTGAAGGGCGATTTGCCAGATATCGAGTACACGCCCCGCGAGCAGGATGACGACGCGAACGAAGAAGAGACGGCGGATGAGGCCCCAGTCACGTCTCCAGGAAAAGCGCCCATTCTTGCCACACCTTCGCTCAACGGCGCGGCGGCTCCGGTCGCCAAGAAGGCAGGCTTTGGGAGTGGGCTTCTGTCCTTCTTCCAAGGCTTGTCAGGCAATAAGGTCCTCACTGCCGAAGATCTTGCCGCCACGCTTGAAAAGACCAAGGAGCATCTCATCAACAAGAACGTTGCTGCAGACATTTCGGAAAAGCTGTGCGACTCTGTGCGCACCAATCTCGTGGGAAAGACCATGCCGAGCTTTACTAGTATGTTCCAGCGAGTCGATGGGTGGATGTTTGCGAGGCGGCAGAGGAGGAGGAGCTTTGAGATGGGTTGGGGTTTAGGACATTTTTTTTTCGTTCTTTTGCCTGAGTATTGCATTCTCCATCTTTGTTGTTCTCCTCCCAAACAGCCATCACATCGACAGTCACCAAATCGCTCGAGGAGGCAGTGACAAGCATCCTCTCGCCCAACCGTCGAGTGGACATTCTCCGAGACGTTCTGGCCAAACGCCAAGACCCGAGCGGCAGACCGTTCACGATCGTCTTTTGTGGCGTCAACGGCGTCGGCAAATCGACCAATCTGGCCAAGATCTGCTACTGGCTCGTTCAAAACGACATTTCCATCCTCATTGCCGCTTGCGACACATTCCGTGCCGGCGCCGTCGAGCAACTGCGCGTCCATACTCGGTGTTTGAATGACTTGCAGCGAAGCAACGGCAAGCTGGGTCCCAACGACCCCGACAGCGTCATGCTCTACGAGAAGGGTTACGGCAAGGATGCTGCCGCCATTGCGTTCGACGCCGTCAACTATGGTCGCGATCAACGGCGCGATGTTGTGCTTGTGGACACTGCTGGCCGTATGCAGGACAACGAGCCTTTGATGCGCTCTCTTGCAAAGGTGACGAGTTGCTTTCTTTTTGTTGTTGGTATTTGTCAGAAGAGGGGAGGAGGGTTTTCGGACGTGGCTGATTTTTTTCTTTGTCTTTGACTGCTTCTGCATCGCTTGTGTCGATACAGCTTGTCAAAACAAACGAGCCAGACCTCGTCTTGTTTGTTGGTGAAGCTCTTGTCGGCAACGAGGCAGTCGATCAACTCAAGCGTTTCAACCAATCTCTCGCCGACTTTTCGGAATCGACCAACCCGCATCTAATTGATGGCATTGTCCTGACCAAATTCGACACGATTGACGACAAGGTATGGTTCCCATAGCAAGCGATTGTTGTCGGAAAGAACAGGGAGAGGGAGTACGTCGTGGTGACTGTTTTCTCAATGTGCTGCGTTGCTCACCCGCGCCCGCTCGCAACTTGACAGGTGGGAGCTGCCATTTCGATGACCTATACCAGTGGCCAGCCGATTGTCTTTGTTGGTACCGGTCAAACTTACCGAGATCTCAAAAAGCTGAACGTTAAATCTGTCGTTCAAGCACTCCTCAGCAATTAGAATCCGCAGCTGTTGCCGAATCAGGGTTGAATTCGCCTCATCACCACCAACCATATCTTCCACAACAACACCAACAACAATATTCTTTGGGTTCTTTGGTTTGGTGACCCACTTGTACACTGAAAGTAAAAATCAATGTTTTCATACTAAAGCTTCAAAGTCACTACAACCACCGCTGTGCTTGGTTTTGAAGTGAGTTGAGCTTTCGTTGAGCTTCCTTGATGTCCAAGTTCCTAAAAGCAAGCAATTTCACCAATGCGTTTAGTTGGCACCGAAAGCTCGTCCAGTTCGACTCCCGAATGTACAACCTCCCTCCCCCCACTTACGTCTGGGCCAGAACGGGCTTGATTCGGTCTTGAATGTCTTGATTCACTTCCAAGTCGGCCGCCACTTGTACTGCCGCCTCGGTTTCTGATGCACGGCTTTGAACGAGAGCTTGCACTCGCGCCTTGGCCTGATCACAAAGCAAACAAAAACAGTCGGGCTGTCAGACGACAAGTTTCGAGACCAACAACGCCACCATCACTGCTCGTAAAACATGCTGTGCTGCTTCGCCACCCCTTACATCATTCATACGGGCTTGCATCTGCGTCAGAGTGGACTGCAAGCCTTCGAGATCAGCCGTGTACTGTTGCTCTTCCTCGGACAGCACTGGAGAAGTCAGCGAGACAATTTCAAGGATGGCATTGAATTTCGTCGAGATGTGTTTTTGCTCGTCGAGCAACTGGGCACAATTGGCAACGCTCTTTTTGGCTGCCTGGCGTGTTTGCTCAATTTGCTCCTTCAGCTTGCTAATTTCCGTGTCTTGGTGCTTCTGCTTGACCTCCAAGCTTTGGGCACTAGACAGCACGAAAAGTCAAACCAAACGGAAAAAAACCCCAAAACAAGGTGAGCGTTCCAAAATACACAAATCGAAACTTGGCTCGCAGAAATAAATACAGTTGCTCGTGTTGATGACCTACTGGTGTTGAATTTTTTCTTTGGCGCGCTCAATATCCTTCAAATAGCCGTGCTCGAGTTGTTCGAAAGCTTCGATCAAGAACTTGAGCGAGTCTTCAGTGACACCAGCGCCTTTCGTACCAGCAAAGGTTGGAAGGCGAACGCTGGCCTTGCCCTGAAGGAGTTCGCGGATTTCGTCGGCAATAGACCGCGCCGAGCCGTCACGAACGGGCGCAAGAGTCTTGGAGGGGGTGATGGTTTTGCTTGAAGGGAGCGCCAGTTGCGCCGACGACGACAAGCGCAGCTGTTCGGTCACCAGCTGGCGGACGACAACGCCTTCTACAAACGCCCGAGGCGCTAAGCTGGATGCCAAAGTCGGGTCTGCGTCGTCTGGTTGGCTGGTCAAAGCGACCAGCAAGTCCCCGACCGATGGCACAGAGACAATGCTGACGCCAATCACAGGAGAAGGAAGCGATCCTGGCGCTGGCAATCCCCAGGTATTAATCACTTGGTGAACTGCCGTTGGAGCCAAGTCAATCGTGTCGGGCTGCTCGGAATCGTCGTTCAGGTAGCTTGCCATCGCTTCGTGCCAATGGAACATCAGCCGATGCAATCCAAGCGCATGGTACACAACGAGTCGATGCGGCCGGAGCGGATCGAGCACCATTCGGACTTGCAGCAGCGCCGAGCGATTGATACCAGTCAACCGCGCCGACGCAGGTGCGGGAAGTGACGGAGTTCGACCAGAGCCAGGTGTTCGAGCCGGATGCGGCGTGCTCTGGGTTTGCTGCCCTCGAACGTTTGCGGCAGCGTCGAGCAGAGCCGACCGTTGCTGAGCCGTGAACAAATCAACTCGCTCGTAGACACGCAAGCTGGGGTTTCGAATGAGATGCATCGTGTCCTCAAAGTCCTGGCACCACCAAAACAAGTAAAATACAACGCAATCAAACAAACCATCCATCGGTGAGTGAGCGAGCTGTGTTTGAGCGAGCTGTGTTTGAGCACAACGCCCGGAATGGCTGCGTCGCTGTTTGCCTCCCCCTCCCGCTTACACCAAAGGCATCAATGGCCCATTGCGCCTCAAGGTCGTCCTCGAGAATACACGACAAAAGATGGCCACGGTCGTGAGCGACCACCAGCGTGGTCGGTAACGACTTGAGGCATGCAAGCGAGCAAGCGTCGTCCTCGATGCCAAAGTTATCAGAGCCATGCGACTGTTGCCTCAAGAAGGGGCCCTGCAAAAGCAGGCTGCTTCGTGCAGCCGTGCATTCGTTGCCAGGCGCTGAAAACACGTAGAGCTGCTCAAGATGGTTCAGGACACTGTCTTGCTTGTCGTCGAACGACAATCCGCCCAAATCCTTCGACTCGTTCGGGCCGAGCAGGTGCGACAGCATGGGGACTCCGCGTGCAAGCAAGCACTCGAGCCAATCAATCTGAAGCCGATACATTGCTTCTCCAGGCGACATTTCGCGGTCGTTGCTTTGTTCCAGGAATTGCTCGAGCCGCAACCGCACGGTGGCCAATAGCACGGAGACGGTCGTCCGTGGCAAGAGACTACAAACAAGCAAACGACAACCCCCCCAAACAAACAAACAAACAAACAAAAAAACCAGTGAAACGTACAGGAAATGCAAGAATAAAAAACAAAGAAACAGGTAGAAGCACACGCGGTGAGTGCATTGCCAAAAACAGTGCAACAGAGCGAATCGTAACGACCGGGTTTACCATTGTTTCGGCACGACCGGACACAGGCTGAAGACAGTTCCATCACTTGCAAGACAAAAGATGGTAAAATAACCCCAACCATCTTGAGGCCCAAAATCAAACGAAACAATGTTGAAATTGGACAAGCCCAAGAAGGAGCGCGAGGAAAAGTCCCCGTTCGCATTCAAGCCCGCCTTGCGCGTCGATCGCGTCGCAGAATCGAGTGATACATCATCATCGGCACTAGGATCTCGCAGGGTAACAAGCAGCTCTTCCACAGCGGGCTGCCGAAGATCGTACAACCTGAAACGAAGCGCGAGAGTCAGGAGGGCAAGAGAGTTCCAATGTTCTCCGCCATGACACACACCAAACAAATGCAATCTGTTACCGTAATCGATTATCGGTCGAAAGAACCATGATATGCAGCTGATCACCACTCAGCGGGTGCCACTTCACCTCCCGAACAGCGACGGAGCGGTGGCTGTTGAAAAACTTTTCGCCAATGCAAAACACACTAATGACGCAACGAAAAAATCAGGCAAAAAGCACCACGACGGCTCACCCAACACAAGGGCCTGCATAGCTGACGAGATGACAATCTGTGGCTGACAGACGCGGTGCACTCACCGATTGTCAGGAACGACGCTGGATCCGTTCGGCAGCACCGACGGCGCGTTGGCGCCAGCATATGCGCCCGACGGAAACCGCAGGAACTGGCCACCAGACTTGGTTGGCAGCTCCATGACGGCAATACCATGGTCGCCATACAGCAGCGCGTGCGTTCCGGGCGCATTGACCGAGATCGAGTGGACGTGGAAGGATGGCGGTTTGAGCGCCGCAAGAATCTGCTCAACGCGCAAACAAAGAGGCCGCCCCAATCGTGATGAGTCAACGATACAAAACACGCAGCCATGTCTGCACAAGGGCAGTCCGACGGCGTTTCCACACCCGTCGTGCGCCACCCCACCTGGTACGATCCTCCACCACTGGTCGGCGGACTTGAGCTGCTGCTGCTTGCGCTGGTGCTGCTGCTGCTGCTGCTGCTCGATGCGCCAGTCACCAAGCCCGTCAGCGGTGCCATGGATGATGCTTGCGAGGCAGTCGGCTGGACCGCGGCTGCTTGGGTGGAGGACGACCGTGTGGCCGATGGCGAGATCGCAGCATTGAGACTGGCGACACGCAGCGCTTGGCTCGCGGCGTCCCAGACGAACAGCGACCCGTCGTGCTCGGCAATCGCGCTCGGCAGCACGCTGACGGGAGTCTCGTCGGTGGTCGGGTTGGCGACCAGGCCCGTGAAGATTGCATGGTCGCGCAGCAGCGCCAATCCAGCTGCAGCTCCACCGCCACTCATTCGCTATTTTGCTTTGTGATGAAAGCCTGTCAAAAGGACGACTAGTTGTTAAGTTCTGAGAAATTTCGGACGCAGTCTTTATTTTTACTTTTTATTATTGCCTTCGCTGTTTATTGCTTGCGTCCTTGTCTCCAACAACAACCTCATCACAATGTCACTCCAATGGGCAGCCGTGTTTGGCGTTCTCTGTGCCGAGATTCTCGCCTTCCTGGTGCTGCTCGTCATTCCGCACGGACCGTACCTGGCACGGATTGCCAGGTCGCAGCTGTTTGCCAAGGTCAAGTTCGGCCTGCGCATATTGGGCTACATCCTGGCGTTCTTCTTCCTTGGTAACTTTCCGGACATGGTGGTGATGGCGTTCGTGTTCGAGCAGTGCGCTTCTTGGTGAAATTTTAACCCCCCGCCCACTCACTTGCGCGATGCTTTGGCTCGTAGATGCCATGCGACTCATGTACCGCATCGAGATGGAGAAGGGAACGCTCGGGTTGACGCCGCCGCCAGCGGATGCGTACGACAATTTCAACATGCGCCTCTTCCGCGCGCAACGCAACGCGTACCTCAACTTTTTCGCCGTGTTCCTCCTGCTGTAAGTCGCAGAGGCAAATGGCTGTGATAGGTTTTGAGCTGTTTTGGCAGGCTTGATAGACGGTGCCCCTCGGGAGGAGGAAGACGAGAGCATGGATCTGAGCGCTGCGCATGTTGGCAGCGTTTTTCCCTTTTGTCAAGAGACCTATTTCTCCTGTGGAATATGGGGTTGCTACTCTACGTTAATTTCGCTGATGGCTTTGCTTGTCTTTGTTTGCCAGAGTGCTCAACCGATTCGGGCATTCAATTTTCGAGCTCGCCGAGCTCAAGGTAAGCGAGCATCTTTGATTTGAACGTTGAAAGTCAAAAACAATCGTCGTTCGCTCGACCTCACTCCGCGTTCCGACCGATTGCAGGAGAAATGCGCACTTCTCGAAGAAGCTGCTCCCGAGCAACTGGTGGAAAAGGTGGATCGCCTGGTTGCCTCTCGGTACGACACCACTCCTGCCACCGACGCGGCGGCGGCCGACATGATGGAGAATCTGTCGCAGCACAAGTCGGCTGCCTCCGAGCTCGCCGAGCAAAGTCAGCAAGAGCAGGAAGAGCAAGTTCAAAGCCAAGAAGAAACCCTGCAGCCGCTCTTGGATGGCGCAAAGGGCATTTCGGCGTTCGGCACCGTCTCGGACAACATTTTGCCGCACAACCGCGTTCTGCCACCCAAGGAGGAAGGGTTGCCCGCCGAGTACGTCAACAAGCTCAAGGACTCTCCTGTGCCCGCCGAGTCGCTTGTCTCGCGCTTGACGCATCGCATGACCGGACGCACAGAGTAACCGCCGCGGAGCGCCAAGAATGGTTGTCCGATTGATTCTGTCGCGTGCGCTCTCGATTTCTCTTGGCTTGTTTTGTCATATGCGAATGGAAATGCACGCATTTGAGTGGATGGCGGCGAGGAACAGAGTATTTTTGTTCGCGACATTCGCACGTCCTTGTTCGAAATCAGCGAGCGACCCAAATCTCATTGTTTTTCTGCACCTCCAGGATTTCGATGATTCTCATACGTCCATTTTTATTTTCTCAGTCTTTTTATAAAACACCATTTCCCTGCCAACAATGCTCTGCCGATCTGCGACTGCGGTTGCCGCTTCCATTGTGGCCCGTTCGGCTGCTCGCTCCACCGCCGTCCGCTGCGGCTCCACTGCCGCCACTGGCCCTGTGAGTCCCAAACTCGCACGCTTCTCATGCATTACGTCTCTCCATCCATTCTCTCCATCTGCGACCCCCCACCTCTCTTGTACTCCTCCTCCTTGAGGCTGGCTGCCAAAGTCACGGATTATTGGAGAGATCGATCCTTTTTGTTCCCAGTTCCATGCATTGACACGAGCTCACTTGGTTGGTCCATTTGATTCTTTGATTCTTTGACTCTTTGATTCTTTGACTCTTTGATTATGCAGAGCAAGCGCACCGCGCTGTACGACTTCCACGTCGCAAAGGGCGGCAAGATGGTCCCGTTCGCAGGGTGGGACATGCCCGTCCAGTACAGCGACCTCGGCATCATTGCCTCGCACCATCACACGCGTGAGAATGCATCGCTGTTCGACGTCTCGCACATGCTGCAGTTCCGCTTGCACGGCGCGCAGCGCGTCCAGTTCCTCGAGTCGCTCGTCGTCGCCGACGTTGCGGGGCTTGCCGAGACGGCCGCGACGCTCTCCGTCTTCACCAACGAGAAGGGAGGCATCATTGACGACACGGTCATTTCTAACGCTGGCCAGACGCTGTACGTCGTGTCCAACGCTGGCTGCGCCGACAAGGATCTCGCGCACCTGAACGCCCAGCTCGCGCGCTTCAACGCGGAGAAGAAGGCCGACGTCCGCCTCCAGATTGTCGAGACGGCACTGCTCGCCCTCCAGGGCCCCAAGGCTGCCGCCGCGCTCCAGGCGCTCGTCCCGTCCAAGGACCTGTCCAAGCTGCCCTTCATGCACGGCGTCGACGGCGTCACTGTCGATGGCGTTGCCAACTGCCGCGTGACTCGCTGTGGCTACACTGGCGAGGACGGCTTTGAAATCTCCATTCCCAACCAGCACGCCGTGCAGATTGCCGAAAAGCTGCTGACCAACCCCGCCGTCAAGCTCGCAGGCCTCGGCCCGCGCGACTCGCTCCGCACCGAGGCTGGCCTGTGCCTCTACGGCAACGACATTGACGAGACCACCACGCCCGTCGAGGCGGCTCTCAAGTGGACGATTGCCAAGCGTCGCCGCGAGCAAGGCGGCTTCCTCGGCGACAAGGTCATTCTCCAGCAGCTCAAGGACGGCGTCTCCCGAACGCGCATTGGCCTCGTGGCTGACGTCGGCCCCGCTGCCCGCCAGCACTCCAAGATCCTGACCGCCGATGGCGAGGTGATTGGCGAGGTCACCAGCGGATGCCCTTCGCCTTCCGCCCAAAAGAACGTTGCGATCGGCTACGTTCCCCCTGCCTTCTCCAAGAACGGCACTGCGCTCCAAGTCGAAGTTCGCGGCAAGAAGTATCCCGCCGTCGTTTCCAAGATGCCCTTCGTTCCCACTCGCTACTACAAGCCTTAGTTAGACCCCAATAAACTAGAACGTTAGAAAGAGTTGCCAAAGAAAAAAAAAAACCAAAACCACCGTCTCTGTTCGTGGTTTGTCAACCGTTCATTCCTGACTATAGTTTCAGTACATATCCGGTTTGGGTATCGATCTACTGTATCATTGGCTTTCCAAGCTTGGTTGGGGAGAGCCCCAGTCTTGATCCACTTTTTCAAGTGAGTTGGCTTTTGTTTTTCTCTTTTGCTTTGATTGCCACCACACCACACACAGCTGCCTTCGTTCGCTTCCGCACTGCCCCCACCCCCGAAACACTCTAAACCCAACAGCCCAGTCACAATCTAAACAGTCTCACATCTCATTTGAGGATGCCCGCGACGGCGCTCAACACGGAGCACAACCAGAACTGGAGGGAAGGCCAATTGGCCGCCTCCTCACGCCATTCTGGGCATGTGTTCCCCGCTTGACCCCAACCCCCCTCCGAGCCTACCTGCCTCTGCCCTTCTATCCATCGTCTGCCCTTCTGTCCACCGTCTGTTTTTCCATTGGGCGTCGATGTCTGACGTGTTGGCAATCGCCCTCCATTTTGACAGCAACGACTCGAGACGGAGAGCGTGTTGAGTTTTCACATCACACCATTCATTCATTGTACTGTAGCGACAGACCGGTCATCATCCCAACGCCCCCCCCCCACCCAACCCCCCGTAACGTCTCCCCTTCTTTCAGCTCCTCCCAACATGCCCATGCTTGACTATTTGGGTGTACCCTCACTAACGTGACGTTTGTTTTTTTGTGCAGAACACTTTTTTTTTTTTCGTTTTTCTTGGCCGGCGCCAACAGCATTTCCTCAACCATGATGGACATTGTGCTGCATGTTGCCGACACATACTTGTTCACGCCCTACATATACCCCGCCGAGTGGGCCGAGGACTGGTGGCCGCGGCAGCTGCTCAGCTTGTTCTTCCTCGTGAACATTAGCGGCTACGCGCTGTACCTGATCTTTGCCACTCTGAGCTACATTTTTATTTACGACAAGGCCCTGCTGCGTCACCCTCGCATCCTGGAAAACCAAATCGCCAAGGAGCTGTGGGTGGCATGCACCTCGATTCCAATCATGTCGATTCCGACCAACCTCATCTTCCTCGCCGAGGTCCGCGGCTACTCCAAGCTCTACGACAATGTCGACGAGTACGGCTGGGGCTACCTCGCGTTCTCGGCCGTCTTCTTCCTCTTCTTCACCGACATGTGCATCTACTGGATTCACCGCTGGCTCCACCACCCGCTGATCTACAAGTACGTGCACAAGCCGCACCACCGCTGGCTCGTGCCGACGCCCTTTGCATCGCACGCCTTCCACCCTGTCGACGGCTTCTTGCAGAGCAGCCCGTACCACATGTTCATCTTCCTCTTCCCGCTGCACAAGATGGCCTACATGGGCCTCTTTGTCTTTGTCAACTTTTGGACCATCTCCATCCACGACGGCAGCTATGGCGTGCCCGACGTGTTCAAGCCGCTCGTGAATGGCGCAGCCCACCACACCGACCACCACCTCTTTTTCAACTACAACTATGGCCAGTTCTTCACCCTGTGGGATCGCATTGGTGGATCCTTCCGCCACCCGTCCTCCTTTGAAGGCACCAGCCCGCTCGACGAAGTGCATCAGCTCGACAAGAAGGCAGCAGCCGCAGCAGCAGCAGTTACAACAGCAGTTACAACAGCAGGAGACAAGCAACCTGCAGCATCTCCTTCGGCCTCGGCAGCGGGCGGCGAGGCAACCAGTCCCTCCGCGCGTGCACGCAGCAAGAAGGTTGACTAAGGCACTGGTCTCTTTTTGAGTGTTATGGTTTTGTTGTTGTTGTTGGTCTGTGAGGTGTATCTGGCCGTGTTAATGTGAGTGTGAGCAATGCAGAGCTGTTTCGGCTCAAACTGACCCAAAAGCAGCTGCTTTTGGCGCCCAAGTTCCACTTGACTTTGCAGAAATGACTGATCAATCTCGAGCGCGCCTTGAGATCACTGGCGCGACAACGGGGAGTCGAGGAGGATGGCTGAGCGATTTAGCGGCGCCAACCTGACTGGTTCTTGTTGTTCTTGTTGCGTTTCAGCGGATCCTGGTTTTGGATCAGATCGCGTTGTCAGTCCTTCTTCTTTTGAGCAATAACAACAACAAAAAATGCTCACCCCAATGCATGATGAACGCAAAAACAACAAAGAAAGAAAAAACACAAAAGCGCGCCGCGCACCCCTGCAGCCCCGGCTTTTAATAGCTCGCCCCCCTTTTGTAGATGTTTTGCCAAACAAACAAACAAAACGCCAGCATCCGATAAAAACGTGCAACGGGCCGCACCGCGCAGCAGCAGCACAAACGAGCAACGCGACAAACAGACCCGAACCGAGAGTCGGCATTGTTGGCTGAAACATCAGCAGCGAATGACAGGTTGGCTGTCGGCGTTTTCCCGCCAATCAGAACGCGCGCAGATGATTTTGGTTTCACTTTTTTTTATTTTCCATTCTCACGCAAAAGTTCACTCTTTTTTTTTTTTTTTTTTTTTCTTTTTTTAAAATCAGCTTCTTCATCTCGCTTCCCTTTCGCCTGTGCGTATCATCATCGTCGTCGTCGTCGTCGTCGTCGTTTCTCTCGTCGCCTTCATAAACGCCCGTCTCAATCTCCCAGCCGTCATTCGATCGACTCGCAGCGCACGCACGCACGCACGGAGAGCTTTTTTTTTTTTTTTTTTTAACTTTTGCTGACCCACCTCGAGCAGTCCAAGGAGGGCACCGCAACAGAGCATCCCGCTGCTGGCTCCCGTTGATACGAGATCATCGCCCCACCATTCCACCCGCGCATATCATCCCCGCTTTCCGCGCTTACGTCCGAACGGAGATTCAGAGCGGATCTTTTTTTCCTCTTTGTTCGTTTTCTGGATTGACTTTATTTTCTTTTTTCTATTTTTCTTTTTCCCGACACGGAGACTTTTAGTCCTTGCCTGATCCAAGTGCTGCCTGTCGACGCCTGCCCATCCTCGCTGCCGACAATCCAATACGCACCCCAAGGACTCTTCCATCCAGCCAAAGCCGCGCGCGCCCCATCGTCTCGCGTCCTCTCCCGTTCGAACAAAGCCCCACGGCACCTCGCCCCCATTTTTTTTTTTTTTTTCATTTTCAATCACTCCCCGCTTTTTCTTTTTTCCCGCATTGTGCACTCTGCGTCGCAAAATGTTTCACCAACTCACGCCGTTGTTGGAGCACAAGCTGGAGAGTCTGACACCTGTGACGGTTGTCTCCGAGACTGCCTCGACGCCAGCCACCGCGACGCCAGCCACCGTGGCCCCAGCCACAAAGCTGGTGCCCGCATTTGAAGTCACCGACGACGAATCAGGCGACGCGTCGTGCCCAGCGCCCGTCACGTATCTGGACTTGTCGCGCAAAAAGCTCAAGACCCTGCCGGCCAGCGTGCTCGAGCACCGTTCCACGCTGCAAGTGTTAAATCTGAGCCACAACCAGCTCTCCGAGTTGCCGCCAGAGCTATTCGAGCTAACCGAGCTACGCTCGCTGAATATATCCAACAACCCGATCGCCTCGTTGCCCGACACGTTTGAGCGCTTGCCGCAGCTGCGTACATTGACGTGCAACAACATGGCGCTCACCACCGTGACGGACAACCTGGTTCGGTGCCGCCAGCTCGTGTCGGTCTACTTTGGCGGAAACCAGCTCAAAGAGTTTCCCCTCGTGCTCTGCTTCATCACCACCCTCAAGTACCTGTACATTGGCGCCAACCAAATCCACTCGCTGCCCGCTGAAATCTCGCAGCTTTCCGAGCTCGAGGTGCTGTATCTTGGCGGCAACAAGCTCGAGCGACTGCCCGCGCAGATTGGCTTGCTGAAGAAGCTGAATGTTCTCTTCCTCGGTGACAACTCGCTCGTCGAACTGCCTGTTGAGATCACCGATCTCGACAGCCTCATGACATTGAACGTGCACAGCAACAAGCTGTCGGCGCTGCCCATGGGCTTGCTCCAACTTCCTCGGCTCGAGGAGCTCTCGCTGCGAAACAATCCCCTTGTGACAGACTTTGTTCGCACCATCCCACTCACGCCTCCGTCGCTGAAAGAGCTTGCCGGTCGCGTCATCAAGAACCAGGAAATCCCCTACAGCAAGGAGACTCTTCCTCTCGATCTTGTCGAACTGCTCAACACTGGCCGCGTTTGCGAAAACCCCAACTGCCGTGGCGTCTACTTTTCCGACCGCTGCGAGAGCGTTCAATTTGTTGATTTCTGCGGCAAGTACCGCGTGCCCTTTATGCAGTATCTGTGCTCGCCGCGTCACGCCGACTCTGATTATTCCGCCAAGCGCAGGGCAGACGAAGCCCTCGCCAGCGAGCAAGCAGCGCGAAATGCTACGGCTATGCGCATGCAGGCTTTGCGCGACGAGCTCGAGGCTGGGCGTCTCGCAACGGAGGTCAATCTGGACCTTTCCTTGCAGGATTTGGGCGCCTCCCTTTCATCGTCGTCGTCATCGTCATCAGCATTATCATCATCATCATCATCATCAGCATCATCATCATCAGCATCATCATCATCAGCAGCTGCTGCGGCTGCACCGACTGACGTACGACTGTCAGCAGCGTCCTCGTCCTCGTCCTCACCGTCAGCCTCCGAACCCAGCACGTCTTCCCCAGCACCTCTCCGAGAGCTCAACTCGCTCGAGTTGCGACTCCTCAAGCTGGTGGAAAACGAAGCGTGGATTCCCGTATAGCCCTGTGCCAATTTTCGTTTCAAAGCTTTTGGATTAAGACTTGTTGATAGCTCCTTTGATTTCCTGCCATTAAACTAATGTATTGTGTTACTTGCGCTTTGACAAATTTGCAATCGTGGGTGGGTGGCATATGAGGTTTGAAAACATTTATTGCAGTGGCGGGAAAACTAGAAAAAACAAAACTGAGAGTTGAATCGGATAAAGCAAGACAGTTAACAGCAAAGAGAGCACGAGCAAAAGCAAACGAGCGCTACAGGTACAGCATTGGAGCTGGTGCAAGCAAACTGCTCGAACAAACCAGGGTGAGAGTGTGTGAGTGTGAGTTTGCGCGTGTGTGTGCGTGTGAGTGTTGGATGTGTTTATACATGTGTGTACGTGTGATGATGATGAAGTGTGTGACGGGTGTGTGTGATGGGTGTGCGCGCTTCAGGATAAAACCGCAGCACATCGGCGTTATTGTGGGGGCACTGCTTGGGCAGCGGCAAGCGCTTCGAACTCCGCCTGGTCGAAAACGCAGCCACGTTTGACTGATTCAGCAATCTCGGTGGAAGAGGGGACCAGGCTCTTGACGGCATGATCCTTGCAAAACGTGAGTTTGCTCCTTGGGAGGGCCTGGCCGTCAGCGCCAAAGACACCGCATTCTTCGAAGGGAGGCGAGTACAAGTGGAGCGAGACGCACTTGTCCGAGTTGGACTTGTTGTTCATGGCATGCAGGCCAATCTGGTCGGTGATGAATGCAACGCCGTTGCGCTGCAGAGTGCGAGAGCCAACCACCCGGATTTCCTGATCATCCTCGTTGCCCGTTGACTTTGCCCAGGAGAATCGCGTCTCGGTCAGGGCGCCGTCGAGAATCTTCATAAAGCAGACCGAGTTTTCGTGGTCGTGGATGGCGCTGTAAAGCAAGAGGAGCAGCGTGAAAAAGTGAGTGGCCAAACGGAAGGACGAACAAGCGCTCTTTTTCTCTTTGCTCTCTGTTCCTCCAAACCCGTCCCCCCTACCCCGAACACCCATGCGACTAAAATTCGCAGTGTCATTGTGTCAAGCTGAGGCTGTTGAGGTGGATGGTCGTGGGACTGACCGGCGCCCCTTGTGTTCGCATTTCGGCGTGCTTTGGTGCGTGTGGCGTGTGATTTTTTTTCTTTTTTTCACTTTTCCCACTTCCCCAACATTTTTTTTTCCTTCTTCTTCTTCTTCGTCTTGTCGTTGGAGTGCCTGTTGTCCGTTCACCGCCCGCGCACCACCATAAATAAGCTCACATGCAATCTGTCATTGTGCACGCCATGCGCAGCCTCGCACGTCAGCGCAGTCAGGGGCAGACAACAGAAAGGCAAGTCAAATAGGAGGTGCCATTTTTTTTTTCATCTTTTAATTTTTTTTTTTTTTTTTTTTTTTTGCAGTGTCGGAGCGTTTGCGTTTTGCGTCGTCGTCGCACTTCTTCTTTGCCGTCTCAAACCCCCAGAAGCTGGAGTGCGGGTGTGTGCGTGTGAGAGTGTTGGCGTCGCCACCCGACAGGAGGGGGTGCCAAAAGAGCAGATGTGATGACAGGAGAAGCTGGTGTGGCCACGAAAAAAAAAAAAAAAACTTTTCATCCTCTTCTGCCACTGCGACGCGCTCCGCTCCTGCACGACTCTGCCAAACCCAAACCCAAGCAAACAAAGCAAAAGTCAAACAGCCAAAAAAAAAAAAAAACACATACCTGCCCTGGCCTTGATCCCAGGCGAGAACGAGCAGGTTGTAGTTCTTGTTGCCCCAGACGCGGGTGCGCGTGTAGCGGACGGCGTCGAACGTCTGGCCGTACCGCTGCCAGTCGCCGCGCGACGCGTCGTAGCTCTCGAGCAGCTTGTTCACTGCAGCCACGCTCACAGTCTCTTGGCTCATCAGCACGTCCAGCTTCTGAATCATCACCTCAAGCGACAGCGTAGAATCCATTTTTTGGAAGGAAGAAGAACAATACAATAAACAAAAAAAAAAGAGGAATGATCGCGGAAAAACCTTTCATATTTCGTATTTGGCATTTTTTTTTTTCTTCTTCTTCGTTTTGGCTGTTTTGGCTGTTTTGGCTGTTTTTGCTCATTGGCATGGCCGAGAGCACATCGGGGGCGACAAAACAACAACGATGGAGGGTTGTTGGTTGCTTGTTCGGCTGAAACCGGAGCGCCAGTGCAGCTGCGTTCGCTGGAAACGGAGAAACGTCGCGCCCAATCAAATCGGGTTTGGATGAAAGCGATTCTGTCAGCGGGTCGATCAGCTGGCCAGAGTCGAGTCTGCACCACCCCCGCCCGCCCCCAACTCCAGCGATGAGGTTGTGCTATCACTACAAGCCGCAAAGATTCTGCCAAAAGCGTAAAAGGAGGAAGGATTAATCACAAATGGAAACAGCGAAATACACTGTTTCGCTTCAAAACGCAGATTCATTAGTTCAAATTCGTCGCATTGGTGACAACAAACAAAAACAGCAAAAATCATCACAGTCAACACACACTCGCACACACAATAATTCACAATCACCGCACGCAAACTTCACACCACACCACAGCCACACAACCACGCCTCTCCCCTCGCTGCCCTCTCTCCTTGCTCCCTGACCAATACGCACACACACACACACACAACACAATAAAACATCGACATGGCAGCCCCGCTGTTCACGATTGGCTGCGCGTCTGCAGCGCCTCCCGCGCTTGGGTGAGCTGCTGCTGCAGCTCAAAGTTGTCTCGGTCGAGCTGCTGACTAAACCCATGCAACCGAAGGGTGTTTTGCTGCACCATTGAAAGTTGCAGGTTGAGGTGGTTGTTGGTCTCGGCGACGGAATCGACGCTGCCTTGCATCGAGTTGACGTAAACCTTCTTCTTGATGCGGCACGCCTGCGCGGCCTCTCGGTTCTTTTCGCGTCGCCGTTGGTTGGGGTCGGTGTCGTTGTCGGACGACGATGCGCCGCCGCCTGTCTCGTCGTCGTCGTCGCCATTAAGATCGGTCGTGTCGCCGTCCGAGGTGCCCGCAGCGATGGAGGAGGACGACGAGATGGACGGACGCAGCTGATGCTCGTCCGCCGCCTTGGCGCCGCCAGACCGTGTCCGCGTCGGCCGAGGGCATGGCGTCGTTTTCGCGACAACCGCAGAGGCAATAGCGCTTGGGGGTGAGCTCTTGCCCCCAGTGGAAGAGTTGCTCCGTGTCCGCCGCCGCCCGTTCTGCTGGGCCGCTTGCTTTGCGGCGGCCGCTGCCGACATTTTCGCCGCCCCTCGCGGGCTTTGCCTCGCACCGCCGCGCGGGCTCTTTCGTTTGGGCGCGCCGTAATCTTCGTCGTCGTCATCGTCGTGGTTGGTTGTGGCTGCCACGTCGTCCTCGTCGTCGTCTTCGTCTTCTGGTTCTTCCTCCTCGTCGTTGTTGTTGCTGCTGCTGCTGCTGCTATCGCGGTGGTTGGGTTGGCGATTGTGGTCCTCGTCCATAGGGTCTTGTGAAATGGGTCTTGTGAAATTGACCGTTTGCGGCCGTGGGTTTCGTCGCCGCTCTCGCTGCCCTGGCCCAGACTGTTTCGAACCAGCGCCGCGTTGGCATTGGCCACCACAACGGCAGAGGCAAGGGTCAAGCCACTCGCTGCGGGATGAGACATCCCTCGTGCATTGTTGCTGTTGTTGCTGCTGTTGTTGCTGCTGTTGTTGCTGTTTGGTGGTGCGCGGTGAGGGGAAGGACGGGCAAATCCGTCAAATGTCTGTCCGGCTGCGGATGTTGCGCCAGCAACCGCTTGGAAAAAGCCCAGAGAATTATTGGAAACGTTAAAGCTAGGCGATGCTTGAGCATTCACCCCGCCCAGCGAGTTTTGGGCTGAAAGCAATGTTGGCGGAGGGATGGATTGGCTTTGCAGCGACAACAGCGACGACGACGAGGCCGACGACGCTGGCTGCGTAGGGACGCCGACCGAGCCTTGAAGAAGCTGCTGAGGGACGAAATTCGGCGCAGTGCTGAGAATACTTGGCGACAAGAGCTGCATGGGCGACGGCAGTGTGGAGAGGGACGGGGTTGTCAAGCCGATTGCGAAATTGGGCAAGCTAAAGTTGAACGGGCTGAATGGCTGGGAGAGAGCCCCCGTTCCCGGACCACTGGCACTCGGCATTGCATTCAGGCCAGCACCAGCTGCTGCTGCTGCTGCTGCTGCAATGCCGGCTGGGAAGCTTCCAGCGCCGCTGCTGCTTCCGCCGCTGTTCAGACTCGACTGGGACAAGTTGGACGACGAGAGATTGTTACTGGCAGCAGCAGCAGTAGCCGCAGCAGCAGCCGCAGCCGCAGCAGCACTCGCAGTAACAGCAGGCGCAGAGCCATGCAACAGACCGCCACCGAACGTCGGGGACGAGGCTCGAGAGGTGATTGGACTGGAGCTCAGCGAGGCCAGCGCGACGAGCGTCTCTTGCTCCTTGGCAGATCTGGCAGACCAGTTTGTATTCGGCCGCTTGTTTGGCATCCCCAGTGGAGCATGGCCGCCGGCAGTAGACGCAGCGCTTCCAGAAGTGTGGTTTGGATTGGAACCGGACGAAGCATTGCCCGATCCAGCCACCGCACCGACGCCGGCGCCGGCGCCATGGGCGTCCACGTCTGAAGCAGAGCCACTTGCTGGGAACAGCGGCGGCGGCGGCGGCGGCGGCGGTCGAGCGACAATACTGCCGTTGGCTGAAGGCATTGTGAGAGGGGCGAGCAGAGATTGCTCGGCGGCTCGCTTTCGGCCACGCCCTGGCATCACTCCGGGATCCGCGGGCTGTGCAGGCGATATGGACGAGGTGGTGGCGGTGGGCGCGGGATGAGCGGCAGGGTCGTCGCTGTGGTCGGACGGGGAAGCTTCGAGTTGCTGCTGCTGCAGCTGCGCTTGGCTGCTGCCGCCTTCTGTGGCAGCTGTGGCAGCCGCGGCGATGGCAGCCGAGCGACGCGACCGACGCAGCGACAGTGCCGATGCTGCCGGCCCCGATGCTGCCGAGACCGGGCTTGTCGTCGCAGAGGACGGCGCTGAGGTCGAGCTCGTAGTAGTCGTGGTCGTGATACTGGTTGTAGAATTGAGAGCAGCTGCGATGGCTGGCGCATCCGACGCCGCCGCCGCGGTGGTCTGCATGATGGGCAATGTGCTCAGTGCTGTAGCAGAGGCCGTCGTCGCTGCGGATGGCGTGCTGGACACGGCCGATGATGCTGGTGATGGTTCGACCGTTGCCATTCGTTTTGTTTGTGGTGTGCGAACAATCTCAGAATCTCCGTTGCGCTGGTTTTTTTTTCAATAATGTCAATGCGATGAGGGAGCTTTTGCTGAGGTGGATGTGTGCGTTGCGTAATGGGAAATGTTTGAGTTGTGGAGAATGAAAGAGTGGCGATTATGCAGGAAAACACCAAGAAAAAAAAAAGAAAAAAAAAAAGAATGCTGAGCATCTCAGGAGAGTTCTGTACTTGTTCAATTGATCATCACTTTGAAAGACAAAGGCAATGGGGAACTTATGAGAGAGTAGTAACAACAATGCTGAACAGACCGAGCCGATTTTTGCAGAATCAAACTGTAGAAAACTGACAGCTTTGACAAAAGTTTTGTCACTTTTCGCTATTGGACAAAAGTTTGGTCCCTTTTGAAATGGAATCTGCAGTATGTTTGATTCTAAGTGAATCTATGAAGTTCAAATGGATGGACTCCCGACGTGGAACGCACGGTGTGCCAGATTAACGGATGTTTCTCCGATCCTGAGAGCCTGTTTTCCCCCGATATCCACCATTGCATGTCAGTGTATCGTCGATAAGGATAATCCATGGCAACACAAGGTCATAAAAATCGGACAGACCGAGGGGTGGAGGGTGGGGGGAAGAGCGCAAGCTTGATGCCGGTTGCCGTGACAAATGATGCATGCACCGCTCCAATCTTTCGTTGGCTTCTTTAGGAACTGCTTCGCAACGCGCCGCAAGCGAGAATGCCCACGATCTGTCCAAAAAGCCAAGAAACAAGTATCTGGGCGTCGGTTTCGTCCAAAGTGATGGGCCAGTCGTCTCGCACCTCCTGACGGACGCTTCGTTGATATGGATTCCAGCACTCGCAAGAATACGGATCTTTCAGCCATCTTAGATCAGAAGTAAGGCCTTGTTGTGAGGCCCGAGTGTGAGAGTGCTAGCTGCAGGTGAACGAGGGGGAGGGGTGCCGGCGTTGCTGGAGCGCGCACAGTTGCTGAGACATGTAAACACACGCCTCTACTTCTGCTGCCCTTTTGCTGCCACTCTAACAGAGACCTCGATTGTGCTGCTCACAGGGACCTCTCTTGTGATGAGCTTCGTGGTATCGAGCGTTCCATTGCTGCGCTGGCCGCTTGCCTTGGCGTTACCAAAACGGTTTTCGCGCCATTTTCCAAATCTCTGGTCTCGAATGTTCCCGACGCCAGCCGCTGCGCTGCACTCCTCGAGGTTTTGACTGGTCAAGTCGCCGGCAAGGCGAAGCCAACAGACGAGGAAAAACTCGTCGTCAAGTTGTTGTTCGAGAATTTGGGCTTGCACTCGACGGCGAAATGGACTTGCAAGGCCACCGGCCAACTGCTTCTGGACGTGCTGATTCACGATCTCCAGTCCAAACAGACGGTTGAAGATGCCGCCAACCAAGTTGCAGAAATCAACGCCCAAGTTGCCCACGCCACCAACCAAGCTGCAGACGCCATCGCCCAAGCCAAAATGCGAATTGCAGAAGCCGCCAACCAAGTCGCAGCAGCCCACGCCCAAGTTGCAACAGCCACCAACCAAGTTGAAGCAGCCAACGCCCGAGTTAAAGAACTTTGGGCAAAGAACCGTACGCTCGAAGCCAGAAAGCTAGAACTTGAGGCAAAGGGCAATGGTAGGTCTTGTTCGCTGAGCAGTTGCTACTCTGGTTGCGCGGATTCTTGTTCCTAATGTATTGACGTGTATCTGTATTTGAAGTGTGTTCACTCGTCGCTTTGTATTAGTTCCACGAAGATACGAGTAATGGGTTGATGATGAGAGTAATAATAGGAAAGAAGAGACTTTACTAATACAAAGCGACGAGTGAACACACTCCAAATACAGAGACACATCAATCCATAACAGTTTCGTCCAAAGTGATGGGCCAGTCGTCACACTTCGTCGGCAAAACCATCCAAACTCCATTCTCGTGTTCTCCTGCTGACGGACGCTTCGTTGATTATGGATTCCACCACTCGCAAGAATACGGATCTTTCAGCCATCTTAGATCAGACGTAAGTCCTTGTTGTGAGGCCCGAGTGTGAGAGTGCTAGCTGCAGGTGAACGAGGGGGAGGGGTGCCGGCGTTGCTGGAGCGCGCACAGTTGCTGAGACATGTAAACACACGCCTCTACTTCTGCTGCCCTTTTGCTGCCACTCTAACAGAGACCTCCCTTGTGTTGCTCACAGGGACCTCTCTTGTGGTGCTGATGAGCTTCGTGGTATCGAGCGCTCCATTGCTGCGCTGGCCGCTTGCCTTGGCGTTGCCAAAACGGTTTTCGTGCCATTTTCCAAATCTCTGGTCTCGAATGTTCCCGACGCCAGCCGCTGCGCTGCACTACTCAAGGCCTTGACTGGTCAAGTCGCCGGCAAGGCGAAGCCAACAGGCGAGGAAAAACTCGTCGTCAAGTTGTTGTTCGAGAATCTGGGCTTGCACTCGACGGCGAAATGGACTTGCAATGTCACCGGCCAACTGCTTCTGGACGTGCTGGTTCACGATCTCCAGTCCAAACAGACGGTTGAAGATGCCGCCAACCAAGTTGCAGAAGCCAACGCCCAAGTTGCAAAAGCCGCCAACCAAGTTGCAGAAATCAACGCCCAAGCCCAAATGCAAATTGCAACAGCCACCAACCAAGTTGAAGCAGCCAACGCCCGAGTTAAAGAACTTTGGGCAAAGAACCGTACGCTCGAAGCCAGAAAGCTAGAACTTGAGGCAAAGGGCAATGGTAGGTCTTGTTCGCTGAGCAGTTGCTACTCTGGTTGCGCGGATTCTTGTTACTAATGTTGTGTGATGACAGCAAACCCCGCCACTTTCCCGCTCTACGGTGTCAACTTGACAGCTAAGTGGCTTCTCACTCGCCCGGAGCTGCAAGAGAAAATTGTCAACGCCGGCGATCGAGTTCTAGTCACTGCACCTCCAATTCACGCACTGCCCCAAAACCTCGAACTGTGCTATTGAGCATTTTCTTTTGTTCTTTTTTTTTGATGTCGCCCTTGCTTGTTGTTGAATTTTGTCCGTAGATCTACCCCCTGCTTGTCGTTTTGTTCTGTTCCAACCTCTTTACTTATTACATGATTTCTTTCTTGCGAAAGAACCAAGATGGAAAAACTCTGAGCATCTTCGAACGCCTTCCAACAGGTTTCCAGTTGCTTTCGTGTGTTCATGTGGCGATTTGACTTTTTGTTCTGCTTTTTCTATTGTAATAGTTTGTTGCTTATTTCTTAGTTCTAATCCCACTCTTCTCTTCTTCTCTCTCAGATAACAAGATGCTGCAGAAACTGACGCCTGAAGCGCGCACGGCCAAGCTTGCTCAGCTGCCCGGCTGGAACGAGGTCAGCGCAGCCCCCTCCCCCTCCCCTTCCCTCTAAACCCGCTCTCCCCATTCGACACACATACTTCAGCGATACGCACTCTGGGAGTGGAGCGCTGGGGGTCCGGGATCTGTGTGGATTTGGAGATCAAGTCACGACTTCTCCCCTAAACTCTGTGGTATACTGATAGACCGACCCCAGCACTCAGCCAAGAGCTCATTTTGGATTTGCTTGCTTTGTTGCTTGTTGCTTTCCTTTGCTGAATGGCAGGTTGCTGGACGCGACGCGATTCGCAAGGACTTTGTGTTTGCCGACTTCAACCAAGCGTTCGGATTCATGACGCGCATTGCACTCAAGGCAGACAAGATGGACCACCATCCAGAGTGGTTTAACGTCTACAACCAAGTCCACATCACCCTGAGCACCCACGATTGCGGAGGTCTCTCCGAACGTGACATTACCCTCGCAACCTTCATCGAGTCGGTCGCTGCAGAGTCGCGCGCCAAGTGAGACACAAACCGTTGCAAGGCTTTCACAAGCACACTACCAGACTGCGCTAGTTGCAGAGAAAGTGTGCAGTGTTGGATCTGCGTTTTTGACTGTTGGAGATGTGGAAATGAAGGCAAAAAGAGGGTGCTCTTTGTTTTTGTGAAGCAACAAATCAAAAAGTAACACAAGCGTTCACTGCTGCTTGGATTTTCGCTTGATTTTCTCGCTGAGCGCGGGGCTGGAAATGTTGTGAGCAATGATACGGTCTGTCACGGCCTTGTCCAAGCGCGGATGAGCTGTACGCATGTTTGAGGAGGTCGAAAAGTGAGTTGTTGAGCCCCAATCACGACAAAACCCGGCACAGCCACACGAGGCTTCAGTACCAATAGTCTTCTCCGTGGCTGTCTTGACCTTGGTCATGTAGTGCTTTATCCGTGCCTGTTGTTCACGAGCGTGAGCGACGACCGGCGGTTACGCAAAGATTTCGAATAAATCCAATCTCGGCAAACGCGAATCCACGCATGACCTACAAGCTCGTTCTTGACGGGGTGGTCTTCGGGAGCTGTGCCTTGAGCATTGAGATACACTGTGCAACAACCAGAGCAAGCAAGATGGCAGCGCGGCAAAATTGAGCCAAAGGTACTGAGCCACAGCTTTGTAATATCACGCTCCTTCGCTGGATCGACAATTCGGCGGTGGATGCAACACCGTAGACGACAATGTTGGAGCATCTTATTGAAAACATCCATTCGGCTAGTGGAGGCGGGGAGGACATGGTGGTTTGCCACATGGAAGCCGAGTGGAACCAGCGCCCTGCTCCCCCCCCCCGCGCGCGCTCCCGTCCATCCCGTCCATCATCCCAAAATGCAAGCATGCCAATATGGACATTGCAGCATCCAGCTGGTACGCGGCGGTGGCGGTGGCGGTGGTGGTTGTGCGCCCGCCCATGCACCGATGTTGAGACTTACTCCAGAACATGCTGTTGGCAGTGAATGCGAGCGCAAGTTCGAGCCGCGCCAGTTCGAGAGGCTTGTCTGCGAGCTTTGCACGGAGATCTGCAGCGGGCGCCTTGAGCAAAGGGTTGAGCATCGCCTCGAGGTTGTCGACTGCGGCCGTGAACGCGTCCACCTGCTCGGCAATCTCCTCAGGCACTGCGGCGACGGCCTTGCTATTGCCATTACTACTAGTAATACTACTGCTACTACTACTGCTAATGCTACTACTAGTAGTAGTATTGCTATTATTCTTATTGCTGCGATTCGAGCTCATCGTTCAATATGCTCCACAAAGAAAACCGAAAGAGTGAGCTTGTCCGTTTCGGTTTTTGCAACGTCGCTCTCTCTCTCTCTCTCTCAACTGATTGATTAGCGCTACTTGCTGAGTACGAGCGATTACTCGAGTCGTTGGAGGCGAAGAGGACAGCAGTCTTCCTCTTCCATTCACAAACCATACAATGTCTGCGGACGATCAGTTGGATTCGCTGCTCGATGGTAAACGATTTTGAAAAAACAAAATAAGCGAAAAGGAATACACACTTTACGCTATTGTGCAAAAAGACTGAAGGGGGGGGGGGAACAGTGCTCGAGCGATGAGAGCTGATCTGAGGCAAACGCGTCCACTTTGGTAGAGGCGCTCGAGGGCTTTGACGAAGCTGCTGCTGCTGCCCCGACGTCATCTGGCAAGAGCACGCAACCCGAGTCCAATGCTGCTGCTGCTGCTGCTGCTGCTAAACCCGCTGCGGCGGAACGAGCCGACGCACAGCAGCCGGCGGGCGATTCAGACGAGGACTTTGAGAACTCGGCGCTGGCGGCACAGTTCCAGCAGCAGCTGCTTGCCATGATGCAGGAGATGGCTGGCACGTCGGAGCTTGATCCCGAGCACGCAGCGCGCTTGTCGGAAGGCCTCGCGAGCATGGCCGCAGCAGACGCCAAGCTGCCTCGAGCTGGAGCTTCTTCTGCTTCCTCAGCGTCTGGCGCATCAAAGCCGAGCACCAATCCATTTGAACAGGCAATCCACGAGATGCAGCAAAACAGCCAACAACTGGTAAGGTCGGATGGTGGCGGCGGTGGTGGTGGAATGGTGGAGCAAGCAAATGCTAACTTGTGCTAACTTGTGCTAACTTGTGCCAACTTGTGCCAACGAAACCTTGCTATGCAGAATAACGACGAGACGATGGGCATGGGCGAAGATGCAATCGATGCGCTGGCCGAGCAGCTCTTGGCTGGCATGGGCGGCCTTGGCGGCGGCGACGACGACGATGACGATGCAGGCGGCATGCAGGCAATGATGGAAAAGATGATGGAGACGGTGCTCAACAAGGATGTTCTGTACCAACCGATGAAGTCGTTGAGCGAGCGAGTAAGCCCGCATCATTGGGATGCAGACGTTGTTTTTGGGATGGCTGATTGTATTTCGCCTGTCACTCACCGTTCCCGCAACTTCCCCCCCCCCTTTTTTTTTGTCTCCATTCGCCTTTACCAGTATCCAGAGTATCTGCGCGAGAACGCCACCAAGATTTCGGCTGAAGACAAGACTCGGTACGAGCTACAACTTGTGTGCATGCATAAAATCGTCGCCACGTTCGAGCGGACATCCGAGTCGTCTTCGTACAAGGAGATTCTCGAATTGGTTCAAGAGGTAAGATTGCACCCGGGAGCAGTATCGGTCAACTTGAGGTGCTTTTGACAAGCTGGGATGAGCAAAGCTCACGGTGACTTTATGTGCTTTTTTTGTTGTGTTCTGGCGATGCGTGCGCAACTCGGGGCGGGGGGATTGAAATGGGTGATGAATTCTACTAGATGCAAGAGCATGGATCTCCACCGCCAGAAATCTTTGCCGAATTGGTACGCGAGAGAAACAGTTGGAAATGCAGGGGGCGGGTGTTCTCGCGTGCGCGTTGCTCATGGTGGTGAAATGCTGCATTTATTTTGGCTTGGCAACACTCGACAGTTCCCCGATATGCCAGCCAGCGGTGGCCCACTAGGAGCCTTGGGAATGGGCGGTCCAGGTGGAGCAGACCAAGCGGCCTGCACCATCATGTAATCATGTAGCCGTGCTGGTCGTTTTTGTTGTTCGAATCACTTGAACATGTTCGATTGATAGTACACCAATTCTTGAATGCTTTCTTTAATGTCGTCGAGTGCTCTGTTTCAGTTTGCATGTAAAATTCGAGAGTTGAGTGTTCTCTTTCAGCAAATTCCAGCCCGAAAACTGCAATGGCAGAGCAAAAAGCGATGCCAAAAAGGAGAGATGAGTACCTGTGCAACCCTTGCTTTGGAGGTGCGTTCGCGAAAATCGCAGGATACCAGCGACTGGAGCCAAACAACCATCGGTAACCGTCAGTATCGGCATACAGAATCACTCTTCACCCCCACCCCACCCCCGATCACAAACGAGTTGATGGAGCTTGTTTTACTACTCACCGGCAAAGCTCCTTCAGCGTCGAGACGTCAATCAAGCGGTAATGCAGGTGCGCTGAGAATTTGGGCATGTAGCGATCGAGGAAGCGCTTGTCCATGTGGATGGTGTTGCCAGCAAGCACGCAGCCCTTGCTTGTGTGTTCCCGCACGAACGCGAGCATGACCTCCTCGGCCTCAGCGAGCGACGTGGTGGATGCGCGGACTGCAGCGGTCAGTCCGGATGCGCCGTGATGCTCCTTGCACCAGTCGTTCATGCGATCAAGGACCTCGTCTGGCTGGTGAATGATGATATCAGGGCCCTGTCATGTACAAAGCATCAGTATTGCATCCACAACATATTCACATTCATACGGGTGCGAGTGGATGGATGAGCAAAAGACCTCAAACCCAAGTACAGCCAAATACAACCAAAGCCTTGTTTTTTGTACCTCAGCGAGAATGTTGCCGCGCGAGTCGGTGACGATGCAGGCCATTTCAATGATGGTCTCTGTACTGACATCGAGTCCTGGTCCAAGCCGAAAGGCGCAAACAACCGCCCTTTTGAGCGTTGTTTCAACAACTTCGACCAGTACTTTGACTCCAACCTTCACTCAAGCCTCCTCCTCTCAACAGACAATACAGAAAGCCTCCTTCCCAACAAGCGCACCGGTCATTTCGAGATCGACCCAAATCATCCGCGTCGACAAGTCTTCCATCTTTTTGGACAAATTTCACGTTGAACTGTGAAGACTGAGCGGTAGATATCTACGAATCTGAGCAACTCTCAGTCAGTCGTTTCTTTTTTTGGTTTTGCTCGCTGCTCATTCCCTCTTTTTCTTTCTGAACACTGTCGGAGGGGCGTCTGACCTTTGCTAGTCATTCCCTTGTGATTGAGCTCGCTTTTGGCTTTTTGGACGGCAGCAAGCGACATCAACAATGAGCACCCAAGCACCAGTGCTCTCGCTGGCCAAGATTGCCTCGGCCGAGCAGTGGACCAAGCCGACCAAGCGCTGGGTGGGTTTTCCAATCCAACAGAGATGCCATTTGGGGCGAGGACTGGCTGAGGACTGGTTGAGGTTGAGGTTGGGCTGCTTGAGGCTTGTTTGGGCGGAGAGCTTTACCGGTGCTTGCAATCCCGACCTCAGCGCCATCGTGTTGACCTCAGATGGTTGCCGCAGTGCTAAAGTGCTGAAGTTGGGATGAAGAGAGTGTGTGTGGGACAGGATGAAGAGTGAGTGAGGGAGGGAGGGAGAGAGAGAGAGAACCCATTCCCATTCCGCTGCTGCTGCGGGTTACTTGCATCTCCCCGCTCGACCGTCCACCACCACCACCACCGCCGCCGCCTCAGCCTTAGTCGCAGTCGCAGTCCGTCAATTTAGTGATGCAACGCATGGAAAGACCAGCAAAAAAAAAACTCATCACTGATTTCGCTTTGCAAAACAAAATCATCAACAACGGCAGGCTGAAGAATTGGCAGCTTTTTATGTATTCAAAACAAAAAAAAACAAAAAAAAAAAAAAAAAAAAAAAAAACTCACTTTTTCATTTTGTGAAAAACCATTCATGTATTACAGATGTTTGTGATTGAGCTCGTCTGGTCGAACAACACGGCGACAGTCATCTACCGCGACTATGACGCCTTCTTTGACTTTCAGTGCAATTTGCTGGACAAATTTCCGACGGAAGCTGGCTCTGTCAAGGGAACAACGCGCTCCATCCCGTACTTGCCCGGTTTGTTCCCAGCAACCATTGTGCTTTGTTTTGTCATGCCATGCTGCGCGGTCGACCCGAAAGCGGCTCTTTATCACTGACTCACTTGATCTTGGACTTGTGCCTCGTTCGACAGGCAAAGTTCTGTTTAACGCAAACTCCAAAGCAGTTGCCGAGAAACGTGTCGAGGAGTTGAACGAATATATCGAAGTGAGTGCGCCGCTGAGCTGAGCTGAGCTAGGATCAAAAAAGGGAGATGGAGGTGGGGAAACAACGCCTTGTCCCTGCATTCTGACATGAACCACTTCCTTGAAAAAAAAAAAACCACTTCCTTTTGCGAGTAGAAATTGCTAAAACTGCCAAGCGCCCTGCTAGACGACACTCTAACCCGCCAGTTCTTTGCACAACAAGCACACGATCAAACGCCCGCGCAAGGAGCTGCGGCGGCTGTGATTGGAGACACTGGCAGCTCATCCCCTGGCAGTGTCGGAGCGCTGTCCGTCTCCGGCTCGCGCTCGTCGCTTGACACGGCCGTCCCTCGTACCGGTAGTGGATCTCGCCTCTTTTCAAGAAAGCGCGATTCCAAGCTGTCAGCCGCGTCAGGTAGGTGGTAGGGGGAGGGGGGGGGTCAAGGGCGTTTAGGTTTGTATTCGGTGTTTTCTTTGTGTCTTCGCGCTCTTTTTCTTCGGCTCACTTGTCAAGTCTTCAGCACCTGCCGTTGAGGAGGTGGAAATGACAGACAACCCACTGACAAGACCAGCGACGACGGCAGAAGCGGTGGAGAACTAAGCCTTCTGGACTTCAAGCATGTGTGTACTCTTTGTGTGTGACGCAAAAACCGCGCGCGAAAATGACGGGGGAAAGGCTGGTTCTTTTTTTATTGTTGTCACGCGCGCGCATTCCATTCTCTCCCGTTGGGTTCTCGGGTTTGATGCCTTTGTTGACAAAATTGGTGGCCATGATTGGCGTGAAATACAATTTCATTACTACTACGATATCAAAGATCGTCATACCGATTAGTTCACAGACACACTTTCCTCTCTCTCACACACTCTCTCACTCACTCAAACGTAGGGCGCAACAAATTGCAACTAATATTCACGACCGACAGCGGTCTGCACTCATTCCAGCTTGCTGAGATGGATTTGGGAGACTTTGCTGGCCGAACACCAACTGGCGACAGTGCGATGGCACTCCTTGTGACAGATCGTTCGACACTCGCGGCATTGGTACCCTTGTTTGCCGAAGGATCCCTTTAATGATTGATTGCAGACTGCACACGACTCCTTGGAGGGGAAGTGGGTGGCGACGAACGTGTGTCCGTTGCAAACATGCAGTTTGGTGGCTTTGGCAGGCGCCTTCTTTCCCGAGGTCTTGTCGGGAACGAGGTGGATGAGATGGACGTTGCTGTTATCCTCGGTAGGAACGCTGACTTCGTACAACAGGTACGACCGCTTCTTCTCGCCCAAGTCCTCGGTTGTGAGTGCGACGCTCAACTCGGCAAGGTCCAGCGTCGATCCCGTTTCCGACCCGAGAGCAGACATGGTTGAGTCTGCAAAAGCAATCGGAGGAAAAGTGAGCCCGAGATTCCACTACATTTGTCAAAACCGACAGATGGACTTTTTTTTGTTTTGTGTTTGTTGTTGTTACCTGCACTCGCATCCGAGCCACGACGTCCGAAAAAGCCGCTTCGACGGTTCGTACTCTTGGTGCTGGAACGAGCGCTCTCGTTTCTCGTAAACGGGTGCGAGGACTCGGGAAGTCCAAGTTGCGAGCCAGGCACGCTCTTGCCTGACGGAGTGGCAGAACTCGAAGATGCGGTCGAGGCGAATGACGGGGCTGAGAGAGCTGGGGTAGACGCTGTCAATCCCGAAGGTAATCGCATTGATGCAACACTCGGGGCGCTCGAAGTGGGCGTGACAGCCAGGCTTGTTGGGCCAGAGTTGCCCCCCTCGTGTGGGCGCGCGCTGGTCGGCGTTGACAACGCGGACATGGACGTCGTCGAGCTCAAGCCTGTCGCAGAGGCCACGGATAGACCTGAGCTCGACTCGGTGACTGCTCTATGAGAGCGGGGACTTCGACTGGCGTCGTCGAGCGACGTGGATGACGAAGTATTTTCGAGAGGCTTGTTCAAGAATTGCTTGCGTGCACCCTGTTGTCGACCACCACCACCACCACCACCACCCCATTTACAACAAAGAATGGACAAGATCACGAATGTGAGCGAGGTATCAACAACAGCAACAAAACAAAAACAAAACAAACAAAAAAAAAAAAAAACGACATACGTCAAGATTGTCAAGCCCGAACTGGAGGGTGAGTGTGCCAGTCACGTCCCCAAGGTCTTCACCAGCGCGAGGCCCAAGTTGGAACTTGCGCGTAAACGAGGCTGAATGGGCAGGCAAACTGGCAAGAGGGATGACCACACAACCGAGGAAATCGTCCTTGCCAATGCGATCCTTGTCAAACAGCTCGATCGTCAGTGAGCGGCACTCAGCCGTCAAGCGCAGCACACACTCTTCGTCCCAACGGGGGTTGAGGCTTTTTCGCACAATGCGGGTGCGGAAGGTTTGATCGGGAGCTGGCCCAACCGTGAGAATGCAGTACGGATCGCTCAGGCCGTTTCGATCCTTGGCTGCCAAGCCCGCAGCCTCGACGACGCGTATCCGAATGTTGTCTAGGTGAATGGCTGTAAACTTTCGGAGACGGAACTCGTCAGCCTTGCTCGAAGTTTGCGAAGCAAGACAGCTTTCGAGGATGGTGGTCAGCAGGCTGGAGGACGTCAGGCCGTCGGCTGGCACCACATGCTGACCCGGCCACAGCAATGCCGCGCTAATCATTTTCGCGACATGGGCAGTAAATGCGTTTCCGACATGTGCGAGCGCCCTGCCCGTGCTGGCCAACGAGACTTCAAAGTCGAGGACTGGCTCCGCGGTTGCAGACACGAGGATTTGGTAGGGAGCGGCATTTCTCCAGACAAATCGCAGCTGTTCCCAGAGCACGAGCATGACACGAATGCGTGTGAGGCGATGAACAACCAACAAGCATCAAACACCAAGTCCTCGCTCATTCCGACACCCCTCGCGAAACCAAGAACCAAGGTGTGGAGGGGTCGTACCGGAAGGGTAAACTGCCGAACGTTGACGACAATGTGGGTGGCCACGGGCAGCGAGCCAGCGCTGAGCGGAAGGGCAGCGCTCATTTGAATCTTGAGGTCGGAGCTCGCGGTCGCCAACGACGCATCTGGGGCAGTATATGAAAGTGACACGTCGAATCCCTGCAGGTCCGAGCAAAATACATCGAAGAACAAGTGAATGGCAAGAACAGAGATATTCGCTTGAACTTAGCTTCACAATCAAACGAGCGTAAACGTCACACCTGCGAATCCCACGCAATGCCATCGGCACGTTTCAGCCATTGAATTGATGAGATGACTGGCTGAGTTGAGCCCAGTTGCATGTCATGCACAAACATGACAGCCTAGCAAACAACCAAAAAAAAAAAAAAACAAAAAAAACAAAGTCAAGCAGGTCAACAATCCAATAAGAATTCCACAAACGCACAATCACACAAAATGCACAACGCTTGGTGACTTTGCGAATCCAACAACAGAATTTCACCACAAGCACGAGCAGCAAGCTTAGCTTGGAACTGTACCGAGTCCATTCCGCGCGCCTGCAGGTCTTTGAGCATGGCATTCAGAACGAGGAGTGCGCAGCCGCTCAGTTCACGGCTCGCGGCTGCTCCGTGCATCACCACTCGCGCCAGCCGGAGCAGCCAGTCGCATGTCTCGGGCGCCCTGTCTGAATCCGGCACCAGCGGCGTATTGCAGATCAACTGCGCAGGCAGACCAAGGCTCGCAGCCGCCGAAGCGAACATTGCCGCTCCTCCAAACTCGCCAGCAGCAGCGTCCAACGGCGTGCCAGGGCGACTGCCGCTGAGGCTGGCGCTAAACCCACTCGCCGGTCGGCTGGTGAGTGCCGAGGCTGGGGCGGCCAGCGGACTGGTCGGAGGCGTCGACAGTGTAATCTGCGGGTTTGGCGATCCGGGCTGGTGATGGTTGCCAGTGCTCGGGTGCTGCGTCCACTTGACGAGCAGCACATAGATCAAGTAGCCTGCTGTGATGGCAATGACGACCGCCAGTCCGCTCGCATAGAGTGACATTTGGGCGAAAAAAAAAAAAAAAAAAAAAAAAAAAAGGGATCAAAATGTAACAAATTTGTGAACTGAACTTTGTCAAAAACGAACTGTTTAGGCTTCTCGTTTTGTTTGTTGGTTTGGGATCTGATTTCTGCCCAATTCCGACACGAGACCATTCCGCGTTTGAGAAACATGTTCGCGGATGAAAATCGAGTCAAGGGTCTCGTCGACAGCTTCGGCATCGGCTGAAAAAAATCCATCAATTGCTTGCAGCATTATGTCTGAGGTTGTGGTCTGGGATTGCGTGTGGCAACAGAAGTTGAAAGAAGGCGTTCGAGAAGTACGAGAAATACGAGAGGAGAGAGAGCGAGAGAGACCAGAAACAAACAAACAAACAAACAGACAAACAAACAAACAGACGAAAAAAAAAAACCAAGTTTACAAATAGGGAAGAAACATGAACACAGGTAACAAACAATACCAAACATACGAAACACAACACAAAAGGAATGCGAAAGCCATCGGGTTAAATAGTGATGATGGTGGGGGGGGGCCATGGATGCAAAGACCCGACAAGAAAATACAAAAGTGGGAGAGCGACGAAAGGAACAAGACTACACACAAGGAAACGAAATGGTGAACGAAAAAGGAGCAAAAAAAAAACAGCCATCCCGCCTCCTTCCCGACAATGAGCAAAAAAAAAAAAAAGGACAAAGCGAAGGGGGGGGGGGCTTGAAAAAATGCCGCTATTGCATAGGGGCAACGCTCCACATCTGGGGGTCGGGAACGCCACCAGTGGCATTTCCCGAGACAGAGGGCAACCTCCAACAGTCGTAGAGACAAGCACTTCACGCAGCAAAAGTCGTTGCATCACGCAAAAGCTCGGAGGCAACTCCAGTCTAGCGCACGTTGGCCACGTACATGGCCGTGTTGTGAGAAGACGAGGGCGTGTAGTCTGCAAAGAATGGGTGCATGAGAGCTTCACGCGGGGTGATGCGCGTATACGGGTCCAAGTCGAGCAGTCGCAGCACGAGGTTCAAAAACTGCTCGTACTCCTCGCGCGAATGGCCCTTCTCGCCCATTCTCCGGCCCAATGGGCCTCCAGTTGCGATTCCTAGAATGTCGGCCAATTGACGCGACCCAGCAGGCAAGAATTGCTGCACAAGGTTCCAAACCAATCAGCATGAGTAAATAACAAACTTTAACAACCGCTTTTTGGCGGCAAAGTGGGGTGTCTACTGCATTGGAGCTCACCTTTGTCTTGTCTTTGGGTGGCCGCAACGCGTACTTGCCAGTTGAGGAGTCGGTGGTAAAGTACATGGATCGCCGTGGGGCTTCTTCCAGCATGGCATCGGGTGGGACGCCACAAACTTCGCAAATTTTCCCGATTTGATCGTACTCGTTCTTGCCTCCGAACAGCGGAGTGCCCGTGTGCATTTCAACGAGAATGCATCCCAACGACCACATGTCGATTGCGACCGTGTAGGGAATACCGAGCAAAACCTCTGGAGAGCGGTAGAATCGGCTCTGAATGTACTTGTATAGCTGTTGTCGGAGCGATGATGAGAAATGTGCAACCAAAATTGAGTTGCAACGAAACAGACAAGGGCAAGACAACAAACAAAAGAAACAAAGGGGGGGGGGAAACAAAACGCGAAGCGAGAAAGCGTACCTTCTCGCCAAATCGACAGGAAGAGCCAAAGTCGATCAGCTTGATGGCGCTCCGTCGAGGATTGCGGAGAAGGATGTTCTCCGGCTTGAGATCGCAGTGGATAATGTTAATCTCGGTCGACGACAGGAAGGCTAACGCGGTTAGGATTTGGTGGGCAAACTTTCGCACAAGATTAACGGAAACGCCGTTGAAATTGTTGTTTCGCAAGAGATCGTAGAGATTGTAAGACAGCATTTCGAAAACCAGGCAAAGATGGTTTCGGAATTCGAAATGGTGTTTCAAACGAACTGATGGCGGTTGGTTGTCAACAACCAGAAAAAGACAAAGCAAAAAAAAAAGAAAAAAAATACATAAATAAACCCAAAAAGAACGTCGGTGAGTGCAGACACGACGACATCCAAGACATTCATCATGCACTCCCAGTCGCATCGCTCACCAATGCAGTGGTTGTCCTCTGGGTCGTTTCTATTCATATACTCGAGAAGCTCGATTTCAATTTTGGCTTGCATCGAAAACGCGTGCTTATTCTTGATGACCTTGATGGCCACCATCTCGTTGGTGTGTCGATCGATTGCTTGCACTACTTGGCCAAAGGAGCCCTTGCCGATCAAGTTGTGAATCTCGTACCGGTCCAGCCAGACCTCGCCTGAGCGCACGATGTAATCGTGATGCTCGTCATCAAAGCCATCATTTGTACGAACGGCCCGCGCTCCACTGCTGGCGCCATTCGAGCCTGCGGAGGCGGAATTTCCGGTCGGCTTGGACTCTGCAGAGGCCGCGGCATCCGCGGACGCTTTCGTTGAGGATGATGCCGACGCGGGTGCTGCAGCCTTGCCGGAAGGGTTGGCTTGCCGCTTGTTTTTCGCAGAGTAGTAACGCTCGTTGATGTGCTTGTAGGTGGCAATCAGCTCCACGCTCAGTCTGTTAACAGGTGCAACATTGCGCAGTCGTCGCGAAACAAACCCAGGGGCTAGAATCGCAGGCGCAGTGCTGGTCGATGGTGTCCCCGATGAGGAAGTCGGAGGACTTGCCGCAGCAGCCATCGTTTGGTCGTATAAGTGTGTTAGTTGTTGTTGCTGCTGCTGCAGTTGCTGTGGTGGTTGTGATGGTGGTTGTGGCTGTTGTGGTTGTTGCGGCTGTTGTTGTTGTTGTTGTTGTTGTGGTTGTGGTAGTTGTTGTTGGTGATGCTGCTGCTGCTGCTGCTGCTGTTGTTGTTGGAGTTGTATCAAGGAAAGAGATTGCTGAGACGGTACGGGAGACGGTTGTAGCGCATGCTGTTGGACTTGCTGTTGGACTTGCTGCTGCAATTGCTGCTGCCGTGCTGCTGCCCGGGTAGTAGCCCCGTTGGACATCGGAGCAACGCCGTTCATCGAAGCAGCTGATGATGGCGGGGAGCCGAGAATCATCGCTGAGCTGGTGGAGGTGCCTGGGGACGAAGAGTAGATTGACATGGGGGCGCTGCTGGCTTCGATTTCGCCACTCCCCCGATTACTTCCCGACATGGCTTGTCAAAGACTAGATCGAACGGCTCTTTCGCGCGCTCACCCGCAAACGACGGCAGGGATTGGAAGAGGTGATGGGGCGCGTTGGAGTGTCTCAGTGGTGCGGGTGCTTGGCAACGAGCCAAGGATTGGACAAGAGAATCACGTCCACGAAACAAGAACACAGACTGTGAAGCACGATGGCGAGTGCAGATCACCAAAACGGGAATGCTGGCACGGAGATGAGGATCTGGCAGGTTGGATCAGAGTCATGAGAGAGGGAAAAAAAAAAACGGTCAGCATGTCGCCATCGTGATCAGCACAAGATCACAAAGTAAGAAACGACAAGACGATCAGCAGATCACGGCGGGAGAACAAAGTGGAATCCTTGATCACTTCAATGCCCAAGCCCGCCCCTTCTCATCACCGAATGAGTGAACGAATGAAAAGGATAAAAAAAATTCATCAAATGCTAGTGCGAAAAAAAAAAAAAAAAAAAAAAAAAAAAGGCGCAAAAATCAAACAGACAAAAATTTGAAAAAAAAAATCGAACTAGAAAAAAAAAAAAGCAAAGTAGAGTAGAAAAAAAATCGACAGCGTTTATCGAGACAAAGACCTGCCTCCACCAGCACCACCCCCACAGGAACAAGCAGTGTACGTCTCGTCAAGGATGTGTCAAGCGAGCTGCAAGAGCACCAGGAGCCTCAAGGCACAGCCGAAAATACAGAACGAAAGAGAGCACAACGAAAAGTAACGACGAAATAATTTGAATTTTTTTTTTGTGTGTGTGCACTTGCTTTCTTGTTGGCTGCGATCACCCAAGCGTGGGCTTGCGAGACTACGTTCGCACAATCTCGTCAACCAGACACTTGCAAATACATCCATACTGGCGCTCAAGCTCGGCCGCGTGAGAAGCGCGTGCTGGCTGCTGGGCTGCTGGATCTAGAGCCGAGCCAAGCAAGCCAAAAAAAAAAAAAAAAAAAAACGGCGCGAAAACTCTTTTTCGTAGCGGTCATCATTCTCAGTCGCCGTGCATGGAACGGCAGCCTGTGCCCGCGACGAGCCCAAGCCCAGCACGCATCACCACCATAGAAGCCATGCTGGCCTTCGGAAGCGGCTGGCGCAACGCTGGCCCTGGCAGCGAAAAATAGCGTGACAAAGGGCGAAGTGTCTTTTTTTTTTTTCTTTTCTTTTTTTTTTTTTTTGTTTTTTGTTCTTGCAACCATACAACTTTTTTTTTTTTTTTTTTTTTTGGTTGGTTGCTGAGACCGAAATTTAAGCAGGTTGCTCCCAGCGGCACGCTGCACGACCTTGCCCAGGCCCCTGCCCGTTGTGCGGCACGGGAATGCTCGTTGCACAATGCGACGGTACACATGGGGTTTGTCTCGGAAGCGCTGCATCAAAAAAAAAAGGGCCAGCACAGCAAAAGCAGACGGGAAAAGACGGGAAAAAAAAAAAAAAAAAGCTGCAAAAGTTCATTGAAGCTGCAACGCCGAGTCCCGCCACAACCCCCACCCACCCCCTTTCCCTACCATGGGGAGAGACGCAAAGCAAAAAAAGGCTGTGCGCCAGACGCCCAGAACTGGTCTCCCTCTTGCCCTCCCTCGTCAGCTGGCAGTTCTACGCATCGAAGCGACGAACGGGAAAAGAAAAAATCGTTTCAACCAATTTCAAACTCACTGCTGAACAGAGAACAAATGGCGGGAAGCAAGATGAACGACTAGCATGTTTCGAGCTCGTTTAGGAAATTCGAAAAAATATGTTAGTTGCGTTTTGAGGTGCCAGTTCTGGTAGTCTGAGTGTCAGCAAGAGCAAGGAAGATAGCGAAAGGAAATGGGTACACGGAAAAAAAAAAAAAAAAAAAAAAAAAAAAAAAAAGAGGCATCTCGATGCAAACAGCAGAAACCCAATTATCGACCTCACGACTAGTAATACATGCACATGACCAGCTGGGAAGGGAAGGGTGCCCCGAGAAGTATGAAACGAAACAAAAACGGATGGAGAACGAGCCATTTGCATTTTCGACCGCCAACGCACAAGTCGCACAAGTCGCACCAGCGGAATGGAACAGTGCTTACAAGAGCTATCGCACGCAAAGAGCAACACCAACTACAGGACGGAAAAAAAAAGAAGAAAAAGTGGTGGGAACGGACAAAGGACGAACAAGTCTTCAAAGGCCAAGCTTTTGAAGCTTTTACATGGCGTACTTTCGGGTCCATTCCTTGGCAAGAGCCTCGTAACGTGGACGATCTGACTTGTACATGTGCGCAATCTCGGGCACAAGTGGGTCGTCGGGGTTGGGGTCGGTCAGCATTGAGCAGATCGACAAAAGGACTAGCAAAAAAAGGGACAAAAAAAAAAAAACTGCGATGAGTGACTGCAACCCCACAACTTTTTCTACGGAATAGAATCAACAAGCATTCACTGTGGCAAAAGCAACTTACCCTTAGAAATGGTCAACGCTGGACTCCACTGGTCACGTAAGATATCCAAGCAGATGCTGCCGTTGCTGTTGATGTTGGGATGGTAAATCCTAGTTGTGAAGCTCACCTGTGTGGGCAAGGCACGCACGCGAGTGAGAACAACGCTACAGAGGGACAACAGGACAGCCACGGTTGACGGAGATTCGAGTTCAAAGAGAGGCAAAGACCCTACCTTCGGAGGCTTGAAGGGGTAGTCTGTGGGGAAGTGAATCGACAGGAAGAAGACACCGCCAGTGTAGGGGCTGTCCGGCTGTTGTAATGACAAGAAGCGGGCAAAGACGAGCAGAGGAGAGCGACACGAAATGAGTGAATGAAGGTGAGTTTGGAGAAAAAAAAAATACAACCAAAAAAGAAACCCGGGAAAAAAAAAAACTTACGGGGCCCATAATAGTGGCTTGCCAGTGAAATACTGTTGTTGCCAAGAAACATCATTGTACGGTTATCAACGAGCCAAGTGAGCATCACAAAGGGCAAATGATAACGACAGCAAAAAGGAGAATAAAAAAAAAAGTGATTGAGCAAAAAGGAAGGGCACAGGAGAGACTTACGGTCCTCGCCGACGGGGCCAGCGCTGCAGTTCGAGGGTGGGTCACGACCAAGGTCTTGCAGTTCCTGGGAGTCAACGAGTGGAACACGAACGGTGAGCTCAAGTCGGCAACCGAAAGAGACAAAAAAAAAAAAAAAAAAAAAAGACGGAAAAGAAAAATCGAGAAGGCAACCGAACAACAAACAGAGCGCACCGCTCGGAGAATGGCGACGAGAGCACCGCGTGTAGGAACACGACCCACGCTTTGAGACATGACCGACTCTAGCGAGCGGCGAAACTGGTTGGCTTTGAGAGAAGTGTTCCCTGTTTTTCTCTTCTTTTTTTTTTTCTGTTTGCGGATCTGGCTTTTTTTTTTTTTTTTGTTCTTTTTTTCTTTCTTTTTTTCGCTGTTATTTCACAACACTCGTCCGCCCGCTGCGACAACTGTTGGAAGGTGCTCACTTTGCCAAGGCGGCGATGAAGAGTACCAGTGCTACCCTGGCCATAGCGGGCGGCGATGAAGAGTACCAGTGCTACCCTGGCCATAGCGGGTGTCGAGGCGGTGGGGCGGAACACCAGAGCGGAGCATCATGTTCAAGAAAGTGTTGGCTGTGCAAAAAAAAAAAAAAAAAAAAAAAGAGTTGCTTCAAGCTGCTGCTGGGCGCCCTTTTATATGGCGCGCCGGATCTCTGACGCAGTCGCAGGGCTCAAAATAGCGCGCTCAAAATAGCGCCCATGGCATCACCCCAGACCAAATGGACGCAGCCATAGTGTGCGAAAGAGCCGCGCAGCAGCAGATCCAAACACAAGGCGATGGACAGAAATACAAACCTTGTTGATGCGCTTTAAAGCCATGACGCTGAAGTGATGTTTTTTCCTGTTGTGAGTGGACTGCACACGACGGTTTTTTTTTTTTTGGTCTTTTTTTTTTTTTTTTTTTTTGGTTTTTTTTTTTTTGGTTTTTTTTTTTTTTTTCGTTTCAATCCATGCTTTTTTTGGGTTTCAGCGCTTTTGTTTGGGTCGGTTGGACAAGCGACAAAAACGGGCCTCCGATATCAACAAGTGTTTAACCCAGTCATTTAGGAAAAGCAGAGGAGAGGAGGGGAAGGAGGTGGCGAGCAGGCATAAGTCAAAGTCAAAGAGCTGCTTCTTATGCATTGATTCACTTGGCTCTTTCACAAGAAAGAAACCGTGTGCTAGGTAAAGAAGCGGGGTGGCATTCGTGATTGATAGCAACAAAACAAAACGACAAGCAGGGGGTAGATCTACGGACAAAATTCAACAACAAGCAAGGGCGACATCAAAAAAAAAGAACAAAAGAAAATGCTCAATAGCACAGTTCGAGGTTTTGGGGCAATGCGTGAATTGGAGGTGCAGTGACTAGAACTCGATCGCCGGCGTTGACTATTTTCTCTTGCAGCTCCGGGCGAGTGAGAAGCCACTTGTCGACATCAGGTGTCAAGTTGACACCGTGGAGCTGGGGAACGGGCGGGAAAGTTGCGGGGTTTGCTGTCATCACACAACATTAGGAACAAGAATCCGCGCAACCAGAGTAGCAACTGCTCAGCGAACAAGACCTACCATTGCCCTTTGCCTCAAGTTCTAGCTTTCTGGCTTCGAGCGTACGGTTCTTTGCCCAAAGTTCTTTAACTCGGGCGTTGGCTGCTTCAACTTGGTTGGTGGCTGTTGCAACTTGGGCGTTGGCTGCTGCGACTTGGTTGGCGGCTTCTGCAATTCGCATTTTGGCTTGGGCGATGGCTTCTGCAGCTTGGTTGGTGGCGCGGGCAACTTGGTTGGCGGCGTCTTCAGCCGTCTTTTTGGACTTGAGATCGTGAACCAGCGTAACCAGAAGCAGTTTGCCAGTGGCCTTGCATTGCGCGATGCCTTCCGCAGCCAAGTGCAAGCCCAGATTCTCGAACAACAACTTGACGACGAGTTTTTCCTCGCCTGTTGGCTTCGCCTTGCCGGCGACTTGACCAGTCAAAACCTCGAGGAGTGCAGCGCAGCGGCTGGCGTCGGGAACATTCGAGACCAGAGATTTGGAAAATGGCGCGAAAACCGTTTTGGCAACGCCAAGGCAAGCGGCCAGCGCAGCAATGGAGCGCTGGATACCACGAAGCTCATCAGCACCACAAGAGAGGTCCCTGTGAGCAGCACAAGGGAGGTCCCTGTGAGTGTGCACCCGAAGGGCAGCAGAAGCAAAGACGTCAAGTCTCAGCAACTGTACGCAGCCTGCTCATCTGATTTTCAGCACTCCAACACGCTGGCCTCGCAAGGACTTACTCTTTCTCGAAGATGTTGGAAACACACGTATTGTTGGCGTGAGTCACCTCAGAAGGGACTAGTCTGCCGACGACTTTGGGGGGAGTGGGCATGCGCATGCTGAACCAAGACTGAGCCAGCCAAGAACCAATTTAATTGAATTATCTTATTTTGGTTGCTGGCATTTCTACGACTCCGTGTGTCGATTTTCTTCGCTTCTCCACTATCCCTGGAAGAGCGTCCTGAATCTAGTTGTGTTCGGAAGTGCCGTTTCGAGCTTTGATTGACGCAACCCTCAAATGTCGGATTGGCACAACCTGTTGCCCTGCCGACCACCACTACCATTTTATTGTATCGCTTATGAGCTGGGGCGAGCACTGCGGCGAGATTTGTTTGGATGGTCGAAATGGTGGTTTGGGGAGTTGAAACGTATGGTTGTGAGACGACCTCACGAATCACAACTGAAGCGTATGATTGAATGCGCTTCACAAAATTCATTTGTAAACGACTTTCATGGGGAAGACCGATTAGGGATGAGCCAAATGTAATACAGGACAGAAAAAAATACAAACACAAAAAACGCAAAAACAAAAAAGCAAAAAATACAGACACAAAAAACGCAAAAACACAGAAACCAAAACAAGCAATGCTGCATCGCTTCGAAGCTTTTGAGGTGCTGCAATTGCCTTCGAGGCGTTTGGAAAGCCTGTGAGATCAAGTGAGGCGAGCATCGTGTTCCTGGTACTCGGTGCAACCAGCTTTGACAGCGGGTTGGGCGAGCGTCGGGTTGGTTTGGATAGATCTACAGGCACACACGATGCAACCAAAGTTTCAGGTACGTGACTGGCCGACAAGGTCGATCACTTCAACGCGACTCCAGACATATTTTCCATTCTGTTCCACACTGAAGCGCACTTCAGCCGTGTCGAATGTGCTCCCGAAGACCACAGCAATGTAGTTCCTGCGAGCCCGAGGCTGTGAGCCGGCTCGGCGGAAGTCGATCAGGCGCGACTGTTTTGGCTTAAAGCGGCTATAAGTCTTCGTCAATTTCTGCATATGGCGGTTGATGCCGTTTCCCAGCCGCATGAGTTCGATCGCCCACCGGAGGTCAGAGTTGATCCAGAAATCGAGCTCTTGCTTAATGACGATCTTTCCTTCATCCACGTTCGATACCTCCGCAGCAATTGAATACTTGACAGGAAGGCGCGCAAGGCCGCCGGAAAAAAATTGATTCTGGAGCACCCCTTCCTTGGGGAACTTCTTGGTTCCGCCGGAGCTCCTATTGGACAGACAGGCAGGGTCGAAGGTCTTGAGGACTTGCAGGATCCAGTCGTCGATGTTCGGTTCAAACTGCGATATGTCAATAGCGGACGGGTAGATGCGGCGCATGATGCAGCTTGGACGCAAACTTGGCGCGATCGTTAACACCGACCAGAACGTGAATGCGAAGGAGGAACTTCAAACACCAGTCCTTGAGCTGGGCCTGTGCAAGGGCTTCAGGATTGACATTCGGTGTCGAGGGCCGAGTCGAGTTCGGAGCCGGGAGGTCCAGCTCCTGTTCTTGAAGAACGGTTCGGAGCAGCGACAGAAACATCTTTTTTTGCTTTGGCGGCTGACCATCGACCACGAAGGGGAAAAATCGCTCGAGGAAGTAACTTGCTTGCATTTGGCCAGCATAATACTGTGAAACGCTGTCCACAGTGGCCTCGTTCTTGTGATCGGCGAACGTTGCGAGCAAGTGTTCAATAGTACAGCGGAAGAGGCCGATGTGGCCTCCAGCGTCTCGACAAACACGCGGAAGCAGCTCCTTGACCCACTCGAATGAAAGAGTGGAAGAAATCCGCTGGCACAGCTCTCTTTCTTCCATTTCGGTCAGGCGAAACTCTTCCCAGCCAATCTGCAGTCAAACAAACATGAAATCATACGACAGTCAGTCCTGTAGCAAAGTGTAGCACTCTTTCACGATTCAACCCGACTTACCGTTGCACGGACGACCGGCGTATCGAGCATGGCAGAGTCCAGTTGTGTTGAAGCAAAGAACACAATGTGCTTCGGGGCGTTCTCTCCTTTCGCGAGGACCTGCTTCCAAAACGCGGGCGCCCCGTACAGTCGCTGTGCCTCATCGACGAGGATGTAATCCGGCCTGTCCGTGGAGGTCTTTACTTGCCACCAGGCCAACACCTGTGCCTCTGATGGAAGCGGGCTTTCGGAGTCGGATTGGAGTGTCCAAGCGCTGAGGGAGAGCACACTCTGCCTTTTGATCTTCAGAGTGCGCTGGAGAAGCTGGAGCACGCTCGTCTTGCCGCAGCCTGGAGGTGCAGTGACTAGAACTCGATCGCCGGCCTGGAGAATTTTCTCTTGCAGCTCCGGGCGAGTGAGAAGCCACTTGTCGACATCAGGTGTCAAGTTGACACCGTAGGGCGGGAAAGTTGCTGTCATCACACAACATTAGTAACAAAAATCCGCGCAACCAGAGTAGCAACTGCTCAGCGAACAAGACCTACTATTGCCCTTTGCCTCAAGTTCTTCCATTCTGGTTTCGAGCGCACGGTTCTTTGCCTCGAGTTGTTCAGCTCGGGTGTTGGCTGCTTCAGCTTGGTTGGTCGCTGTTGCAACTTGGGCGTTGGCTGCTGCGACTTGGTTGGCGGCTTCTGCAATTCGCATTTTGGCTTGGGCGATGGCTTCTGCAGCTTGGTTGGTGGCGCGGGCAACTTGGTTGGCGGCGTCTTCAGCCGTCTTTTTGGACTTGAGATCGTGAACCAGCGTAACCAGAAGCATTTTGCCAGTGGCCTTGCATTGCGCGATGCTTTCTGCAGCCATGTGCAAGCCCAGATTCTCGAACAACAACTTGACGACGAGTTTTTGGTGGTTTGTTGGCTTCGCCTTGCCGGCGACTTGACCAGTCAAAGCCTCGAGGAGTGCAGCGCAGCGCATATTACCGGTAGCACTCGAGATCAGGGAGCTGGCTTGTGGCGCGAAAACCGTTTCGGCAACGCCAAGGCAAGCGGCCAGCGCAGCAATGGGGGGCTCGAGCGACGTGGCGCCGGATGTCGAATTGCTAACATGAGCCTCATTGACATCATGAGCGCGGCGCCTGTAAGAGCGCAGCAGAGAGAGAAACAAAAGCAGCGGCGTGAGTTCGATTGCTCAGCAACAACACGCTCCAGCAACGCCCATCTTATTCTAAACCCGCGTTTCCTCTCCACCCCGCCCCGCCCCTCACTGTCCATGAGGTGGCTCGGGAAGGGGGGCAGAATGTCAGGAACGGCAGCACCAGCGGTTCTTGTTGGGTCGCCCTTCGCGAGAAATCGAACATTGATGCCGTGCGTACTGCGTTGTTTGTTTTGGTGTGGATTGGGAATTACAAAGCAAAGTACCGCTAACAAACTCAAGGCCTCACAGCCTGCAGCCAGTACTCCAACACTCTGGCTTCACAAGGATGAAAGATGATTCAAACACCCTTTTTGTTGACGCCTCGGAAGGGGCTGGACTGACGCCGCTGGATGAAGGGTCTTCATACTACACTGTCCATATTTTGTGATCTCACAACGAGAATGCAGGGACGAATTGAGCTTTTCATTCTCCACTATGAGAGTGGCTTTGATTCCTTTTCTTTCGCTGATGGGATGTATTTTTTGCAAGAGTTTGGGTGCGTGGGGGATGATGTGGATACTCGCCAATCCTTCTCGCCTTTCTCTCAAGTACACGAATGAATTATGCAAGTACACTAGGAGTGCATAGAGGGTCGAAGAAGCCATCAGGACGGTGCTGTGGCGTGCGCAACCAGCGATTGTGCAGCGGCCGACAGCAAGCTCGCCCCCGCTCGACCTGTCCAATTTTCGCGCCCTTGTTTTTTGCCATTGTTGATTTATATCGATGGTCCACTGAAATGAAATGGTGAAATCGGGGGAAGGTAGACCCCCATGGATCAGAGGAACGTTAATAAAAAAAACCGCCAATTCCAAACCACCTGCCTGATCCCGCAGCTGACCATGAGCACCAGATTCGCCCAGGCTCGCCCAGAATTAGATGATAGTTGGTGTAATCCGCTCTTTTCTGTCAGACCGAGGGCTGGCAAGACGGCGCTGACGACGGGAGGGGCGGTGAAGATTTTGGCGGGAGTTTAAACCAAGCGGTTCAACCAGATGAACGCCACTGCATACGGACAGCATCACACTGCCGACGACCTCCCTCAAGGATAGAGCATCGTGCATTTAGTCAACAGAGTTTGTGGGTTGGGGCGATGGGGGAGGGGAAGCGGTACACCGCTGCTCCCGAAGGATGGCGGCAAACACCGCGCTTCATTTTGTTGCGTTTTCAAGCGAAGCCGCCAACGAACTGACCGGGGGTTACGGGCAACAGGTGCCTCATCCGTGTTCCCAGTGACCGTGCGAGCGCGCCGGGGGCGACCGCGACCGCTGCGAGCAGCGGCGCCACTTCCTGAAGCAGAGCTCATGAACACCAGAAAATGAGAGACAAAAAAGGTGAAAAGGCAGCTGTAAAAAACGACTGTTCTCCAACTCAACACCCAAAACGGCAAGATAAGGATTGAAAAGAATTGATGAAAGCGTTTTCCATTCGAGTTGAAAAGGAACAGGTGCGCGATGGGGGTGGTCAAAGAACGCGATTCGATGCGAAACACTTGCAGTTGCGTGTACGACGTCCCAGTCAGTCCGTGGCTCCTCATCGACATCGTCAGTACCGTCAGTGTACTGCGCTTTGCTATCATCGACAGTAGCAGGCTTGGCGTCTTGTTCATACCGCTCGAACGACGAATCGAGATTGCTGCGGCTCTCCTTCGAGCCGTCATTCGTCGTCGGCTCTGACGAAGAGCTGGAGAATGTGTCTTCCAGTTGTGTCAAGTGCATACAAGATTGTTCATTTTAGAACGGGTCTCTGCGGGATAACATGATGACAGCGTTGGGTTCAAGTCTTGCTTTACCGAATGGCCATCCAGGGCTTGTCGAGAGGCAGAGGCTTCACTGCGTCCTCAGCCAGAGAAAGGAACCGTGTGTCCGGATGGTGTGCCATCTGCCCAGAAGCAGGGAGAGGCGATAGGATTGCAGTCATTCGAGCTGTCGACGGGCAAAGGATGAATAGCCTACTGAAAACAGTTGTCCGACCAAAGAGGATCAAACAAGAAAAATTCACCGACTCGGCCTTTCTAGAATGTCGATTACTTTTGTTTGGACGCGAGCAGCTGAGTCTACAGTCAGTTGCAACCAGGGTGCTTCCGACATTTTGTCGACTGCGGTCGAGAATCGCAAACCATCATTGGATTTCGCTGGCTCCCCTCCATCCGTCGCAAGCCAGATTGATTCCATTCCGTCTTGTGGAGTTACAAAGAGACTGTCCCCGCTATGCCTCCGCGACTCCGAGAATGTTGCTCCAATCGACCCGTTAAATTGTGTGAGCGAGCTTGGAAAAATGCCCAAGCACGTCAACCAAAACTCTCTTCTACTTGGAAGCATACAAAACCGTGTACTACATGACTATTTCATACCGCCAGTCGTTGGTTTGTTTGCGCTTTATGGTGTCCTTCTTCCAATCGGGCAGCATCAAGCAGCTCATTCATCGTTTTTGATCCATCCACAAACCAACATCAATGAGTAAGCATGCTTTTTTTTTTTTTTTTTTTTTTTTTTTTTTTTTTTTTTTTTTTTTTTTTTTTTTTTTGGCTCTTGGTTTCCTTTGAATGTTGCAATCTGTTGCGCTCGTGCTACTTCACTCGTGTTTGAGTTTGGTCGCAGTTCGTCCGCGCCTTTCCCCACACACACATCACGCCTGCGACTCGAGCATAATGATCTCGATTGGCTGTTGGATTCGGCTGTTGTGCAGCGCAGTGCAAAACGCCGGACGGCGGAGTCTGTCTGGGCCAGCTCAAGCAAAAAACTGGACTTTTTTTTTCTTTTTTTTTCTTTTTTTTTTTAATTGAAGTCGCCTTTTGACTGACAGCAGTCCTCGCCCGACCAGCCATCCCCATGTGGTGAGGCCTGCCACAACTGTCAGTCTCGCGGTCAGAGCCGTGCAAACGTCTGCGATCTGGCAACCTTGTCTCTCCTTTTTTTTTTTCTTTTTTTTTCTTTTTTTTTTCTTTTTTTTTTTAATTTTCTCGCTTCACTTGCTCCGTTGGTGTTGAATTTTGCAGTCAGAACGGTGTGCGTGCGAGATCGCTCGTGTGTACGCTTCAGGATCACATCGCAAATTGCACGGGCCCTGTTGCCCCGACCAGTCAAAAGTGATCGCACACCAAAACTCAACAAAAAAAAAAAAAAAAAAAAAAAAAAAAAGGGCCTCATGCTGCTCCAAACGCAGGTGGCTCGTTGTGGGCAGCTTCCCGTAGACATGCCACTGTGCTGCCCGAAGAGCAAAACATGTGCACGTTGCTCATTGCGATTGGCATTCACTCAAAACACAGCGGATTCTGCGCAAGCCGGCGGCAAGAAGAGCAAGAAGAAGGGACAGACTTTCTCCCTTCACAGCTTCAACGCGGCCCCTTCTGGCAGCTGGGCCGACGACGAGGAGAGCGAGTACATCCCTGCTGCTGCCGCCCCCAGCGGCCCATCATCAGGCTCGGCCATCCCAACAGGACCGGCCCGCGGTGCCTCCTCCGACTGTAAGGAAACAGCTCTTTGATGGATTTGCGTCCATTGCTGTTTTTTTGCGCACACACTCATCCCTCTCTTCTCTGGCTGTTTGGATTGGCTTTGCGCGCTTGTTGCTTCAACAAAGCATACGGCGGTGATCGCGGCGGTGACCGTTCCTACGGCGGCGATCGCGGCAGTGATCGCTACGGCGGCGACCGCGGTGGTGATCGCTATGGCGGCGACCGTAGTGATCGCTACGGCGGCGACCGCGGTGGTGATCGCTATGGCGGCGACCGTAGTGATCGCTATGGCGGTGATCGCGGCGGTGACCGTTCCTACGGTGGCGACCGTGGTGGTGATCGCTATGGTGGCGACCGCCGCCAGGACCGCCCTCGCGAAGACCGCCCTCGCAACGACGACCGCGAGCCGCGCCCAATTCCCACTCAACCCCCGTTCATTGCCTATGTGGGCAACTTGCCGTTCGATGCCAACAGGGACGACATTGCCGACTTTTTCCGCGACCTGAACATCAAGGAGACCCGCATCCTGGGCCCTCGCGAAGGCGAACAGCGTCCTCGCGGCATTGCTTACGTCGAGTTTGGTGATGCCAACGATCTTGTTGCCGCAATTGATCGCCAAGGCCAAGAGCTCCATGGTCGCCAGCTGCGCATCAACGTTGCTGAAGGCCAGCGCTCAAACAACGCCAGCGGCAGCAGCAGCCGCGGTGGCTTCCGCAACGATCGTGCCGCTCCCGAAGATGCCAAGTTCACCACGGGCTGGCGTAACGAGAACTATACCCCACAGGCCCCGATGGATCGTCCCGAGCGATCGGACCGCGGCGATCGTGGAGAGCGCTCGGACTATGGCTTTGGCTCGCGCAACCGCGACAGCCGTGACCGTCGTGACGATCGTCGCGACGACCGCCGAGATGACCGTCGTACGTTGATCAAGAAAGAAAGAGAGAGAGATATACTTTTACATTTGCTTTTGTTGCGATCTGGCCGCTCTGAGATTGGCTTTTAATTCACTGCTGATGTTGTTTTTTGCGTGCTTTTCACCTCCTCCTCTAGCCGCCACCCGCGCCCCTCTGAACTTGGCGCCTCGCACTCGCACTGAGGAAGCTGCCCCTTCGTCAGACGCATCGAGCGAGCCCAAGCGTGCCGCTTCGTCAAACCCGTTCGGCGCCGCTCGCCCCGTCAACACGAACGCCAAGGAGCTTGAAATTGCCGCGCGCCTCGAGCAGATGCGCATCGAGGAAGCCAAGAATGCGCCCCCGCGACAAGACAACCGCGATCGTCCCTTCAGCGGCCGCGACCGTCCTCCCCGTGATGGCGACCGTCCTCCCCGCGATGGCGACCGTCCTCCCCGCGAGCGCGACAACCGCGACAACCGCGGTCCACGACGGGACAACAACGGTCCGCGTGCTCCCGTTGATGCTGCCGCTGAGGCCTCTTCTTAACGCTCCACACCACCACCACCACCACCACCACCCCCAACGTACTGTTCGTGGCTTGCCATCCTTGGATTTGAGTTGCTTGCTTTGGTATTGTTTTGCAGGCTGTGAGGAGTGTGTACCGCGAACGAAGTTGAATCCGGACTTTTGTTGAATGTTGTTTGTTGATTGTGTTCTTCTTGCTTCTCATCTTCGTTTCATCTCCCCTCCTCTTTGGGAGCTCGACTGCTTCTCGGGTCGAGGGAGTGACCCAACAATACAAAGAAAAATATTCCACCGTTTGACTTGGTGATTTTGTGGTGGCACAATGCCGATCTGATCGCTTGTTTTCCTTATTTGATTTTATTTATTTTTTATTCGTCATTTTCAAACGTGTGGCTGGTCCGCGTCGCATAGGATGGAAGACGATTGCTTTGAATTGCGCCATGGCTGCGTGGATTAGCGCTCGCTAGCACTCGCTTGGCAACGTCATCGCCGAGATGTCTTCGAAGCTCTGTGAGAAGTGTTTGCGCCTGAGTCCGCTCGCTTTCCGCTTGACTGCGCAACGTGTAAACTTCGGTGCGAAGTTTATCGGCCTGCGTCTCGGCCACACGTCGAAGCATGGACTCGCTCTCGAGAGCGCTCTCTTTGGTTCTCAAGAGCTGTTCAATATACGACTTTTGCTCTTGCAAGACCCGCGTTTGTCTCTGCAGCGCATCGATTTGCGCAAGTAGCCCTTCGCGACTGACTGCGGCTGCAACTGGCGATGTAGCTGTAAACGGCACGGTCGCGGAAAAAGAGGCCACAGTGGAAGAGGACACTTGTGGCGCTAGATTGGCTGCCGATGTCGGAGGAGAAGCCGGTGGATTTCTCCACACCGATCTGTTGAAGAGGGTGAGAGAGCAAGTGAGCAAGTGAGCAGTGCTGGGTTCTCTCATTGCCAAACACAGCCCAGCAAACAGCTGCGACAAGGATGAGAGCGTACGACACGGGAAAGCGTTGTTCACTCTGTTTGGCATCCTCAAGTGCTGAATCGGTTCTCGTGCTTGCCGTCATCAGCAGGAGAGTGCCAAAGTCTATTGGCTGCTCTGTTGGATCATCCATTTGTGTGCCTTTGATGCAAAAGATGAAATCTATGACGTTCAACCCGACCAACGAGCCGATGATTAAAAGCGACTCTTCCTCGCCGCGCAACAATGCCTCCCGCTCGTAGTACTCTCTACAGCAACAGCAAGGATGTTTTTCGTTCAATGTTGATCGGGGGGAAAGTGAGCATCCTCCAGAGCGCATAGCAAACTCGACGACAAAGACCAAGCGTTCCCCCCTACCCGAGCCGTTCTGGATTCTGGAGAACAAACTGGAGATACTCGGCCAGACGCTTTTCCATCAAGGCCATGCGGATGAACACGCGAGACTTGCCCCTGGGGCTTTTGCAGTACGACTCGATGGCAGTCACAACTGGCCGAAGACGGCTGACGACAAGCGCGCTTTTTCGGCGATTGTCGGCAGCAGCCAGCTCGAGGACGTCCCAGAATTCACAATGACGAGAGGAAATCCATCCCTTTTTCGGCGCTACAAGCATATTCATTCGGCTCATCGTTAGTGTGGCTGTGGCATCAACCCGTCTGGAGCTTTGATTTTTTGTTGTTGTTTTTTCGTTTTTTTTTTTTTTTTTTTTTTTTTTTTTGTTTTTGGAGGGGTAACATGCAACTTACGCTTGAGGCCATGGTAAAGAATTTTCTCGAGGATGAGACAGAACTGTTGCACGCCTATGCTGGTGTCGTCCAAACTCGATCCATTATGTGCAGCATGGCTCAGCACCGATTGGACGGAAGCTTTAAACGCAGCAAGCAGGTTTCGGCGATCGACGAGTCGTGCGGCCTCCGCAACAGCTGCCAAACAAACAAGCAAACAAACAAACAAACAAGCAAGCAAACAGACGCACGTACACACCGTCAGAACCGAACAATAACCACCACCCACGAGCAGGGAAACGGGGTTGAAGTGCAAATCATCCGAGAAACACGCTCAAAAAACAACACACCCTACCTCGGCCGTATTCATCGACGCTGGTCAGATTGAGCGCTGTGGACACGAGCGCTGTCGAGGAGGACGGCGGTGCCAATCCGAGCGACATTGACATGGCGGCTGCGTGCGTTCGCCCGGCGGGAGACAGCGGTGCGAACGGCTCGCTGTAGCCGTGCTGCTGCTGCTGCTGCTGCTGTTGTTGTTGTTGCAAGGATGTCATGTCTGGTGTCAGCGTCGGGCTCGTGGATGCAGGGGATGACGTGAATGAGGAGTTGGACGTCGAGTACGGCGAAGCGCCATTCGCAGCCCGAGCGGCAGCACCTCGCGACGACAACGACGAGAGCGGCGATCCGGCGTCGTGCCGCGGGTGTCCTTGACCATGGCCATGCTGCTGATGGTACGGAGAGGCGAGCGGCGGTGGGGTTGGTCCGAGCGCAGTCAGGCTGCTTTGGCTCCCATGCTGACCCAGCACTGCAGGCCCAGCCGCTGCAGACGAAATGGACGTGTTGAGCGCGTCGATCAAGCGATCGCTCAGAATGTCCTCTTGCTCGATATTCATTTTGGGTATTTTTTTTTTTTTTTTTAAGGGGGGGGAGGGGCAAGGCTTTTGTTTGTAGCCCCAACGCGCTGGTCTCGAGGAAGGAAGACTGGCGGCGATTGAAAATCTCAATGCTCAATGCAAACGCCACTCAACATTGGGCTCTTTTGTATGAAAGTAGAAAGGTGTTGGATTTGTTTGAGATTTCCAGTCTATATTTTTGTTTTCTTTTGAATTATTGATCTTTGTTTCTGAGTGTGCTCCGACAATGCAATCAGCACTTCGCGCAACTTCAACGCTTGGCAAAGCGCACGCTTCGCTGAGGCCGTACAACAACCGCTGGATGCTCAGCTTCAGCACCATCGCCCACCAAGCCATCGCTGCTGCTGCTGCTGCTGCTGCTGCTACAACTACTACTACCACTACTACTGCTGCTGCTGCTGGTGCTGCGCCTGCGTCCAAGGGTGTCCCGGCAATGTCGCGCACCATTCGCGCGTTCGCAGCCAAGACAATTGGTAAGTGCTGCGCTTGCGACTCGCCGCTTTGACGCTTCCCGCTGTCGTTCTGGGCATTTATTGGCGTTGCATTGGAATAGTGCAGATCGACTTGCTTCGGTCTCGCTGCATCGAGGGTATGATGTGCTGTGTGAGGTTTGGACTTGGCGTTCTGGAACGTTCTTTTTGTTTTTTTGGCTCCATTCAATCTGTCGCCAATTTGACGCGCTTCGAGCGTTTCACTTTTCACACTGCTTGTCACCTTCTTGCAAGCGTGTCACCGGTATTTCATCCGAATGCAACTGCGACAGTGAACGAGCAGCTCAAGTTCCTGGTCGCGAGAGATTGGCGGTCGCTCACCTGGTTGCTTGCGTTCGCACAAATCTCAGAAATGCCGACATTGCCCAAGTCCCACATCTTGGGTGTCCCGACGGCCTCATTTTCATCGCGTGCCGGCAGGGCTAGTCAACAACAACCAGAGCCGTGGGTCAACCCCCAAGCAATGCCAAAGGGCGAAGCGCTCAAAAAGTACGGCGTTGATCTCACCCAGCGAGCCGCGGAAGGCAAGCTGGATCCAGTCATCGGTACGTGTCTGGCACATTGCGCTACTTGAAAGGGTTGGTGGTCGTTGTGCTGGAAAAAGAAATTGGCGTGTGGGGGAACCGACCATTGTCGCTCAATGTCGCTTTGCCGAACCGATGCTCCCCATTGTCACTGCGCACAGGTCGCGATGAAGAAATCCGAAGGACCATTCAAGGCAAGTGGTTCTGGCATATTTTGACTCGAGTCGGAGTGAGGTGGAGCATGAACTGACGGGCGCTTTTGCTCTTGTTTCCAAATTCAAATTGATTGCAGTTCTGAGTCGTCGCACGAAAAACAATCCAGTTCTCATTGGCGAGCCAGGTAATCGCTTTTGGCTCGGCTTTCTACTCGCTTCTTAAAAGCGATGGGGTGTGTGGGGGGGAGGAGCGGGGAAGGGTTGAAGCCAAAACATGCACTGTTTGTTTTCTTGTTGGCTCAAATGGTTGCTGCCGTATCCTTTTTCAGGCGTTGGTAAAACGGCTATCGCCGAGGGCCTGGCGCATCGCATCGTTGACGGTGATGTCCCTGATTCCGTGAAGAACAAGCGAGTCATCACGCTCGATTTGTGTATGTTTTTTAGCGTCGCATTGCGACATGTTGTCAACGAATGTCCCACCTTTGCTCGTCATCCTCTCACTGGTTTTCGGTATTTTTTTTTTTGGGGGGGGGGGTTGCTGTTCTGGACAGCTGCGCTCATCGCTGGAGCCAAGTTCCGAGGCGAGTTTGAAGAGCGCCTGAAGGCCGTGCTGCGTGACGTGGAAGAATCCAAGGGCAATCTGATTTTGTTTATCGACGAATTGCACACTCTCCTTGGTATGTCGTTGTTATTTTCGTTTCTAGCCGTACTGTAGTCATCTGCCACAGAGGTACTTTTGACAATGGTGGTTCACTGCGTTTGCGCTTTGTCTGGTGCTTTGTCTGGTGGGATCCAGGTCTTGGCAAATCCGAGGGCAGTATGGACGCGTCAAACATGCTCAAGCCTGCGTTGGCTCGAGGCGATCTCCATCTCTGTGGTATGCCCTTTTGGAGAGCAGTGGTGGTTGTTGTAGGGTGAGGCGTCCCTTGGCGCACATCTTTGCTGAATGATTGACCTCTTTTTGGTTTTTTTGGGTTTTTTTTTCTTTTGGGGGGGGGGTGTCAGGTGCTACAACCCTCGACGAGTATCGCAAGTACATCGAGAAGGACGCTGCTCTTGCTCGTCGCTTCCAGCCTGTGATTGTCCGCGAGCCATCAGTCGAGGATTGCATTTCCATTCTACGTGGCTGTGAGTCGACAAACGTTCACTTCCTGGATGATGCACCAACCCCAATCCCAGTTGTTCTCATTCCTTCTCCGTTTGTTTGGCGACGACTTGCACACCAGTGAAAGAAAAGTATGAGGTGCACCACGGCGTTCGTATCACCGACTCGGCCCTCGTCAGCGCAGCCGTGTACTCCCAGCGGTACATTACCGATCGCTTCCTACCAGACAAGGCAATTGATTTGGTGGACGAGGCCGCCTCTCGTCTGCGTCTCCAGCAAGAGAGCAAGCCCGAGCCTCTCGAGCAGCTCGATCACTCCATCATCACGCTCAAGATTGAACTTGAGGCGCTCAAAAAGGAGACGGACGACTCATCGCGCGAGCGCTTTTCCAAGGTCAAAAAAGAGTTGGAGGACAAGGAGGCCGAAGCCAAGCGCTTGGAGGAAGCTTGGAAGCTCGAAAAGTAAGAGACGCAGCACTGGCTATCGATGACGTGCAAGTCTGTTGCTTTTGCCTGACTCGTGATAATTTGCATTGTTGTATCTGACAGATCGCGACTGGAAGATCAAACCAAGGCCCGAGCACAGCTGGACGCCGCTCGCATCGAAGTTGAGCAGGCGGCTCGTCGCGGGCAGCTCGCCAGGGCAAGTGAGCTCAAATATGGCGTCATTCCGCAACTGGAGGCACAACTTGCCGCAGAAGAGTTCAGTCCCAGCCCTGTTCGGTGCATCTTGTTGTCGTTTGAGTCGCTCACGACCGCACTTGTGTGGATTGTTCTGAAATCAGAGGCGGGGCGAAGAAAAAGAAAGGTCCGAGGCTTGTTTCCCACTCTGTCACTTCGGATGACATTGCCCTGGTGATTTCCCGAATGACTGGCATTCCCGTGCATGTAGGTGCTTTTGTGGGCGGTTGTGTTGGCATTTTGACCAAAGGTTGTCTCGCTCGGACTTGTTGGTCTGATTTCGCTTTGATTTGATGCTGCCTCGAACCCTCTAGGCCTTGTTGCAAGGCGAAAAGGACAAGCTGCTCCGACTTGAAACAGCTCTCGAGCAGCGCGTGGTCGGCCAGAATGAGGCTGTTGTGTCGATTGCTGATGCAGTCCGCCTCAGCCGCGCCGGATTGCAAGCCAGAAACCGCCCAATCGCCTCGTTCTTGTTCCTTGGTCCCACCGGCGTTGGCAAAACTGAGCTGTGCAAGGCCTTGTCTCAGGTCAGGAGCAAAACAAAACCGTACAAACGAAGGATTTCGAGTGAAAACTCTCGACTGACTTTTGGTGATTTGTTTTTGTTGTTGTTGTTTTTGTTGTTGTTGCTTTTGTTGTTGCTTTTGTTGTTTTCGTTTCTTTGGTCCTACGGAACAGTTCCTGTTCAACACTGAGGCGGCCCTTATCCGTGTTGATATGAGCGAGTACATGGAAAAGTTCTCAATCAGTCGCTTGATTGGCTCGCCGCCCGGCTATGTGGGCTATGAAGAGGGCGGCACACTGACCGAAGCGGTTCGCCGTCGTCCGTACTCGGTCGTTCTGTTTGACGAGTTTGAAAAGGCGCATCGCGAGGTACGAATTGATTGCCGGCAAATCGTGAATGTTTACAATGGTCGATTGGCCACAATGCTCACCTCTGGGTGTTGTTCCTGACGTCTTCAGGTCAGCAATTTGCTCTTGCAAGTGTTGGATGACGGCCACCTCACGGACAGCCAAGGACGCAAAGTTGATTTCCGAAACACTGTCATCATCATGACGAGCAACATTGGTGCCAAGCGACTGGCGGTGCTTCCGGATGTAAGTGTACCTGTCCGTCTTTGATTTGGGGCTAAGCAAGAAACAATCGGAACTCAATCATTGGGAAACAACCAACGCAGGACGTCAGCTCATCCGTGGCGCGAGACGAAGTCATGGCTGAAGTCCGCCATCATCTTTCGCCTGGTACGTCGTGGTTGCAGCAAGTCGTCAGGCTTTTGTGTTTGTGTGTGTGTGTGTGTGTGTGTGTGTGTGTGTGTGTGTGTGTGTGTGTGTGTGTTGCAAGACGCTCAAATGCTGGTCTTGTTCTCCTTCTGCAGAATTCATCAACCGCATCGACGAAGTCATTCTTTTCAACCGCCTCAGCCGCCGCAACATGGCCAACATTGTGCAGGTTCGCCTCAAGGGTATGTTACGCGTTTTGCCGATGTGATTCGGATTTGAAGGTTCAAGGCGGACCAAGAGGTTTTTCTCACCAACACCTTCTGTTTGTGCCTTGGTAGAACTTCAAGCCCGTGTCGATGACAAGAAGATGAAGCTCAACATGACTCCTGCTGCTCTGGAATGGCTTGCTGATGCTGGCTATGGTATGTTCCGTTCTCGCGTTGCCGGCGATTTTTTTTTCTTCTTCTTCTTCTTCTTTGTTGGTGAGGTGACAACTCAGCCTGAACCTGCTATTTGTGATTTTGATACTTGTTATTTTCCTTGTTTTACGTCCAGATCCCGTGTACGGCGCACGCCCACTCAATCGCTTGATTCAGAAGCAAGTCATGAACCCGCTCGCTCGCAGCGTGTTGGACGGAGCCATTCGAGAAGGCGAGCAGGTCACCGTCGACGTTGCAACTGACGGCCTGATTGTCAAGCCCAACCATCAGGTGTCTCGCGATGGGCACCGCTTGGCGCTTGACGATGAAGAGGATGAATGAACAGAGTGGTTTTTGTTTTTGTTTTTGATACACCTGAAACGCTTCTTTCGTCCACACTTATGCGTCGCATTTCCTTCGCACTCTGCGCTGTGCTTGGGTTTCATTGATTTATAAAGTTTTGCAAATACCAAGGGAGAACACTGTGTTTGTAATGTTGCCAATGTACAAAAAGGGACATTCATGACAAAGAAACGCCCACCGCTCTTTTCCGAGATCAAAGACGGGCCAGTCACGCCGACACTATGCAGCAAAACAAAAAAGAAGGGACGAGGAGCCTCGACACCATGCGTTTAAGCACGGATGACGACGCCGCGGGCGCGGGAAGCGGCAGCGAGCTTCTTGGCCTGGGCCTTGTTGGCAGCCTTGAGGGCAGCAGCCTTGGGGTTGGCAGCGGGGGCAGGGGCGCCGGGGCGGCGGGCAGCGAGGAGAGCAGCCTTGGCAGCCTTGCGCTTCTCGGCGAAGATGGTGGCGGTGCGCTTGACGGTCTGGGCGTAGGGGTTGAGGCGGACGAGGGTCTCGGTGTTCTTGAGGGGGTTCTTCTTGAGGGAAGCACGGCGAGCGTTGGCCTGGACGGGGCGGACGGCCGACTGGACTTCATCCGAGTTGATGAGGCGGGCAAGATCGGCGTTGACCATGGTGGCCTGGGGAAGGTTGTAGTCCTTCTTGAGGGCGGAGGCCTTGCGACCAGTGCCGTAGAGGGCGTCGAGGCGCTCGAAGGCAGCCTGAGTCCAGATGAGGAAGCGGCCGAGGTGACCACCAGGGGCGAGCTTGAGGAGGTTGAGGCGGTCGACCTGGATGAGCTCAACGCCGGGGATGTTGCGGAAGGCACGGGTGATGCCGTTGTCGTTGCGGTAGACAATCATGGGGCCGAGGCGCTGGACGTGGCGGCGGTTGCGCATCTTGCCCTGGCCAGTGCGGACCTTGCGGCTCTCCTTGACCTTCTCGACGTCAGCGTAGGCGCCGACGAGCTTGAGGAAGGCAACAGCAGCCTTGGTCTTGTTGAGGGCCTCAACGCCGTTGGCGACGACGAGGGGAACCTCGTTGATGCCGTCGATCTTGTGGCCGCGAGCGAAAACGAGCGAGGGGATGGCCGAGGCAGCGAGGGCGCTGCAGGTGGCAAAGCGACGCTGGTTGACGTTGATCTTGCGGTGCCACTTGCGCCAGGTCTTGGTGGGGGCGAACATGCGACCGCCACGGCACATGTTACCATAAGCACCTTGGCCGGCGCGGTGCGTGCCACCACCGGAGACACGGGGAATACGGGCGACAGCGCGGCCAGTACCCCAGGAGATGGCGCTGGTCTGGTGACCGGCGTACTCGGAGACGGCGTAGGCCTGGCGGTGGTTCTTGTTCATCGAGGTGTGAACCGAGGTGACGACGTCAGGGCGGATGGGGGCCTTGAAGACGGCGGGGAGGGCGACCGAAGCGACCTTGGTGTTGGCGGCCTCGTGAGAGAAGACCTGAACAAGAGGGCGGGCAGACTGTGTGTGTGTGGGGTGGGGTTGGTGAAGGGGGGAAAAATGAAGGTGAGCAAAACAAAACACACATAAGGATGAACTCGGATAGCACAGAGTCGATGGAGAGTGTTTGGAGGCAAAGGGGGAGTCGATGTGGGGTTGCGTGTGAATGTGTGTGTGTTCGCTGGACCAAGCAGAGGGCGGCGGGACGGGGCTGCAGGGATCGACAAGCCACTTTGCCGAAACGAGCTTTGGCCGCTCCTCTTTGCGCCGCCATATCGCCGCCTCCGGTACCCCTGAACTCCTCGCACGCGTGATAATCCGATGGGGCACATGATTCTGCAATGGATTCAGGTGTTGGAAGCGGGGTATCGTACCATGTATCTGGTGTATACAAAGGAAGAGAGACCGAGTCGCTTTGGAATGGTGATTCGAGTTTTTTTTTTTTTTTTTTTCTCAATTCATGCAAATTTTGTCATTCAATAGTGTTTTTGTATTTCGTTTACTGGATCACTCGGACAAGTTGGACAGTTGAGGAAATTACCAATGGAATACTTCCAAAACTTGACCAGCGCATTCTATTTTCTCGAACATGGACTACGTGAACGAGCAGATCGAGTCTGTTCAGGAGTTTGCCCAGAACAGCAAGCGACTTATCAACAAGTGCAGCAAGCCCGATCGCAAGGGTGCGTTGTTTTTCCACGTTACCCCTCAGTGATTGATGAGGATGAACGCGGAGTGGGGTGGTGAACCACTGAGGAGGGCAAAGGCGTTAACGGCCATCAAAATTCAAAAACGATGAGGTGGAAGTGACTCGACACAGAACGGCTTTTTTTTTTTTTTTTTTTTGATTGATTTTCAATTGTCACTCGACTTGCGGCGATCGTCGCGCCGGGGTTTTTTTGGATTGGAGTGCGTTTTCTTATTGTCACGCTGCAGTATCCCTCCCACAAGGGCGCTTTGGTTGTGCTCAGGTCGCATGGCCGCGACCGATCTCGCGTTGAGCCAATCTAAAACAACATCAGTTGACTGAGATCGCTTTTTTTTTTTTCCTTTTTTTTTTTGCGCTTCTTCTTCTTCTTTCCTATCGAGCTATCTCTCTCTCTCTCTCTCGCGCGCGCGCTGACTGCTCGTGTCTTGCCGAACCTGGTTGTGATTGCACTGACAACCGAGCCCTGACTTGCGCTTCACAGAGTTCCAGAAGATCGCCGTTGCGACCGCTGTTGGCTTTGCCGTCCTCGGTTTTGTTGGCTTCTTCATCAAGCTCATCCACATCCCGATCAACCAGATTATCGTGTATGTTGACCTGATTGTTGCGCCTGTGTTGTGTAGATGTGGTTTTTTTTTCCATTTTGATGATGGTTTGGGGATCTCACCTGCCCGACGACACTCGTCCTGTTTGTTTGCCTTCTGATTGTTTTGTTTGATGGATGCGTTTCTTGCAGCGGTGGCTAAAACACCAACCAACTCCACTTCGGCCATCATCCTTCGTCTCACCGACTCGTCACTGCATATGCCTATTCTAGTATAATAATACAATCGATTCACCTCGAAGACAACAGCAACAACAACAACAGCAACAACAACAACGCAGGATTATGCGATTGTCTTGCCTCAAAAAAGAAACTGTGTATTTGATTGAAGCGGTTGGGTGGGTGCGATTGCTGCTGGATTTGTGCAAAACAAAACAACAAGAAGCGGGGCGTAGAGGGAATGTTTTCGTGGCTGAATTGCTGGAGAGATCTGATCCGTCAAAACCCATACATGTTGCGAGACGCTTCTCGACCTGCTCGCGCTCGTTCATTATTCAACAGCATGCGAGCTTCGTCTGCCTTGGATTGTTGAGCCAAGTAGGTGAGCTGGTGCCTGCTCTTTTGTCGCGACGACGCGTTGACCTTGACATTGGCCTGGAAAAGAAGGAAAGTAAGTGTCGTGCATGTGTTGGACTGCCAGCAATGCGACGCTCAAAGTCGCCACTTCATGCAGTCGAGTGTTTACCTGCGCAAGAAGGAGCGGGTCGAGGACTTGGCCACGCCATTCGTCCGTCATGACAGATGAGGCGTCAGCGTCCACAATCTGGATGTTTGCCAAGCCCATTCGGCCCGTCCGCTTGCGTCCTTCGAGTCGAAGCAGCTGCAGCAAAAGAGAAAAGGTTGGAAAGTGAATGCGCAAGCCAAAAAAAAAAAAAAAAAGGAATATGGCGGTGCGTCGAACAAACGAGCCAAGTGTGCCTTACATCCTGTTCAGACATGTTCAAGTCTAGTGGAGATACGTAGGTTGGCTGGGGAAGCGCTTGTGCGCCATAGGCAGGACCAGCCGCCTGAGTCTCGTCAGGATACGGGCCGGTAAGGTCGGAGCCCAGTTCAGCGTATGGTCCTGTGACATCGCTATATGGTCCTGTCACATCCGTATACGGCCCTGTCACGTCGGTATACGGGCCTGTGACGTCGCTATATGGTCCTGTTACAGCATCCGTGTATGATGGACCGGTCACATCGTCGTCCGAATTGTCGGCACGTCGAGCCGAGGCAGCAGCAACTTTTGAGGAGGAGGCGGCGGCCGCCGTGCGCAACGAGTGCGGTACAGCCACGAATTTCGACGGAGGTGCCGCAGAGCTAGATGATGACCGACTTGTGGCGGCGGCGGGGGTAGCCGTGGGCTTGGCAGAGGAGGCAGCGCCCGACCTGGATTTCGGAGGCGGGAGCATGGCAGACAAGCCCGTCAATGGGCCATCGACGCGTGACTTTTTGACACTGCGTGACTGTGCTGAATCGGCATCGTCGTCCGAGTCTGATGCAGAGCCGTCTGCGTTTCTCTGTCACAGCACACTCACAAGGTGAGTTCGTTTCAGAAACAGTCAGTTACCTCCGCCGCGAGCACACCGACAGTGCCACTCGCAGGCACGAGCACCATTGAGTCAGCATCCACCATCAGCAGCCGCGTTCCCTTACTCGGCGAGCAGCAGTCGCGGATGGAGCAGTGAGCAAGTCTTGGCCGCTTTTCCGCCAACGTCTGCTTCTTGACTGGCTGCTGAACCGCCGATGTTGCTGCTGCTGCTGCTGCGCCTGCCGTTGCTATCACCGGTGACTGTGTAGAGCTGCTGGCACTGCTCGCAGGCTTCGTGGAGGACGCAGCCACCGACCGAGTTGGCCGCGCGTCCGACTCCAAGTCCGAGTCCGAGTCTGAGCCATACCCAGCGACAAAGTTCATTATTTACAAGGTAAAAGCAAAAAGAACCAACACCAAATAATAATAATAAATGAGTGCAGTCCCGTTTTGTTTTTTGTGTGTGTGTGTGTGCTGCCCATTCACCCATTCAATTCAATGCTGCAGGCGGACTTGGAAGCCTTCCTGCAGCCAGAGCAGGACGACGACGAGCTCGACCACAACCATCCGCCGGGCACCCAGCCGCCCGCCGCGGGATTGGACGAGGACCGCCAAGTGTGGTCAGCTGATCCACGCACGGACGCTGCGGCGCGGACGGTTGCCTCGCGTGTTGCGGGCGATCTCGCCGTGCTCACCAACGAGCCGTCGCTTGGCCTCTTCCGCGTCCAGCAGCACATCCACCGTGCCGTCCCGATGGTCGTTGCACGCAAGGTACATCTGAGCGGGCGTGGATATGATTCTGGGGCTTGGGGCTTCGTTTGCTGGCGATTGTTGGTTGGAACATGTCGATTTGGCTGAAAACTGGCTGGCTTTCTAAGAAACCATGACGAGTCGCTCACCGTTGATCTGCAAACGAATGCGATTGTACGTATGCAGGAAGACATGCTTCAATTGAGCACGCGGATTGCGGGTATGCTCTACGACGTCGAGTACGCTCAAAAGACTGTGAGCAAGATGGCAACCATCACCAACTTTTCTACGATACAGCAGCATCTCCAAACATCCATACGATACAAGGAGCAATTAAATGCCATGGCGAAAGAAGCCAAGGACAAGGGATGACTCCAGCAATTTGCATTCATGTCTAGAGTACTTGTAGAGAAGAAGGTTGTGCTTGTTTGTTGTTTTTTGTTTTTTATTGAATACAAAAGAAAGACTCGTTTGGTGGTTGTCACATCTCAATAATGTTTTCGGAAGAAAGAGAGAGAGAGAGAGAGAGAGAGAGAGAGAGAGAGAGACAGAGAGAGAGAGAGAGAGAGAGAGAGAGAGTGTGTGTGTGTGTGTGTGAGTGTGTGTGCGCAGCCTGTAGAGTTTATTGAAAACAAATGACAGAGCAGGAGCTAGAGCTTGGACTTGAGATTGCCAGCTGCTGGAATGGTCTTGAACACTGGTCCAGACACGCGCGGCGAGAGCTCAGTCGATCGACTGGGGTTTTGTACAACCGCGCCGAGTTGATGCACGTCGGGCTCGGTGGGTGCACGCGTCCAAGCGTCGATCGGAGCACTCGTTGAGAGCGACTGCGCCATCCACGCTTCCATTGCCGGCCAGATTGTCTGACCTCCGACGCGCTTGCGGAAGAAGCCAAAATGGCCAATCGACTGGCCCGGGAAGGCCTTCTTGTTCAGGAGCCAGCGAGTCACTCGAGTGTTGGAGTACCATGAGAGCAGCTCGTCAACAGCCTTCTTGGGCGCGAAATCGTCGTCGGGAGCCTCGACAGAGAGAACGGGCGCAGAAAAGGCTGCAAAATTGACCAGCTTGGAGGGGTACTTGCCGGTGGCATACCCGGGTGTCAGACACCAACTGGCCCACTCGAGGGCAACGCCTCCTGGCAAATCTTCGCCAATGCCGGCTGCGCCTGGCACGTAGCCAGCGAATCGCACGAGCCACGGGATCATCCACCACTGCACCCGCCGCACCAGCCACGACATGCCCGACCAATGGTTGACAAATCCAGACTGCGCCGCGACCAGGACTGCTCCACGAACGCGCGAAACATAGAGCTCTGGGTGCAGCATCCCGACCAATTGCCCGCCAAACGAATGGCCGACGATGAATATGGGCAGCGTGGACGCGGGTGCTTCTCCTGAACCACGCGGATAGAGCTGCTCGTCGATGAGCGCCAGCACGGCGGGATAGTCGAGAAAAGCCCAGTCTCGCATCGTCGCGGCGAAATTTCCGAGCGACGCGTTGTTTGGTGGGCGCGATTCGCCAATTCCGCGATAGTCGTACGTGACGACAGCGTTGCCCAAGCCAGCCATGTACGCGGCAAAGTTGGCATAGTAGCCCTGCGAGCATGCCGTGGCCGAGTTGACCAGAATGACCGCTTTCGGCGATTGCTGCTGTGGTCGGAACAGTCGGACGGCAAGCGGGTACCCGTCCGCAGCAACCACGCGATAGGCCTCGTACGGCACATCCGAGGTCTGACTCGAGCTTGTTCCAGCAGTCGCCGTGGCGTTGGCGGTTGCAGCAGCAGCAGCAGCAGCAGCAGCGGAGTCGGAGACCGCAGCGCCAGAACGTGATGGTGGTGGTGCGGGGGATTTCGTAGCAGCATTGAACGACGACGACGATGCTGCTGCTGACGATGAGATGGACCTCCGTGCAGCTAGATGCGATGCTGGTGTCAGTGGTGCCTGTGGGAGACTGGCGGGGTGGGGGTGCGCGAGCGATCGCAAAAGACCGACCCGATCAGCGGCGGAGGCGGACATGGAGCGTTGTTGTTGTCGTCGTCGACTTGCGACGTGCGCTGAGTGCATGTCAGACGGTGACTGCAAAGCAGCAGTAGCGGAGGTAGAGCAGACTGCAGCAGTACTTGAATGTGCTCCGGGCAGAGTTATCAACGGGCGCGTGTTCAAGAGTCGAGTACCGAGCATTCTGAGACGCCGCCCCAGTTCAAGCTCAACTTTTTGAAAGACTGGTCTACTCAAAGATCAGCTCAAGCACGGTGCATGTCTGCATTTGCACACAATGAACGATGAAATTGCAACCCTTTTGGTGCTTTTTTGTTTTGGTTTGTTTTAGAACGATGTCTTCTTTACAATTGCGAAACAATGCGACATTCAGGGAACAGCAGCACTTTGTCTCAACACACCAGTTGCGAACGCGTAGCTTAGGCGCGAACGCAGTTGGACGGGGGGATGAAGACGTTGGGGTCGGAGATGCCGAGGACGGTGTCGAAGAAGCTAGTGTGGACAAAGCCAATCTTGTCGCCGCGAACAGAGTCGGAGACGGGGATGCAGATGCGGCTGGTGAAGGCACCAGTCCACGAGTCGCCGCTCTCAGTGTGGCCGCCCCACAGGTCGACCTCAACGCCGGAATCAGCGAAAGCCTCAGTGCCGACGATAACGCCGCCGTAGAAGGTGGAGTTGTGGGGGATTTCGAACGGGCGCCACTGGCGGGGGATGGTCTGGATCTTGCACTCCTTGGTCTGGAGGTTGATGTTGTACTGGGCGCCCTGTGAGTGCAATCGAGCGGGGAATGACAGTGAGAAATTATCAATCGATGATTCGCCTTCCCCAACAGTGGACATTGGACAGTCCCACAATCAACTTACGAGTTGGTGAAGGGTGATGGTGTGGTAGAAGGCGGGCTTCTGGGAGCCGACGACAACCTCCTCGATCGTGGCGGTGCGCTGGTTGTGGGCGTCATAGACGAGCTTGCCGCGGAGTTCGAACTGCTTCGAGGGATCGACCTGTGATGTATTGCAACCATTTTGAAGGACAAACCAAAAAACGCGACAATGTTGAGATTGTTGAAGGGGCAGATTTTTTTAAAAATCATTCATCATACAAAAATTAATAATAACGAAAAAATTTGTTGTTTGTTTTTGTTTGAGTTTTTCGTTTCGTTCGAAAGTGGAAAGTTTTTTTTTTTTTTGTTTTCGAGAATTTTGACATTTTGTTTTCAAAATCGTGATTTTGTGTTTTTTTTTTTTTTTTTTTTTTTTTTTTGTTGTAAGGAGCAGAAGAAGAATCAGAAGAAGAAGAAGGGAAGCACAAGCAAACGGAATTACCTCGACGATGCGGGACTCGAACTGTGAGGGAGCGACTGTGAGAAGAAAAACAGGAAAACAGTGAGAAGAACAACAAAGAACAAACAATTTGGAATCAACAACCAAAAAAAAAAAAAAAAAAAAAAAGTTGTTGGTGACACAGAATTGCGCGTCAGTGTCACAGCGCATGACATGGACGTGAGGCGGAGAACGACAGAGGACAAGGACGAAAGAAAACAACAAAGGGGGCGGGGGGCAAAAGAGGCGATCTGTGGTCGTCGTTGTCGTACTGCAGCGCTGGTGCTCCTGGGCAAGAGCAAGGCAGGCGAGGGCCAAGACGGCAAGCGTAACTTTGAACATGACTGTTCGCGAAAGTTAAAAAAAAGAAGAGTGAACCAACAACAAGCTGGAATTGGAATCAATCAAAACACGATTGAAAGCCACAATCGCACTCATTGGCACAGTGCAGCATCCATTCCACTCCAAGCAACGGAACCGAGGGGCTATGCACCGAAACATGAGCAGCAGAGCAGCAGAGCAGCAGAGCAGATTCTGCAGTGCTCGCGCTCGATTTTGAAATTGGAGGTGAACAACAAAAAATCCGTACCACACAGAGTGAGTGCAGCCGCCCTTCCCCTTCCTCCAGCCACGATCGCAAGCAGAGACGGGCGTGACCAAGGCAGACGATGCAAGCGACTCGATCTTATTCCTGCCTGGTCCCTGCCTGCGTCCGATGAAACGCGATGCGACTGTTCAAACCAAACGAACAACAACAACAAAAAAAAAAAAAAATCGCCCCAATTGTGGATTGTGGCACGTAACCCGCACCCGAAACCTCGGGACGACAGGAGCTCGTGACAGGCCGAAGCTGGGGGAAGGGGAAGGGATGGCGTGAGAGGAGGGGGACACAACCCGAGTGAAAAGCCGAGGCTCGCTTTCCAATCGCGAGGAAAGCCGATCAGCGTTTTGGATTGCGTCAAAGTAATAATCTTGTCAACCAATTCCAGTGCATCACTACTGGTGCTTGGTGGATTCGTGCTCTCAAACAGAGGTAGATCGTACACCGTACTGCTCATCATGATTGCTGAAACAGCTTGAGCTTCTCCGCGTAGCGGCCCAGTCTCACATTTCGGATTTCGCTCAAGTCGGATACTCTTTTGCATCGACACAACGCCATGAGTGCCGAGCCGACTACACCACCACGGTCGCCGACAGGAGACCAGGTTTTGCTTAGCAAGGACCAGTCACGGCTCAAGCTCGAGCGACAGCTGCAGCAATTTGAGTTGGAAGGTAGAGCAAAACTAAAACTAAAAAAAAAAACCGTTGCTTTCAAAAATCAGCCAAACTGTGTTCTTTCGTCTTCTCCTCCCGCCTCACAATCAATACATTCATACGTCAGTCCGTCAATTGCTACTCGAGGGTTTGGTCATGTGCATGTTGGAGGAGGTGAGCTTGACGGCACAGAACAAGTGTTGCGAGCGTTCAGAAGAGCAACCCGTCGATGAGGATTGCTGAAACGGTTTCAAAAAAAAAAAACCTGAAACCTCTCTCTGCGGCGCTCAACTGCCCTCCAGTCTCAATTGCCACTCGTGCACGACGGTGGTGAGGAATGTGATACAATACTCGGCATCTCACGAATGGCACGACACGTCCCGCGTTCCCGACTTTGCTGCTGTTGTTCAACTTTGCCTCACCAGCTCGGTTGTTTCACTTTTCTGCTTGCTGAATAGTGCAATCAAAAGTCGACAAGATGAACACCCTCAAGAAAATGCAGCTGCTTTCGCTGAGCAACAACTTCAAGTTTCCAATGCTCCAAGTGCCGCGTGCAATCAAGCAGATGAAACTGCGTGAATATCTCGAACGCTACGGAGACGCGGTCGGCCCAATGCCAAGCGCCGCCACGTTGTCCAGCTTGCCTCTGCCCGCGAGTACTGCCATCCCTGCTGCGCCACTTGACCGACAGCCCACTCTCGAGGTGCCTGCAACGATTGGCCGCAAGGGTGTGCTCAAGACTGCCAACACAAACTCAATGTTTGGCGCCCCGCCAGGCACAGTCAAGAAGGGCGTCATGCTTTCAAACACAGCCACCGTCATGATGCCGCAGATGGGGCCGCGCGAGCCTGCTGTGGAAGCGCCGGCTCCCGAAATGGCCGTGCCAGGCACGCAAACAAGGAGCCGAGTGGCGCGCTCGGCCACAGTGACTGCAGCAGACCACATGCGACCAAGCACCGTCAAGCGGGGTGCAAAGCGCAGTGCCGACACGGAGGGTGAGAATGCTGTCACCTGTGCCGATGTGATGGTCATGGCAACTCCTTCAATGCAGCGCAAGCCCCTCCCAATCTGGGGCGCAACACCGCTGCAAACGCCACGAGGCGACGCCCGCCCGACTGTCGCTCAGACACCGGTGGTGCGAGTCGCGCGTGCTGGAGAAACCGTCATGTCCATCAACGGCTCGCCGCTGGCCGTTCTGCCCGACTCTCGAGCCTATGTTCGTGCGTCCAACGTCCATGAACCAGGCTCGTCTGTGATTATCTTGCCGCTGGAGAACGGTCGCGCACTCGAACTTGATCCTCTCAAGTACGACCCGACTGTCCTGCAATTTGTTGAAAAGGAAAGTCGCTTTGAAGCCTTCAACAGGCTCAAGGCCATGGCAGTCGATGTTCAGCGGTACATGGACCAATTACGTCAAGCTACATGATTGCCTGGTGATGTTGCGATTGTGTGTGTGTGTGTGTGTGTGTGATAGGACTCGGTTTGATTGTCGTTGAGCCGTTGTTTTGTTGTTATGGTTGATTGTTGTTATGGTTGATGATGATTTGGAGCTTTCGAAGTTTGGAGCTTTCGAAGTTTGTAAAATGGAACTTTCATTCAATGAGAACGAGGTCCATACATTTGCTTCAAAAAGAGCGCCTTCTCTGCTCTCCCCTTGAATCTGGAGTGACATGCAACTCTGTATATTGAAACAAAAGAAGAACGCGACAACAGGGGCCCAATAAACCAAGCTAACAGAGTGGCTTTCAAAACTTTCTGCGACCTCTGTGACAGATAGCAATAGAGAGAGGAGCAAGTGAGCCGAATCACAATCACCGGAATACCCAAATCAAAAAAAAAACCAAAGCCACTCACTTCTTGTCGGTGCCATAGCCGGACCGGAAGTCACGCAATCCGTGGCCGTCCATGAGTTTGTGTGACATTTGACTCGTAAAAGCTTGCTTTTGGATTGCAATGCGCTCTTGCAGAGCCACTTGCTCGTCCATGGCAGATGTCTTTTGCCGGTTGGCTGAGGCAATGTTCGAGTGGATGTTGGTGAGAAGTGTTTCACACTGCTGGCACCAAGCTCCAAGAGTCTGGATCATGGAGTCTAGCTGCGCGTTGCTGGCAATGTCGCGGCCAATGGCAAATTCGATGCGCACATGCTGGTGCTGCTGATTGAGGCTGGCTTTCAGCACGTTGCTGTAAATGCCCTCGATAATAATGTCCTCGAGCTCTCGGACGTTGTCCAATGCCAGCACGGCCAAGAGTTTTGCATACGGGATGGTCTGTATCAGTGAGAAGTGATAATAGGCAGGCGAGAAGAGGACGAAAATGTGAGGTAATTTCGGGCAAAAGAATGGTCTGCAGAACAACAAGCCAGAAGTGTACCTTGCAGTCTGAGGCCAACGAGACAATCGACAGCAGCCGTAGCTTGGTTTGCTGTGTGGCTGACAGTGGCGGGAACCTCGAAGGGTTGGCGGCTGTGTTTCGGGGCACAAGGCGAAAGCAGTGAGTGGCGGCAAGTCACAGACAAACAATGCAGCCCCTCCGTTCCTCCCTCGTGTGACTGCAAGCACTCGCAGTTCCAGCACACCCATCACGCGATTATTTCGCGGAAAACAAAAAGCGTTGACATACTGTAGTCGGCGTACGATCCGTATGCAAACAGCTTGAGCAGCTCGAGACTCTGCTGGTGCGCCGTTCCCTCGAGCTGGTGGAATCAGGAGAAGGGGGGGGGTGTCGTTTACGAAAGGCAGCAAGAAAAGCAAGCAAGATTGATATCGTGTCAGACTCGGGACGCCATCAGGACAGCGCGACAGAATGACGAACGGCACACAAAGCTGACCTCTTTGACGGCTGGAGTGGCGAGCAGCTCGCTGAAGACGAACGTTCCCTGTGCCTCGATGGCCTGGTTGATCAGCGACGCGCATGCAGCGCCCTGCGACAGAGAGACGGAGAGACGGAGAGACGGAGAGACGGAGAGACGGAGAGAGCATAGGAAACGAAGGGCGCGCAAACAGCATCCAAGACAAACAAAAGGCTCAGCCAGTCAGTCAGTCAGCATTGCACCTCAAAAACAGAAACAGCACACAAACCACTCGACAACAATGACAGAGGGATCACAAAGTGGCAAACAACTGGCATGCTTTGGTGTGTGTGTGTGTGTGTGTGTGTGACGTGAGCTTTTTTGTTCTTCTGACCTTGGCAGTGCGTGCGAGAATCAAGAACGGCTCGAGTGCTGCAACGCTGCTCGCCATTGTGTGATGTTAAAAGACTGAGAAATAACACAATGCATGCATTAGTAATAATCTAACATCAACAACAAAAGAACAACACTCAACTTCTTTTTATTCTTCTTCTTCTTTCAATTTCGAGTTTTTCAATCCTTTTTTTTTTTTTTTTTTTTTTTTTTTTTTTTTTTTTTTTTTTTTTTTTTTTTGGTTGGTTGGGCTTTTTCAAATTTCAATGGCGTTTCTGGACGACGTTGCGAGCATCACGCGACAGGTGCAGTTTGCGTGGATGACGAGCGATGACACGGGACTGTCTGGGATGGTGATTGCCGCGCCAGGCCCGAGCGCGCAGCACCTGCAGACGGTTGTGCAGCCGGGATTGTCTGCGTACGGAGCCAAGGCGCGAATGCCGCTGGCGAACGGCGGGATGGCGCTGCTCCTCGGCGGCGACGGCGGCCTCATCTGCACTGGCGGCGGTCCCGTACGCACTGCTGGCGCGGGCAACAACGGCGGCGGCGGCGGCGGCGGTGGAAGCAGCAGCAGCGCGGCAGACGCGCTTCAAAAGCTCAATCTCGCACCGACAGCCTCCGAAGTCACGACCCCGCTGGGCGTTGCGCTGCTGCTTGCAACGGGTGGCGGAAACCTGAATGTCTCGCTGACGGGAAGCAGCCACGGCGGCGGCAGTGGCGGCGGCAATGGCAGCGTCGCGGGGACGGGCGGGCACAACAGCCCTCACCCGAGCTCGAATGCACTCCTCCAGTCTGCGACCGGCTACGGGGACGACACCCAGTACGCGCAGTCGTTTGACATCTCAATGAGCCCGCGCTTGGACTTTCTGGGCCCAGCGCGCCGCCACGTCGGCAAGTCGGCCAACGAGCACCCGATGGCCCAAACAAAGGTGGTCAATTTCAAAGACCTGGGCAAGGGTGCTACAGGCGGCTCGTCGTCGTCGTCGTCGTCATCATCATCTTCTGGCGCTAGCAAATCGTCATCAGGGGCGGGTGCCGAAGGTGACGCATTCGCGCGGGTGGCGGTGCCGACCAGCGTTGGCCCGGCAACTGCGCCCTCCAAATTGTCCCAGCTGCTCAAGTCAACTGCCTCTAGCGGAGGTAAAAACACATTCTCCGAGTATAGCCAGTTCAGCGGCGAAGGCCACGTTGGCATTGCTCGCACCGTCAAGCTCGAAATCTTCTTCCCAACCGCCAAGGACACCCCGGCAATCGCCCCCATCAACATCATTGCCCTCGGAACGGCCACTGTGGAACAGGTGCTTGGCTTGATCATGTGGAAGTACACCAAGGACGATCGGCAACCCAAACTCGCAGGCAACATGGACTCGTACTGTTTGCGCATGGTTGAGGACGACGGCACGCCCGATATGGACTTCCCGGCGCTGGACCGCAAGCAGCCCATCCAAAAGTTCGGCTTTGACCAGTTGGCCTTCTGCGAGGGCCCGCGATTCAACCGCAACACGCGACGGATTATGCGCCCAGAGAGCAAGCACACAACCACCTTTGTTCACGTCTACCTGCCAAACCAAGGCTGCAGCATTGTCAGTGTCAAGTCCTTTGATGTTCTGCTCAAGGATGTGCTCGCGAACGTGCGCAAAAAGCGTCAGCTCCCAAAAGACCAGCACACGCTTGAACTCGTCGATGCGCCTGGAGAAGAGCTCGATCTAAACCAAACCCTTCAGAGTATAGGGACGACCAAGTTCAACCTCATCCACAAATTCAGTAAGGCATACAAGGAGAGAGGAGGGAGGGTTTTCTTTTGGCGTGCGTTCTTGTCTCCAGTGGTGAAGAGTCAGCAAGGGTCTGGGAATTGTTTTTTTTTTTTCTTGTTTTTGGTTTGTGTTATTGTCATCTTTACGTCTTGCCACTCACTTGCTTGCCTTGCAACGACATCCCGTTTGCTCTTCTGCAGGCAAACGCATGGACCTTGTGGACGCCGATGCAGTTGCCGACAAGCAAAAGACTGACGATGTCGATTTTTCGCTGACAGTGCACCAATACAAGGTACTCAACGGCATTCGGCTGATTTGTTTTTCAACGTGAACGCATGTGGTTTTGGGGATGAATTTCGCTCACCGCATCATGCTTGTGTCTTGTTTCTGCGTGTTTTCTCTTTTCCTGACAAGTCCTTTTTCGTGTACATCAAGCACAAGTTCAGCGCAAACCAGGAAGTCATGCTCGGAATTGATGGGAACAAGGTCGATATTATTCCTCAAAGTACTCAGGGCTTCTTTGCCAAGACCAAGCTAGTATCGTATCAGATGGACGATATTGTCTTGTGTCAACCCATAGACGAAAAGTCCAAAACACTCAAGCCCGGCGTTTCGACAAAGTCCTTCCGATTTGTCTACTATAACGGAAACGAGTTTAAGAGCAACTACTTTGATGCGAAAGGCGCCGAAGAAGCAAGTAAGTTTGGCTGAGTCAGTTTGATCTTTGGAAAGGCTGAAATCGCAATGTGGATGTCCACTCACATTCCCTCTTCGATCGACACACTTGTGCTTCTTAGAGGAAATTGTGACCAAGATTAACTACATTTTGCAATCTCGAGTCAGTGAAACTCGAGCGCTGTATGCTCAGCAGCAGGATGATGCCAACAAGAAAGCCAAAAAGCTATAAGATACCTGCGTGGGGTTTTGTTTTGTTTTTGTTGTTGTTGTTGATGTTGTTGTCGTTGTTGTTGGTGGTGGTGGATTTTGATCAATACAGTTTCCAACTAAAGGTAGCCATTCAAACCATTACATGTATTAACGTGGGTACTAAACACAAAAAACAACCCAAAAAAAAAAAGCAAGAATCGAACCAAACAAAATCATGCTGAGAAAGACGGCTGGCTGGCAACAAAAGATCCAACCCTAGATTTACATTACTCGCTGCGCTGATGCATTGAGAACGGAAGAGACAGGTGACGCAAATGAGACTGGTGTAGTGATGTTCAGTGGAGTGGTAGTGTTGCCCAGATTTGACCATGTGGACGAAGCGGGCGAATTACTCGAAATTGAAATGCTGCGCGGCGGCACACTAGAGTTGCCAGCACCAAACGGGTGGAATTGGAGTGGGCGTGATGGGACGGAGACAGAGGACAGCTTGCGATGAGCCGCCTCTGCAACGAAATACATGTGACCCATTTTCTTCAGAGCGCCGAGGTAGTCGTTGAGACGATCAGAGTTGCCTTGAATCAGAGCAAGCCGGGCTGCCGAATAAATAAACCGGACCGTGAGTGCAGAGTAATAGGCACTATCCTGCTTCTCGAGAAGCAGAGACAAGCTTGCAAAGCAAGCATCGAGATTGCTCAAGTCCTGCCCACACCAGCTGGCGTACGCGCGCACACAGGTGGCCAAGACGCAAACATTGACCATCATTTCCCCGAGATGTGCAGAGTGTATCTTGGCCAGCGCGACCACGGCAGTGATTTGCTTCATGACCTCGGTCATCTTTTCGCTGGAAAGAGGAGACGGAGTTTGAGGAGCAGAGTCGCCGGCACCGCCGGAACCATGGCTGTCGTTCCCGGCAGAAAGCGCAGAAGAGTCGCTGGCTGCAGGTGAGAACGAGATGGGCGAGCTGACACTGCCGCTCGCCGCATCGAGACGAAGCCGTTTGGACTGGTTGCCGCTCGCGGCTGACTGCGTTGTTGTCCCTGCAAAACCAGCTTGGCGCTCGGCAAACAGCCCAAAGTCTGTTTCCAGTTGGCTGTGGATGTAGGAAATCGAGGCGTACACAATCTCGAGCGCGGGAGAGGTTGTGGCGGCGCGCAGCGCTTCGGAGGACAAGAGCGTGGCGAGGTTTTCGGGCTTGACTTCCGAAGTGCGCAGTGGGCCAGTCACGGACTGGAGGAGAGCCATCACAGTCTTGAACTGGCCGCCAAGAAGTTGACCGGGACGCAAGGTCAGCAGCAGATTGACGTAGGCCAGCGCACGCATTCGCGGGCACTCGGCATTGGCCGGCAGATAGGATCGTGGCTTGAGGCCGACCGCAGTTTTCGCGTACAAGGTGCTCTTTTCGGGATCCTCGCCAGCCCAAAACATGGAAAGAACGAGGAAAGCCACAGCAACCTCCTTGTGAACAACGTCAAAGAGCAGCGATGCAACTTCTCGCGCCTTGCCAATCACGCGCATGGCAGTGTCCCGTTGGCGTGCTAGGCGAAACCCGAAAGCCAAGGCAACCAGCGCCTGGACTTGCTTGGCAGTCAGCAAGACCTGGGCAGGGGTGAGCTGGATTGGCAAGTTTGTGCCTTCCTCCTGGAGAGGATCAAAGTACCCTGGAGGCTGGTCCATCACGTACACGCAGCCGTCTGTTTTGAACGTTGAGGTCGTCAGATACTCGATACAGGACTGGAGAGTCAACTCTGCAGGCCACATGGGCCGGACGCAACGCAGGAACAAATCCGCCATTTGTGCGGCCTCTTCCGGGGAGGAAAAGTGCTCGCCCAGCCACGGATGGTTGGGCGGGATGTCGACAGCATTGACAGGATCAAGGACACTGCTCGAGCCCACTGTAGACGACGAGGCCACGGGTGTTTTGCCAATTTGGCACGGCAGGCAAACATCGGCCATGGTTTCGTTGAGTTGCGTGCGAGCGGCGTCGAGCTCATACGCCAGAGCCGGAGCAGCGCTCAGTGCTCGACTGCTGCCAATTGGACTGTCTGCAAGGAACATGTTTGCGCTCTCGGCCTCTGCAAAAGAGCGCTTGACGGAAGCTCGAGTGGAGGTCAACGGCGAATCAGAGCGACTGTTGGGACCAGACTTGCCGTTCGACGACGCAGCCGCGACTGCCGTCAAAACGGCCATGCCTTGGCCATCCCGCATGCCATTCGTCGCGTCGTTGGCCGAGTCCCACAGCAAACACTTTGTGATTTCCGAAACAACATTGCCAGACGGCGACCCTGGGCCAAGCTGGCCTGCTGCTGCAGCGCTGCATTCGAGCAACTGCTTTGTGTTCATCACGGGTCGCGGAACCGGCACTGCGATCGCGTCCTCGTCTCCATCGTAGCTCACATCACCAGAATGGTCGGAAAGGCTATCGTCCGAGTCGCTTTCATTGCCGCCCTTCGGCAGCAAGTCGAGCTGGTGTTGCTGGAGGTGTCCTCGTTGCGCCTGTTGCTTTTGTGCCAGCGGGACGGCCTTTCGAGGGATGCCCTGCGGGGCGGAAAATTGCTGCTGCTGTTGCGGCTGGTGGTGTTGCTGTTGTTGTTGCTGTTGTTGCTGTTGTTGTTGCTGTTGTGGCTGCAGCTGTTGTAGTTGTTGTTGTTGTTGTTGTTGTGGTGGTGGTGGTGGTTGAACAATGGACGTGCCAAATCCAGTCATGTCGTCTGGATAGTGGGAAACGGCAGGAGAGGCAGACGCTAAATTCTGCATCACTGCTGTGAAGGGCGACGGAGTGTTGTAGGTGATGGGGGATGACGGGACGAACGTCGAGAATCGAGGCGGATGGCCAATCAGCGACGTATACAATTGGGTTGCAGTCATGCCGGGCAATGCCATGCCATCGCCATTCAGGAGACGCGCTCTCACGGCATCGGATGCCTGCGACCCATTTGTCACGCGAGACAGCAAGCCAATGTCGTTGGCCGACTGCATAGCAGCGAGAAGAGCGGGACTCGGAACACCCGTGCTCGGCGGTAGAGCGGGGTCCGAACTGAACTGTTGCCTCGTCGGCGGCGGCGGCGGTTGCTGCGATTGCTGCAGAAGGAGCGATGTACTTTGCTGGTGGGGCGGCGGTGGTTGCTGTTTCCGCTGCTGCTGGCGAGCGGTACCTACGTTGCTCCGTTGCTCAGACAGCCCGAATTCGGCCGAGTCGAGCTGCTCCTTCATCATCGCACGGCTGCCTGGGTGTGTCATGAACGGCACCTGTGCTCCATTCGTCGCCACTGGAAGCATGTTGAGCAGCACAGTGGTGGCGTCGGCGGTCGGGTATTGAGAGGAGGCGTCAGCAGCGGCAGCGCCAGAGGAATCGTGCTGCTGGTCTTTGCTGCTGGACTTGATCGACGGCCGTCCGCGGCGCTTTTGCACGTAGGCCACGCACTCGTGGTTGAGCTTGCGGCAGTGCGCGCAAGGGAAGATGCCCTCGCACTTGCGCTTGAGGTGGCGGCAGCGTTCGCACGACACGAGCGCAGGCTTTGGCTTTGCGCGCTTAGTTGTTGGCTGCTGCTCGTGGCTCAGCTCGTCCGAGGATGATTCGTCCATTGCTGTCTGTTGTCGTTCGTGGCCGTGTTGGTTTGAAGGTGGCTTTCTGTTTTGTTTTGTAACCAAAGCGGAAGACGAGGAAAAAAAAAAGGAGAAAAGGCAAAAAAAAAAAAAAAAAAAAAAAAAAACCTGTAGTTTTTGAGTTTTTGGGTTTTGGGAAAGCGCTTTGAGCAAATGTTAACGCGGGGAAGAGTCGCTGCTAACGTCGGTGCTGGAAGATGGTCTCCCGAACAGCGTCAGACGAGGAGGGTGGAGCCAAGGGGGGGGGCCAGCAGGATCCCAATGAGCGCAAAAGCGAGAGAACAAAAACACGGAGAGATTCAAGCTGCCAAGGAGGCGGTTCGCACGAGTGCTTGCCAGGATGGGGACAATCGCTGAGGAATCAAACGACAAGAGTGGATGATGGAAAGGCCGTGGTCTTCGCACAATGAAGAAGCAGCGGTTTGCCGAGTGTGGGTTGGGAAAGCAGAAGAGTAGAGAAAAGCAAAAAAAAAAAAAAAAAAAAAAAAAGAGGTTTGTTTTCTCCGTTCTTTGAAAAAAAAAAAATGAACAATGAAAAACGCAGACACTCAGACACGCAGAAGATCGATGTAGAAGATCGATGAAGAAGGAGAAAAGCAGTTTGCTGAGGTGTTTTCCCCACTCGCTGGTGTGTGTGTTCAGCATTTGCGTTGTTTTCGTTGACTTTTTGATTTTTTTTTTTTTGCTCCGTTTTTTCCATCCATCCTCTTTTTGCTTTGCTTTTTACCGTCCACACGCGACTGTTACAAGCAAAAGTGACCAAATAAGACAGTCAGAGCCGAAATCACAATCACAAACAACGCGCCACTCAGTTCTCAGTTTTCAGTTTTCATCAGTTCTCAGTTCTCAGTTCTCAGTTCTTTTTTTTTTTTTTCGTTTTTGTTCATTCGCTCTGTGCGTTCAAGTTTTTTGTGTGCTTGTTCGTCACTCTTTGAGTTAATAACAAAAACCAAGCAGGAAAGAAAATGGGACGGAAACCAGCAGCACCGAACGCAGGTGCATCGTCGACTGGCGCTGTGGCTGGCGGAGGAGGGCGCACACGCGAGGCGCTCGTGTCGCAGGACCCGTCGCTGCTCAACCGCGCGCGTATCACATTCTCATCCCTGTCCAGCGGTGCCGCAGCATCGTCGCCGTCGTCACCGTCATCAGCTCCATCAGCTTCAGCAGGAGCAGCTGCAGGGACCAGCAACGATGCTGACGAGGGCGGCGACACACGCAGGCCGATGATGCCTCAGTCACCGCTCGCCATCGTGCCGCCTGCCTCGCCATCGCCGTCGTCCCCAGCGCCTTCGACTCTGGCAGGTGCGTTTGTTGGCGTCAGTGCTCCGTTCGGCGAAGGAGTCCCCAACGACGTGCGTCTGGCCTTCAGTCGCCTTGCCAAGCGAGATGATGTAACGCGTCTCAAGGTAACAACCCCGACGACCATCCACCAAACAACCCAACCATTCACAATCGAAAAAAAACAAAACATGTGAATAGAGCAAAAAAAAAAAATGGGATTTTTGCCAAGTCAGCCGAAAACCATTGCGCAAGAGGCAACAAATCCCAACCAAAAAAAAAAAAAAACCTATTTGCAAACGATTGTGCCAAGTTACTTACGTTCTGGGTTTTTTTGGCTGTTTGTTTTTGGCTGGCTGTTGTGTTGGCATGGGGTGGGCTGAAACATGCAGGCGCTTCAAGAAATCCAAGGCTTGGTGGCATCGCACTCGGTAGAAACACTGGCAGCGGTGGTATTGCCGCAATGGGCTGCGCTGCATCCCAAGATTGTCCATGCGATGGACCGTCGCGTGCGGGAGGCATGTGCGCTGGTGTGCCGCGACCTGATTGTCAAGACGAAAAAGCACTTTGCGCCGTACATTAAAACGTGCATTCCCTTGCTCGTCGAAGCGCGATTTGATCCATACCCCACCGTCGCGCGTTGCGCTGCCGAGGCCCTCGACGCCGCGTTTCCGCCAGCCAAGCAGCTCGATGTGCTTGTCTTTTGCAGTGCCGAGTTCCGCGATCTCGCCTTCCACACTTTTATCAAGCACACAAAGCCCGAGACCCTGTGCGACCCGCTCAAGTTGGCGGCGGAAGACATTCCCGCTGCCTACGAGCGTATGGTCGTTTCTGCCATGCTTGCGATGGCATACGTCCTTGAGCGCCTGTCTGGTGCGGATCCTGCAAAGCAGTACTCGGCTGCTGACCTCGCTCCAGTGTTTAGCGAGAGTGTCTTTTACAAACAGTTTGCCAACTACTCGGTGCCTGCCGTCCGCGCGGCCCACTTGTCTCTTCTCGGGGCGATCTGTCGATTTCATCGCCCGTCCGCCGAGGCGAACATGGGATTGATTGCTCCGGTTGCATTCGCTGCCCTCGGTGATGTTTCCCCCCAGTGCCAGACCCCTGCTTGGGCGTTGGTGCTGACACTTGTTCGCGACTATCCCGACACCTGCTGGGAGAATGTCAGCTTCCGCAAGTTGGTCATGCCCAAGCTACTGGGCCTCTTGCGTTCGTCGGAAGGCGGGGAAGCGGCGGGCAGTGCTGGCGCAGTCTACCCTTGCCTTTTGCCACTGGTCGCGAGCATTCCCTCTCGCTTGATTGGCGAAGGCGCCGGGTTTCACCGCGAGCTACTGACTGCTCTGCTCCGTGGCCTGAGCAGCGTTCGTGGCGGAGTCAGCAACGGCAACTTGAAGGCCAACACGAATGCAGCGGAGACTGCGCTTTGGAGTGCATACTTTGAATTGATGCAGTACTTTTTGGTGTCGGAAACTCGTCAAGGACACACCGTTAGCGCGGTAACGACCTTCGTGGCCAATGAGGAGCTCGAACGTCTGACTCGGCAGCATCTCAATGAGGCGGACTTGGCGTGGCCCAGCGCTGTTGTTGCCCGAGGGATTGTGGCAACATGCAGTCTTGCGCTTTCAAAAAGTATCGATGCCACCACCAGTGTCTCTGATGCTCTACTCGCGAGCGTAGAACAGCACTTCAAGGCAGACCCCGCCGGTTCAGAGCCCAAGCTTGGTTTGCCGCAATCTGAATGGCTTGTTCGCGTCGTTGACCTTCTTGGAGCATTGACTGTGGTCGCGTCGCCGGCCTCCGATCTGGCTGTTGGCGTCGACGCCATCTTTATTCGCCTGCTCAAGTCACTGAATGCAGCTCTTGACTCGAAGGCAACCATCGGCCAGCTCGATCTTGTTGCTGCAGTGTTGGTTGCATTGGGGAAAGCACCGTCTGACGCAAGGTCGCGCGTGGTACTCAAAGCCCTTGCTGCCGACGACGACGACGACGACGACGACGACGACGACGACGACGACGACGACGACGACGACGACGACGAGGGCAGCCACCAAAGTGCGTTCGTGCTCGCTTTCGATCAGCTGGTTTTGCCCGTGTGGAAGCAAGCCCTGCACCTTTCAGGCGACACTGCTGGTGCGTTCCGTGCGTCTGCGGCACGCTTGACCGCCGTGGTTTTGCAAGGCGGTCTTTCTTCACCTGCCACCTCGTTCGTCTCGGTCTGGTCCAAGCTTGTCGGTGAACTTGTAACTGCGCCCGAAGCAGACACCATGCTGACCACATTGCTCGAAACACTCGGCAGCTTTCTGGCTGACCAAGCGGCAACACCTCTTCTGGCGCGGGAGGCGTTGACTTTGCCAGAGCTGGATCAGTTTGTGCTGGGGCGTCTTACCGCGCTGGAGCACTGCGAGGCGCCACTGCTTGCCTCGAAAAAAGCCGCTCTGATCAAAGCCGCGTTGCATCCAAGTGGCTGGTTTGTGTCGCTGGAACGGTTGCCAGCTTTGGTCGACGGTATCAAGGCCTTGCTCCACGGAGGCGCACAGGCCGATGCTGAGGCCAAGGGCGTTGCGATGGGTTTGGTTGAATCTCTTGCGAACTTTGCACCCGTCCAACAGTCGTCTGCGCCGCTTCTTGAGCTGGTTCCACATCTGCAAGCCGACCTGCTGGCCACTGCGCTGGCAGCTGCGCGCGCGAGCGAGCCCGAGCTTTCGTCCGACGCTGCCCTGCTCCCCAACACCCAATGTTGGTCGAGCATCATTCGACACGTGTTGTTTTCGAGCGCCAACTCAACAAAAGTCACGGTCGAATTGTGGCGACAAGTCCGGGCGCTTTTTAGCTCGTCTGAAGTCGCCGACGTACTCAAGACAGCCACCGGCGCGGCCCATCATCACGTCATCGCTGCGCTTGCGAAGGCTTTGGTGAAACTGTGTCCCCATGTTGATTTGGTCAATCTGGCGCTGCAGCAGTGGGCAGAATCGTTCGATCAGGGCTATGATTCGCTGCTGACGAGCACGTTCCACCAAGCCGAGGCGTGGGTTGCTGGTCAGCTCCCGTGCTTCCAAACGCCAAGCAGCATGTTGATGAGTGTCTCTGTCATCGATCTCAACCCGAGCATCGAGCAACGCGATCTGCTGATGCGTGCACTGCTGGAAGCGACTGTTTTGTCGGAATTCTGCCGTCTGCTCCAGGAGCAGCAGGCTACCGCTGCCGACCATGCCCGAAGCGACCCGGGCAGAGTTGCCCCGCGGGTTGCTCTCGTGCACAACTGGGTTGCGGCTGCTCTTGCCGTTGACATTGACACGACGCCGTTCGTAACGAGCACTCCTCGCCGGATTGCCGATGCAGGATGGATTGCTGCCAACCATTTTGAACCGCTCATGCAGCACACCCTCCATCTGCTCGACCAAAACCGTGCGGCGCTCTTCAGCGTTTCGGCAGACGCGGTTTTAAACCCTGCCAACTTGCTTCAAGCCATGACCCGCTCTCGTGCCTTTGCACTGTCCGTTTCGGCCGAAGAGTGGACTAGTTTCACCACTTTGGCTTTGAAGCACCTGGACGAAGCGCATTCGAGTGGGGCACCTGCGGCCCTCGCACTGGCGGCGCTTGTTACGGCCGTTCGAACGCGTGCCATGACTTTCCCTCTCGATACCACCAAGTCCAATTGGCGTGATGATTGCATCAAGTCATTGTGCCAAGCCATTGTCGCTCGCCCTAATGTTGCAGCTGGCACAGCAGGGCGAGCTGAAGCCGGTGGGTTTGGGCTTTTGGCCTTGTTGGCCGTTCTCCTGAGCTTGCCCCGTTCCAACTGCTTGAGTCGAGCGCTTTGCGAGGCTGTGCAGACGGTCTTGGTTGTGGTTCGAAAGTGGTACTCGGTCGGCTCTGCCGCACTGCTCGCCGGACCTTTGAATAACGACAACGCATCCCAACTGGGTGGCCACACGGCAGTGGCCGAGTTCCTTGGAGCTGCCTTGTCGAGCGACTGCTTCAGCATGGTGACGACTGGTGCGCCGCAAATTTTGTGCGCTCCGGATGACTGGATGTTTGTGGTGAGGCAAGCTGAAGGCTGGCTCAGCTTTACCTTCAAAAACCGACCCCGCGTCCAAGTGCAACTTGCGCCAACCGCTGCTCTGCATGCCTCTGCCCTTCGTCTTGCTGCTGCGCTTTTGCATGTGTGGCATGACCCAGCCGCGGCTGGAATTCGTCCAATCTCAGACGAAGACTTGGGAGAAGAAATGTACCGTTTTGCATTTGATGTGACCACGCAAGCCCTCTCTGCTTTTGTCGAGGAAGCCGTGCCGTTTGCTCGACAGACTGCTACGCAGCCCACGGCAGGCTCTGGCATGCTCGGACTGCACGCAGTGCGCCCCATCGCACCCTCCAAGTTTTTGCTCATGGACTACCTCGCCGACCTCACTCAGCACGCCCCGGACGATGTCGTGCTGGATGCGCAGTGCTTTACCAAACTGTGCCGTCTGCTGCCGGCTGGCCATGACTTTGTTCAACGGACAAGCTGGCGAGTGCTCAGCACGATCGTTCAACTCTCATCCCTCGCGTCGCTGTCGGCGGGAGAAGCGAGCTCGGGGCCTGGTGTGGCTGCTGGTGCTGCAACCGACGACACCGCCACCGCCACGACCGGAGGCAAGACGTACACGCCACCCCAACCACTCATGAATGTGATTGCAGGTCTGGGCGATATCCAGCTGGAGCTCTCGCGCGACGATGCACACTGGCGTCTCGGCTACATGCTGGCCTGGTTTTTGCTCTTCCAGCAGTTTGAAGCTGCCGAGAGCCAAGTGCGAGCCGGCTTTGCGGACGTTTTGAGCGAGCGTGGCGTGGCGGAAGAGCTCATGACGGTTGTGTTTTGCCACATAGACCTCAGCACTGGCCGCGTTGAACCAGGCCTGCTGGATGTCATCCGTGACTGCTCTGCTGCAAGCGTCATGTTGTGCTATTCTGATCGCCATTCTCGCGTCGGCAACGGATTTGCTGTCAGTCCTAGATCGCGGGCTTTGCGTCGAGGCATGACGTGCGTGGCCCCAACTCCGCTGTCTGTTCTGGCATCGCAGCTCTTCATCCGCGCTGTTGAGGCTACTCCGGCGTTGGTGCGGGCATGGTGGAATACTTGCGATCGCAATTTGAGTTTGGCAATCGACCATTTCATGCGGCACCACGTCAGTCCCATCCTAGTGCAGGTGGAAGTCGATGCGGTCGATGCCTTTGTCAAGTCACGCACGGCCTTCGAGAACGAGAGCATGCGACTGGTGGCATACGCGTCGACCCGCGAGGTGTCGGCGAGCTACAAGTTGGACGAAACGAGTGTCGAGCTCACAGTGCGCATGGCACCCAACCATCCGCTTCGCTTGCCCGATGTGGACGGTGGGCGGCGCATTGGCGTCAGCGAGTCTCAATGGCGCAAGTGGCTGCTGCAGTTGACTGCCTTCCTTGCATCACAGGTTAGAATGTTGTGTTGGTTTGTGGGGGGTTTTTTTGTTTGTTTTTTGTTTTGTTTTTTGTGATGCCGTCGATGGCAACATTGTTGCCATCATTGCATCATCATTGGTTGTTACTTGTGCTGTTACTGGCCAGTGGGGCAACGGCTGACTCTTTGCTTTCCTTTGGATGTGGTACAGAATGGACGCGTTGTTGACGGCATTCTGCTCTGGAAGAGCAATGCCGACAAGCACTTTGAAGGCGTCGATGATTGCCCCATCTGCTATTCTGTTATTCATGCCATCAACTACTCGTTGCCGAGTTTGCGGTGCAAGACGTGCAAGAACAAGTTCCATTCGGCATGCTTGGTGAGAATATTTCGTTTATTATTATTGGGTTTATCGTTGCAGGTGGCTGATCCGGTCGCTTGTTTCATGGGCTCACTTTCGCTCGAACTCGAACTGTTCCCTTGCAGTACAAATGGTTCAACTCGAGTGGCAATTCGACATGCCCGTTGTGTCGCAATTTGTTCTGAAGCCCAAAGTCAAGCTGTGTTCTTGTGCTTTTTTTTTGTCGGCTTGGCTGCCATCCTTGCTCGCTGTCTGCGCGTCGGTGTTGCTTTTGGTTCTTGTAATGAATGTGACACTTCCTATGCTTGGCTTTTGAGGGGGAGGAAAGAGCAAAGTTTGCCAGTTTTGGAGTTATCGCCAGAACAGCGCCATTCCTGCTGAATGTACTATTGCTGTTGTTGCTGTTGTTGTTGCTGTTGTTGTTGCTCTTGTTGCAACGTATCAATAGTCTGTCGGACGGCAAGTAACAACTGCTTGCAGAGCTCGTCGTCGTTCTGCACAATGCTGGCCACTGCCGGCTTGACCTTCTCAAACACGCCCGATCTGCCACCACACAAACAAGACCCAACGCACACAGCAACAAAAAGTGAGTCACTGCAATGATTCAGCACGTTCACATGAAGCAGCGCACGGCGAACGCACCGATCAAGCTTTTGGCGTAGCTCGGCCGACTGCAGGTGCTCCGGGACGGCCGGCCCAGACGCCAGCGATCGAATGTAGGACGCGGCAGCATCCTCTGCGTTTTCAGCAAGCCACTCGGTTTTGCCCTGGACAACAAAAGCAGCGCAGCGCGAATGGAACCAGAGTGAGTGGAGTGAACATTTGGCTCGGTGGTGGCTTTGTCGCGCTCCTCCAGCTTCATGCTGACGCCTCGACTCCATCGACAATGAACTGTGCTTGGCATTCAGATGATTGTAGGATTGCTGGCTGGCTGGCTGGGCCTTACCCGAGCTGCGAGCCGCGCAATTGCCAGCTTCCTGAGCTGGTCAAAGTTGCCGTCCTTCTTGAGCTTGGCCACGACCTGGTCTGCCGTCATTGCTGCTGTAGGAGGATTGCCAGTGCTGATGCTCGCCATTCGCAAAACAAAACAACAAAAAAATATGGTCAAGCAAACAAAAAAAAAGGGACTGTCAGAAATTGACCGTTGTGATGAGAACGAGATTGGGAGCAGAACAAAGAAGGCAATGCAAAAAATACAACGGCGTCCCTTGCTCTTGTTGGCAATGAACGATTCAGCAGCAGCAAACCGGGGAACCCTTTTTTCCAGGTCCAGACGATCTTTGCTTGCTTTGATGGTGTGGTTCAATGGTGCATGAGCAAACCCGGATCGGCGGCGCTGCGGTCTCCCAAGCGGCTCTCGCTCTCTTTTTTTGTTTTTTCCCCACCCCGCTCCAATTCCAAATTTGTAACTGGGAACTTGGACTTGCCAGTAGGTGTGTGCTGCTTGTTTTGTGACCATTCTAAAAGATACCTCGCAGTGTCGCAGTTCTCATCAAGCCCAAATCACAAACCGACCAACATTGTTCGTTCATCGGTCATCGCACTCTTCGCCCCTCCAAACTCGAGACCTCGCTTTGCAGTACAGTATTATTGTTTTGATCAAGTGACATTCCGCTCCAAATGGCCTAAACGGGCGCAACGTGAGGGCATCAAATGCGAAAACGGGCTTGTTTAGGCAGGCTGGCTTGGCTGAAGCGTCACTCCTCGCTTCAAAACGCTCGCTCTCTCCCTCGATCTTCCATCCATCCATTCATCCATCCATCCATGCTGTCTTTTTGCGTATGTACGTATGGCTGTCGCTTGGCGTCTGCCCCGCGGGGAAACGGTAGTTTGGATGTTTTGTCAGACTGAGACCGCAGCCAAACCGCACGGCCCAACGCCAGTCTCTTTTTTTTTTCTCTCTCTTTTTTTTTCCTTTTTTTTTTTTTCGACGTCCTTTGCAGTTCCGCCCCTGTGCTGGCCCCTCCCTCTTCTCCCTCTCGCCCTGCTTGCCTCCCTCCCTCCGTCTTGCGCCGTCCAGAGCCTTCTCTTTGTGCAAGTAAGCTCTCTTTGCAACAGCGCCCTCCCAAACAGCGACTGCCGCCCACCAGCGAGCGGAGCGGCAAGCTTCAACCTTTTTTTTTTTCTGGCTTTTTTTTTTTTTTTTTTTTTGTGAGTGTGCTTGAGCCACCCTTTGCTCGCCGTGTGCACAGGGCAGCGGTAGCAGCGAACCGCGACCAGCCAACCCACACTCACCATGTCGTTCACCGGCTCACGAGATGGATCAAAGCACAAGGGGCGCTCCGTTCGTGGCGGGGCAAATGTGGGCATGATCCCGGTTGGAAAGCGGCGCAACTCTGGGTGCTCTGTGCGAGTGCTCTGGTGCTGTGAACGTGCTTGTGTGTGTTTTTCTTCCATCCTGACGACGCTCGTCGATTTACACACCGACTTGCGACCGAAGATCCTATACTTTGACCTTTTTTTCTTCTTTTTTTTTTTTCGTTCGTTTTTTTTTTTTTTCGTTTTTTTTTTTCGTTTTTTTTTTTTCGTTTTTTTTTTTTCGCGGCGGTTCGGGTGATGTCTGCGGCGCGATTTCAGTCTTGCCCAGTGTGTACGATGCTGGACGCGCTCGTGTGCCTCAGTCGAGGCGGGTCGCGGGTGAGCGGGAGGTGCGAACTTTGCACCATTCAAAGTTTCAAAAAGGTCACTTTTGAGAATTATTGAGAATTATTTGGAAGGCCATGTATTGGATTTGCATTACTTTTTTTTTTTTTTTTTTTTTTTTTTTTTTTTTTTTTGTGCTCTAGTTTTATTTTTTATCACGAAGGTTGGGGCGATGATGGAGACATGCATGTCTTTTTTTTTTCCTAGCCACTTGCTCATCGTGCGTTGGGTGCTCTGGATGAACAACCCCCTTTCCCCTCCTTCTACCCCACTGTTTTGCTCCCAGTTTTCAACAAATTTGTTCTTGTAGTCGAATACGAACAATAATAGCAAAACCGGATGACAGCTTTCCCCAAGCTGGTTTGTTCGTGACATTTGCTTGCGTGAGGCAGATGCCCCCCTTCACCTCCGACTTTTAACTTGCATCCTTCTCATTCTTGCACTCCAGCAATATCAACAAAACACTGACCAACAAGCGGTGCAAAAGGCGAAACTGACACCCTCACTCACTCACTCAACCCGCATCTTCACCGCAAAGCTTTGGGCCTTTTTTTTTTTTTTTTTTTTTTTTCATTCAATCTTATTTTTGAGCGGAAATTTGCTTCATCAATTATGTTTGTTTGGTGTGTTTTTTTTTCTGGTTTTTCTGATGAAGAAGTGTGGACATGTGTGCTGATTTGACTGATAATGTCTTCTTGTTTCTGCTGCTGCTGCTGCTGTCCCATTAGGTCGATTCCCGTCGTATCTCATTTTCCCTCTTTCTCTCTCTCTCTCTCTCTCTCTCTCTCTCTCTCTCTCTCTCTCTCTCTCTCTCTCTCTCTCTCTCTCTCTCTCTCTCTCTCTCTCTCTCTCTCTCTCTCTCTCTTCTTTGCATTTCCATACCTCTGCTCTGTGACCCAGCTGGCGGCCCCGCCTCTTTGTGAAACGAGATGAGCCTGACAGCGACTGCTGCAGCAACTTCGCCAATCTCACCTGCATCGGCTGTGAGCAGCTCGACTGCGGGCGGCGCAGGGCTGGTGGGCCCTCCGAGACGCCGGGTGCTGCAGAGCTCGCGGTCTTCGAGCTTTTCGCGCACCACGTCGACGTCGTCGGAGGACGTCACAGCCAACAGCGAGCAGGATTTTCCGTTCGTGTCGTCCATCGTTTCGACAACCCACCCGCAAGTGCTGTGCTCCAACCTTCCGGAGCACTGGCGTTGCAACAAGTCGCTCCCTGCGCCGTTCGTCGTCTACGCTCAAGTCAACGTGCCAGACGACACAGAGGTCACCGTTAGTGCGGGCAACGACGAGCATGCCATCGCTGAAATGCGCAACTTTGCGACAGTCATGAGCAATAACACGGCCACCTTTTCCGACCTGCGCTTTATGGGTCGCTCGGGCCGTGGCAAGCGGCTGACCGTGTCCATCACCATCCACACGACACCAACCCCGATAGTCGCACAGCTCGTTGAAGTCATCAAGATGACGGTCGACGGTCCTCGCGACCCGCGTCGGCGAAGGCCGGGCAGCGAAATGATCGCCTCCGCCAGCGAGGATGACTTGTCGGATGCCAGTGGGTTTGCCTCAGACCTCGGGTCGGGCACCATGTCCGCGGAGGCCTTTGGCTCCACTGCCTCGACGGGCTCGCCGCTTTCTGGCTCGTCGCAGCAGCTCGCGCCCGGCCAAACTCCTCCTGCACAGCCCAACTCTGCAGGCACTGGCGGATCGTTCAAGTCTCACCGAACGCGGTCGCTCTCTACCACCCTCCGACGCTGTCAGTCAGCCCCTTATATGGCTCCCGAATTTCGAAGGCGTACCGGCAGCGGCACGCTCTTGCCGCACGACAAGCCTTCCTCGCCACGCGCCAGCAGCAATAATAATGACAGCTTGGATCCGCGCCCCCGTAGCGCTTTCCCTTCCGATCTAGCCGATAGCGAAATGCAGCGATTTCGCTCAGTTTCGATGGGCTCTTCGGCAGATTCCATGGCCGAGGATGTCTTTTCTCCGCTCGAGTCCCCCCGCTCGCCGAGCGTGGCAGCGCTGTATCATCTACAACGTACGAGGGGAATTTCTTGTTTGGATTGTTTCATTTTGCTGCTGTTTTCTCACTTTGTTGCGCTTTTACTGAACACAGATTCGGGAGTTTCCTCTCCATCACCCGATCATAGCCTTCTCTCTTCCATGGAGTCGCTTCTTGCACCACTCACAACGCCCGCAGCTCTTAGTTTCAACGCTGCTGATGTTGTCCTGTCGAGTGGCGCCATGAATCTGGTTCCTGGTAAGACCTGTTGCCCACCCCCCCCCCCTTTTTTTAACAAACAAAAAAAAACTTTAGTTTTCCGTTCGCTTGTGGGCTCACTCAACGTTTCGTCTGCTTGCTCCTTCTTTATTGTGTAGACTTCACGCTGGTGAGTCTTTCAGTGTACGAGGCGCCTGAAGGCTCGGCGTGCGTCGCCACGATGCGCGTCGGCTCCGCTGGTCAAGTGATGACGGACGTTGGTGTCATGTTTGGAAACGCCATCCCAACGCTGGACAGTGTCAACCTCGGTATCGATGGCACAGTCCAGTGTATGTTCAAAGTTCCGTCGCGCTCCGAATGCGGTGCTTCACTCCAGCGAGGCAATCGGTTGGAAGTTGTTGGCTTTTACAAGCTTGCGGATCGCGTTTGCTGCTCGTCAAATTCGCTGGGATTTGCGTTCAAGGATGTAGAAGGTACCATGCTCGGGAAACAGCTTTTGCCACCGAGAACAACAATACCCTGTGTGACATTTCTCATCCTCCTTCTTCTTCTTCTTCTTCCTTTTGTCGTCTTTCCTTCTTGGTTTCTCTTTTCTGTTCTCCACCAACAGGCGCAATCACAGAACGCCAACTGAATGCTGTGCTTCACAAGCTGCATTTGAAGAATCAACAAACGCAGCTCGCACACAGTGAGCCCCTTCAGAAGCAAGTTCTCGGCGGTGGCGCTCCACGAAACCTTCTCCGACAACTTCGACCCCTAGAAGACAACCTGTTTGCACGGAGCCAGGCAGTCTTGCAACAGTGCGGGATGCAGCATACGCTCAATCCAATCGATTTGCCTATCGGGCCTGACGGGCAAATCTCTGTCAGCAATGTTCAGTCATCGGGGCTCACTGCGCTACACGTTGCCGCCGAGTTTGGATGGAACAAGTTTGTGACCCAGCTTGTCACCGCGGGCGCTTCCATCAACCAGCGGGACAACTTTGGGAACACCGCCCTGGACTGGGCCTTCATGTCTGACCAGCATGTGACTTGCCAACTGCTTCAGTCCGCTGGTGGTTTGTTCAACATGTTTGCTCAACCGAAAGTCACTGACGACCTGCAGGCAAGCTTCCAGCAATTCACCTTGTCCAGCCCCGTGCTTGGCCAACTTCCTTCGCCGACAACGCGCATCGCGTCGTCTCGCTCGCCACGTTCGCCTCACCTCGGATCCCCGTTGAACTTTGGCGGTCTTTCCCAAAACACTTCCCCTCCAGGACAAGTCCTGTCTGAGATACCCGAGGCGCAGTCCTCTGCACAGCAGTCGTATCAAACTCAGCTTCAATTTTTGCAGCAACTACAGCACCACCAGCTGGTTGAGCAAGAGCAGCAGCAAAAGCAGCAGCAGCTACTTGTCCAGTTGATGCAGCAACAGCAACCACAGCTGCAACTTCAACAGCAAGCGAAGCAGCAAGCAGCCCACCACAATCTTGTGCAACACTTGCTGAGCATGGACATGTCCGCTTCTGCGTCCGGCTCGTCTTCACGCGCTGTATCGACTTCGTCCCTGTTGTCGAATGCTTCTGCTGTCACCAGTGCGCCGTCCATGCTTCCGTTGGATTTCACCACGACTAGCGATGCTCATCTCTACTCTGAGCCGGATTTACTCGCCTTGGACCTGCCCTCTCCCAATCCCTCCACGTTGAGCATGGGCGAATTACATTTTTAATCCTCTCTTTTTCTCTATCTCTCTCCCTCTCTCTCTCTCTCTCCTTCCCTCTCGTTGTCTCGTTTGTTGAATGTTCTCTACCCCCCCCCCACATTCTCATCTCAACTAGATAAGATGAGTGGCTGTTTCTCTCGGTTTTTTTTTTGTTACTTGTTGGTTGTTTGCTTTTGGTCGAGCTGTCCCTGGCGGATGCTCGTCGGTTGTCATTCTTGCTGTTTCTAGATGGTTTTTTTTTTTCGTTCATGTACAATCAATGTCGTTCCTGTGTCTGAAAGCCTTGTCACTTTGTCTGCGTTGAATCGGCACAATTTTTTTTTTTTTTTTTTTGTTTTTGTTTTTGTTTTTGTTTTTGTGTTTGTTTTGATTGATGAAAGGCTTCCACTGCCGTGAACTATGCTTCGTTTCCGCCAGCCTCATCAATGTCAAGGTACAGTATTCAAGAAGAACACTGTTTTGTTCCAATCAGTTGAAGTGGACAGTCACTTCTCGTCGCTAAAAAGAACGACCTTGTCAAATTGGACTGATTGGAGCATGGCTACGTTTCACTTTGAGAACAAGCGTGCGCTGGTCACTGGTGCAGGCAAAGGTGCTTGTTCATTCATCATGTGCATCGAGATGGTTTGTGTGGGAGTGTGTCTGTCTGAGTGCGAGACACAAGTGCGGCGCAGCGCTAGAAATGAGATGCAACTTGGCTCACGATTTCGTCGCCTTGGCCGTCGTCCCGGGCCCTGTATCCCTGGGGTTTTGTAGGAATCGGTCGTGATGTCGTGATTGCGCTGGTGGCCGCTGGTGCGACTGTCACTGCCGTCAGTCGAACTGAGGCCGATCTCACGTTGCTCAAGCAGCAGGTACCAGACAAAAATATTTACCACTACAATGGTTCTCGCCCACTCCACTGTCGTGTAGTGTCGTGTAGTCGTGTGTGCACTCCACAGTGGTGTAGTGTGTGCATGGACGTCCCTGCTTTGGCTCGTTTCAGCATGGTACTCATTGAATTGATGGGTGTCACTGCCTTTCCTTGCATCCTTGACTGGTTTTCGCTGGAACGACAACAATCGTGCAGTTCCCTGCAATCAGGACAGTCTGCGTTAACATTGCTGATGCTGCACAAGTTCAAGCCGCCCTCCAGAACGTTGGCCCTATTGATTTGTTGGTCAATTGTGCCGGCGTGGCGATGAATGAGCCGTTCTTGTCGACTACACTCGAACGATTTGACGCGTAGGTGCATTTTGACGTTGAGAGTGTTCGTACGTGGTGCGCACGATACTCACCCACCGCCATTGTCGAAAATGCCGCAGAACGCTCGACACCAATGTTCGCGCCGCCTTTGTCGTGTCGCAGGTAATGTATTGCGCTGGATGAGTGAATTGACCCGTGCTCACGATCGTACAGCTTGTGGCGCGCGGAATGGTGGAGCGGAAGACTGGCGGGAGCATTGTGAACGTCTCCAGCGTCGCATCTACGTTGGCCTTGGTCGACCACACGTCGTACTGTAAGGCGCGATTTGAATGAACTGGTCGATTATTGGAAGAAGCGGGGGGGGAGGATCTTGTGTTTTGTTTGTTTTTGTTTCTGGTATTGTTTTTTGGTTTTGGTGTTGTTGTTGGTGTTTTTTTTTTCCTTCCCCCCCCCTCACACACACACACACACACACACACATACTCCTTCTGCTTCTTCTTTCCAGAATTTGCATGCAGCTTTGTGCTAGATGCGAAAGGTTGCCCATTTGCTCATGTGTGCTGCTGTTCCCAAACAAAGGTGTATCGAAAGGCGCTCTGGACCAATTGACCCGCATGATGGCATTGGAGCTTGGTCCGCACAAGGTGAGTGCTCGCAACTGGCCCACATTGAAAGTTCAAGCTCGACGAACGAATTGACTGTTGGGACGTGTGTTGTCGGCCGGGACAGATTCGAACCAACAGCGTCAATCCCACGGTTGTCATGACTGAGATGGGCCGCGCAAACTGGTCTGACCCTGCCAAGGCTGGCCCAGTTCTGGCACGCATCCCTCTGGGAAAGTTCCCTGGTATATATCTGCTTGCCGGCGGTTTGAGTCGCGAGGGTTGTGCACACAAACTGACCAAACTGTTTTTGTGTTGTCGATCGATGAAATATCGCACTGGCGCAATCCAGAGGTGCCGCACGTTGTCAACGCCATCCTCTACTTCCTCAGTGATGCCAGTGACATGATCAACGGCACTTTCCTTCCGATTGATGGCGGCTTGCTGATTGACTGAGCTCCACGATGACTTTGGATGGCATGTGCACTGTGCGCTTGTAGATCGAAACAACTGGCATCACGAGTGGAAGGAAGCAGGAAGGAAGCAACAAACTGAACGAAGCCCCAAAAAAAAAAACGAAAAAAAAAACGAAAAAAAAAAACGAAAAAAAATGTGGTTGCTGGGATTCGAACCCAGGCCACCGAAGTGATCAGAGCCTTAATCTGACGCGTTAGACCAGCTCCGCCACAACCACGTTACAGCGACCACGGGGCAAAATGCGATAGGATCGAATGAAGCTGCCAAACTGACATGCAACCAAACTCCACAGCTGCCAAACTGTAACCAAAATGCTGGGTTTGCTTGTCAACTTTAGGACATTCGGCCAAACAACTTGAATCTAGACGTCAGAATACGACGCGAAAGCATCTGACACACACGAAAATCGAATCAAGCAACAGAAACGAGCAGATACTGTCAGGATTACCGGATATGTGGGGGCGACAAGGCGAGAAATGTGCGCTTAGAAAGTGGAGAAACAAAAACAACTCAAGAAACGATCCCGGTTGCATCAAAATTTGACAACTGACAGACAAACATATTTGTCAATGTTCTATCAAGAAACCATGCAAAACAAATTCGAGGAAGGCGGAAGAAAATACGAAAGAAAGACAAGGGTGAGAAAACACCAAGAACTGATTTTTTTCTGCTTTTTTTTTCCGTCTAAAGCTCTTTTTTTCCCCCGTCGAAAGCTTAAGAAGAATAACAAAGAAAACAAAAAAAAAGAGCGTAGGATATGAGACAGTTGAATGTCGTTTTAACGCACACCAGTGAAGGCGTACGAGAAAAGTGCTTGAAAGCTATTGTTTTGTTTTATCAAACCGATGTGTACTCACACCGTCATAACAACAAAAGTTCGCTGAGCTGCGCCGCTGGAATTAGCGTACGCAGCTCAGTGGGAGTGGTCGTGCTTCTTGTTCACAATGAGCAGTTTGTATTGGTGTGTGCGCCAAGGTCCGAGCAGCTTGGCGCGATTGGGCTTTTTTGTTTTTGTTTTTGTTTTTGTTTTCTCTCTCCTTCATGTTTCAAGTCGGCGTCCGTACTTGTCATCCTCGTCTATGCCATTGTTGTGCTGTTGTGTTTCTCAGTCTTCTTGATGTTAGTCTTTGTTCGTTGTTGTTGTGGCGGCGCTTTTTTTTTTTCTTTGTTTGCGTCGCTGCCGTACTTTTCGTGCGTTTGACACCGCCTGGAGTCTGCACTCTGCGTTTGAGTGATGATTTGTGCAAGCACAACCAATAAGACTGACTGAAAGAACCGCGTTGTTCCGATAGATCGAAAGTCAACAATGCTGTCGTATCAAAGTATGAGCGCGAGACAGCGCGAGTTGTACGACAAAGTCAAGAATGCGCGTGAATGGTTCGGGTAAGAAAAAGCCGGAAATATTGGACGACAACATGTTTACTGATGAAATGGAGGACAGCCAGCCGTTCGAGCATATTGACGATGCCGGCGCACAAGCGATTGCTGAGGGACTCAAAGGCAACCCGAACGTGGAGAAACTCTTGTGAGTCATCTCGCTTCGAGTGTGGAGCGTGAGTGGCTTCGGCAGTGGACATCAAGAGTGGCTCACTATTGGAGGGGACGGACAGTCTGGGCTGGAATCAGATTGGTGATGCTGGAGCGCGGGCGATTGCTGAGACGCTCAAACTCAATATGACGGTAACTGTACTCCAGTAGGTCGTCTCACTTTGACAAGTGCATGTGAGTGGGCGATCTAGTAGAGGGCATTACGAGTGCTCAGTGGTAAATGGGACGGACAGTCTGAACTGGAATCAGATTGGTGATGCTGGAGCGTGGGCGATTGCTGAGACACTCAAAGTGAACACGACGCTGACTCAAATCAAGTAAGTCGTCTCACATTGACTAGTGCATGTGAGTGAGTGGTTTCAGCAGAGGCATTCAGAGTGCTCAGTGGTGAATGGGACGGACAAGTCTGAGTGCGAATCAGATTGGTGATGCTGGAGCGCGGGCGATAGCTGAGACGCTCAAAGTGAACACGACAGTGGCGCACCTCGGGTAAGGCAACTCGCTTCCATTGATGCGTGTGAGTGGGTGATGTCAGCAGAGGACATTTAGAGTGCTCACTGATGGACGGACAGCCTATGGCAGAATCAGATTGGCGATGCTGGTGCCCAGGCACTTTCTGCGGCACTCAAAGTGAACAAGACGACCGACCTCGAGTAAGGGGTGTCACTTTCACTCAACAGGGTGAATTCAGAGTGCTCATTGATGGAGGGGATGTACAGTCTGAATGGGAATCAGGTTGGCGATGCTGGAGCACAGGCGATTGCTGAAGCGCTCAAAGTCAACACAACAGTCACTCACCTCGGGTAAGTCATCTCACTTTGATGTGAGTCGAGGATCCAGCAGAGGTGCCCAGAGTGCTTACTAATGACTGAGCAGTTTGTACAATAATAAGCTTGGCGATGCTGGAGCGACGGCGATTGCTGAGATGCTCCAAGTGAACAAGATGCTGACTTCGCTCGGGTAAGTCATCTAATGTTGATGATGCAAACGACTTTCAAAATGCTCACGAATGGAGAGGACGGACAGTCTGGCTAAAAATCAGGTTGGTGAAGCTGGAGCGCAGGCCATCGCTGAGGCACTCAAAGTGAACAAGACCCTGACTTGGCTCAAGTAAAGCATCTTTCTTTGACTGAAGCATACGAGTGACTGATTCAGCAGATGACATTCCAATGCTCACTGATGGAGAGATGTACAGTCTAAGTGAGAATCAGATTGGCGATGCTGGAGCGCAGGCCATTGCTGAGGCGCTCAAAGTGAACACGACTTTGCCGTGTCTCGTGTAAGTCACATCACTTTCCACTGATGCTTGTGCAGGTGTGATCCAGCAAACGAATTCAGAGTGCTCACGAATGGAGTGGACAGGCTCCAGCAGAATCAGATTGGTGATGCTGGTGCGCAGGCCATTGCTGAGGCACTCAAAGTGAACACGACCTTGACTAGTCTGAGGTAATCGATCTCACTTTGACTAACGCGTGATTGTAGCAGAGGGCACTTAAAGGCTCACAAATGGAGGGGACGGACAGTCTGAATAAGAATCAAATTGGCGAAGTTGGAGCGAACGCGATTGCTGAGGCTCTTCAAGCGAACACGACGCTGACGAGGCTCGAGTAAAGCATCTTTCTTTGACTGAAGGACACGAGTGACTGATTCAGCAGATGACATTCAAATGCTCACGAATGGAGAGATGTACAGTCTAAATGAGAATCAGATTGGCGAAGCTGGAGCGCAGGCCATTGCTGAGGCACTCAAAGTGAACAAGACCCTGACTGGTCTCTTGTAAGTAAGTCATCTCTCTTCAACGATGCTTGTGTATGTGCGATCCAGCAAACGAATTCAGAGTGCTCACTAATGGAGAGAATGGACAGGCTCCAGCAGAATCAGATTGGTGATGCTGGAGCGCATGCAATTGCTGAAGCACTCAAGGTCAACACAGGGCTGATTGTGCCCTGGTAAGGCATCTCACTTTACTGATGCTTGTGAGTGGATGATTCAGCAGAGGCATTCCAATGCTCACTGATGGAGGGATGCACAGTCTGAGTGAGAATGAGATTGGTAATGCGGGAGCGCAGGCGATTGCTGAGGCACTCAAAATGAACACAAACCTGAAGACTCTCTTGTAAGGCCGCTATCCCTCAAAATTCCACTTGGCGCAGAGAGCTAACTGATGGATGGAACGCACAGTTTGGAAGACAATCAGATTGGCGATGTTGGAGCCCAGGCGATTGCCGAAGCGTTCAAGGTGAACCCGAAGCTGAGGGATATTTTGTATGGTGTCGTGCACTTTGACTTTGAGCCAGGGTGAGCCATACATCCTGCTTACTCGTTGCATTGCTCAACAGTCTAGCGCGGAATTGCATTAGCAATGTTTGTTCCCAAGCAATCAGAAAACGCACAGACACCGGCCAAAAGGGTCCTACGTAAGCTAAGTTGTCCTTGCGAAACGAAGCCATTGACGCTCACACGAGCTGCTTCCAACCGATGGAGTTTGCCTTCCGATTGCTCATTTATGTTGCGCAGCATTTACGACCAGGTCAATCCTCTTGCATTCTCCTTACTTCCACGCTTTGCTACCGCTGACGACCTTCAGACAGTATTTTGCTTGCTGACCGGCGAACCGGCCCTAGAGGACAAGCATCAGTAAAGTGAGATGCCTTACCAGGGCACAATCAGCCCTGTGTTGACCTTGAGTGCTTCAGCAATTGCATGCGCTCCAGCATCACCAATCTGATTCTGCTGGAGCCTGTCCATTCTCTCCATTAGTGAGCACTCTGAATTCGTTTGCTGGATCACATCTGGCCAAGCATCGTTGAATGAGTGATGCCTTACTGAAGATAGCGCAGTTTCTTGTTCACCTTGAGTAACTCAGCAATCACATTTGCTCCAGCCTCGCCGATATACCCCAAGTCCAGACTGTCCGTCCCTTCCATCGGTGAGTCTTCTAAAAGCCCTCTGCTACAATCACCGCTCGCACGCGTGAGTCAAAGTGAGATGGATTACCTGAGACCAGTCAACACAGTGGAAAATTTTACCGGATTCCGGTCGGTCCAGTTTTTTCGCTCGTTTTCCCCTCATCGTCTTGAGACTCGAATTCGTCAGTTTGGCTCGCTTTTTTCACTTGCACTGTGATGTATGTGTCGATTGTAGTGCACTGTTGTTGAATTCGGACAGCAGGGACCGTGCTGGACCGCAAACCGACGATGAGGCTGGATTGGCTGGCGGACCATTGGGATCAGCACAACCATGCTCCTGCGCTCCAGGCAAGCTCAGCTCGCGCCTTTACATGTCGGATGATGTGACACGGGTCTGGAAACCTTGTTTTCGAGGCGAGGGCGGACGGGGACGGTCGGATAGACGCAGGAGCGCTGTCGAGCCCCGCCAGCCAAATGACTGCACCAATTGCACCAATTGCACCGCATCTCCACTCAGGATATAGCTCTCATTCTATTAGAATATAGACAAATACACTCAACAATGAACACCTATTAGTCACGCATATTCAAATGCCATGGAACGAAGATGAATAGGTTTTCATTTAAGCTTGACGGACGGTCTTCCAGTGGGAATGTCTGCCTCAGCCCCTCGAGTTGGTCGGGTGTTAATGCGTGACAGTAGCCGCTGCAGCCAAATGGTTCGAGAAGCGCGATTTCGTGGGTGTGGGGGGTCCGTGACGTGTAAACGGGATTTCTGCCATACTCGAAACCGGTCGGCCGGTAGTACACTTCAATCTCAACGTAGATCGTTTGCTCGACACGCCAAAACATGGCTGGCTTGGCAAACACGGGCCCAATCTGAAGAACTGCCTCGCAGCCGACCTTGGCGAGCGAAACAGATCGCGAGCCCCACAATGACATCTTCAACGTTTTGAACACGTGAACTTGTCCCTGGAGTTGCGCCCTCCGCAGGGCCGCTGTAAAGACCGTAACAGGCGAACCTCTATTCTCGCGTGTGAGCACACTGGTCACGATGTTATCGACCTTCTCTGGAGTAACAGGACAGCGAGTCAGCACGCCAAACTCGCGACCAGCAACGTAGGGAACCACATCGTCGACGTGCTTGACTATTCTGGCTACCAGTCTTGGAACAATGTCATCATGTGGACCAGGACGGATGAGGCGGCCGTAGCGGTTGATTGCGCGCTCGAACGGAAATGTCGATACATGTGCAGCGAGCCGTGTGCTGGCAAGCCCAGGCCAGATGGGACAGATGGTGGGTAGTAATGGGCACATTACAAGTCCTAAAGACTGCAGCAACGCTCTTGATGGTCTCGTTTGACAGTTTCGCGAGCGAGGCAATCGAGTCGTTGTCGACCTGAACCACCGTGGACATGGCGATTCGCGTCATTTCTGAAAAGTTCCACCAGATGTTTTGCACGCTCTTGGTCACCAATCCCAGAAAGATGTGCTTGCCGCAAACCAGGACGAAGTTGAGCATCTCCTCGGCATTGTACGACTTGTGGTAGACAGTGCACTGTCGAGGCTTCCGCATAACAAAGGAAGGCCAGTTGATGGATTCCAGGCGTTTATGTTGATGAAGACAACTTTTGTGACTTTATCTTTGATGCTATGCAGAGGCTGGATAAGAAGCCGGTATGCAGCAGCCAGGCGATCGTTAGGGCTTGTCGGTTGTGGTTCGGGTTCGGGCGCTGCCGGTGGTGCAGTCGGCTCGCTCGTGGCGTTGTTCGTGGCATCGTTCTCAGTAACGTCAGCTTCGTTAGCTTCGTCTTCCGTTTCGTAATCATTGTCATTGTCGCGTTCGACATCCTAAGAACAGAAGAACAGAAGGATGAGTGATCACTGTTTGTGCTCGCACCGCTCGTTGCGAGCTTCGCGGCAACCCTTACCATTGAGTCTCGAGAAATGTCGCCAGAGTCATCACCGTAGTCATCCACTTCCATGGCAGCTGGCTCGGATACGAGCGGTGGCGGACCCGAGAGAGCAGGATCTACCTCTATGGGAACAGTTTGCCCCACTCCCAAAGTGCGCCTCGAAGCGCTGTTGCATCGCGGGGAATTCCTCGACGACAGAAGCGACGGTTGCATATGGGACGTGTTTTTGGTGTGCTTGTAGAAAGTTGACCGGTTAACTTGCTTGAAAGGGCCGTTGCTAA